ACTTAATCAAAAATTGTTGAATTAATTATATTTAGATTTCTAATTTCCAGATTAGTTAAATTAAGATTTTACATATATGGATTGGTTGCAAATTATTTGATAGAATTTATGACACAATTTCTCAATACAACTTAATTCGCATTAATGAAATCAAACATAATTGATGTATCAAATTAAATAATTTCAAATGTAATTGATGTAAATCCGATTATATTAAGTGATGTCATTTGCAGTGTGGTTTAATTAGTGCTTCCAATAATTTTTAGACTAATTGCAACAATTTACTTATAAACATCAAATATTCTAGATTATAAGGTTTAATAATCTTTAATTAAGCATTTCGGCTCACTGCCTTAAATCAAAGTAAACTCAAATTCAACTTCCCTTATTTAGCTATCATCTAAATATCGAATGATATCTATTGAAAATAACTCCAAATATTGGAGAGAAAATAGATCTTCTATGTAAATGTTGCTTTTCTTAAATTCTACCTATTCAGTTTGATTCTTATTTCTTATTTGAGTTTCAAAGTCCTATTTAGAACAATAGATATTCTAAGCCAATACTGCTTAATAATAGCAATTTTAATATTCTTTACATTCATATAGATATTTGCTTATTTTAATTTCTTCTTGATTGTTATTGCATTGCATACACGTTGCTACGCCATCTATAATTTGGCAATCTGTGCAATCATAATCGCAATCATAAATACATTGATGTTCATACAAAATATAATCGTATGGACAAGATGTGCATATTAATTCAAAATCCTCTTCAGATTATAATATTGCATATTCCTCAAAAGGATGCTAATTGTCAGAGTTAAATACATATTTATAATAAGCTTTGATGTTCCACTTCCAATCATCTTTAAATAATTTATTTCGTTAAATGCAAGTTTTGCAGGAATAATCACACATTTCACATTCTCCTCTTAAAATTGATGAATAGTACCCATCTTCGCAGATTATACAAAATGAAGTTTCTTATGAATAATTTTATATGCATTCAACACAATTATACAGATTAGAGCAATCTTTGTTCTAAATAGATCTCAAATTATTCGAACTGATTAAACAATAATTAGTTTGTTGATTATCAGTGATTAAACCAAAAAGACACAATTCATTTTCATTAAACTCTTCATTAGTAAAGTTTATAATTTCACATGTTGAGGTAATTTAATTAAAATAATAATTCCTTTTGCAAAGCGCACAACCTATTTTCAATGTAGAATAATATTTCTAATCATATTCAAAGTTGACATCTAAAGTAGAATAAATCAAATTTTCTTTAATGTAATAGTGATAGCAATAGATGCAATTTGTAATTTAGCAATGTAAGCAATTTTAACCATCTATAGCTAAAAAATACACTTCTGGATTATCGCAATAATAGCATTTTCGGTTATTATCACAATTTCCACAATGCTCTCCACAAGGTGAACAAATACCATTAGAATTCAAATATGCTCCTATATGACATGAATGACAAATCACAGAATTTTATTACAGTTAGCATTCATTGCAGCCTTGACATACTGTGCATTGAAATTCTTAATTCAGAAAATAACCAATTTTACAATCAATACAATACTCGTAATTTTTGCAATAGAAGCATCCAACTTAGCAAGGAAGGCACTAATTTTCGATATTTTTAAAATAGCCATACTAACAATCTTCTAAATTGGCATTCAATTTCAGCTCCATTTTATTTTAGCTGTTGATTATAACTATATAATTTTCTATTTCATTGAACAATCTTTATTTTGTAGAGCATGTCCATTCTTATTAAATTCTATCTTCAGTACATTATAAGGAAGATGAAAAATAAGTAGGATTAGAAATGCAATTAGAACATTTAATATAATTTCTTGAACTAACCATAGAGTAGCCAGGGCTATGATAATTTATTTTAATACCATTCTAGACAAGTTTAGTTATTATACAAAAAATATCCCTAAGCGCATACTTTAGAATTGAGATCACAAAATAGATAACCATTCTGATGACAATATCGTTTTTTTTCTAAAAGTTTTAAAGTTGGAAAAATGGAAACTACTTATTTACAGATTGATTGATCCTTGGTATCGACAAAATGAATATTGCATGGACATGTATTTTTTTCAGATAATAAAATACGGTTGCTCTAAGGTGGACAAGTTAAACAATTATTAAAATTAGGGCCATTGCAAGTTTGACAAGAATAATGACATTTTGGTGTAATATTAATGACAGGAGGTGTACAATATGTTTTTAATATCAGATCACTAAAATAACCATTCATATAATCCTAAGTATATTTATCACCTCCAAGATAACAACGTAATGTTATTCCACTAAAATGAATTATTGGCTATTCCCATACAAATTTTCGAACCTATTATTAGGAAGAAGGGAAGTATATTTAAAATTATGCTGATCTTTCATTATTAATAGTTCCAATTTCATATTATATATAATGCCAATTTATTAATAACTATTGATATTCTACTCCAAGAACTTTTTTTATATCTTTAGGTGAGCTTTAATAAACACTTTTTGTTGGGAATGCATACGAATAGGTAGTAATTTCAAATCCATTTAGAATAGGCTATTAGTCTTATTAATATTTTAAATATAATTCCTTGTCTCCAATTATAAAATCATCATTATATTCTTTATTAATAGTAATCCTAAAAATAACCATTTCACGATGTTCCATTTACAATTATTTTATTTTGACCCATCCTTAAATAGTATATATTGGAAACTCTAAAATATTTGTTATTTCTGTTGTAAAACTAAATCCTCTATATTCTTAATCATATTAAGTTAATTGGTATGAGTATTCTTTGCATTAAGTTTCGAATTTACAATGTTGCAGAAATCGATTTAAACTACTTCTATCTTCGAACACATTCAATTCTCTTTCGCTAAATAATTGTGATAGCTTGCCTTAAAACTATGACAAAACCAAGGATCCCTAATCTTAATCTAAAATTAAATTTCCTCCAATAGTGTGCTTGACAGTATTAGGCAAAGTGGGTACATCGTTAACTATCAAAACTTTAGGATCTATATTCTATTCTAATAGGAGAAAAGTTATTGTTGTTGATTTTGACTAATAATTAAAATAAAAGTAAAATAATATCCATTTTCCTTCATAATTTACAAAATTAAAGTTGACAGAAATTTTTGATTTTAATGTTTAGAATGAATAATCAATCTCGTGCTTTATTGTTTAAGTTGAAGTCGATATCTCAATATAAAAAATTAGAATTGAACTTTTCGATTCAGAGTCTTATAGTGAATAAATAAATAAATATTTCTATTTGTCATTTTTTTATGATGAATAATCCGTTGCTTTGTAAAATTATTAATACTAATACCTAATGCGGCTCTAAAAGGTTGATACTTCATCCACATACCATACCCTATATTTTAATTTCCTTAAACTATTTGTTCATCTAATTCAATTTCAATGTCTTACATGGATTCCACCAGACTGTTTGTGTTTTGCGCAGAAATTAAATAGTTGCATTCACAATAAGCAAACCTAAGATAAATTAGTAAGTACTGAGGCAAGATCATCCAAGCGAAAATTACAATGATGTCACTTTTCATTTTATTTAATGTTATGAATTTGAATATTTAATAAATAAATTTTAAATACAATCTATTTAATAAATCATTGGATATTATACCAAAATTCATCTTTGCTACATGTTTCTTACTAATGTAAATTAAAAACCGATTAGCTTTGAATAGATCATATCATTAATTCATTAAATATTTTTATCTTGGGATAAACTTTTCCACATTTAATGATTAAATGCCAAAAATTTAATATAATGATATTAATAATAGTAAATTAAATTAACTTGTGGACCTGAAGTTGATATTTTTTTCATTAAAGGAGAAGATAATTTCATATTAAATAAACTTTTGCAAAAATAGCAATTCATAATAGATTGACTTTTTCAAAAATAATAATTCTAAATAGGATAATCATCAGAATCTCTAACATTTTCAATATATCTCTTTAACAATTGAGTAAGTTAAAAGGTATTCAAAAAAAATGGTTTGAGAAACAATTCTATACATTTATTGCAATTTAAAAGAATTCCAAATTCTATTGGATCGGATTATAGCTTTTTATGTAATCTATATTATCTTCTTATAATTAAGTTTTAGTCTGGATAGTCCATATTTTAAATTTTTATATCATTATAATTATTCCTTGCTAAATGACTATTAGTAGAATAATACATTAGATTTCATTTGCTAAGTAATCTAAATCAATGTATGTCAAGCTATGCAATATTAATAATCTAATTATTTTAGCAAAACTTTATTAAAAATTATTCTACAATTGATAAGAGGAAGTGCAATACTAACAAATACGAATAGATTCTTAGATCGTTTACTGGTAATTAAAAAAAATGTTTGAGATTTTGCACATCAGTTAATTTGATTTCATTTAATTAACAAGATAATCTTAAACTTTCCTTCATATCTTTTGAAACTTCTTTATTATTTAACTATCTTTCCTATGATGATTTTATTTATTAGTTTATTAATTGGTTCTTGTTGCTTTTCCAATAAAGTTTTAAAGAAAATGATTTTTCTGGCTGAGAGTTGTATTCTAGAGGGATAATGGATGGTTTGGCAGCACTAAATTATTATCTTTGAATAATTGTCAGTCTCTTTCCACTTTAGAGTACTTATATGTTAAAAAAATATTGAAATGATTCCCTAAAATTTAAATAAGCTCATGTATTTAGTGATTTAAAAGTAATCAAATTTTTAGATACACATTCAAATAAATTTATGAAACTGGGTGAGGTATGAGAAACCATTTTTCATGGTCATTCTATATACTATTCTTCTTCAGTCTCTTAAATTTTTTCTAAATAATAAAATATCATTGATAAATATGCATCGCTAATAATATGAGTTGTAGATTATCTGAATTGATACCTTAATTTTATATATATATAAATAATTTCCAATCTAATGATCGATACTGATCAACAAAATCAACCAACTAGAAGTGATCATTCTTAAGGAGCCTATTAAATAATAAAATCAAACTAAGTAGAACTATCTATTCAAAATAAAGTGATTGAACTGGATGTCGATTATCCGAAGGTGCCATAATCGAGAAATAAAGAGAAATTACTGTGTACAAAATGTAATGAAGTTGTTGAAACCTATATCTAATTTGAGATGGGTAGGTGTAGTTATCTAATGATGCTAATTTTAATAGTAGGCATAATAACAGCTGTCTTGGCCTTCTTGCCTTGTGTTCTAGATGGATGTAAGGATGCAAAGCACAGGTGTCCGAAATGCACCAAACTAATAGGAACAAAGCAGTTTATGTGCGGATGAATTAAATAATATACTATATTTAACTCAATAATTAGCAAAGATAATGCCCTGTTGTCTGATTCTTAATGTTGGATTGAATTAAGTTTAAAAAAATAGAATCTTCTACATCTTCATTCGATACTAATTATAATTAATTTTATTTTGGAAATTAATCATATCAGTTTGATAGCAATTAGGTGTAAAAATAATATTACAAATGCCTATCATCTTTTAAATTTCCTATTTCGTTTACTTGAATTCAAGGTGAATTTATAATTAAAATAAAGTCAACTGTTAAGTTTTTAAATCTAAAACCAAAATAGTAGTACTTATTACTACTATTATAATTTTTATTATATTAATTAATACTAATAATAATATATGTCAAATATTAATATCTGATTGCTCATGCCCTTGACTCTCTAATATTATTGCTACTAACCTCATAAACGTTTCTAACTCTATTTCAAATTCATTGTACTTGTCCTCTTGCAAATGCTTTAAATAGCTTTGAAGTATTTTTTCTAAATAACTCCATATAATTACCTTCGATATCAAAACCCATGCTCTAAAAGATGGCTTTGCTATTAATTAAAGTAATTTTATGTTCCTGATTGGAGGCAGACTCAAATTATAAAGCCAAGTCTTCCATCTCCTATTTAGAATACATTTCATCTAATGGGATGTGAATGGCTCTATAAATGATTCTCTCCTTTCTAGCCAACTCCATAGACTCCTTAAGAACATTGGTAGGGTCTTACAATTCAACTTTAGGAATATCAGGCAACACGTAAGGATCCATGAAATGCTTCTCTCTTTCCTCTTTCACTGTATAAGGATCCTCTACTTCAGAATACACTCCAGTTTTTGGCATGTCATCCACCCATTCTCCAACAAACACTTGATTTTTTGTGGCAAAGAAGTAAGATCCTTAGCCTTCCTGAATAATGATAATGTATTTTTATTACTCTCTTATCGTTTACCCAATAGCCCTCAAAATGATCACCATTTCTTTTAGTTAAGACTCCATAACCACTTCTTAAGCCTTTAAACCATGACCCCTCGTAAACATCGCCATTGGCATAAATCATACGTCCTTCTCCATGCGATTTATCATCCTACCATACACCATCATATCTATTTCCATTCTAATAAAACATAGTTCCTTTGCCTGTTTTCTTGTCATTCACCCAATCTCCTGTATATTCTCTTCTCATTCTAGAATCATAAATTTGAATGTCTATACTTATTCTTTCCTTCGCTCACCCAATATGTACCTTATCCATTTCTTTGATTATCATACCATCCACCTTCATATTTATCACCATTTCCATAATATTATACACCAAAGCCACACTTTTTGTTTTGATTCCAATCACCAACATATTTTTAGTCAGCCACCCATCTCTCTTATTTTTAAGTTCCATCTTCATTCTTTGTTTAACTTTTTACCCAATAAATTGCTTTGTGTAATCCATTTTTCTCTGCCTTTTAATCATTAATCTACCATTATCGAGCAACTTTCATTGAATTATTCTTTACTGATTATTTCTACTACGATTATGAATAGTAACTGGCGTCTTAATACATAATTTAAAATTAATAATAAAATTAAGCCAATCCTCAATCATAATACCAATAATATGTCCATCCTTTAAGGAGTAATCAATAAATATGAAACTTATATTGTTATACATAATTATTAATCAATTCTTAATATTTGATATATATATTTTAGAAAGTTCATTAATCACTTATTGGTTAGTATTCAAAGTCACCCATTATTCTTGCATTCTTATGATATCTTAATTTATACTGTTGCTAATCATTTTTAAGGGTTTCTAGTGAATAAAGGGGAATTCTCCAGTTTTAGCATCCTTCAATGAACGGAGGGCCCATACTTAAGGTTTTATGATAATTTGGATATAAATAAAAAGATTTTTAAACCAAAATAAAATCTTGTGCGTAGTATGAGCACTCTTAAAGTGTTAAGTGATGCAGTATTTGATAAGAATGAGAAGCTAGAGATAGAAAAGGAAAACTCCTTTACTTAATGTGAACCTCATTATATGGCAGAGAATGAATAAGTAAGACATGATGCATATTTTTGAATTAGGAGGAAGAATTATAGGAGGGGATTCAATTGCCTGTTTATTCACCTTAGTAGTTTTCACATTTCAAAAGACCAAAGATTAGTTTTGATGAATTCAATCTCGATGAAGATCCCAAAAAAAAAGTATGCTCTTAATAGGAATCTATAACAGCTGAGCAAACAGACGTATAACCAATGGGAGATTTGGAAAGATTGGCTGACATGCTCTAACGTGAAAATCAAAAGAAATATTCATACCCCAAGAATTTGCCTGCTCCCTCTAACGTCGATAATCATTTCGGCGAATTGGCTTTGCGATTCGCACCTTCCCAAAGATAGGATGAGTTTGTATCAAACTATGTGAAGGGAGATGATTTGTTGAGAATCAAGGTAGGATTGTGTGATGATATCCTTAATGATGAAGAAACATTAAAGTTCGAAGATTGGGTTGAACAATTATGCACTTCAACCAATCATGAGTCACTCAAGGAAATGGCAAGAAAATAAAAGGTCAAGCGATATTTGGATAAGAAGCATAATCGAACTTACGAAAAGAAAGTTCATTATCATATCAGATAAAAGGTTGCTGAAGAGAGATTAAGAGTCAAGGGTAGATTTGTAACATGGGGACAAGTAATACAAGTTTGTTGATATTTCTATAGGCATTAAAGATGTTGGATGAGAAGGACACCAAGAAATCATGGAGTTACAATGACTATACTAAAATCAAGGGTTTACTGAACGAAAAGTTTGGAGCTGTGAAAAGTGAAAAGTCATTGAGATTCTGATTGTTTACAACACTTGCGTATATTAATATATTATATCGTTAAATTCATTTATAATAAAATAGTGATATTGTATTCGAAATTCATACTTGAAAAGTGATGTAAATAGAATATTATTCATACTCATGCTCCTCCCAAATATATTTTGAAATAAATAAATTGCCTATTCTATCTCTAAATCTCATAGTTATATTGGTTTATGAATTAAAAGGGTTTACTTCAAAATTCATCTTCATTGGATAATAGAACTAGAATTTATTAGAATTCTAAAAGCATTATTGTATTTAAATTAACATTTTTGAGGAGAAGTAGATATAATTTTGAGAAAGATAAAAATGATGAATGAAATCAATTCGAGAATAAATGAGATTTTGAAAATGAAGATTAAATATATTCTATTAGAATATGCGTCACTTGAATTATAATGGTTTTGATGGGTAGGTATAAAATAATAAAAAATAATTATAAAAATAATAATGATAAATTATTAAATATAAAAATTAGAAGATGTAAGGGGGTAGGTGAAAATATTTTAGTGTATTTGGACTTATGGGTGTAAGTGCAGATGAGAATATAATAATTATTTTAATACCTTGAATGAAGGACAGCTCTGTCTTAAACTTACCCTCTTATTCATCTCATCCTTAGGAAAATCAAAATGGCTAATAAAATGAAATTAGTGAGACCAATAGCAGTCAAAGAACAAACAACCGAAGTGAAATGGGTTTTAGTTAATAAGTAAGGATTGGTGTAATGACTTCTAGGAAGGAAGCAAGAATACAGAAGGCACAAAAAAGAAAATCAACAAAGAATAAGGTTAAAATGGGATAAAAAATTAAGGCCATTGGACTAATCAGGAACATCAAATATACGTGGAGTTCTTGGAGTAGCATCATTGCACATCGATGCAGAGTCAATAAAATAGAAAGAATAACAAAATCTTCAAACTTATGTCACAAACAATAGGAACTAGATCTCCATCCTAGTGCAGGTAAAATAACATAATAAGTAGATCGCACCACCAGAAATTCAACCCTTATACAGCAGCAGGGTAAAAAAGGAACAAGAGAAATCGCAGGAGATTAAGCAATTAAAATGTAGAAGGGGAGAACTTCCATAATATGACAACAAAACCCATGATATAATTTAATACTCCAACGGTGAAACCCATTTTAGGTATGATTGATGAATAATACTCGAATAGATCAATGTTATGATGAGTGCGATGGTTACATCTCAAACTATGAGGATTCACGTCCTTAGTTACAAAATTATTGTGGCAACTCCAACTTCGATTACAAATACGGGAATAGATGGGATTGTGATTCAGATCTTTATTGACTGGAGTTATCATATTCGATTTGTTTATAAAATTATAATAAAAAAACAATGTAATCATTCATCTGTAGTATCAGTTTAATCATTGCAACAGCAATACTCTGAAATCACATCTCCGCATGCAGATTCTGCTTCTTAGAGTTCCATTTCATCAAGACCTTCTTGCAAGAACAAGTGCAAAAATGCTCGCTTTTAGAAAAGTGTCCTGTATTGTTGTTACAATAAATTAAGTTTATTTCCCATAGCAGTATGATGATTGATTGAAAAAGCCATTGGATTGCATTATTTTTGTTTAGCTGGACAAATGCTGTAGGTGATAGGATCAGCAATCCACTTAACGAATTGTATTTCATCTGAACTTAGAGTCTACTTGAATTCTTACTGGACTGAAAATATGTCAGTATCCCCATAGATCATGATTTGTTGGGCTAAAAACAAACCCTAAGACATGGACATCGAGAATGTTTGGTTTCGTTTAGAATAGATCTCTTTACTCATTTGCAATAGAGTTGGCGAATTGATATACGAAAATAGAGGAGCTAGTGACACAGTATAGCAATGCAATTTGGGAAAAGGAGTGATGTTGGTTTAGATCTTATAAAAGTTTGTATTGGAGTAACAATTGTGACGAAACGATTTGTAGATCCCATCCATTGCAAAAGCTAATAATTGATTGTACGTTTCATAATTTTGATCGTAGATGAACATATTCTCTGTCATTTATTGTAAGGCATCATTATCAAAGTAGAATCCCATATTGTAATTGTAATTTAGATGCATCAAACCAAGTAGACAATTATAGGGATAAATCACACTATTTTCATATTTTGATGGGTAAATAGAAATGTTGATTTAGGAGCAATCAAAAAAGTTATCGCTTGTATAATATACTAATTTGGCTCCAATTCCAGATCCAGTTCCACCAGTAATTGAATGAACTAATTACACTGCTTAAATTCCATCGCATTACTCTTACTCTTTCCTTACCTTTTCCACAATTTCATCAAATAAATCATTCGAACCATAATAACCACTAGCAAATGTCAAACATTTACTACTCTTTCCACTTACAAAATTATTTGGATCATAATATGAGAAATTCTTATCTCCTCTAATCTTATCCAGCGTATTCTCCTCACTATCTACAAGTATTGCTCTTGGTATCCCTTTCCGAAAAAACTTTTAATCCAAATTCTCACCACAATCGTCTATCATTTGATTCCATATTGCATTCCCTATTTGATTTCCACTTTAACCCACTTAAATTGTAATTATTTATTTCATTAATTCATATAATAATTAAACTCATGCACGCATTATCTATATTCAAGCAAAAATAAGAATAGGAGATCTAGAGGGCTCGTTTATATGAGCAATCCCTAAAAATGAAGGAATTACAAAAAAGTTAAATCCTCTTGAAATCTTGTGAAAGGATGCAAATGTTATCCGATAGATAAATGCAAAAATTGAGATAAAGTCAGCTTTCTGTTGTCAAACATGAATAGAACCATCTACGATTCAAATCATTAGAAAGAGATGCCATTCATATTCACACTCGGTACATAACTCTTCTAAGAATTAAGTCCAAAAATTGAACTAGAAAAGGATGCTTACGATGAATGGGTTAAGACACAAAGGAAAATGCAATCATAAGAGGAGAGCCAAAAATTGGATAAATTTTAAGCCAAAATATCAAAGGCCAATGAAATAAAACTGATGTAAGAGGAGGAACTATCAAGCAAATAGAAGCTGAGAATTCAAACCTAACTGATTAAGGAATCAATCCATAATGAGCAATAACTTAAATTACAAGTATATAAAAATTATCATGTAGAAAATTTAAAAATAAGAATATGCTAAATTACAACACTTATGAATATTTATATAATTAATTATTTATTTAATTAATTGTAAATAATGTCAAAAATCGATCCACTGCTGAAGCTTAGATAAAAACAACAACGAGAGATGCAGCATCTCATAGAATATGAAAAATAATTAAGAGATAAGGAAATTAGAAATTCACAACTGCTATTGAAAAAAAAAGAAAAGTTCTAAGACATATCTATGAAGCAATTGAAATTCAAAGAAGATTTAAAATAAAAGGCTGAGCAAAAGAGAATTGAATTTGAAAGGAATTTAAGTCAAGCAAGATTGATTGAATAAGAATAATTGAAAGTAAAGAAATATTTCATAATTGCAGCAATCACAATTTCATGTTAATAAAACAATTGAAATGGTAACTAAATTTGAAAATGAATACCAAAAAGAACAATTAGATTTTTTAAATCAAAAAAAATCGGAGCACAACCATTAAATTGAGTACGTTTTGGAAAATAAGAAAAAAATAGAAAACAGAAAATTGAAAGAGTTAAGTCAATCTTTAGATGCAAAATTCAAATCCTCTTAAGAAGTATATGCCTCATTGATATTCAATAGTTATAAGACAATTTGAATAAGCAATTAAGTGACAGATAGAAATAGGAATAATAAAAATTACAAACTTATTTTAAGTAGGTTGAAGAATAACAATAAAATCTATAAAAAGAAAGAATGAAAAAAGGAGAAATGTTTGAAGAAAAACTAGATAAAGTAGAAAAATTAAAATAAGAGAAAGAAAAAGAATTGAAAGAAAGACAAAGACTTCGATTAGAGGCTGAAAAATAAAAAGAAATGTTATCTAAGGAATTTTAAGAAGAAATTGTGGTAAATAATTAAAAAATAAATTTAAGAAAATGTAAAAGTCTAATTTTCGCAAACAGTTGCTAAGTTGAACGTGAATTTCATAAATATATATATACTCAAAAAAATAATATTATAAATTATATGTCAATTAGAAGATCAATAATTCAAAAAAAAGACTTAAGAAATGACTTCAAAAAGCAGGAATAAAATCTACCAGATTTATCAGATAAGTTTAGAAAGGTATTTGAAATTTGTGGGGATGAAATTATTTCATGTCTTACTAAAAAAGAATAAATTTAATTGCGATCAGGTTGATTAGAATTATATATATTCAAGTTTGTAGAATTTCATTTTATATGGTATAAAGTTATTAAGTATGGAATATGATGATTTTTGATAGTGATTAAATTAGCCAAGCCACAACAAATGATTCAAATATGAAGGAAAGCTTTTTAAAAAACTCTTTTTATTCAAAAGTTGGAAAATCAAGACCATCTACTTAAGAAACAGTTTAAAAAGAATAATGGTTGATTAAACCCGCGAATTATAATCCACCTTAAAAAAAGTTAATATTTTTAAAAAATAAAAACAAGATTGAAGACAATATCCTTGTATTATTTTAAATTTAAAATAGTCGGATGAAGATCTCAAATAAACTATCACAGTTTGGACTCTTAATTTAAATAGTCTTGAAAAATAGATAAATCTTGCAAAAAATCAAACTGACAGTTTTATTTAGGAAATTACATTGTGGACAGATCATATTAATTTATTATAAGAATTTTAAAAAGAGTATCAACTTGAGCATGTTGGAAAGATACTATAAATATTAAAATAGAAATCCATTTTAGATGTAGGTTTGGAAAGGAAAAGAAGAATATTATAAGATATCCTTAATTCATTATTAAATGATTTTGCATTAAAGAAGCAATATTCAATTGATATTCAGTCGTTAAAACCTGTTTGCTAAAGTTTGTTGCAGGTTAAGTTGGCAGACTTCTATTAAGAGATTCCAAATCAATTATGGTCTAAAATAGATTAAATTTAAAATCGCTTTGATAAAATTTTTAATATAAGAAAGGAGTTCTTCTTTATGAAATTATTTTAGATAACCTAAAAAATATTCTCGATCAATTTAAGTTGGATAGTTGGTTTTTCAAACTATGAATTGACTCTTAATTTGTTAGAGTAATTTTAATAGTTTTTAGTCTCATTGGTAATTGTTTTGTTTTCTATCATAAGATATAAAGACACTCTTTTGGGGAGAAGAAGTTTAATTAAAATTAACCTCAACATTCTTAAAATGAACTTTATTTTTAGAACTATAAAAAGTCTATCGATGACATCATGAAAATGCTCAAACTTAATAAAAAGCTTTATGACAACTAAAAGGAAAATCTCTAAGTCTAAGCCCTGTTACAAGGTTATAAATAATAAACTTTTGATTAGTTTCAAGAAAAGCAATAATGGGCATAGATTTATGTATTATCATACCTAATATTATTAGAAAACATGGAAAGAGAAGTATTAAAACATTAAGAAATAACCTTAAGGTGAACCAGAATCATAAGAAGGGATTAGTTTCGGATTTTTTTAGACTAAAATGAGTTGGAGTATATAATGACTATATTTCTACATTAAAATTATTCAAAATCACTATTTCCTTTACACTGAACTGAGGGGCCTAACCTTTGACAATATTCTATTTTGAGATTCTATAACGACTCTGGTTTAATTGTATTTTCTACTTTCCATATTATATTTTTATTGAGCATCATCACGTTCTTAATGAAATCTAAAAAGTTGAAAATATACCTCTTTAAACCTGAGCTATTTGTTATTTGAATTTATCTGAATTTACAGTTATTTAATCTTGAAGTTCTTTGATCATTTCTCTTAATTTATTTGCATATGCCCTTACAGTACTAAAATCCATGGACATAAAGTTTATAGAATCCAATTAATTGTAATCAATTTCTAAGATAATCTAACTTTATGATTATCTTAATTATTTGGTAGCTGTTTTAATTGTTTTTTCTATAGTTGATGCCTTTTTAGTCAAGGTAGCTGTAACACTATTAGTTTCTAGAAAATGAAATAAGCTGTATATACTAAAGATTATACTTTTTATGTTTGACTTTATTTGGCAGATTAGGTTTGTCTTATTTAGGGATACTAAACGACTTTAATCCTCCACTATATCCTCCTGTTTCAATTTTATCAATTACTTTTCCTTGTTTGGTAATAATATCGTATAAATCTAATAATTCTTCAACAATTTCATTAATTTAGGATCTATAAAATATACAAGAGGATACTTCTTTTTCTCTCTGTATTTCTTGAATTAAATAAGAAAGTTTTCAATTTCTTAGACTTTAGCGCTTAGCTTTTACTCATACTAAAATTTATAATGATCCAATGATTTATAATATTCAGCTTTAATAATCTCTAGACCTTTATTAAATTCCTTTTCAATTTCTGTTTTGATTTACTTTTTCAATTCTTGAAGCTTTTGATTTTCAACATTTTTTGTCTAAGCTGTTTAAGGAAGATTGAGAATAGAAGCAACTTTGTCTTCTAGTAGGTTTTTAGATTCATCTTGTAATTTTTTAATAAATTAATCTCTATCTTAAGATAACAATCGAATTGCATCATCTCCACTCATTTTAGACAATTATAATTAGTCTTTCAATTTTTTATTAATTTCTTTTTGTTCCAAGACTTGTTATTAATATCTTTCCAATTTAGTATGGGTATCCTTTTTCAAATCTTCAATATCCTTCTTTAATTGCGCATTTTCATAATAATATTCTTCGATTTATTATGACAAACTGACATTTTTTAATAAAGCTTCTTATTGGTTTTTGAAGATGGTGACATCCTTTGCATTTTTAGCAGAGAGCCTTTCTAAGTCAATATCCAACCCTAAAAGTCTTTGTAACTCTAGAAATCTCTTCTTTCTATCAGCATTTAATTATTCAACTTTAATTTTATATTCTTCAATTTCATCTTTCAATTTCTTGATTTCTTTCTCTTATTATATGTTAACCTAAGAATCAAAGCCTAACATAGATTATTATTTTTTAATCGTAGCCTATATATTTTTCGTTCGATCTAAATATTGAAGTGTCAATAAACATTCCTCATAATTTGATTAACTAGGATTAATTGTTCCAATTAACACAACCTGTGTGTTATTTTCAATTATTAATGCTGAGGTTAATTTGGATTCTTTTTTTGGTAATATTTTATTTGGATTTTGATTGAAAGAATTTAAGCAGCGATTAAGTACTTAATGACTAGCAGTAATCAAGATAGCTTCCTAAAATTTTTCGCCTTCAGTTATATTTTTTGCGACCCTTTCAGATCCTGCTAAATCTACAAACTATAACTTAGTATTGGAATTGATCTCCAATGTGAGTATAATATGAGTTCTCATTTATCTTTTGATATCAGTGCTTCTTAGAATTTTGATCATATCCCAAAAATCATTGATTAACAATATTTATCGCTTTGTGAATTCCTCTGTGATCAAATTTGTATTTAAATCTCTTATTTAATTCACATAGATCTCTTGAAATGACACCTAAACATTCAATCCTTTTTGGAGTATCTATTAAATCAATAGAGGAACGATTCCTGGATGTTGAACATTTCCAAATAAGGAGTAACTTTTACCACCACCGGATTGTCCATAAGATATTATACATCCATTCTTATTCTCATAATCAAAATTAAAGACACTTTCGAACAATTCCTATTATGTTGAGGAGGATGGGAAAATCTTGTCATAACGATATTATTGCCATTCAGCCTATTTATATGTTGGATCCTGCCATTATTTTCATTACAAATACCTTAATAGAGATAACATTCTAATCTATACTTAGCATAGATTGATCATATTCAATTGGTCTCACTCTCAAATAAACTTTATAATTATTCATATAAATCAGTATATACCAAACTCTCCTGGTATTTAATATTTCCCCGGTCCTGGTGTACTGCTCTATTTACTGCTAAATCTCTCCTCCTTCGAGAACTTGGGTACATAGCAATTTGACCAATTTGAATTCACATAACTTGCAGACAACTCTGTTTTCGGTCTATATTATTATGGACCTGGAATGCAATCAGGCGTTCGGCTAGTTCTTCCTGATACTGGATGGTAAATTACTGATTAAGAGTGCTCCTTATACTAAATATCATATTTTCCTGGACCTGGAGAACATGTTTCATCCTCTACTATTTGTTATTTCATATACTCATTGCAATTTTTTGACCAAAATGTGGTATTCTTTCTTTTTTAATTATGCTAGATGCAATATTATATTTCCCAACAGATGGCATATCATTCTTTTGTTTAAAATACGTTCTCCCAATACCCATTGTGTGTTTTTGTAAATTTGATGATGTTTTCTCTTTCTCTAATTTATATGAACCAGGACCTGGAGTTTTATCACTCAATTTTGAGAAATCTACTTTTGTTCCCAGTCCAAAAGAAACTCCTTTATTGGGAGAACCAATTGTGCCTTTTATCTCATAAAATGAAGTTGAATTTTATTCATGCTTAACTTTATAATTGAACCGAGGAGATTTCGAAAATGAATAAAGCTATTTGCTAGTTGAATTATTAAGTGGATTCATTTTCACTTATTTGAAATTCTCATCTGTTTTGCTATTAAGCATTTTTATATTCAAATAAAATTATTTAATAAATTATATAATACAGAATATTATATTTGATGACAAAGAAGTCAAATCAATCATATTTATTTAATTTCCTATTTACAATTTTTCATTTTGTTTCATAATATTCTGTATTTCCTTTTATTTGCAATAGAAATAGATTAAATATTGGTTTCCAAAAGTTTATTGAAAACTGAATACAAAGTTTGTATTATTTTTATTTCAGATAAATTTTGATAAATGTATTGTTAGTACTAAATTATCAGGTTAATCACACATAATTTAAAGATATCTAATTTTTTAAGAATTTTTTATCCTGATTTAATATGCATTCATAAAAAGCTTATTAGAAAAGACTGAATAAGGTAAAGACCTAAATAATATGGCAGTGATTATTCTTTAATGCATATTACAAATTTCAATATATTGAATAGGTTAGATTTCAAACGGATTTTACACAAGATACATGAATAAACTAGATAATGTCATCGAATGTCGTTAGTCTAGAATTTCACCGATTGGGGAGGTTGAATGATTATATATATAAATTGGATAATTTGCTAATTCATTTTATAAAGTATTCGTTTTTAAGGAGAATCGAAAAGCATTAATATTTATATATTATGAAGACAATTCTGCTTATTTTATTGAGTGTGCAGATCTTGCTGGCTCAGGATCCATGGGTAACCCATTACACAGCATTTACATCAGCAGAAATAAATGATTTGGATGGTAAAGAGTGATAATTATGCTTAGGTTGGGTTGTAAAGAAGGCATTTAAGGGAAACACCTTTAGCAAATGTGACAAAGTGAGTTTGGTTGGTGGTTATGGCGCATTTGGAAAAGGGGCAACAGCATTAAAATAATTGAATCTTCCTCCCCATTATAAATTAAAGATTAATGTGCAGTTATGGAAGTAAATTTAATTTATATAATTAAACCTCTAGAATTGACAGTTGGGATAATGAAATTATGTTTGTTTTGGTTGATGGTTTCATATGGCAAGCTAAATGGCATTATTCAGAAGGAGCAAATTTATGTGGTGCAGCAAATGACTGGAAAGAAGCCTTTTACAACATCGAATTTGAAGTTCCACACAATTCACCAACAGTAAGTATAGTTTTTGACCTCAAATTTGGATGAAGATGCTTTGAATGTAAAATTCACTTTATAAAATAGGAATCTTGGGCATTCAGAGATTTCAAATTGTCATTCCAAAGATGTCATTCAGAATGTGCAGTTTGTGGAGATAATAAGCCAGACAATTGTTTCTTTTGGACAAATGTAGCTACTAATTGGAATAAATAAATTTCATTAGAAGGATGGACATTGGATGGAGAAGGAAAAGCTGAATCAAATGAATGTGCAGGAGTACAACTCTTTGGTGGTTTTGGGAAATTAGGAAGAAAGGCAAATTTGTGGAAGAGATTCACAAATTTACCACCTCACTATTAAGTCAAGGTGAAAGTTTAAATGTGGAAGATTGATTCTTGGGATAACGAGTTGTTCTTAATGGAAATTGATGACTAAGAGAAATTCAGACAAGCATTTGCTTATAATGAAGGAGTAGATCTCTGTGGTGTTGATACAGGTGCTAAATAAGGAGAAGGATGGGCTGAAAAGATAGTTAATATTGAAATTAATGTCCCTCACAAATTCCCTGAAGTCAAAGTTTTAATGAAATCTACATTGGATGAACCACCTGAGAATGAATCATGGGGAGTCAGAGACTTCTAATTATTTGCTGCCCAATGTTTCAAAGGATGTACCGGTTGTACTGGACCAGCTAAATCTGATTGTACTTCATGTGGATAAGGTTTCGATCTTGTCAATGGTGAATGCAAAGAAGGAAGTAATTAAATAGATATATAAATTGATTAGTTAAATGGATGACATTGAACAGATTCTTCTTTAATGATGAATAAGATTTCTAAGGATTGTATGATTGGGTTCCATCAAATGTATTCTAAAATTAAAATCCATTTTCAACATGTGGATAAAAGAAATTGTTCGGTGGTTATCAAAGATTTGGTGCCAAGGGTAAGGCTGAGAGAAACTTCAATCTTCCCAAACATTCAAGACTCAGAATACAATTCTAATTCTGGAAGATAGATTCATGGGATGATGAGAAATTCTAACTCTTCGTTGATGGCAAGGTTGTCTTTGAAAGATCATTCGGATTCAGTACTCCAGGACAAGCCAAAATTTGCGGAGCTCCTTAAAGCACTTGGATGACTTATTTCTTCAATGTTGATGTCATTCTTGAACACACTAATCCTACTGCAAATGTTGTCTTGAGTTCTACATTAGATTAAGCTGCTGATGATGAATCATGGGGTTTCAGAGAATTCTAAATCCTTTATGAATTAAAAGAAGATTGTGTTGAATTGTATACTGAATGTGGATTCAAGGGAACCAAATTTGATGTCTGCAGAGACACTCCATCCCTTGCTAGAGTAATCATCCATTTCAATATCTTTTTAGGAAAAGATCAGTCAAGTTAAATCAATCAAGATTCCTCCCGGAGTTGTCGTCTAAGGTTTTGATGAAGAGGTTTACAAAGGAAAGACTGTGAAGTTTTCATAAAGTTAAGATTGCTTAGAAGAAATCTAATTTTCTTTCATCCAAAAAAAGTTTGAAATCATCTAAGCTGATGATTCTGTCCTTGCTGCAAATTTAAGACGCATCAGATTTGATTGATTTTATAATCATAAGACATAATTATTTCTTGCAAAAGTCGTTCGCTTTATATTTATTATTATTTTATTTATATGTAAATTGATTAAAGTGTAATAGTTGATGGATAAAATATTTAACAGCTCTCTGATATCTCCAAATGTCTGCTAGCTATTCCTGATGTAATTAATATCAATGTAAACTATTTTTGCATCTTATTTAGCTTACTTTCCTAAACATCTCCTAATTTACTTATTCTGCCAAATTAAATAACTAAATAAATTCCGACATCAAATTGTAACTAAATATAACCATATTTCAAGTAATAACTCATTAACTTTGACTGAATCACAAAAAAATTATTATTCCGTTTTCAAACAACAACTAAATGCAGAAAGTCAATTATACAATAATTTACAGTTCACTTGGTTGTAATCAAATAAAAAATCTTAATGTAATTTTAGCTTCTTAATTTAAGCTCAGCACCCAAATCAATCTAAACTGATAAGTAAAAAGAAATGGTAAATTGTAGCCGAAATTCTTAAATTGGAATAAAATTTGTATTAAATTGATTTCCTATATAGAAAAAATCTGATGGACTCTTGTCTAATCAAATATTCAATAGCAAAATATAATCAGCTCCTTTGACAGCTCCATTCTCTGCTCGCAACTCCATTATAATGTGTTAAAGTGAAATCTAATCATCAAATGATTAAAAAATGAATGATCAATCTGATCAATACGACAAATATAGGTGGATCCATTAAGTACCATAAAATATCATTAATAAAAATTATAAAACACCTTCTACTCAAAAAGGATAGAAACAAAGATATTTTGTATAAGACTACTCTTAATTACACCCTAATCCATATTACGATCCAATATACATTTAAAACCAGTTTCAAACTAATAGCTAAATAAATACAGATATCAAATATTAAAAAAATAAAAGCAGGAACTTAAATCAGAATGTTTATTAAAGCTAAAATGCTAATCAAAACTCTGGTTTTAAATTATTAACCAAATAGCAAAAAGCATCAACAATTAGTAATAAGCCAAAAGATGGTCACGTTATCATTACTTTACCTTAAACTAAAAAGAAGTTCGATAGTGTCTCTTAAAAATAGAGGTAGCAAACTAAAAGTTTAGATTAAATTAAAATAAATGATCATTTCAAAAGATTACTACAAACTTAAGAGTCAAGAGAGTTATATTCAAAACCATTCTTTTATTCTTAATATTCAAAAATATTGAAGATTCCAGCATAATCCTCTTCAGAGAAATATATATAAACTTTATACAAGCCTGTTACCAAATAGAGGATTAAATAGAGAGGAGATTTATCTCTAGAATAGAATCAAAATTACTCTTATGATCACCCTCAATAATAATATTATTCAGATGATAGTTTTGAGGGTAAGGCCTAAAACGTCAAGAAGGTAGACCTATATGAATTGGCTTAAGAGAGGTAATCAAATCGAGATTAGTCGTAAAATAACTCAAATTTGAATTCACAGGAAAATTGTAAGAATTAATACTAGGAGAGTCCTCCATAGAACTCTCAGTATTATTAAATGGCTCTTTAATCCAGTTAATATTATTAAAATTCTCATGATATAGAAGAATAAAATCGAGATTCGAATATTTAAGAGTACTCAAACTTTCATTATTTCTAAGATAATAATCAATTTTCATAAAATCCTTTTGCTCAAACATCAAAGAAACCAATTTAAATTAAATTAAATATAAAGGAATTTATTGCCTCCGAATAGCAATAGAAATCCTCTCCTATGTCTTGTATTTAATTTATTTATACTAGCTAATTTGACTTAACAAAAAATAAACAACTAAAAAACTCATAGATGACGTATATGCTTAATGAGATAATAAAGTAGATATTATAAATTATTGTTTATATACTATATCCAAGATTTTACTATTAATATAAATATTATTTTTACAATTCTAAATAGATATCACACCATATCAACAAGCAAATTGCTTAAAATAAGAATAGAGGCTATTAGGTATATATGAATTCACAGAATTAGTTAAATAGATTAGAATAGATGTAAACTTAGAGTCTTAGGTTGTCCTGATGATGATACAAGGGGAAATGAAGTAAATAATATATATATGTGTGTTGCTTACAACCTTTGAAGTGGAGGTCCTTATATTTATGTTAATTATAAGTTCATTAGTTTAATATTAAATTACGATAATTTTATTGAATTAAAATTATAATTCAATCAGTAAAATATATAAAGTTCATGTATGAAAATAAGTATTCTGGCAAAAATAATCATGAATTTAGTATCTATTGGACATTAAATTACCCTGAATGTTCATCTTGTTGATTCAATTTCACTTTTTTCATCACGGAAGAGCTATCTTCTTATTTTTGTTCTTTTTGTATCTGTGGCTGTCTGTAGAGTTCTTTATGGTAAGCATCAAGTTATTTCATAAAGCCCATATTGGGTTGGGCAATTCTTCGCTTCGATTGAAGGAGTTTTAGAGCTTGGAGAGGGGTCATTTATAGATATTTTATTAAATAAGCAATAACAAAGGAAGCAGACCTAGATTTACCAGCAAAACTTTAAATACATATGTAAAATACCAATGAATTAGTATATTTTACTTGTTTTTGATAGCAGAATGAATGAATTCATTAGCCATCTCAAACTTGGACTTGATTTCTTAATCTACACTGTCGTTGATATTAATGAGAAGAGATTTAAAATCTTCTGCCTAATATGGGAATATTGGCATTTCACACACACTTAAAATATGGGTTATTTAAGCTGTAATTTAAACATTTTATATACTTTCATAGAGTTTATTTTTATTCAAAACTGTTCCCAAACATCCTATATATAGATTTGGTATGACCAAATTTGGCGAACTATCTTCTTTCAGTTGTTTTACAACTAAAAATACCTTAACTTTCTCTAGAATTGCTTTGACATTCAACTCTTCTGGAAAATCCGCCATTTCATCGCGAGCATCGAAATGTTCCATTGAACTTTTCATTGAATAATGTTTAAGATTTTTCTTAATTTATGAAATTTAATTAATTAGTTAGAAGAAAATATATATTTCATTTTTGAATCATTTTATTCTATCTTTCAATGATTCATTTATTTTCTCAAAATATTGTTATATAGAATATTGATTATCTGAGTTTTAATTGATAAAATTATGTCTTAATAAGATAGAGAGTTTTATCCTGCTTGCTATTAATCGATATCAAAATGCAAACTATCAAAAACTGAGATATATTACATCATCATTAAGATCAGAATGAATTAAGGATTCCTCATTTATATTGATTCATATAAATCATTTTCCAAAATTCCGATAAAATGATTAATCAGGAATCAACTATTTTACAATACACTATAAAATTGGAGTTCTGAATTATTACTTATAAAATCCCTTTTATATGGTAAATATTGTGTTCTTTATTAGATATTTAATTGGTCAATAAAATGGCATGGTTGTTATTCTTGGGAGTGGGATGGAAAAAGCAAAAATTTGATATATTGAGGCTGATTATGTTCATCTACATTTTTTCATTAGAATAAAGTTATATTTGAAGAAAATAATGTTTAAATTTTATTTTGATTGAATCAAATTATCAAATATAAAAAATAAAATTAATTGCAAACCTTAATAAATATAAATAGGGTGAATTAATTGTTTGAACCTTTTGATGGATTCAATAATCATACTTATGAAAATATAATATAAAAGTAATCCAAAAATATAATAATAATTAAATAAAATTCATCTTTTAGTATAAGTGCTAGTAAAGATAAGATATGATTAGTTTACTTGTGTCTAAGAGTGCCAAGTCCTGCTTATTGAATGACTTTATTAGTTCTATCGAGCTTCTCCGATTTCTACTTGTTAAAGAGGGGTTTTTGCTGCATTGTTGCTGAATCAATGGTGTATTGTTTCTTCAAATGAGGAGTTTAATGATGTTGTGTATATTGAGTAGTCACTTCTGGTGAGAACTAGGGAAATCTAAAAACTCAATGAATGATACTCAAACAATTATTTTTTGTCTGGAACAAAACTGTGAGTGAGAGCATATCTATCAACACTCATTTATTGACGTAGTTATCCCAACATGGTTTTAGGAATGGCAACAATTTCATATTCATCCATATCAATCTAATTGAAATCTGGTTGTATTCTTAATTGCAGTTGTTTGAGTGAGTTGTTGGGATCATCAAATTGAGGTTATTACTTAGATGCAATTTAAGTAGATTTGATCACTTAATTCCCAGCATTAGAAAATTTTTAGGAATATTTGGTTGAGTTTTTTTATTTGGGAGATACCTGAATGTTGGTAAAGACATGAGATTTGGATTCTCTGATTCCTTCAGTGTAGAGACTTGTTTATTTTTTTGTAGGGGAGGAATCTTCATTTTCCTAATAATACTGATTGCTTTTGACAATCGGTAAGGAGGGTTTATTCACCATGGCTATGACTCCGTCTTTATTCATCACTGTCATCTTTCCCTTAAATCGAGATTTAAAATCCATTAATCAATATATTTTAATAAATAATTATAATCGTCTAAAATGAATCAATTTTATGGAAATTCTTTTAACCTGGATGACCCTTCCACTGTACAATAATTTCTCTATCTAGGGAGTTAATCATTCTCTTCACTTCAACCCAAAAGCAACAAAACATTTCTCTAATACAATAACTGTTAAACAAGAAGTGAATGAGTAAAATTTACAATGTAATATATATCTCTTCTTATCCATTGTTCATGGCATCAAACGATTGAATAAACTATTTGTTTAGACCTGCTTCAACAGAGATCAGTTCCTCCATTTATTTGACACTTAACAATACTCCCTCTTACTTTACAAAGTTCTCTAAATTGTAAATCAATATTTCAACGATGACAACACAAAGATTCAATATGAAAAACACGCAATAAATAAGTCATGGCACTCCTCTGACCAAAAACCATATCAACCCCAACCATAGCCTCTACAAACACAAAACAATAGCGATAAGTTTTAATAGATGATCAAGAAAATTATTTCAACTGATTTAGATCCGTTAAAATCATTGATTCATAAAGTTCAGGATTAAAATCGAACTTATTAATATTCATAAACCAAAGTTAATAATACCCCCCAAGTGTCATTCCACCAAAATGAGAAAATTATGAAATCGAGTTCTTTGAAAGATTAATTGAAAGATAAAATAGCCAAATTGACTATGTAGAATACATACCTTTGCAAGGAGAAAGTAATAAAAACCAATTCAGATTCTATTCAATATACATAAAACAATATCGCCATTAATGAATCTATGAATGAGAAGCAATTCGAAAGAGAAATAGTTTAAAAACAAAATAAAACCAACTTTGGACAACAAATTTTATTTAATAATCTAGTCCAACAAGAAGATTAACTAATGTCTTTCTAAAATAACGGTAAATAGCAAAAGACTATTCAGGAATCAATGCCGATCTTTGTTCAAAACCAAAAAACAGATTTTGCAGTCCAAACATCAGATTAATAAATAGATGGATAATAATAAATTCAACCGAGAGGCGAAGAGTTAAAATACTACTAGAATCAAGAAGACAACACTTAAAACAATCTTCACACAAGTTGCAATGATCAGAGTGTCAAGAGACAGGAACTTACAGTGAATAGGGTAAGGTATTGTCAGGAATGCAAAAATAAAAATAAGTACAGTAATGTTGCTTCCAGTGCTTCTCCTTAAAAAAGTGATAGACGCGAAATCTATTCAATTGATTATGTGCAGCATAAAAGAAAGATTGGGAGCACTTGTACAAATAGAAATTTCAATATTTTAACTAATGCTCAATTAGGATGAGTGAAAACAAAATAAAATTTAATTACATATTTTTTTATGTCCATTTTAACCTTGTATAAGTCTAATTCTAGATCTGCTCTATCCAGAGATAAAAATGAAGGCCAATCAAAAAATACTCCTATGAAATTGATCAAATCCCAATAATAGGACAGAGAAAAACTGTACAATAGTCAAATCATGCAAAATGCCTTGATTGAATCATGCAAGAAATCTAAGGAAAACAGAATGAATTCTCCAACTTTCAAAGTGACAGACACCATTATATAAGTATTTCTTTCATTGGATAATAGGCAAATCAAGATGCAATGGCATAAAAATCCGGGAAAAAGAAAGGTATATTTAGTGGAATAGATTCCTAAATAGACCCTTTTAGAAATGTCCATACATCTACTAATAAGACGAATGTTAAGTTGATGATGTTTAATGATGGACATTATATGAAAAAATATCAACAAAAATAAACAGATATGCAACAAGAAAAGAATTACAGATATTCAATAAAAGTGTTTTAACAAGAGTAGAAATAGGATGTGGCTCAAAAAAAGGTTAGGAAGAGTGTTCCAGGATAACCGGTGGCAAAGGATCCCATCTTGTCTCCAGATTCAAAGGTGGATAAAAAAGTATGAGATTGAAAATATTGAAAGCTCAGGATTTCTTGTTCACATTAGATTGAACACAAGGAGTAGATAGAAAGTATAAAAACATATAAGCATGCAAACTCATCTTCTGGATTTCGAGGGAGTGTTCAAGAAGGTCAAAAGAATGATGTTAGTCCAATCAAGATGAGACAAAGTAATACCTACAAAAGTGAAATGAAAAATATATTAACTCAAGATGAGAACTTCTTAAAACTTGTAATTCTTTCATTTAGATGTTTGATAGTTTTCAAGAACTGATTATAAAGGGAGTGACAATATCAAAAAGTCAAAGAAGCCTTGCTTAAAAATGGATGTCCCAAGACCGATATCTGCATTTGCTTTTTATGAGAAGTGATATAAATTTTAAATTAATTTACGTTATTGATTACTGTATACAGGTGTTGTAATACAAAAATTGAAATGACAACAGTATAAATTAGATGTTTGAGAGTGTTTTCACAATCCCAAAAAGAATTTTCCCATTTTCACATAATTATTAGATCTATCATTTTATGTTGCTTTGAGCTCTTCCTCCCAAGAATATCATATAATAATCCTGTAAATGAGGGACCTCTTCTTTTAGAGATAATCAAATCCTCAGGGAGAGTGGAAAGGCATTCTCACCTTGAAGTGACCAATATTAATGGGTTTGGTACTTAGTAGTTGATTGCAAGAGGGCTCAAAGCTAGGAACACGATGAACTTGGCGCAACTCCATTAATGCTATCTTGTGTTAGAGGTTAAGAGATAAGGAAATGAAATGAGTCACAATGATGGTTTGGAAAATTAAAAAGATAAATAAATGCATATATGAATTAAAGTATTGGAATTGGGTCAGGAAATGAACGGAGATTGAAGAAGATTTGGTTAGTTAGCTTGTCTTTACACTGGTGAATATAAGGGCTTAGTATTATTTATGAAACAAATTAATTATTTTCAATAAGCATTTTCTTCATCGAATAGATAGGTTCTGGATTTGATTATATCTAGTTAGTAGCTAGCAATGAAGAATCAATCTGATGAACAGTAGGAAAATTAAAATAATAGCACATAATTCGAAGACAATAATGGAATTGATTTGGGCATACGCAAAGTAATAAAATTGGGAGAGAATGGAGATAAGACTTGTACAAGCCTTAGCATTATTTTAGCCACCAATTTGCAATACAAATCTTTAAGAGACACAGAATAACAAAAATAAGTGATATAGCAAATTAAGCATCTTGCACGATAAGGCTCACATATGTACGTAACTATCTTTTTATATTATTTTGATCATTGCAAATACAGTTTCCCATATTCCTTATATTACATTATTGCCTATTTATTATTATTTTAGCACCGGATATTTAGAGCTCCCCACAGAGGTAATAAACTAATACAAAAAGAAAAGCAACTCAGACGCCTTGATAGATGAAGTGCTATTAGAGTAAGTACCTTTTCATCGCTCCCCAAAACTATATTTCCTTATATTCATCATTTATTTTTTCATTATATTTTTACATAGTAAGTTTTTACCGCCAAACTCGATCACTCCGCTTATATTCACTAAGAAATTACCTCAAGGTGGACAGTATAGACAAAAAGGAACTTAGCCATTGTGGGTAAATGCATTTGAGAGCCTCCTGAGTGTTGTGGTCTAATTGTATTACAAGAGTGATTAGAAATTAGCGGAATTTATGAAAGAAAAGGTCTTGATAGATAGCAAAAAAGACATTAAGCAAGTAATTCTTACAATGTATAAAAGGAAAAGAAACCAGGAAGAAAAAAGAAAATTCTTGATAACGATTCTCCTAATCAAGAACAAATCGAATAATAGCAGCCAAACAGCTAAAATGTTTACTCTCTTTTATAGCAGGATGTGTTGGACATACTCATCTCTCCCTTGAGGAACGATTTTTCATTCGGTATTCAATCCGTTTAAATCTCATAGAAACTTGGACAACCAAAGAAATTGCCATATTTGAATGCGGATTGTGTAGGTATGGTAAACAATACGAATTCTTGTCACATCTAGTAATTATATTCTTAAAAGAGATAGATTAAAACGAAAAATGCATAAGATATTATTCAATTTTATTACAATTGGAAATTCACAAGCCATTATAAGTTATGGAAAATAAATAAAGCATATTATCATCGCAGCAACCTTAACAACTATGTCTGAAATGATTTTATTGGCAATCCCCCTATTTTATTTTATTAATAATACACTATCAAATATTCAAATTCTATTCCTCCTTTTCATTTCCCCACAACTTACCACGTTTCATAATAATAAAATAACAAAAATAATATATACGAAACCACTATTATTTTAGCTAATTACATCTAATAAGTATATATTAAACATCATCATTATTGGATATTTATAATTTCTTCTATGATAAACTTCTCCCACCCATTCCTAGATACCTTTAAGCTCACAGCCTTCTCATATGCATCCTAAAGTAATAAGTTTTTGCCTGGATGGTTATGAGGTAGATTTAATTTTATCTGAACTGCTAACTAATAAAATGCTTTTTTTTAATCCTAAAATAATATTTAAATATTAAACTTCATTCAAAATGATTGTGGGACTGCTTCCCTCCTTACGAATTGCCAACCCATCGAAATCTCGTTAGTATTAGATATCTGATACAATACTATTTGTCACTCTATTGGTTTTAGTTTCTGGGTTCCTTACATCCCATTCCGAGTTGATTTAGGACAGAACCTCGTTGTCTACATTCTATTCCAAATATTGTGCTCTCAAATACTTCATATTTTCTAAGTCCTCCTTTTAAATTTTCTTAAATAACTCTTATTCAAACTTGGCTTGCTCTAAATTACTAAATAATATTGTTTATATTACGCTTTCTCAATCTCAACCTATTTATTTAATCTGCTGAGTTCATTTTATAAAAAGCTCTCGTCTTCCAATTAATTGTTTTAGCTTTCTTCTACAAACTATAATTTGAGTTGCTTCTCTTATGAAACTGCCAAAACCCTTTACAAGGTCAGTATCATAATGAATCGTTTTTGATCAAAATTTGATTAGTACTTCTGATACTGTTACGCCAATAACTCATTGTACTGCTTGAGTTTCTTATAGTTTTAGGAGCATTGGATTATTTTTGTAATGCAATTAATTATTTCCTCATTATTCATCAACTCATCTTCTAATTGCTTAGATTGAATAATAATGTTCTATTTTAATTACTCTAATTTCTGATTTAGATTTAGAATAAGAGTATGAGCATTCTGTGTTTTTGCTTATTGTTTAGATTTAGCCAAACAACTAATGGAATGAGAATCTACATCCTCAAAAGGAATGAGATCTTCGCATATAACACACAATACTTATAGATCGTCTTACTTATTGCCATTATTTTTAGAAAATGCCTAGTTGTTTTTCTGCAATTATTTAGGTTCCTTTTTATTTGAGTAATTTTACCACTCAGGTAGGATGGCTTTAGGTTATGTTCTCTAAAATTTTATTGCTTTTTCTGCTTATAAAAATAGTTCTTTTTGATCCAACCTTTCTTATTGCATTGTAAGTAAAGTAGGTGATTAAGGATATTTGATTGGAGATTAAATGGCTTATGATTATTTTTGAGGTTAAGGAATAACAATCTATTGTTAAGAAGTGCGATTACTTTATAGCCTAGATTATTAATCTAGGATTGGGTTAGTTTTATTGGGTGATTGAATTTTTCTGGAATATTATTATAATTGAGCATCCAATTAATAATCGTTATCCTAAACTCTATTGACAATGGTTCTTTGTAATACTTTTTGATTGGCCATAGGCTAAACCATTTATGAGAAGTAAACTTCTGTATTTTTTTTATTGATTTAGGCTTCAGGTTTATTATTTATGAAACTAGAATGTCTTAATGGTAATATTGGTGCAGAAGGTGAGGGGGAAGTGAGTGAGTAATTTTATGAGTTATCAACATTGACTATCTCGGTAATTTTGATTGTTTCAAATTAATCTGGACTGTTAACCCTGAATTTTTCTGGCTTATTATGAGAACTTTAATAATTACTTTAATAATTTTCAGAATATTATTATTACTCTATTTATTTCTACATTGTTGGAGATATAAACCTACTTTTTGGAGGGGTATTTTGAATTACAGGATTAGTTTCAATAGGTTTAGAATAAGTGTTGTTGTATGTAGTGGGAGTGTATTTAATTGGGTCTTTATTGTTTTGTAAAGATTACATATTGGGTTATTATGACATTATTGATTATGATTTGTAATTTTGATCGAGTGGTTAGTATAAATTGGTAGTTGTGCTTCTGTTCTCATATGCTGGATAATTATTATTAGGATTTGCTAACATATTAGAGCCATCTTGGATTGGTTTATTAAATTGCTAAAACTGAAAGGGTGTAATAAATTTATTATTGGTATGAAGATCTTAGACTTGATCTTACAATTCAGCTCTCAACTCCTCGTCGCAAAGTGTTTAGGCATTTTTTGTGTTCTGATTGAATTAACTTGGTTCTTCAAATTTCCTGTAAATAGAATCCATCTATTATAATGGTCTTGAGAAATTCTCCTAATTAAGAACGCCAAAAAATGATGAATTTATTAAACTATCTTCCTCTGAATATTTGATGATTTCTTAATTATATTTTTTCTAGTCAACTACCTACGTAATGGATAGAGTGTTATTATGGAATTGACTCTCGGTTGTTCCCCTATAAGCAGGCGATTAATCAATGTAAAAATTGCGATTGTCGAATGGTTGTATCATGCTATCATTCAGCCTGGATGAAATGTCTGTTTCTGATGAAAATATTTTATCAAATTCGCAAGGCAAATCCGATCCTATTGTAGGTTGAGGTATCTTAGGTACGTATTCAGATCTACGATAACTCATTGACATAGAGTGATCTACAGGCTGAAAAACTGGGTTAACAAATTATTTCATTTATATTAATTTTTAATACTCTCCATTAAATTCAAAAAAAAATCCCTTTACTTATTTGAGACATCTTACAATTTGCAATATAATTTTATGGTTCCTTCCCCCAAAAGTAAATATAAACACAGGTGACATCAATTTTGAATTGGGGGAGACCCAATCACGATAGATTCGAATTTTCTAACTTACAATTAGAGTTGAGGAGGTATGTAAAAAGTAAATTCTATAAGGAATGAATTAATCAATGGATTGAGAAAATGTAATTTTTTTTTTTGATTAAATTTTTAAATGATTTAGAATCAATCAGCTAGTGTTCCTAGTGAGGAGAGTAGTATAGTTCATGAGCCTTTTGAAGGAGGTGATCCATCTCCTCTAACTAATCAATCAATTAATATGGGAAGTAATATTAAAATTTTAATGGTATTTAGATCCACCTATAACTGTTGTACCAACTTAAGTGAGTGAATTGACTTAAATGAATTAAGAGAATGTTGAAGGAGATTCAAATGCTCCAGGTGATCAGGATCAGAAAATTATAATTCACAATTTAGAATAGAAATTAGCGCCAGCTTAAGAAAGTTCATTAATTGAAACGAAAGTTTGTTATTTTTAACATATAATTATTTAGTGCAAGAAAAAATAAAATTTCCCAGCTCTAAAGTTACGATAAGAATTAATCAAATACCTCTTAAATTTTTGGTAAAGATTTAGTAGAATTTTTTAAGTTTTTTTGTCGCAAAAACAATAAAGGAGAGAACCAAAGCCAGGTAAAAATTTATATATAGGACAAAGAAGTAAAAACAACAGATGCGGATCAAATGGATTCCCTAAACTAAAGCGGCATTCAAAAAATAGAAAAATTATTTAATAATGTAATTGAAGTAATTTTTCAAAGTAATTGTTTTTAAAATTAGTTAATACTGGAACAAAATAAACTGAAACTGTACAATTAACAAAAATATTTTAATTTTTAGATAAAAATAAATATAAGGTTTTTGATTTATTGGGAAATTTGGGTTAAAAAATCAAAATCCTAATTAGAAAATGAAAAGAAATAAGGTGAAGTTAGTAAAACGCAAAACAATCAAGATAAAGAAATGGCAGAAAACCAGAAGAGAGACACTCCGAAAGTATAATGTTTGAATAGATACATTCCAGAGATAGAAAATTAACTACTGAATCTAGATGATTATTCATCCTCTTAATAAGAAACTTGTGAACCACGAGTTGATTGTTATGAGGACCCTCCTCGTCAGTTGATGTAGGAACGTAAGAATTCATCAGAATTTGAAAACAATGATCAAAATTGTAAAATAATTAATATAATTTTATAGAAGCAGGCCAAGAATAATATTTTTTATTCAATTGTTTCAATTGTTAGATCTTTGATTTAGGAAAACAATGAGAATTTAAATAATTATTAAAGTACAGAAATATACAAATTTATACAAATTTATAAAAAACTCCTAAGTTGTTAATTCATTAGCTCACTATAAAAAATTACAAATTTATAATGTCTGTAAGGTAAAAATTTATATTATTCATTCATTCTATCTCAATCTGATGACACTCACATTGCAGCTTACATTACTAACACTCTTATTTATATCTTATACTGGATGTACTTGGCAATAGCTTGGTTCTTTGAGCAATTTTTTATATTTGCAATACAAGTTGATGGAGCAAGCTGAGACGCTTATGAATGCAGCTGCCAAGATAATAATCACAATAGTCATGATTGTAAATTGTTCCGTAGTTAAAGTATCTGAAATACAAGAAGAATCAGATAGTGAATATCCGATCTTACAAGTGGTGCAAATATCTGGAGCTGTGCAGTCCTCGCAATCATCAGGACACTTTGGCTCACAAAGTTTAGTAGATATATTTCTAAAGTAGCCTTCGGAACATTCAGTTTCAATACAAGCTTCATTGTTATTTAATTGATAGCCATTCTTGCAGATCTAACATGTCCAAGGGATTTCACAAGAATCACAGAATGCGCCACAATCCATAATGCACTAGTTGTTTTTGTTCAAATAGAAGCCGTATTAGCATTTCAAACAAACCAGAGGTGATTGACAACTTTGACATTAATAACTACAAAGATCAGATGAGGAAGATGAATCTGTAATCAAGGTTCCATACTTATTGTATTTTTACATAAAAATGCCATCCCCTAGAATAGTTCCATCAGAATCAATATTTTTGGCTGTCCAAGTCACAGCAAATTGATTCTCATTGATAATTTGTATTCTTGGGGTTTGAGGATAAATGCCTTCGATTTACACTTCAATGATTTGGCTACTGGACACACCCATAGAATCGAAGATCTAAAATTCAATTCCAATTGATTTATAATTGGAGTCAGTGATCTTCCAGGCAACTATAAATCCATCATTAAATGATTAGATATCTGGAGTCAAGGAAGCAATCTAGATGTCACCAACACTCTTAACCTCACTTCTTGTCTTTAGATCCTTAGATATTAATTAGTAATTCAAGATGAATTGAGGTTAGGATAACTATAGGTTTTTGTTTTCCCATAAAAACACCATGATTCCATTAGCTAAGTTAGTAACTCTTAAGTTGATGGAATTAGAGTCGGCAATTGCTTTTGGAGAATCAATCAGGTCTCCATCTTCAGTGATTTATTGAACAAAGACATAGCCATCACTTTAGTAGGTTAAGGAGATTATTCCATTTTCATCGGCTACAATAGATGGAGCAGCTAATTAGTTAACCTTTTTAATTTCTTGAACTGATGTCTTACTATTCATGAGTGAGTCATATGATGAAATGAACATGGAGAAATCATTAGATACTTTATCGCTTTTGGCCATATAAGCAATCAATAAAGAATTGTTTGGAGTCTTTTTAATTTGACAAGGTATTTTAATGTCTTGTAAATCTGTTTTTTGATGAGTTCCCAATAGAATATCTTGGCTTTAAGCAGTCCCATCAGAGGAAAACTTCTTCAATTTAACGTCGGTTGAGGCTGAAGAAGCATCCATCCAAGTAACAAAGAATTCATAATCAATCGAAATTATGTCTGCATAAAAGTTTTGGATGATGGATTGCTGACTTAACAATCTTCTGGCATTTCCAGTAACTTTCATTGGGTCTCCAACTTTGACATTATCAACAGAATACAATTAGAAATAGACACCAGCATTATCTCCATTTTAGTACCACATAAGAATGTAGCTGCCATCAGGGAAGGTAGCCATAAGGGGTGTTCCCACAGTTGTATTTTTGATTTAATCTAGAATGGATGAATTTTCTTATTGGCACTTTTTGTCGGATGTAACTACATAGCCGAAAGCACAAGTTTAGCATTCAAGAGGAACACTGCATTGACTGCAATTAGCAGGACAATGAGGAAGACATTTTTAATTATCAGTGCTGAGATAGTAATTATCATCACACACTTTACAATAGGTTGTTGTCGTAGTGGTGGTGTCTTCTAAACATTGTGCACAATTACTAACACAAATAATTTTAACGCATTGTCCATTTACTAATTTGTATCCGATGTTACAAGCGTCACAAACTGCAAAACTAGTACATTGATTACAATTGTCTTGACATGTCAATTTACATTTGCTGTTAGTATCCAGTTAGTAATTTTGACTGCATTATTCACAGTAATAGGAGTTGATACACTTATCGCAATTAGCTATGCAGTTCTTATTTGTGCTCCAAAATGGAATATTACCGAATTAATCATATTGTTTGTAATAAATGGTCACTTTTTATGACTCTGGTGGAAGACTTTATTAGTATATTCTTTACTCCTGGTAAATTATGTATCCGTTTGAAGTTTGCTTATAGAATCGCTTCTGCCATCCTTTATTGAATAAAACAAATTGTGGCTCCCCAATTTTCATACCTGCATTGTCGAATCTCTAAGAATATATTTCAATATTTTCATAGTTATGGTAGTTAGGCTTTTCAATTATTATTGTGAATGAATCTTAGAAGGCAAATAGCTGAGCAAATTGCTGATTGGAGAATTTGTTCTCCAACACCAAAGCCTCAGTTGTTAAGGGTATATCTTAGCTATCAAGTATTCTGTAATACACCTAATAGTTGGATTCAATTTCATTGCTACTATAATACTTAAGATTTTGGGTTCCTGAAATAATTTAAATCTTATTGCCATTAGATAGTTAGTAAATGTCACAAGAATTGTAGTGGAATATTTCTGAATACAGACAAACTTATTTGGTTTGTTAAATGGTTAGGGAATTAGAAAATGTATATCTTTCATCTTTTTTAGATAACATGATCGAATCCTTGATTCTGTTAAAATCATACCAGCCTTAACTGCAATCAAATATTTATTCTTTTTGAATCACATTAAATGATTCATCATACAACACTCTAAACACTCCAAAGAATATCTTGTAATAGATCAGAGAATATTGATTAATGCCAATTGGATTCAAAATGATATTCCAAATGTTGATGTTTGTATCAATGGTTTCAATTCTCAAAAGAGTGTTTAAGACTTCCTCTTGTTGGGCATTATACTTTATGATCTTAATACCATCATTCATATGGAACAGCAAGTAATAATTCTCTTCAATGTAAAATGGATATATGGAGTAATAATTGGTTGTTAATGTGTTAGTTTAAACCGAAATCTGCTTAATCAAATCATTGTTTTAGTAAATGTATAGAGTGAATATCTCTTTTTATTGATCAAATAAGGTTTGCTAGGTGTAAAGGATTGTTTATCCATTAGGCAATACATTCAAATCAATGAGATTATTTAAGAACGGATAACTCAGCAGAACTTGGGGTTCTTGATAATTGACTGGAATTGGTGAGCATTTTCCTTGTACTCTCTAATAGTATCCATCATAACAAATTTCACAAATCTTTGGAATCAAACATACGAGGCAGTTACTTTCACATTATGGCATACATTATTGATCCTACAGTAAATATTAGTTCAAACATTGTGAACAAGTGTTTTAAGTAGCACATGATCTACAATCTCTAGAACAAACGATCTAATCTATTGGAACTATTTTTGGTTCCTTAGATAATCTTTAAATATAGATGTTCTAGTTAACAGAATTGATCGTATATTAATTATCATTTTATGAAGGAGCATTACAATAAATGAAATACTGATCAGCATTGATATTTGATAACACATACAATTTTGTTTGATAGGCAACGAATTATTATTAGAAGTTGAATCCGAATGGCAGCAATTCAGTCACTTACCAGTTGATATCAATATAAAATTAACGATATAAAGCTAAATCCATGCTTTCAGATAGAATCAATAATGCCCCATCATTTAAACTGAAGAAATCTATCATTTAGAAGTAAGCATATTTCTAGTATTGGTTAAAAGAGTTGTATGCCACAAAGATTGGATTACCAACTGGAGAGAACTGATTGTTGTAAAATTGTACTTTGACTTTCTATGATTCAGATACTTAGATGATACTAGCCAAAGCAAAGTAATGAGAAATGCTAATCAATTTAAATTGATTAATTTGATCATTATCCCAACCTTACAATTCTTAATCAGACAACAGGACTCCCTCTTGTGAGTAAATGCATACACTATATCTAAATCCAGTATTTTAATATAGAATAGCTAATTCAGTTGTTGTCACAGCCACTTCCAAACTCTAATACTATTTCTAATTCAATATTTATGTTTAGATAATTAGATTACTGGCAGAATCATAGAATTGTAAGTTGATTTGATTAATAGACAACCATATAATAACAAATCCACCGTTTTTCAGACTTACTATCTTATTGATGAAATAACTGTTCAATTAGAAATTCTCTAGATGGAAAATAGTAAACAATTGTTCATTTCCTATAACATCTAGATGATTATTAAATCTTATTCCTTTAATCATGGCTTCCTTTTCTGGATTACCTTCAATAAATGTGATGATTGCTGTGTCATCCTCTAACACTGCCACTTATGGACTATGTTATGCACCAAAGACACTTTGACTCACTCTAAAATTGTTGCCAACCTTCTGACCCTGATTATTTAACAATTAAGCAAACACTCCCCAACTATCCTCATCTTCATTGTTACTTGACCATGACATCAAAATTGAACCATCTTTAAACTTAGCTGCACTTGGCGTAACTTAACTAAATTATGTAAACTCATTGATCTAAATGGCCTTATTTTCGAATTCATTCCATATGCAAACTCCATCTATGCCAACATAATACTATGATTTGCATCTCATGCATCTTCCAAAATCACAAATCTCACAGAAAGGGTCACATTTTTTTTAACATATGCTATAAAACGATGTTTCATCCTTATAATAGGTCATTAGATTATATCCATCTTGACATTACGAACAATCTGATGAATCATTGCATTGCAAACAATTCTAAGGACAAACAACATGTTTGAATGGAGTGAATTCTCCAGTTTTATCTAATAGAGAATATGATAAGGTCCATTGTTATTGATTACTCCAAACACTCCAAACCAAACAAACAATTTGATTGTCTAATTCAGTCAACAATGGTAGTGAACTATATTGTCCGTTAATATAATTAGATTTGATCTTGGTTCCCTATCTATCTAACACCACAAACTCGACTATTGATTATTTGTTCTTCTGACTCCAAGCTATAACAATATTTGAATTTGTTGTCACCATGCTGACACTTAAATCTCCTCTGAGATAATTATCCAAATTAAATAGGGTCTAAAATTGAGTATTCATGATCCTTAGGTTCCAAGCTTATGTTCCAATTTATTTGAAAAGAATTACAATCTCAGAATCTAAAGTAAATTCAATCTATTCTATATTTGGTATGTCCAATGGAACCTCACCATAATTTTAACCTAAATAATTCAGTGCAATCATTCTTAATTGTGTCTAACTGATAATTATTGTATAGAGGATGTCACCAAAAATGTAAAGGTTATTTATTTTATTGATATTGCAATCTCCATATGTTAGAGGTGTTGGATTATTGAAATTGACTTTAGAATCTATTAGTAAATTGGATTAATCATAAAAGTAGAGGGATTGAGTTAAGCATTGCATGTATGCGAAATCAAAATAATAATTATCGTATGAAGTAACTAGAATAACGTAGCTTGATGAAAAGGCTTTGATAGTGGCAGAGGTAATTTGATATGGAAGTTAATTGGTAAAAAGTAATTTAAATGATTTGAGTGTCTCAAAGTAGTAATAAACCTAATAACTTTAAGGCTCTAAAACGGTGACTATTATAATATAAATTTGATCTTTGACAATAGCAGCATCCAGAGATAGGATCTAGGCGTTTACATTGAAATCAGAAACCAGTAATTCCTTTCCTTAGGCGTTGAATCTTTAAAATCTCACAAAATCATAAGCCTAATATATCAAAGCAAATTCATTATTTGAGAATTTTAGCACCTTCTTTCTTATTTCCTAATAAAATTGCTTATCAATAGTATATCTCACTTTTTCATCAATAGTTGGATCTTAAACGAGTGCTACACAACGCCCATCAAAACTAAAGAACATTCCATCCTTGCAAACATCACAATTAGAATTCTCACATGATTGGCAACCCTCAATAGTACAGATTTTCTAGCATAATAAAGTTTGTTCATTCCTATTGTATCCAGGTTTACAGATGTTGCATGTAGATTCCTAGTAGCATAACTCGCAATTTTAAGGACAAACGATTTAAATTGCACTTTAAGACTCTCCGAATTAATCAAATCTTGCTAGTCTTATATAGGGTTTGTTAGTATATGTAGTAGGTTCGAATTACTATCCAGAAAAGAGAATAATTATGTCTGTATTCTAAAGCTAGAATAGCCCATAGATTCCATATTCTAAGGCTTTGATATTAACTTAGATTTCTCTTTTTACTTGTCCATCAATACTAAAAGTTGTCAACTATAAACTGCGGATATTTTGTTCATCATAAGAAAAGATCACTAATTCGCTGTTTTGATTGAGAAAAATTTAAAGAGGTAGTGACATTTATTAAATTATAGGGCTAGATTTAATTAATTATGCCTTGTCTATGATATTTATTTAAGATTTTGTCAGCACTATGAATTATTTTTAATCATTAATAGTCATTTTTATGTATTGTGCATCATTTATTTGAATATCCTTGATAAACCTTAGTTATTTATCATAAACTTTTATCACAGTGCATGATTAATAATTAACGTTGCACTACCATTCTACATAGCCATAGAGAATATACTCTCCGTTGGATATAAATTCAAATTAGTCATTGGTTGGGATTGCAACATTTCCTATCAATTAACTAAGATCAGATGTATAAACACTAAATAGTACAGTGCGCTCTACTTTTACAGCAACTCCAATTAAAGTATTTTATAGATTTTTCAGAATAAATGTTGAAGAAGAATACGAATTACCATTCAAATATGTTATTCTTCTATCCCCAATTCTGTTGAATTGGTCGTCAAATTATTCAACTACGTAATACAAATAGTAATTCTAGTATTAACTACCTACAATATAAGCATAGGTCAAAACATCTTTATCATCAATCATCACTTAAAAATGAAGAATGGTTTGATCAAAAGGAACCTGAGGGTCTTGAGTTATTTCAGTAATCATCTAATTATCCTTAAGTAATGTGCCGTCTGAACTGACGACTCTAATTCCAATAGATTTGTCTGTATTTTTTTGAGTCACAATTACAGTACCATTTTTATAACTTGCCACCTTATAACTGTCATATGAATATAAATTGATCAATAGAAAATCTATTTCCACATTTTATTTTATTTCATTGCATTAATTGTATCTGTTCCTATAAAATCCATCCAAACAATTTTAACAATCAGTTTTATAGTTTTTGCACTACGCTTACTTAATAATGCAATTTCCCAATTAATTTAGTATATATTTATCTTCATCGTAGCACTTTATGCATTTACCTAGGTTTGTGCACTCTTAGCATCCATTTGAGCATCTGTATTAACTAAAATCTAAGATCTCACCTATTTAATTTAACTTAATAGCAGAAATGGCATTTGATTTAGCTTAGAAATTATAAGAAATCCATCCAATCACAATATCTTAATTTGACAATTAAATTATTTGCAAATAGTTATCTACTCCTTGTTTAACAAAACTATCTGAATTCAGCTATTATGGATTAGTAATTTTCTTATAGTCTTCTTTGGATATTAAAACAGTTTTGTAAATTGTATTAGCTGTCATGTCTCCTTTGTAAGAACCTTCTCTCCAAATAACTGCAATTGAATCACTCAACATATGGGTCTTTAGATCAAGCTTATAAAATTCTGAACTAGTCGACAATTTCTTGGGTTCAAATAAATTGTTGTTATTGGCCTTTACCACATAAAACACTTCATATTTAGAATAACTAATCTCAGTCCACACTTCAAGGAATGACCCATCTTCCAATTCCATTAACTTGAATTCTACCTAAGTGTTGTCATTCTTCTTAGTAATAGTTTTTACTAGATTGCCAAAGAAATCATAGATCTTGTAAATGTATCTTATTTCTGATTTTTGAACATTTTCAATGCATATTTTAATGTAATTGCCTACAATTTAAACATCAATTGATTGTGAAGATGATTATTATTCCATTTAAAGAACTAATATTGATTATTATTGAAATGAGATATCAATGCCTCCATTTTGGCCAGTAATCTTGATAAACTTCATATATAACTATGTGGAGGTTTTTTAATCTTATTATACTTAATAGATCATTGCTATTTTATTATTTCCCAGGTGTTTCAAAATTAAAAACTAAACAGTTGAAGTTGATAATTAGTTTATCTATTACATTCTTTGAATAAGTAGTGTTTCTTTTTCATCATAAACCTTAAGTTGTATTTCTTATTCCCTGAAATTCTAATAAACAATTATAAAGTAATTATTTTCGATCTCACATGCATCAAATACTACCATTTAAAGTCTCCCTACATCTTAATTTTATTTTGCTACATAATATTATTTGCCATATTGATCAAACTTTTAGAACATCAATTTATCCTACTCCTACCAGATGAATAACATGTCACTATTTGTAAATTTGACAATAGCAAACTTGGAAGTGATATCTTTTACGAATTCAACATTGAGTTATTTTAATTTACTTACTTAGAAACAGATGTTTTGAGTCAACTAATATTCTGCTTCACAAGTTTGGCAAACCAATTCCACACTATTTGCTAAATATGCTGTACAATGAGGAATTGATGAAACACAGGCTTTATTGTTAAGAACATAATCCTTCTGACAGACTTAACAAACATCACTTTCATTGCATTATAAGCAATTCTAGGGGCAAACAACAGTATCCATAGGTAATTAAAGTCCTTCACTGTTATATCTCTTCATGTATAAATCATCCTAAAAGCTGGCTTCTTATAACAAACTCAGAGTCCATGAAACCAGGAATTCACCTTATGGCAACTATGTTAATTAAGGATGATGGGGATATAGATTCCATTCATTGTAAACATCTATGATCTGGGTAATTTAAAATCCATCTAGATTAAATAGTTACATTTTAAGATTTCTTAAATCACTCATCATTGCATGTCTATTTTCAAAGATGATGGCAAATCCTTTGAGTGTAGCCAGAACATCAGGATTATTCAAGTTATGGTCTGGAATTATGATCTAATTACTAAATTCCCAGGTGTTCAAGTCGTTAGTGTATTTTCTATACATAATGCTTTGACTCATGAAATCATTGCTATTAATAAAGGTTTCTCTCCATGCAATAATGAATTTATTATCACTTAGAACACCTATTGTAGGAGCTTGACCATTTTCTGATAGGATCTATTAACTAATATAAACATAATTAAGACTAAATTTGCTTGCTATGATTCCAAAATCTGATTGCCATACAATTACAATTATTTGATCATTTGATGCAACAACAGGTTCAGAATTTATGATAGATTCTTATTTGTTCAAGACAAAGAAACCTTATTATTTATCTTGTAAATCATAAAAGACTACATGAAGTTTCTCTACAATTCTATTTGATTCCACATAATTTTGGGTCCACACAATTACGTATCCATTCACTATAGATTATATCATAATTGGTGTATCAAATCGTTATGCATGCTTTAATTAAACATTTTCCTTGACTATGATTTCATCGCCAACTCTAACAAAGTCTTTTGTAAATCTTTGAAGTTTGATCTTAGCTTACACTTATAAATCTCCTTCAATCCAAACTGCACAAAACTAGTCATTGTCTAAAGCCTAAACATCAGGATAGATTTGAATTCCCGCAAATGATAAGCTAATTCTCTTCTCTTCCAATATTTTCTTACCATGTGCATTGAACATAGACATAAACACACCTGTTCCTTGATTTTCATAGTATTGTCTATACCAAACAGTTACATAGTCACCATTCTTAAATGTGGTAATCCTTTATTTACTCTACAAGACATAAGCATTCATTTTCATTTCTTTGTATCTCTAATCGTCTAATTAGCATACATGATCACTAGTCAATTTGTATCCTAAATCGCATACTTCACAGATTCCGTCGGTGCCATCAATACAATGCTAAGGCAAATCTAATTCACATTCATTTTCAAACAAATAATATCCCTATCTACACAATACACATTCCTATTTAATATTCCTTTAGAAGCAATTACTTACAGGTGATGATGATTGTTAGGCTTCTAAATAGAATAATTACTATGATGAACCAACAAAACCTGAAAAGATTACAATTAATGAGTTTGGCTATTTATAAATCCTGTAGCCATAATCAAATGTATATTATGATAAAGCATTTCCAATCGCAAAATCCTCAAGTTGTAGATTTTAGTAAGAATAGTCAATGTTTAAGAATTTATATCTAATTCTATACTAACCACTAAATTCTTAATAGACAAACGATAAGAAATATCCATAGTAATTTTATGAATTAGAAGCAGCCAATTGAGTAATTTGCTAAACACTTTTTAACAGATTGGTATAAGAACCTCTAGCGTTTAAATTTTGATCAAACCATTAATAATATAAGTAGTTATACGATATATAAAGACTGATTTCTTCCTGTTCAACCCAATTAATGACACTACCATAATAATATGAATTTGCAACAGCCAACGATGTGATTGGTCTTTTAGATGTATAAAGTACTTTATAAGTGTTCGTAGAACCATCCACTGTCAGTGAATTTATTATCAAATTATTTTTAACGTATATTATCTAATAATAACCACTCTAAATTATTAAAGTAGCAAATGAGGAAGCATCATTTTCATTTTAGTTTATGTTAGACTTAAGTGAAAAACCATTAGTCATACTGTATTCCCCTACCATTGTTTAGCTCATATCATTTAAATCTAATTCTGTCCATAATAATAGCATATTGTTGTTATACTTTTGTATTTGCAAATTAAATTTACTAACTTTCACCTTCATTATTCTCAATTCATATGGGTTGGAAAGAACTTACAAATCTTTTTAGAATAATTGTAACATGAGTCTGCATTAGATTTAACAATTTCCACTCAACCAAATTAAGGCAATTTGATTCTCTTCATATAAATACAAATAATGATAAGCAATTTCCTGATCTTGACTTAAGAGATTTTAATCTTATAATAAACTAGTCTGAGTTTGATACTTTATGTTGATATTTATCTTGTATTGTGAATTTTCATATTTTTGATATGAATAAATTGTGGTTTCGTCTGAAAAGGTTATTATTGATGGTAAACCATAACAGGAGTCCTTACATATTGGGGTTTCCAATTGAAGGTCTGAAAGACTTCTGCATTTCTGATCAATGAATTTTGAGTTACCATTACAATAATCACAGGTATAGGGTTGTTTACAAGAAAAACAATTTTCAGCACATATTGGCTCACATTTCTTAGTTTATTCATTCTATTGATAATCAGAAGCACACTGAGTACAAATTAAATTACTATCGCAAATCTCACAATTAGTATTGCATGTCTATTCAACAAAAGGAATAGTGTTCAATTCGGAGTTAAGTCGAACTTTGAATATTCTATTATTAGTGAAGGATGACCAAGTTAAATAAAGCAAATCGTCATATGATGAAGTTGATAATCCTTAAATAATCAGTTCGTTGTGATATAATGATCTTGATGTTAATTGTTCTCCATTTAATGAGTATTTTATGACCTATATATTCATATTACTAGTAGTTGTTGATTGCTCCGTGTAAATGAAATAAATGAACTTAGGCTATAATACTATTTAAAAGTTATTTAATTATTTTTAGGACTCAATTGTGTGTTCTTATTATAATTCTTGATTTTAATTGTAAAATTTCACTTTGACTAAATTTGAATTCACTTTCTCATAGGACACAATCCAAATAAAAAAGTCATTAAAGTAATATTCAAATTTCTCTTATGTATCCAACCAAAAATAGTCCAACACCTCATTTACATACATTACCTTGAAAGTTTCTATGTTATCTTCGGTGTAAAGATATGATGCAGTTAGTTTTTACAATTCTAAGTTTTTCATAATTTATATGTTTCTAACTTTTTATTATTTATCTATTCTAGTTAAATAACGGCCTTAGGTTTTGGAAAGTTGGGGATTTCCAGATTGACTCATAGAATATTAGTCATATTTTAAAACAATATATTCTCCTTCCCAATAACTATAATGATAATAACTGTACAAAATATGGATTTTGTTATCATCAGTTGAAATGAAATCTAAAATATCCTCATTACCATATAATTCCCCTTATGTTGAAAAGCTATTAATGGAAATATATTCGTTGTTTAAGATAACAAATTATCCAACATTTTGTTAATTTTGGTTTCTCATTATGTATTAGATTACAATCTAATCATTAACCTTAAGAACTTTAGGACGATTGAATAAGACAATATCTTAATCACTTGAAATCCTAATTTCTCCAGATTTTGATTATCCTTATCTATTTTAAGCTTCAAAAACAATATCGTACCTTGAACTATTTTTCTTTAATGAAACCTATAGAATTTAATCATCATATGAAGCAATATAAGTTAGAATTAAATTATCCTAATAATAGATATCTTATTCCTATGTTTGATCGCATAGTAAGTTTTCATTCAAATAGAACCCATTAGAACATTACAAGCATTAGTTTTCAGTTTCGCATAGTTCACAGTTGTTTTCACAAGTCAAAACACATTTTCCATTTTACAATTGATATTTTGTATTTTTGCACTCTAAACATATTCCCTGATCTGTGCAAGAATTACAACTTTATGTACATACCAATTCCTTAAAATTAGTCAATTGTGCTGTCTATAAATTCACAATTTAAGTAAAAACTTGACTTACAGGATTTTGGAGTTCTACATTAGAAAAACCTATCCAAGCTAGAACAGCATATGATTATCCAAATCTTGAGGATGAAACCTTTTTGATGTTTCTGCTGGATTAAGTGGCCTACAATACTTGAAGTGGATTAGTTGAAGTGAAATTTATGTAGATTTATTTATTGAGATATTCATCATAATCAAATTTGATGATTGCTGAATCATAGCTATTCAACAATTTATTATCAAATGTTAAACCTGTTGTAGTTATAAAAGTTAATTAAACTTACTCTATTTTATATTAATAAAGATAATTTTGATTGGTAAAGTTGAAATATAGACTATTCTAGCTGACTTAAATATCGAAACTTCTGATGATATAGATATCTTAATAAACAGTCTAACTGCTATATACTCCTTAATCATCTATTTTTAGAAAAGAAAGTGAATAGTATTATTGATTATTGTCATTTACTTTTTAAACCACATAAAAATAGTAGACATCTGAGTTTTTAAGTTGAGCAATCCTTATCGAAATCAATTTTTATTATTGGATATCAATAGTTTTTTACTATAGAACCTACATTGTTTCAAAATCATATTGATAATCTATTATTTGAACGATGGAATCTACAGTAAGCCAGTTGATTATGACGCGGAATTATTACATGTCATCTACAGAGAAGATATCAAAATCAATTATTTCATTTGGTTGTTGTTCAATTTGAATTTATTTGATTAGGGCTCCTTAGCTATTAAGCCTTTTCAAAACAAGTTTTGTTTGTTTGTTATTTTCAATTAAGCTATACAATATTAGAATTTCATTATCCTTTACTGAGACTTTAATTTGTCCTTTTTGCTGTTATTCATCGCTTATCCTTAATTCATTAATTATATTTTAAGGAGTGACGCAAAGGTTTTCAGGTGTGTATTAAAATCCAGTTTTACATTTTATGCAATAAGAAGGTTCGCTGCAGGTATCGCAATTGTCAGGACATTTTGGAACACACTCGTTTTTCACACTTACAAAGGTGTATCCATCTTAACAGGTTAAGCATTTAAATTGTGGATCACATAATTTGCAATTTGGTTTACATTCATTTTGTTTAACATTCATGTCTATCTTTATAGTACTCAACTCATATATATAGTTATTATAACTCAACCATTTAATTGAGAATCTATTAAAACCTAGTTAATCTATTCTTTGATGGTATGTTTAGGTCCAAAAATATGGTTTTATTATTTTTCTATTCTATTTTATATTAAAGCTGTTGTTTGATAAATCATACTAAGTGTAACATAGAGAATCATATCCCTATGAAAATAAAAATAAATCATATTCTTATTGAAACAGTGATTTTCTTAATTAATAATTCTCGCAAGAATTAGGTCCTGAATTGGTTATTTTATTAAGTTTCCAATTAAAATCTCGGTCAAAAAGAGTAAATGCAAAGTCCATATCGTATTAGCAAATGATAAATTCACCATTAGGTAAAGCAACAATATTAATAGTTCCATAATCTTCATTAAAATAATAGTTTGTGGGGAGTGATATTACATTAGAAATCTAATCATCTTCAATTTTTGTTATACTAATAACTTATTTAAAGAGTTGTACTATTCCAATAGTTCCTAAGAGATTTTGGGCTATAGCTATATCATAACTATCTGGAAAAGTCAGAGCTTGAGATGGTTTATCTGATTTAGCATCATATTTAATGTAGTTCCATTAATATTGATTCACTGTTTAACCAATAGATTTCCAAATTATAGAGAAAGCAGTATTGTTTAATGGAGTAAGATCAATATATTTCTTTTTTGTATCAAATTTAGCAGCCTCTAAGGAATCTCCGAATGAGTACTCAACCTATTGTTCTACTAAGTTTAGGTCGTATTTCTTCAAGCCTAATTTAACAATACTTAAATTTTGACTGACATAGACAACATAAATGAAGTTATTAATAAGAATTATTTAAGGTTGATAATTTTCCAAATTAGAGTTCCCAACTTGTACTTTTTTGATTAATTCATTTTTATAAATGTCTAAGAGGCCTAATTCAATTTAATATTTAGATTCATAAGTTCTAAAATGTTTAGTAAATATAAGTGTTTGTTCGTCTAAAGAAATAGTCTTTGTGCTCCAGTCGAGTGAAACATCTTAAATTTTTATTTAATATAGCTCCACTTCGTTTGTATCAGCACCTAGAGCGTAAAATAAAAGGGTAGTTAACAGAGTAAAAATCATGTCTAAAAAATCTTTTAAAAAAAATAGTTAAAGAAATTAATAAATCCCCAGAAATTATTATCCCTTTTTAAATGTAGACTGAGAGTATCTACTAATTATAGAATAAATTTAATTCTAATATGTTGTGGCTTTTTTTAACACAAACACAAACGATGCAAAAGTATAAATTTATATTAACAATAATCATTCATAATCTCACATGAGGGACAAGAAGATGACATTAAAATAATATATAATATAAGTCTCTTATTGTAGTATTGTTGTGGCCAAAAGTTGGCACTGCTTTTTAATCAATAAATATTAATGTAGAATTGTTTTTTAATATCAAATTCAAATAAAATTATGTGAAAAATAAAGGCAAAGTATAAAAGTCACCACTACCTTGAAGTATTCTAACCATACGTAGCTGTGAAGAGATTTTCAGAAAGATTGAAAATTATTTAAAAAGGAATAAAATTATGTAACAGAAATAATTAAATCATTTTTGGGGAGGAGAGGAGTAGGTAATCTAATTAACGATTACTCTATCTGTTTGAATAATTAGAAAAAAGTGTTCGGTTAGATTATTAATAGATCGTAGACATATTAATAATAATGACTTTTATTAATTCTTACAGTTGGTTTAATATAATTTAAATAATAAAACAAAAAGGATGAACATTTTTAATATTGAATGAAGCAGAGTTTGGGGAAGTGAATTTGAAAAATAATCAACGATAAAAAAGATTCACATAGGATTTTGAATGTTTTTTAGTTTTTCTTGCCTTTTCTTGCTTCTTTCTCCACCATCTTTGAATTCTAATAGCACATTATCTCTCCTGAAGGGTAAAAACGGAATTATCGATTTTTAATAAGAGATTTCGATTTTATAAATTATAAGTAAACATAGGCCTGTTGTTTCCACAAACTTGATATTATTATTTATTAATCCAATAATTGGATGCACTATTCATCAATCCACCAAACTCTGAAATAGGCTTAAATAGATGTTAACAAATTGATACCATCATACAAGCTGTTCTTCGATAAGAACCTTGGCTTCTAGTTTCTTCTAGGTGTTGATAAAAGGCAAACTCTGCTAAATCTGCCTCACTTTTTGTAGTTTTGTCTCTCTCCCGAGAACAAAGAGCCCCGCATGCAAGACCCATTATTAAATTAAAATATATATATTTATTAAATATGCTTGGTTTGATTTATTCGGAGTGATAGTCATAATGTTATTTACTCGAATTTTAAAACACAAAGAGTTAAATATAATTGTATTTAAAATCTGTTTTATATATATTAGTCGATTAGAAAATTAACTAGTTTGCACTAGAACTAATGATTATTTATAATACAATTTAGAGTAATAATTAAATAAAGATATTTACACCAATGTCAGAGAATGATTCAAATTCAGTTCATGAAGTATCTGCTCCAATTAGAGGAAGACTATAGAGGGCCAAAAGTTCGGAGGAGGAAATAGAGGAATAATAAAAGGATGTGTTTTAGGCTGAATAACCCGATTCCATTGAAATTAGTGATCAAAGTGATATCTAGGAGGTGGCAAATAGAAAGAAATAGAAAAAATAAAATTAAAATTCATAGAAACCTCGCAAACCCAGATAAAAAAAATAGAATGAAAATGCCGCCAATTAAAATGAGGAAAATTAAGAAAAATAAATTAAGGAAAAACCATAAAAATAAGTTAAGACTAAAAAGAAAGGAGTTGAAAACAATGAGAAGACTATTGAAAATTTGCTAAGCAAAAAGTTTATCTAAGCTGAGGAAGAAGATGAGCCACCAAGAAGAGAAATGGAAATAGAATATGAAAGTAATAGAAATGAAAGAGATACTTTTGGAGTTGATAATAAACAGAACAAACGAAAGGCTTAAAATGCCAAAAATATCAATTAACTAATTAAAAATAGACATAAATTCTTTACTGAATTTGAGGATGCTCCAATTGAATTTTAAAATGAAAACCCAAATTATTAAGAAATTGACACCGATTAATTTGAACTAAAATTTGAGAAACAATAAGTCGAAGAAAGTGCAATTAAATAAAAAGCAAAACGAGACATGTTAAACAAAGTTTAATAATATAAATAAAATGTGCTTGTTTTTGGCGATCAACAGAAATCACAAAAGTCATTAATCTCAAGTACCATCCTTCCTTCATAGGACTTAGAATCAAATGGAAATAATGGAACTACTTAAAATAATTTACCCAAATTTCCATAAATAATTAAAGCAGCTTCGTTTATTTAGGAAGAGTAAAATTAGAAACTAGATGGAGAGTCCAGAAATTCTTTGTTAAGAAAAACCTATTCTATGGGCTTAAAAAAAGGATTATCCTAAGAAGATATTGAGGATCCAGAGTTGTAATTGTTCATTCCCAAAATTAATGGTGCAAAAGATAAGATCTTCGAAAATACACTATTTCTGAATAAAATAAAGTAAAAGGGATTTGATAGGGTTGTTCAAACATCTTCAAGTTTAAATAATAGCAATAAAGCTTATTCAAGAAGTGAGTTTTAATAATTATTGCAATAAAAACAAGTAGAACACAAAGCAAACAAAATAAATTTATCATTGAATGAATTAATGAATAGATTTTAAAGTACCACTTTCGAATAAATAGAACAGAAGAGGCAACAAAATTAAAAGGCAAATAATGGTTAAGATGATGATGATTCATCACCTGATGAAGATTTTGTGCCTTAATAAAATGAACTTAATTAAGAAAGTGAGGATATTGATGATGGAAGTAGTTAAAGTTGTGATGACAATAATAAATTGATAGATGATAAAGTTAAGGAATGTAAGTTAACTGAAAAAGAAATTGAAAAATAAGAAAAGAATGAAGCTGAGAAGGAGAAAAATTATGGTACCATAATAGAAGAGAAATCTGATGCAATGAGTTAAATTGATGATGAAGAAAGGTAATAACTTCAATAAATTAAATCTGGAAAGTTTAATTAAGAAAAAGATTACAATCTCTCAGATGCTGATGAAGAAGATGAGGATTAGAATGAAGATGATTAAGAGGAATAGGAATAGGAAGAAAATAAGCAAGATGATGATTTAAAGAAAGAAGATCATAAAGTCTAAGAAAACAACAAAACCAATAAACTTGCTCTAATTGATTCTAGCGATGATGATTAATAAGCAGAAGATATAAATGAGGAAGATTTGAATATGTTTAGACGATTGAAGAAGGTTTCGACAATGTTTAAGGATAGAAAGAGAAAGGAAAAGGAATTAGAGGAGAAGAAGAAATTAAGATTAGAGAGATAAAAAGAAAGAGAGAAAATGAAGAAATTTATAGAATCAAATTTAGTGGAGGATTAAGCAGAACAAGGATCTGATAATGAATCTCATGATGATGTTGTTAAAGAGATCAAGGATGATGATGAAGAGGAAGATAATGAAGTCATAGAAAAAGAGTTATTGGAAATGATTGATGATAAGATAGAAGACTTAGATGAAGAAAATGAAATAAGAGCATTTCAAATATTTATGGATAGAATACACAAATAAGAAAAAGATGATATTAAGAAGATCCTAAAAGGAGAATTCAAAAGAAGAGATGGAAAAGTATCAAATATTGATTTACTCAATATGGAATAGACTGAGGAAGAGAAATAAGCCAGATTAATGCATAAGTTTGAAGAAAGTGAAGAAGAAAACTATGATTCAGATTTTGAGAACTACTTGAAAATGAATAAAGATCAAAAAAATGAATTTCTAAAAGAAAAACGATTATAAAAGATCTTATAAGCTCAAAAAGAAATGAATTAGTAAACGAAAAAAAATAGATTGCAAGAATAATAATTATTTTAACCAGATCTTCTAAAAATTGTAGAATAAGCTAGAAAGAAACAATAAGAGGTACTACAAAAAAAGATTAATTAAAAACCACCTTCATTTGGATAATCTCTATAATAACAATCAAAGATCAATGAAAATTCTAATGCTCAAAATTCTAACTCAGTATCCTTGTTAAATGTCTAAAAAAAAGATAACAAATAATAGTAAAATAAAACAAGTTTTGCAATAAATAGACTGTTTTCTGCTAACTTAAATTCAAAAGGATAATAATTATAAAAATCACCTAATAAAGCAATTTTGTTGATGAAAAAAAAATGATTTATATATTATTCTTCTTATATCATAATATTTATTTAGAATATTCATATAAAATGAAATTAAACATCACTCTAAATTGATAAATCCAATTAATTTAAAAGCTAAAGTTCTTGTTAATTCATCTTGACTATCAAGATATTAACTTATGATCTGTTCTCCTGAACAATTTTAGATCAACTACTTGACTTAATCCAAATTGATGGAAGAATCAAATGAAAGTAATTGGTACAAGGAACTTAATATATTGTTGATGATTTCTGTTTGGCCAACTGTATCTGTTAATGAATTAACCAAGATTTCAATCCCTCCAAATTTGATCACAACTTCAGCAGATTCTTAGAAGTTTGTCAGTAACACTTAAATGGCTCCGAATGCCTCATTTCTTACCTCTAATTTATTAGCACCTGTGCATCGATACAATAAATCTTTGATGAGTGGCAGCTACTGCTAATTTAAAAATTATGTTATTAATTCTTCATCCTCTGCCCCAAAGATATTCCTAATGCATCCAATGGTCTCCTCAATTACTTCTTGATTATTGCTGGACATTAATTTCATAATCACTTCACTTAAACCAAGTGAAAGGAGTTGTTCAATTACATCATCCTAACCATATAAAAGATTTCGAAGAACTTCAGCCTATTCCAAATGTACTTTTGGATCCCAAGGATTTGAAATCAAAAAAATGAGTAATTAGATATGTGTAGCAAATAATTCACTTATCTCATCTTCTGTCATGTGTCTGGTTATAGTTGATAATCCTTGTAAGAAGTCTTAGCATATTTGGAATGAAATATCATTATTATTGGTTTGAAACTTTTCAACGAAACTGATGTTCATTTATAGGATATCAAAGAATTAGAAATAAATATTGTTCGATAATTGGCTCAAATTTCTCAAAACCCACATTAAACCATGAATGAAATTCACTGTTGGATTTATCTTAATATTCTGTTAAAGAATTGTAAGGTCTATTAAAAACTATTGATATTATTGAGTTATGAATGGATGTTTGAGAACTAAAGCTTTTTCACTCAAAATATTTGCAATAGTAAACAATCCAAAAGCAGCAACTTCTAGTTTTTCTGCTCTAACAAAATCGAATGTTGAATCCTTTATATAATAATACAATTCCTTGAAACCTGTCATGTTGTAAAATAAAATCAATTATTATTAATCTAAATAATAAATGATATTTAATAAATGATAATACACCAGGTATGACAAGTACTCTTCTTTAGTTGATAATACTCCTACAAAAGGAGTGATTAATTCTAATAATTTAGATTAGAGTAGTTTGTAAATTTTTAATTGCTTCCTCTTTTCATTTAAAATTTTTAAGCCTTCCAAAATATATGGCAATTGATTATTAGGATTCAATAGCTTTTCTGTGACAAATACTTGAATCTCAGCTTCTGGAATTGACTCCAAGAAATTTTCAGGCACATACTTATATAATGTTGCTTATGATGCAAATTAATTTCTTTTTTAATTAAATATTGCTAATCTGCTCTAGTTTCTAATTTCGACAGCATAGTTTTCCCTTTTAGCTTTCACACGATTCTAAATTTACAATAATTATATACATCTTCCTATTGAAACATAATTAATTTAATAATAAATTAGCGCTATATATTTTTTTAAATAAAGAATCATAATAGTATTGGACTATTTAACATTAAATATAAATATGTATGAAGTGCTATTTAAAATCTAGCCCTCACATTCATAATAATTTAATTATTATATAAATAAGAACTCTAATATTGCAATAATTTAAGATTAAATAGAAAGTTAAATTTATGACAAAATAAATCCTAATTATGATGTGATCATTATGTTTACCCTTAACCTGATACCTTATGTTTCCTTTCATCAGTATCTATCAGCACAATGTTATGATATATATCTACAGCACTAGGACAAGTTATTTCTACTTCTCCATTCTTTTATCTTTAGTGAAATTGTCTATCAAACTTGTTATTACATTCCTTTATATTTTCTTCTATCTTTGTTATGCAATAATACCCCTTCATTTAGATCTCCTTCAATCCATTTACCATTTTATACTTTGCAGTCTATCCAATTATACTCTCCATAGCCATTAAACTACTCAGCTAACAAGTCTCCATCATAATAAGATCTGTCAGCCCATCTAAACTGTCCTCTACCATTCTCTGCCCTCTTAAAAAAGCCTTCGAAAAACACCTAGTTTCCCAATTGATTTAACCTAGTTTTAGTAATTGCATAACAATTAATGACTAAAAAAATCTTTCTTTTTGCAGCCAATCATTTAATTAAGGTAATAGATTTGAAAACGTAGTTTTAATTTAAATATATATTGAATAGATACTTGATAATAATGTGCAAAAGTGTTAATCATTATTTAGAATGCTATGCATATGAACTACATTTACTACATTTGTTATTGACAAATGTATGTCCAATCAATTTATTACAAACTGATTTGTTGAGAGTTTAAGTTTCTATTTTCTAGCATTTTTAATCAATTGTTTGACATATAAATGTATTCCCTTAATTATTCACATATTCTCCATCACATTCTTTATTGCTGAGGTCTTCGCAGTTGATTTATGAACAAGCCTTATTATGATATCTACATCCAGCTTGTTCACAAACTTCTTACTCATTTATTTATTCGCAGTTTTATATCAATGATTTTCTTTCTTTGCAAGTGCCATCCCAATAACAAAATGATTCTAAAGAGAGTGGATGACTCTATCCTATGACATATCTATTGCAAGTCTCTTTATCATATATTTGATCACATTTTTCTGCATTGAAACAATAACCACTTACTAAATCATAGGCGCACTAAAATAATTAACATTTCTCCCTTGCAATTTAAGGAGAGTCAACTATTTACAATTATTCACAATTATTTAATTCGACACAATTGCCATTCTTAACATAACAATATTTTGGATTTGAGCTTAAAAATTATGAAGCCTTTATGCAATTATCTAATGATCTCTCGTTGCATTCAGATATTCTACATTTATTTTGGTTCCAAAAACATTTATGTGCTTCACATGATTCTTATGTATCATGCTCATTGCAATCACAAGCTGTTGGATAATTGATTGCAGCATTAATACAATACAGAATTGCAAAAAGGATATAAAATTTCATAGATAAATTAATTTTATTATTAAAATAATCTAATACAAACTATTCTTTAATCAATTGAAATAAGATAATTTAATAACTATTTCATATAATTTACCTGAATTAATGAATTAAGAATACATACAATAACAATTGTCTAATTTTTAAATTCAGTTTTACACTTATTATTTTAGTTAAACATAGGATGAGGATTTAAAGTAATATAATTTTTAGTGTTTGAAATTAAGATTTTAATGATATTGTTAATCAATTTATTTTTCATATATCTAAGATTATTTAATTATTATTAATCAGAACTTTAGGAAAAATTAAAGAAAAGGATGGATTGATTTTCAGTTTATTGAAATAATTAGACTCTAGATATATTTGAAAATAGATAAAATCAGGGCACTTATTTATATTTAATTTGATCTAAAGATTCTAATAATAATTATTGTCATTATGTGCTTAATAGTAAGAGGTAATTTTTGATTGGTTATGAGGAATGGTGGTCGATTTTCAAAAGTATTAATTTGTGGAGTATTATAATATTGGATATTGTTATATATATTTATTTTAAATAATATTAATGGGTTGTTGCATGAAAAGAAAGGCTCATGTGGCAGCCAGTTCTTTAAATCCAAGTCTAAGATAGACTAAGAAATTCGATACTCAACGTTCTCGAGTGGATGAAATGAAGTCTGAAGTGTATGAGAAAACGATGTATGGGAATGAAGATAACTATTATGATTCAGATGAATTACTTTGCATTGATCGCAATTAACTATTGAGTCTGATTAAGAGTGAACCCAAAAAGATTCGTTGGACTCCAGGATAAGTGATTGGGTAAGGTTCATTCGGAAGAGTGATAGAGGCGATGAATCTAGACACTGGGCAATTGATGGCAGTTAAGCAGGTAATGGTTGATGTTCGAAATGAAGATCGCATAATAGCACTTGAAATCGAAATCGACTTGCTTTCTTTAATCAATCATAAGAATATAGTTTCATATTATGGGATGGAACGCACAGAGAAGACATTTAAATATCTTCCTGGAGAGAGTTGCAGGAGGATCCTTGAGTTCAATGCTTCAGAAATTCGGCCCTTTTAAGGAACCTCTGATCAAAGTTTACATGCGCTAAATTTTATTGGGATTAGAATATTTGCATCAAAATGGCATAATGCATAGGGATATTAAGGGTGCAAATGTGCTGGTTGACAATCAAGGAGTTTGCAAGTTGGCTGACTTTGGGAGCAGTAAGAAGATTGCATTAAATAGCAATAGCACTATCTTTGGAACTCCCAATTTTATGGCTCCTGAAGTGGTAAAATAATAAAAATCTGGGAGGAAGGCTGATATTTGGAGTCTAGGATGCACCATGATAGAATTGGCAACAGGTAAGCCTCCATGGTATCAATTAAATAATCAATTTGCAGTGATGATCAGGATCGGGAAGGGAGAAATACCAGAAGTTCCAGAAGGATTTTCGGAGGAAGCCAAAAACTTTGTTTCGCATTGCTTAGAGTATTTAAGAGAGTAAATGTTTTATTAGGGTTGATGAACACAAACGCTGGAATGCGACAAAACTATTAAAACATCCTTTCCTGATCCAATAGAATAAGCTCGAAATTCCATAAGGAAGGACTCCTTTACGCAATACGCCTGGGAGCAAATCGAAATAGTAATAGCGATCCTTTAAATATCCAGAATAGGAAACTTCTCATTCTCCTGGTTAATTGAAAGAATTTGATTAACAGCAGTCAGACAACCCTCAACCCATGATAGATAGTTCCTTTGTTCTCAAATAGAGAAGGTAATAGGAATGATAAAAACTACTTTGTATTTTAATTAGTTTTTTAATTAAAATTATAATCCGAATAAAAATAATAAATTAAATTATAATTAATTTAGTTTTTGTATGCACCAAGAGCTCTAAAAATTGGAATAGTTGAATAGTTAAGAATTGGAATTGGTAAAATAGGTATATGAATAAAAAGTAATGCTTAATTTAGTATGATTAGGTTGTTTATTTAAATACTAAGATCTACATGCTCTCCAAAGAACTGGAGTAAAAAACATCTGAAGTGTCAAAGATAAAAAGGAGTTAAATTGTTGTTTAAGAGGATCCAATTCAAGAAGACAACTTAATTGAAATAGAAAGAGCTAAGACTTAGGATTTAGTAAAGGAAACTAAAGAATAGATGGAATAAGAGTTGCTCGAAATAAGGTCTCAGTACTCTAAGGAAATATTAGAGCTTTAAAAGCAGCTCAGAAAGAGAGACTTAATGATAGAGTAATTAATGATCGAAATATAAATGTATAAAAATTGTTAAAATTAAAATCTCGACAAAATGAAGGTAGAATATCTTTCCTAATTGATTGAGATTGTTTAGGATATCTAAATATAAATTTAGCAATGATGATGTATTTAATTTATTTAATGTTTGATATTTTAAAATATTACATTTTTGACTTATGACTGATTTGATGTTATTTAGAATCACAATTTTTTGATCAATTCTACTAGAATTATGAATGGTTTAAACAAGATAATACTAAAGTAAAGGGAAACAAAGGCTGTAAATTAATGAAAATTTGGATAGTTATAAATTTAAAGAAGTTGAGTAATAAGAAATGGATGTAAATATATAAAGTAATAAAAATCTGTTATGATAACTGAATCTAAGATTTTAATTAGAGTAGTCGTTAATACTAAAATTTGATTATTAACAATCATAATTAGATTCAATAAACTATGATACTTGATACCATTTATTTTGTTTTGCAAGATTATTAATATTATTATAAATGCAACCATTAGCTAAATAACCTCAGAAGGAGGATGAGCACTGTTAAGTGGAAGATCACATCCTCAGGAAATTTGAACTGCTTGAATTTAAAGGAAAAGGAGCCTACGGAGTAGTTTGGAAGGCAGTTGACCGTAAAACAAAATAGATTGTTGCATTAAAGAAAGTACATTTAACTGTAAAGTTGTAGATTTTCGATGCATTTCATAATGCGACTGACTCACAAAGGACATTTCGCGAGGTAATATTCCTAGAGTAGTTGGTAAACCACGAAAACATCATCAAATTAACAAGTGTCATAAAAGCAGAAAATAACAAAGATCTGTATATGGTGTTTGACTTTATGGAAACAGATCTTCACAAAGTATTTACATTTAATATTAACTTTAAGGTGATAAGAGCAAACATCTTGGAACCCATACATAAAAAATATATAATATACCAAATACTCAAAGGTCTCAAATATCTTCACACTGGTGAACTGATCCACAGAGATTTAAAGCCTTCCAACTTGCTAATTAATTCAGAATGCAAGGTCAAAGTAGCTGACTTTGGTTTGGCAAGGAGTGTGGCTAAGCCAGACGACAATAGTAAATGTTATTATGCTAACAATGCTTAGGCAATCCAATTCTTACTGAATACGTAGCTACAAGATGGTACAGAGCTCCAGAAATATTGTTGGGTTCTTAGCATTATTCCAAAGCAGTTGATATGTGGAGTCTGGGTTGTATTTTGGGGGAAATGATAATAGGGAAGGCAATATTCCCTGGAACTTCTACTCTTAATTAAATTGAGAGAATTATTGAGTTGATTGGAAGACCTAGGCAGGATGAATTGGATGCTATTCAAGCTCCACTGGCTGAATAGGTGATTTCGAGTATCTCTACCCAAAAGAGGAAAAGCATAACTCAATTATTTGCATCAGGTCAAGAAGAGGCCATTGATTTCATCAGGTAATAAAGAGGATAATAAAATTAGGTAAACCCTCATTTACAATCCGTATAAAAGAATGACTGTGGAATAAGCTTTGAATCATCCTTATGTCAAGGAATTCAAAGGAACCGAAGATGAAATTTCAAGAGGTATATACATTGATATTCTTAGAAAGTCCTATTGAAACTTATATGGATGACAATCATAAATTTTAAGTCAATTAATATAGAGATGCCCTTTACTCTCATATCATGCAAAAGAGAAAGTTGGAACATAAAATTTTGATTCGTGATCTGAAAAATGTTCCAATTAACGTAATTTCTGATAGCTCTAAATCTCCCAGCAAGAAAGACCCTTTTCCCAAAAGAAGCAAAGATTCAGAACCCTCTAATGCCGATATTAGTGATAACAAACTCTATGAGTCTCAACATGGTAATCGAACCATTCATAAGGGTCCATCTTATACATAATAACGCAAAAATACTACATCATAAGAGCATAACTACAACAATAATAATAATAATAATAACAATAATAATAACAATAACAATAATGAACATACCAATCAATTCATATATCAAAGTCCAAGTATGATCATGTAGAAAAAATAATCGTAATCCATTTTTCCTAATGTTGATAGTGGCAGTCCTATAAAAATAATCCCAAGAAAATAATCAATGTAAAACATTTAAAATAGTGTCTCGACAGTTTTATAAAATACATTATCATAAAACCTATAAAGTCAAAATGCTTTGCAGGTCTCTCAACATTAACTCCCAAGAAAAGGCTCCTAAGGTAGCATTTAGAAATCGTCCTCTTACAAAATGTCGGCAACTAATTATAACTCAACTAATTATAGCTCAGCTTTTTAACAATTAAGTAAAATCAGAAAGTGATAATTTACACATAGACATATTAATAAATATAATTTATCTTTATTCTTTCTCGAAATTACATAATTTCTGTGTGCATTATTATTTTTCAATAAATCTAAATTTCTATATTATTAATTTATCACAATCATCAAAAAAATCCGCCCGACTTTATTTCAGTTCCTTAAATATTCGATTTCAATGATTAAGCTATAGATTTTGGCCCAGATTTATTAGATTTAGAGATAGACTTTTAGGATTTCTCACTTCCTTATCTATGTACTTATGGGAACCTCACTCTCCCTTAAGATTCGTTTTGATTTTGACCATTATCTTTAAAATCAATGCCTTCAGGGATACTTACCTCATGAATTGGAGCATCTGACACTGACTTAGTCATCTGAACCTTATCCCAAGAATTTAGAGGAGGTTTCGGTGGCAATGCCTTAACAATATGATCAATTTCTGGCTTCTCCAAAGTAATGATATCAAACTCTATATATTATTTGTTAATAGCTATTACCCTTATCATATTTCTTGATCAAATCATCATACTTATGTCTCTTTATCAATCTGTCTTGAGTTCTCAATTGATCTTAAAGATCTCGTTCTCTATATTCATTTTCCAAGACATGCCTTACTTCATAACGCTTCTTGTGATTTCTATTAATTTCATCTATCATCTTGATTTCCTCAGGGATCTCCTTCGTTTAATCTAAATAAACTGATTCTCTGAACTTCCAAGATGGTGGAAATCTATCGTTAAAGTGCTTGCCATGATTTAATTAGTCCTGCTTCAATTTCCTCATTTTTATTGGATAAAATACTATTGATACTCCCACTCTTGGTCATCATTATAAAAAGATCCTGCCACAATATCATAGTTTCTGACTCTTTTACATTTATCATTTATATCTGACATTACAGCAGCCTCCTATTCTAATGCTTTTATTTCATGATTATCCAAAAACCTGTATAATTTTAATTTCGAACTTGTTTGTAATGATATTGAAATCTCGCTTATTTCTATTTATCACTGGCTTCTCATGAACTCGCTTCTAAACAACTACCTTCATGTTTTTGTAATATTCTTCACTCTTCTTCTCATTTGTTATTATATTATAATCATTAAAATTGGGTGGTAACTAACATATAATCAAATCCCATACTAAACATTATTTTGTTTTCTCTCTCTCATCAGGTCTCTCTATTCCTTAAACTTGCTCCAAATTAACTAAATCATATTCGTGCAAATATTTCTTAACCATTTCCTATCTAATCTAATATCACAATACCATTTTCTTTTATGCCAATGTAGATGTCTTCTGAAAATCTTTTTCCTTCTCCTTTACATCCCTTTCTTGATTTTAGTAAGTCTATAAAACAGGATTGAATTCAGTCTGTTTCAATTTCATTTCTTTTTATGTGAAAATCTTTGGTTTCTAAAAATCCACTTTTTGTTTCCTATTCCCTTGATATCTGCAATGAAATTAATGCAAAATCTTACTCCTTCAATTCTTCAGCCCATGCTTTCGTGTCTGCTGGATCAATATACATCAAGCAGTTATTAATTTATTACTTAAAAAGATAAATAAATAATTAACAATGTGCTGATATTCAGCTTCTATTGACCATTAGAATTATTTATAAACTAATTCAAATAAATGGATTAATCTAAATTAGTTTTTAATACTCTTACGATTTTTCATTAATTTTTACAACGTAATAAGATGATAACTAAATTGATTATATTTCTAAAGAAATTAAATTATGTTTCTTATAATACAATTTCATAAGTATGATTTCGTAATCAATTAGAAACATTTCAAGATATATTTTTCATGAGTAATGTAATGAAAAAAATACAATTCTACATATATGTCGATTGTGAATTAAATTTTAGTCAATCAGAATATCTCTATTTAGTTATTTCATACTTTACTTAATTTTGTGTAAAGGAATGCGATTTGGGAGGGTTGTAGAAGAATGTTGAATCAGAGAAATTTGGATCCAAATAGGGCATTTAAAGCATTTAAAAATTTTTTGGACATTTTTATAATAAATTATTTTTTAATATAGATTATTTTCGGAATAGTACACAATTCTTTATTCAAATAATATAGAAAATTCAGATTTAATCATTGATCTATTATCTATCTTTTCTCTTTAATACTCTATTAATTGCTCTTTCATTTCCCCAGTTATTGAATTTTCCACCATTTCCTTGAAAATTATTCTAGTTTTTGTTGCCGGATCTGTCTCTTCTATGTACATCTTCAAGTGATTTAATCTTGCTTCTTAAATTATTTTTGGTTTATTCCACCTTTTCTTATTCTAATTATTTTCTTGCCCTCTCTCTAATATCCGCATCAAAGTGATTTTTTCTCTGGTACTTATCACCATTCATTTCCTTATAATCCATGTAAATAATTTAAATTAATAAAATTTCCAAAAATTGAATTAACTCATAAATATAAAAAATTTCTTTAGTAATATATTGTTCTATTTAAAAATTGAATTAATCATATAGATTTCCGACAGAATGGACAGGTATTGTTGATATTAATCCAAGACTGAAAATTGAAAATAACTAAAATACCATAATACAGGTTTCATGGTAATGATGCAATTTTGAGCATTTCAGGACAACGACTTCCTCATTTAATTCATATGGACATCTACAAATGCAGCATTCTTGCTCTCCTTCTATTAAATTTGGTTTATATTTGATTGCTTACAATCGAGTTCTAATCTCATTTCGTTATTGTTCTTTGCCAAACCTATTAAATTAAGTAAATTTTGTTACAAATTTGCGCAATAATAACAACCAAAGATAAGCAAAAATGGTGAACCTAGGATTGCAAAGACTAATATCAAATAAAGATCAATGTATTGATAAAGAGAGATTATAAGGATTGCACATAAAAAGTAATATTAATTCATTAATTCTGCTGATCTCACACTGTAATATATACAAAATAAGTATACTCCATAACCAAAAATAAGTTAATAAATAATTGTAATTATTCTGCAACACCATTTGCCAAAGATAGTTTATTTTGCTATTTCTAATTTAATTTGTCGTGATAATATATTTAATCTCCTTGATTCAATTACTTAATCAACAATTGGACCAGCAACAATTTAATCTAATTTATATGCCAATATTCTTTTATTCATTGTCAAGTATTTTAAGTGATTCTTGTGAGCGATGATCATAATAAATGCATGGAACATGATTGCAAGCATCCAATAATTCAAATCAGTTTATTCATGATTCATATACAATAATGCAAATCCGCATCCAATTTTCAAAGAGTTAAATGAAATAAAATAATATTGAGTAGTCCGAAAATGACTCACAGCCTCTTTATAAATAGGGGTTTCTAAATACATTTATTATTCCTCCTGTTCATTTTGATTCACTTCTCTATAATCGCTATTCATTTTTATATTAAAGTATTAAAACGAATTTTATCAAATAAAATACAAAATTATGTATCTATATTCCGTATATTTTCTTTGTTTTCCATTCATAACCCCCAAAATACATGGTAATTTTGATTCTTTTGAAATGTATTTTTTCATTCCTGATTTTGGAGACTGAAAATAATTTTTTGGTAAATTATAAAAAAATGAAAATGCATATATAAAAAATTTTATAAAAATTTTAACAATTGTATTATTTATGTTCGACAAAATATTAAAATTAAAATTTTAATGAACTCAATTATGACGTTATGATGTTGAATTTTAAAGAAAATGCAGAATATTGTTTGTTTAATAAATAAATTTTAAATTGGAAATAAGATGTCTGCAAGACTATTAACAGCTGCCTTTAGAGGAATTAACATTCAAACTTATCCTGCTTCAATTTATACTTTGTCTACATAGAATGAATAATAATAACTGGTGAAAGTTATAGTTCCAAAAAATCTCTTTGAGATGCCAGTCGTTCACTACGCTGAGTAGTCCATAGCTATACTTGATAAGAAACCAACTCCTAAATGAATTATTATATATATTATATAATATACTAACCCTTAAGAATTTCTAGTTTCCTTAAAAAGAAATCTCACTTTTTCATTAAAATGAAAACAAATACTATGATCAGATTCAAGAAATCATAATAAAAGCCTCCCGTCAGGTTTTATTACTGAGAGTATCAAGTTGGTAATTTAGGAATCAGAAATTCAAATCGATATGCAAATTCTAAAAAGTATCCAAATGTACTTCAATGATAAGCAACTTGAATGCATTACACATACGCAAACAATGAATTGCATGAAGGAATGAACTAAAATGGTGGAAATTCACATTTTGGAGGATGAGACTAAATTACAAAAGTCATACACGAGAAAGATGTCAGTATAATTAAAATTAAAAAGTTTTCAGTTAAAACAATAATCGACTACGACATCATTATCAGGTAGAAACAAAGAATTAAGAAAGATTGGAATTTTGATTGTCCTTATAGTTATATTTGAATCTTTATCTGAATTCCAAAATATACATCTTATTTGGATTGAAATTGCAGTATTTCAATTGAATTTATAAAGTGTCAATTATTCTAAAAATGTATTAGATATTTTCTGACTACCTTCAGTTTATATAATATTAAGAAATGAATTAATAGAAAAAGACTATTTTTACATAAAAAAAAGCTGTCTACGTTTTGGAGGAATAATTAGGATAAGGGACCGGAGGCTATGTTTATAGGGCGTATAAAGTTTACAATAATTAAAAATAATATGTCGCGTTAAAAGTTTAGTCTAATTTAAATTATACAGAATAATAAACTTTAGAAATACTCACAAGATAAAATTTGAACCATGTTGTTAACATCTTGGACTTAGATTCATATAATAATGAGATAATTATTACAATGGATTTAGCTGATGGGTCATTTCAAAAATTTTGGTCATTATCAAAAATAAATAATGCTGAAGAAATACTACGATATTTCATTTAGGTATTCATTAAATATTATGCTTTAAGATTGCTAAAGGAACACTAGAATTACATCAATTATATTTGATTCATAGGGATTTAAAATTGGAAAATGTAGTTTATTAGGAAATAAATAATGTGAAACATTTAAAGTTGTGCGATACTGGACTCATCAGACAACAGAATGGGATGAAAACAATGATGGTAGGGACACCATACTATATGCCACCTGAATAAATCAATAAATAGATATATGATGAAAAAACTGATATCTGGGCCCTGGGAATGATACTCTATGAAATGTTGTCAGGAAGAACAATGGTGAGAGGTATTTAATAGTATAAAATTATAAAGGAAATAGTGTTTAAGAAATATTGAACAATATTTTAAATTTGAGTTAGGCCTCTATTAACTTTCAAATTGATTAATTAAAAATTAATAAGCAATAAGGGGTTAATGATATCAAGGGCCTCTTAAGATAGATGATAGTTAAAGATAGCAAATAGAGAGTTGATTCCTAATTTGTCGTGACAGAACTAGAGAGAATCTTAAATATTTAGTCTTTGTAAGTTTAGAATGGCTAGAACATTATGCAAATAGTGAGGCCTGAAATAAGGGAATAAATTAGGTTAGAAATATAAAAAGAATTTGAAATAAAATTTTAATAGGAATAAGATAAATTAGCAGAATAACAAAAATTAGATATGGAACAGTTTAAAAATGAAATTATGGAGTATTATCAAAAATAAATAATTGAGTAGACAATTAGAGTTCAAAAAGAAACTGAAGAGAATCTAAAAGCTTAATAATAAAAAGAACTATAAATATTGTAAGAAGAATACGATAAAAAGATTGCTAATTGCAATTAGCAGTAAATAGAAGAGTTAAAATATCAATATTAAGAGGAAAAGTAGAATATTATAACATAGATGGAAAAAAACTATTAAATTAGATTCTAATAAGAGGCAAAAAATAAAGAAATTGAGCTTTAAAAGGAAATGGAAATTCAGATATAAACTTAATTGTAAAATCGACAACAGATTAGTAAACTGTTACTTTAAGAACAATTAAAGTAACACTATTAAGAAGAGTTTGAATAGAAATCCAGAAATTTAGCCTAATATTAACAGCAACTGACGAGTATTTAATAGAATTTAAATAGAAATAAAATCAATATCGAAATGTAATAAAAGGATTTGATTAAACACTCAACACCTAATTAGTCCTAAAAATTTTTAAAATCTATATCGGAATATAAGCAACAATTATAATAAATGCTTAATTAACTAGAATCAATTAATAAGCAGCTTTCTGAATTAGAAATTACTTCTGACGTTTTATCTTAAAACTAGTACTGTAATTTGATTGAAGAAAATCTTTAAAAATTAGAATAAATTAAAAATCTTTATTAAGATTTGATTGTACCTAATTTGGTTGAAAGTTTTATACAAAATTGGAATTAACTATTCGATGATATTAGAAGAGAATAAAAATAATAAAAGATTAAAAATGAAGAATCACTTTTAAAGCTCTAATAAGAGGATTCTGAAAAATTGACAAAAAAATTACAAGATCTCTTTTTGGAATTAAAGGAAAAATTAAAGAATGTTAATGAAATGATAGGAGCTTTAAATTAAAAAAATAGTGAATTTTTGTAATAGTATGAAACCTTGAATTAATAGCATAGCTCACTTTATATAGAATTCTAAATTCTTTAAAACTCAATAAAGTTAGCAAAGGAAGATTAAAAATTGGATATAATTGAAAAATAAAATAAATAAATGGTTCATTTATTAGATAAGCTTAAGAAAATTTAATTTGATTTAGAATCATTTATTTCCATTGTCTAATAATATAAAGCCAAAGAGCAACAAATGATTCAAGATCAATTATAGAATTTTATTGTGATAATAGATGATTGGGAATACAAAAGAGATCAAATTAATTATTAATAGTAATCATCAAACCTCTTAATAGAGTTAAAAACATAATTGGAAGAGAGAAATAAAGAATTAGAAATATTGAAGGAAATAAAAAATAGGATAATCTAATTGATAAATGAATTAAAATAGAATAAAAATTAGAATTTTTACAAGCAGTTCTCTGAAATTGAAAAAGAATTTCAAATTTCAACTATGAAATTAAATTTAATTGAAAATTATTATAAAAAAGAGTAAAGGCGATCATACTTAAAGCCTAAAGTATAATAATATGCTTAAGAGGAATAGAAGAATATTAATTCTAATTTAAGATAACTTTTTGATTCTGTTTCAAAGAGAAGGAATGATTTATAAAATTAATTATAAAAGTTATAGAATAGGTGCAATGACAATATTTAATAATAGCATATCTTCAAATAATTGGAACTGATTAGATATATTTGTGAAAACCAGAAATAGATAATTTAAGAAATTGAAATGTGTATCAATAAATTTTAGATATCAAATTTTTAGTCAATTGATGAAATTAATCTAGAAAATAGTAAAATAACTTACTAAATTAAAATGTTCTCTTAGAATCTTGATCCTTTATTTGAAAGTTTGAATGAAATTAAAAAATAAATGACATAGCCAGAGGATAAATATTGGGATAATGATTTTTAAACTTTAAAAAATTCATTTTAAGAAATTAGAAATTAATTGGAAGATGTTAAATTAAATTAAAAAGAAGAAGAAATTTACAACAAATTAAATGAATCTAAGTAGCAAGTCAAGCAGAATATAAAAAAATGTTTAGAAACATATAAGAATGCTATTTGAATAAAATGAAATATAAAGCTAATTGTTTTCATAAGTACTTAAAGACAATAAGTAAAACGAAAAATGTTTAAAGGAAAAATTTTTAAAAAAATCCCAAACCTACATAGCATGGGCTAAAGAATAATAGAGTAGAATATAAGAAATTGAAAATTAAATTAAACAATAGGAATAGTAAAATACAGATGAATTTGTAGGTAAATTCATCAAAGATTATAAAGAGATAGCATCTTTGTTAGAGAAATTAAATATTAAAATTAGTGAATTGGAGCTATAAAAAAATAGAGATCAATTTAATAAATATAATGAATTAGCCTAGTAATATCAATAAAAAATAAATGATTTAAAATTTGAAAAACAATAGAATTAATCTTCTTTTTAAGCTCTTTACTTTTATATTTAACAAAACTAAATTATCAACTGTGCTGATGCTCTTTTTGAACTTTATTGCTTAAATAGAAGATTTTAAAATCATTTATAAGACTAAAAGAATTATATTTAAAAAAAAATTGAAAATAAAGAATAACAAGTGGAAAAAAATGTACTTGAATTATCAAATACTTAAAACAATCTTGAAAAAATATAAGTTTGCTTTAATATACTAAAGATGAAAGAAAATGAATTCAGTAAGGTGGACATATTTATTAAATCTATAAAAAATGACCTACTGAGCTTGAAAGAACAGTTCGATGAACTTGATTTTGAATAGTAACTGAAAAAATTACACGAAAAAATTAGAGATCTAATTTAGGATTAACAAAAAAATATCTAGATAAAGAATAGTGTCAAATTAAAAAGTAAATTAAGAAATAAAAATTCTGTTAAAGAAATTCAATAAAGCATATTAGATTACATTCCTAATTCAAAAGAAATGACTAATAGTCTAAGTAAAATGATGTAAGAATAAAGAAAATATTGATGTGATTGTTTGATTTGAAAAATTTAGTTTATTTAAATTATTTTATGCTTCTTACAGAATTGATAATAACGAGTAGTATTCTCCTTTGTAATAGCAGGTTTCTCACATAATAATTCAGCTATTTAATTTACTAATTTTGGATACCATCTATAAACTGCATACATTTTGAGTCATCCTTAGTTCTAATAACTAATTAAATCATATTAAGGTTGAATTTTTTACTTAATTGGAAGATGATAATTTTCCTGAACATTTATTTAAGATAATCGTTCTTGGTGCTCTTTCGTTAGGAATTTTGAGTATATTTGATATAATATAACTTTGCTTTCTAATTATGTGGATCTTTTCTTGGCAGCAGAGTCAGATTGTGTTAGTTTAAATATCTAAGATTTCAATAAATCTAAGTAACACATTTATAAAATAATTCATGGTTTTCTAGTTCTTATATTCTTCACAGCTAAATTGAGTGCTACTTTACAGATTTGAGAATCTAGTGTATTAGTTAATTTCATAGATTTTCCTAATGATTTAGCAGTGGCTGATTTTTGATGGTGAATTTGTTAAGATATAGATTATCCATTCAGCAGTTTTTATGAAATAGTTGCCTATTAAGAATTCATATCTTATCTAGCTGATTAAGCTGGCTAATATAAATTAATTTTATGTTCACTGGTTATATTTATGCTTAAAGGTTTATCATTAGAGTTAGATTTAAAATTAAGTTTGCGAGGAGGATCACGATTCGATAAGGGTTCTTAGATCTTGACTCTTCTGAATTAATTAAGTTCTTTAATATTCAATTTTTTCTTTGTAAATTGTCCATTGGTATTATTGGCGGATTCAAACCTCTATGTAAGGCTTCTAGGATCTTAGGCCAAAGATAAACTATCAAAATGGACGGTGCTATATTATTTGGAATTTCTGGAGTGCTTTTTGGCAAGTAGAGTTTTTAGATCAGACATCACTTTGATTTCTAGTTGTTAAACCTTTTTTGGTAGATAGGGACTCTATTGGGGTGCTCTTGGAGTAACACATTTCGGGGATTTCAAAAGGGTTGCAATTCTTTATTAATTTGGTAGTAGAGTGCTATTAGTCGGTGATTTAATATCTATGTTTCTCGGTGTCTAAATGATAATATAAAACCAATATCTATACTATATGCAATTAGTCTGATTTGATGGATGGATTATTCTTTTTAACTGCTGTCTATGGAACTTTTTTCTTGAGCATATTAAGAATATTGGTAATACTGGATTTGCGTTATTATTTATCTGGGTTATTTGGTTTCTGAAACTAAATTGCTTACTATTTAATTTGGGGTTTGTAATTTTCATATTTGAAGTTTGGAATTGTTTATTATAATATTTGGTATTGTTAGAGTTACTATTTGAAATTGACAAATTATGGCTTGGTCTCAATGAAACTTATGCCTTCAAGGATCTTGTCGCATTTAGATATCGGCTAGATTGAGGTGCTGTTATACTTCATCAGAGGAACTCGCTTCCTAAGCCGTCAATTATTGGCTGGAATAAGGCAATGGCGAGTCGCCCACTATGCCCTTTGGAGGTTTATCAGGATTGTTCTTATTCTCATTTGAAATGAGTTTGGCAATTCTATAGTACTCTAATCTTCTCTTCTTATCATGGTAATAATTAAGGGGAATAATGGCTGGCATCATAAACAAGCGTGGAATATCATTGTGAAACTATAAGTAGAATTGATTGGTACTTTGTAATACTCACCCAACATTTGCAGTTTTTCATATAAAATAGAGATGTGAAACACTTTACAAAGCAGTTCTTCTGGTGTATCGTAAAGCAATACGTCTTTATAAAGAATATTATTAGATGTGCGAAAGTTGTGCAATATTTCACTAATACCTTTAGTGTAATGATAATTTTAGGATTAAGAGTATTTCAAGAACAATGAATGACGCATAATATCTATTAATAACATATTAAATCTACCTATGATTGGAGTAGTCTCTTCACAAAAATCACATTTCATTTGAATTTATGATAATTAAAATATATATATATAATCACTAAGACTTCTGAGTCATTTTCTGAATTACTTTATCGTCTTTGCCATCAATGATAAAGTCTTTCTTGGGATTGTACCTACACTTCTTGAGAATGTTCTCAACTTCAGGTTCACTTGGTGTTCTTAAGATTGAACCGTCGTATCTGTAAATAATAGATTTCACAGGTTCATAATAACCTTCACCAACATCTGAAACTCAATCTCAAAAACTCATACCGTATGTGCCTTCAGGAATTTCAATAAGAATATCATCCTTAGTCATTTGAGTGATTCCTGCTGGTTTTATACTCTGTTTGATTTCCTGATGAAATCGTCTGTCATCTCCAATACAATATTTCCAATCCATTGGTTCATATTTCAGATGGTCTTCAAAAAAATAGGTACCATCAAGCATCTTCCCTCTCTCCCATTTAGCTTTGTATTATCCCTACAGGAATATAATTTTATCTACCCCATTTGGAAATATGAGAGTTCCATCTCCATGAAATTCGCCCTTAAAAAAATCACCCTCGTAGATGACCCCATTACTAAAATAATATTTGCCCTTTCCATGAAACCAACCTTCTAGCTGCTCACCCTCATATTTGCTCTCTGCCCACTTTGACATAATAAATTATTAAAATAAGTTATATGTTATACAAAAATCCCTGTTTTTCTAAATAATTGAATTCAAATTTTAATACAATGTTAATTGGATCAAATTAAATTGCATTTTCTCACCTAATTTGGTACCAAATTATCCAAGACTACCAGGATTAAGTTTGTTCAAAACATTTTAATTTTGGTTAAGAATTAAATAAAAATATTATACCCAATTAATTTATGTTTCCAAGTAAATTGTATGATTTATAATTGACACCCTCATTGAACAAACTAAATTGCGATTTGGAGAGTGCCAAATTAATGGAATCATTCAGAAAACTCCTACTTGAGGATGACAAAGAAATTTTGACTCCAGCCTTGGTAATTTTAACATTGATGAGCCTAGGACTTAATGAAAGCCATATCACATGCACTTTATGGCACCATCGTGTATTGGAAATCCTTAAGTGATAAATGCAAGGATGATGACCTTAACACTTTAAGTTAGCAATTTCAAAGGAAAATTGTGATTTATGATATGTGCGAGGATAAAGATCTGAGGTGTTAAATCATCAACTTTGGTTATAAAAAACGCATTTATCTCGCTCGGTATCTCAATTACTTTTATGTGGTTGGCAAGAAAGGCAGCGAGGAAAAGCATAAATTGATCAAAGACATACTGTTGGATGTAATTAATGACATTATAGGTTTACCTATAAGAAGACACAAGCGATCATATTCAGATCCTTTCAAATACCTTTCTGATTAAAAAGACAATCGAATCAATAAGCTTAATGTCAAGAATGTACCTCTCTCTCCATCCAATATATCCAGAACAAGCTTACAGATGCAACTCTTAGATGAAATCAATCAAGACGGAGATCTGCTCATGTAGGAATGCAATTCAGTCATCAACTCATCCACTACTTAAAATGATCTTCTGCAATCTTTGAATCTGAATTTATAAGAAGGCACAAATATTCTCTCAAATGTAAGTCTATGAGATGCAAATATTAGATTAGATATTTTGGTACTCTTAAGTTTTATGACGAAGCCAGATCATATGGATTCATTATTATGGATTAAGACGGAAGTGATTTATTCGTTCATTGTGATGATCTAACTAAAGCAGGAATGACAAAGGATTTCTTAAGAACTGCAAAACAAGGTAATATCATTAGATTCTCATTTTTGATACTGGAATATTTTGGTAAATACAATAAGAGTAGAAAAGCGGTTGACTTGTAATTTATCCAGGGTTAACCCTATTTCATGTGATATAATATTTATATATATATATCTACTAACATATCGTTTATTTGTTGATTATATTTCGAGGGATTTATAATAATTTCGAATAGAATAATGAAATCAAAATCAGATTACTTATATAAAGAAAAAATTACTATAATTATTCAGTTATCATAATTTTGCAGAATCAGCCATCTCTGGATATGAAGTGATAATGAAACTGATTTTCTCTTACCATTCGAAAAAAATTTAAGCATAATCATGAGCCATTATTTATTTATATTATGATATCCGAATACAAAAAAGGATATCCTTAAAATCCAAATTCGATTAATGATATGATCAACAATGATGTGCTGGACTCAAGTCTTGACAATCTAAAGATGGATCCTTACTGTTGTGTTGATGATAATTTCGATGAGATTGGAGAGTAAGAAATTGGCATAATAATTGATTCTAATTTACAGGTTGAAAATCCTCTAAATTTTGCAAAATTAAAATACGATAATCCGAACAAAATAAGCAATATGAAATCAATTCGTCAACGGCTTAAGCCACTTAATAGGAGCAGTAAGAAAAACAGTAAAATTTGCGAAATGAAGATTATTGGAAAATCAAAAACACCTAGTAGGGTGAGGATAGAGTACTTCAAAAGAAATAGGAAAAGAATAGAGAAAACTTTGATTGAATGCAAGATTTGATTTTTTTAATTTATATGAATTACTAATTATTATAATTTATAGTTAAATTTGTCATTTAATATTTATGATTAAACTCAATGCATCAGTTTAATTATTGAAGCGATTTGTTCAAATTAGGATTGCTTCTAAAGGTTCTAACCACAATTGGGTTGCTTTCAATATTAAATCAGCATTTTTGGAATTAATTTTTAATATATTATTATTATGAATTATATTGATTAAGGTTCGGCTCTGTCTAGGAATGTTCCAAATAGAAAATTATCAAAAAAGAATTCCTTATTTTATTAGGTATGATCATGGCATTTTACAAAATTAGTAATCAGTATTGGAGAATGAAGAGTTTCTGTTAAAGTACTAGAAGAATGTCGATTAATTGCAGACAGTAATTGAAGAGCCTGAATTGAAGGAAGTAATACAGAGTAGGAATGAGAAATTTTTTTAAGTTTTGGAATAAATCATAAAGGTTGAATCATCAATAAAGGACTTTGCAAAAGGGTAAAGCAATAGGTTTATATAGATATCAAAAGTTCGGATTTGTAGTATCAGATAATGGAATCACATATAGAGAATGGGCTCCAAATGCTAAAGAGTTGAAATTGAATGAGTACAGTTGTACCACTGACAACGGTGGTAATTGGGAAGTTTTTATACCAAAAGATGACGATGACAATCACTAAATAGTGCATGGAAGTCCATTAATAACATATTGCAATGATTTATAAAGAGTATCAGTTTGGAGTTAGGTTAAAAAAGGAGAATAAGCAATATTTTGGAATCCTGAAAACAAATATGAATTCCAATAATAATAGTTATAATAAAAATAACAAAGTAAAGGATTGAAAATAAATAAACAGAGAATTAATCAACTAGAGAACATTCCTGGATATAATGCAATATTAATTACCGAACAAGTCTTAATGGCTCTAGACATAAATTAGACTAATCCTGATGATTTGAAAAAGACCATTGATAATCTTCATCAATAAGGACTCTCAGTTCTGATGGAAATAGATCATCAACTGATTGGATAGCTATTAAAAAATTGGGATGGTGGTGAATTCCAGTATGTTCGTGAGGGTACAGATTAATTGGATTACAGCAAATGGGAAGTATTGAGATTACTACTCTCGAATATTTCCTTCTGGATCACAGAGTATTAGATAGATGGGTTCAAGTTTTCAAATATAGATCTTACTGACGATATTGATATTGCTGTTTATTTGATGTTGGCAAATGATTTAATTCATGACATATTGCCAAATGGAATTAGTGTCATTAATAGTTTTGAATACCCAGCCTTATGCAGAACTATCAAGGAAGGTGGATTAGGGTTTGATTTCAAAGTTTCCTAATCTCAAACAAAATAATATTTGCCAAAAACACTTTACGAAATTCCATTGGATGCATCACATTTATAACAACTTAATGGCTTAGTCTTAGGATAGGTAATTCTTAGTATAAATAATCTTAGGGAGTGATCACAAATGGAAAAGATAATAACTTATTGTTACTGGAATCTTAGCTTGGGTGGTTGGAGACTGAGTTTGCCGAAGTTAATGTTATTGACTTTGTGATTGAAGTTAAGAGATCAAAATATATATTTTTGTTTAATCCCACTGATTAAGTAAGAGCTAATTTCCATATTATAGAATAGAACAATTAAGTTGAGTTACACGATAAATAAAGTCATAAATCATGTAGGATACAAGTGGACATAAATTGATGACAATAATACCGAAATATAAATTCAATCAGAATAGGGATTGATCATTGAGTGATAACCTTTAACTATCTGAATTAATAGAATGTGTAAAACAAATATCAATTATTTATTAATATTATATTTTATCATCAAATCTATGTTGTAATAGAATTAATATTAAAAACTATCTTCCTTATCTTTAATAAAATATATAAATATAATAATGCTTCAATATTGTAAGGCTTCTTAAACATAGAACTTGACATCCCTATCTGGATCATCTAACATCTCATTTAAAGATCTATTCTAAATTCATATTTACTATTTTATTTAAATCAACACATCTTAATTCTCAATCTTCTTCATTAAAGACTTAGCAACTTTCAAACATACAAATCTTATATTTGGAATCGGATCCTTTAAGTATTTCTATACAATTGGCCATAATCTTTATTCAACCTGATGACTCTCAACAGCAAATGAAATTTGTTGAATTGCATAAAGAGCATTTATTCGGAAAAAACACCCATTATCTTTTTCTAGAATTTCCACACATTTTTAAAGAAAACTACCCAAAGCCCATTCCTATTTATATACTGCAATCAATTCCGATAAGTAGCTTAATCCAATAGATCTGACTTCAGCAGCTCTATCTCTCAGAAACAATAAAAATGCTTATTCCAATTACTAAGTGAAAGTATCTAATTGCTTAACGGACCTATTTATAATTTTAAATAAGATCTATACAAGGCTAATTAAATAATAGTTTTAATTGTCTCCTTCCTTACTCTCCATTTAGGATCAATCATAGATTTCTTTAGATGAGGTATAAATTAATTTAGCTCTTCAAATCCAATTGCAATAACAAAAATTCCAGCAGATTTAATTGCATTTCTTCTAACCTCAGTATTTTCATCGCTCATTAATTCAAATAAGCATTTTTGTAATTTATTCTAACAATATTCTTTTGGTAATAAATTAGCTATCTATCCAATTACCTCGCAAACATTTTCTATATTTACACAAATCTAATACATTTCACTTAACAAAACGAATCTTCAGATAAAATTTATAAATTTGGAACTATTAAATTTAACTTTTCTGGAGATATGAATTTTATAAATCTCAGCAAACTTTTCACTGCCACAAGTCTAACATCGCATTGAGTATCCTTTAATAAATTTGAAAAGATCGGAATTAGTTAAAAATCAGTAATGTCCTTGCCGACTGCTATGGCTAACTTAAATAATATATTATAAACTACATCTGTAAAAATTTAAGCCAAAGCCATTCGAACCTTCCAAGATTTATCTTCAGCTTATAAAATAATTAAAGGGAGTATATATGCTTTGATTTCATTGAAATTTAACATTTGTGAAATACTCATTAAACTTTGAGCACATAATAATCTAACAGAGTCTTATTCATCATAACAAAGATCTTTAACTGCTGGAAGTAGGTCTCCAACAACATGAGATTTTTCCATTGACTGTGCGATTTCTCCTATTTTACTAGCAACTGCTCTTCTAACCATTATAGCGTCTTCCTTACATAATTCAGCGAATTGTCTAGTTATTTCAAAACTAGCCTTACAATCTCATATTTTCTTGTTAAGTTCCTGCTCTTGCATATATTGGAGACATTATATTGATAGCAGATATTCTACATGTGAAAATTGTATCATTTTATGCTAATCTTAACCACTATGAATTTTATAAAAGAAATTAATTATACCATTGGGACAATTACATTTACAATCTCAAGATCACTCAAAAATTGACAGACAAATGATATAGATTTAACTGCTTGTTCCCTTACAACTGTTTCATCAAAGCTTGCTAATTTTTCCAATAGATTGAGCAAACAAGAAGACTAATTAGGAATTATTTCCCTAGTTTTAATTTTGAATTCTACGCTATATTGCCCAGTTCTTCAGCCATGGCGAATAACACTTCGTCATCATCTTTCTTCAACAGGGCTTATCGTTAATTAATTATAATTAGTTACAATCTAAGTAAGGTAGCAATTAAGATTTAATTTGATCTACTCCAATTAATGTGCAAATAATTCGAACTCTATGCATGGCATTCACTCTTAAATATACTTCTTCGTTTTCCATATCTTCTTTAAATACTTCAATAGGATTTTCGCTCATATTTTAATTAGAATATTTATATAACCAAGAAATATTTCTCTCGAATAACAATGATTTTATTTATGCTTATAATAACAACTAGTATTATAAAATTACAAACAGATAACTATTTTAAATGGTTTATCAACGCTCAAATAATAATACGCATTATTAGAATAATTAATATTATCAAAAGAAATTTGGAAATTCTGTGTATAATTATTATAAAATTATGTATATTTTCTAATCTAAAATTAGGTATTCAAATAAATTATTATAAAATAAGATTTATGTATTGCGATTCAATCTCTGATGGTTTGGTGGCTTTGGGAGTATTTGACGGATCCCTGGGCATAGTGTCGTTAGTTTTATCGATTATGTTAGAAGGAACTCAAGAAAAAATATACACTCTCATGTGTACGATTACTGAATTCTGGTGGATTTGGCTGATTGTAAGCATAATATATAAGAAACTTTCAGTTGGTATCAATTCAACTTATTTAGGTGTTGTTTGCTCTGTGAAAGAGGTGTTGATGCTCCCAGATTATCAATTCTCTAGATACGTTGCTGCAATCCTTTCCCTACTACAATTTTCAATGACAATATGCTTAATCAACAGTGATGATGTTAAAAAGTTCACAGGAGAAAGTAAATTATTTTTATGAATATTTTAGTGTTGGCATTGGCTATGCTTGTTCCAGTTTTCTGCTTTTTTAAAGGAATAGCATTAATATTTGTTCTTCTTTAATAAATATTCTTTATATTTACAGGAAGAGAAAAAAATCAATACTTTACTTTAATCCAAGAATAACAATCAAAAAAATAAGTTATTTTCTTGGGAATAGTATTTTTAATTATGACATCACTTTATTACTTTTTAAAATCATTGTTTGTATTCACTATCTATAACAATTTCGACGATCTAAGCACTAAAATATTCACTTTAACAATAATAACATAATCACTTTTTCTAATCATTTTCAGTTCTTTTATGACTTACTAGTTGATTACAATTTTAAAGTAGATTCCTGTTCATGAAGATCCACATTTAATGAATCCTAATTAAAAATGCTATCGTAACTGGTTCATTTTAATTAAGTCAATTTATTTTAGTGATAAAATGAGATGGCTAAGAAGAATTACTTAATGCTTTTGGTGTATATAATGTGTTTATGGATTGATACAATTCCCATTTTTCAAACTAATGCAAATTACTTAATAATAACTCTATACTCAAACCTCCTTTATGTACTTCGATACTTTTTTATTATAAGGCCTAATCATAACTTAAATCATTTTAAATATGGCCAAGAAGTACCATTAGATATAAGATGATGAAGATCCATTTTTATTTAATATCAAAGTATTAATCATTTTTAATTATTTAGTTTGCTAACGAGGATTCATCTCGAGCTGAAAAGAAATAAAAAACTCTTGATAATTCTTAAATTCAATGTGGAATTTGTCTTGAAGACTTGAAAGCCGGGTAGATAAGACAGAAGTTAACATGCCATGAAACCCATATTTTTCATCTACTTTGTATTTAAAAATGGACCCAGACTTAAAACGTTTGCCCAATCTGCAGAACTCCTTGTGATTGAAAGTTTCGAAATGATTTATTCAACAATAATTTATATTGTAACATACTTAAATTATTTAAAATTAATCTATGTAGTTTATAATAATATCTTAAAGAATAAGATGTTCTTAAATGGTTTATTAATATAATATAGATCTAAAATGATTTGCTGAGTTTAGGCCTCAGAAATAGTATGATTTATAATGATGATCGCGAGTCTACCTATTTTTTTGATATATCTGTATCATTTTCTAACTAAGATCCCTACACTTTTTTGGGAAAATACAAATCTTATTAATTCTTCTTTGGATCTTTATCAAAACCCAAATTAAAAAAGAATATAAGGACTTCAAATCAGAGGCAATGTCTGAATAAACAGATTTGATACTCATTTTACCATTTTGATAAGAACAAAAAGAACTTTGAAAAATCAATTAAGTCTAATACTAATTATAACTAACAATTTTATTGTTAAAATGTAATTCAAACCCGCACCATCTAATCTGAATTAAATCAGAGCACAAAAGGTAAAATTTGATGATAAAGAATTAACATATTTAAAGAAAGAAAAAAAACTAGAGCAAAGGATAACTGAATTGATGTAGGAATTACAATAGATTCCAAAATTATAAGAATAAATAAAAGCTTTGAATGAATAAATTTCTAAATAAGATAACACTATATAACGATTCAGGTTGGTACAAAGCAATGAGAGAACATTGAATGAAAGGATTTAGAATAAGGAAATTACAATATAAAACCAAGAACATGAAATTGAATAATTGAATAAAAAAATTGACCAACTTTAAAAGGATGTATGCTATGAAAAGCAAAATAAGTAAATTACTTTTCAAATTAAACAACCAGTTAAATCTTTAACCGTTCAATAAGAATAGGAAAAACCAATCAGAGTGTAAGAACTTGAAAAATAATTACTTTATAAAACAACTGCAGTTCTAAAAGTACAAGAGAAAAAAAGATAAATGAAGAAACAATTCAAAAATAAAATTGAATAGTTAGAACAAGAATTAAAAGATTACAAATATGGTTATGAGTCATATTATGAATAAAATGAATAACTTACTGAATAATTAAGAGAGACTTCTGCATTATGTATGATGTATCAATTATCATTAAGGTGGCAAATTGACAAGTGAAAACTAATCTTTAAAAGATTAATTAGAAATCTTTAACTGCGTCCCTTCCGAGTAGAGAGACAAAAATTAAGACACAAAATACATCATTGAAATTTAAAATTTAAGAAACCGAAACCTACAATAACAACAATAGATATCCCAATTATAATATGATATTAGTGAGTTGAAAACTTAGAACGGAATTCTGATTGAAAAGCTTAAGACTATAGATTCTGTAAAATAGAAGAACGATAAATTGCAAGGAGAACTTATGCTTTTAGAAACAGAAAATGAAAGACTTAAGAGGAAGAATCTCAGTGACTTAGATCACATTGAATAATAAATAGTCTAAATAAACTTAAAGGAGTAACAAATAAAGGATAAAAATTATGAATTAGAATTGAAGTAGATCAATTTGCATTAAATGATTAAGTATACGAATGGTATGAAAGAAGAAAATGAGTAGTTAAATGCTGAAATAGTTATTTTAAAATCATAACTTTTGGATTTGAGGAGACAATTTGAATTTGTGGAAGAAAAGCATGAAGAGGAAATGAGAATTTTAGAAGAAAAATTAAAATTATTATAAACTTAAACAAATTTTAGAATAATTAATTAAATCCCAGTTTAAATTAATTCACCATATTAGATACCTTAAATCGAGCGTCATTATTTATGAAATACATATTAATTTAAATAAATGTTATAAAAACTCATAAGATATTATTAATCCTACTATCATGGGGTTTCCAGTGTTCCGTTAACTTATAAGACAATTGGGTAACAACTACAAGATATCAGTGAGAAATACCCTGATAACAAGGCTGTAAGTACTTAGTTTATCATAGATCATTTCTTAATTACAAGGAATAGATATGAAATACTCTGAATTATATACAAGGAGCAAAGAACTTGCAGCTGCATTCATAGCTTTAGGATTAGAAAAAGGAGATAGAATTGGGATTTGGTCACCTAACAATGTGGAGTGGGCATTGACGTAATTCGCTGCTGCTATGGCCGATCTAATTTTAGTCAATATTAATCCAGCATACCAAACTTCGGAATTAGAATATACACTTAATAAAGTTGGTTGTAAAGCTTTAATCATGAAGTCCTCATTCAAGCACTCGAACTATGTTGCTATGCTAAAGGAATTGGCACCAGAATTGGATATTCCTGGACATCTTTCATCAAAGAGACTACCCTATTTAAAATGTATCTAAAAAATTATTATAAAAATTAGCTGCTATAATTATAGATAACATTCACAAACATGGTTTTTATAACTTCAAAGATATATTTTCTCTAAGCAATGCAGATCACCTTCATTAAGTCGATATTAGAATGGAAAAATAAGATCCAGATGATATAACAAATATTTAATTTACATCTGGAACAACAGGTTTACCAAAGGGAGCATCCTTAAGTCACATCAACATTCTAAACAATGGTAAATATGTTGGAGGAAGAATAAACTACACTGAAAAAGACGTTGTGGCTATCGCAGTTCCTTTATACCACTGTTTTGGAATGGTACTTGGAAATTTAGCCTGTATAAATTATGGTTCGACCATGGTCTACCCTAGTGATGGGTTTAGTGCCGCTGCGACTTTGGAAGCTGTAACTAATTATAAATGCACATCAATTTATGGAGTTCCTACAATGGTATTTAATTATTTAATATTTTTAGTTTATCGAATATATAAACGAGTATGAGAAGCATAATCACAAATACGATGTATCAACTTTGAGAACTGGATTAATTGCTGGATCTTTGGCTTCTGAGGCACTCATGAAATAAATTATTAATGTCTTAGGAGTTAAGGACATTTCAAACTGTTATGGCTAAACAGAATGCAGTCCTATCACATGCTAAAATAAACCAACAGATTCATTTGAAATAAAGACAACCAAAGTAGGATGTCCACTAAATGCAGAGGTGAAAATAGTTGATTCAAATGGAAATGTAGTACCATATGATACACCAGGAGAGTATTGTGCTAGGGGTTATAGTGTTATGAAAAAATATTGGGAAGATGAAAAGGCAACAAGAGAGACTATCGATAAAAATGGATTCTTGCATAGTGGTGACATTGCTACAATGGACAAAGATGGATACATAGCTATTGTAGGAAGGAACAAAGATATGATAATTAGGGGTGGAGAAAACATTTATCCAAAAGAAATAGAAGAATATTTGTCTCATATGAATGGTGTAGAATAAGTTTAAGTAATTGGATGTAATGATGAAAAATATGGTGAAGAGGTTGTTGCACTAATAAAAATGAAGAAAGATGCAGAAGAAATATCAGGACTGGATGTCTATCAATATTGCCATAAGAAAATAGCTTATTACAAGATCCCGAAATTCGTTAAGTTTGTCAATGAGTTCCCTTAAACAATCACAGGAAAACCTTAAAAATTTAAGATGAGATAGGAAATAAATAAGGAATTAGAAGACCCTAAATATGTAGAACTCTATTAGATCAGATGAATCATTTTATATCAAAATAGTAATCTATAATTAATCAATATTATTTTCAATTTCAATCATCATCCCAATCACTATTTTTCTTGGGTTTATATTCGATTTATTTATCATAAACAAATCCTGGATCTCCAGGTTTCAGAAGATTCTTGACATATTTTACATCCATCTTCTCCTTAACTTTCTAAACTTCCTCAACATTTAATTTATTTAAATTCAAATTTTCTATGTCAGATTCTGGTTGAGATTCAAAGTCATCTTAGTAATTTCCAGAGTCATCATCTTATTAATTTTTATCGTCCTCATCAGAATTAATATTAATTTCTTCAAAGACATGAGCTTTAATAGACTCGAATTAGTTTTCTCTTAGTTTGCTTGTAGAACTGCTTTAATTAGGCTATACCTATTGTGTTTTGGTAAACGGATTTATGTTTGGTGTTTTAGAACTAGCATATTTTCTTCCAATTTCAGATTATTGCTTGCTGTCAGTTGTCTTTTTTTGAGATTAATCACTTAATTTATCCTTAAGCCTTGTTATTAGCGCTAAATTGTTTAGATATATTTTACTTTCAAGCTACTCGTCTAAAAGTTTTGAATTAGAAACATATAAATTATGCCTTTTTTTAATATATTCGACAAAATCAGCTGTGTTGGACTTGCTAGTTAGACGCATTAACTTTATTTTATGACGATAAGTTTTTCTTTAACTGGGAATCCAATATTCAATTACAATCGTAGGAGGATTAAATTGTAGCCCAACCCTTTAGGGCATATAATCTTTAGTGTTAAATACTTACATTATATTATAATGTGCTATAAAATTATAAAATTATTTACTTTTATTTTTCAGCCAAAAAGTACAATGGTTCTTTACATTTTTTCTTTGTCTATTAGTTTGATGAACTCTCTTTAAATGTTATATACTCTGAAGCAAGACACAGAAATTGATAATTTAATAAAATAAGGCATTTTTAGAAATTTTTATATTAATAGTCTTGATTAAGTAAACTTTAGAAATTGAGGACCAATAATTTATTTAGAAGATCCTCCTAAATATTCAAACTTATCTTATGTTTAATATATTTATTTATCTTGCTAATCTATTTTGACATCAAATTTTTTCTTTTTGTTCTAAACACAATGGTAAATAACTGTCAGATGATTTGAAAAAGGAAAAAGCAATATTTCTTATTTAGATGGATTTTAATAGAGATGTGTGAGCATTCTAATTTAAAAGATTTGTATTTCGAGTAAGAATGAAAGAAAGTCAATATATCTTTAAATATTTTGACTTATTTTGAGGTATTAAATGAACATTTGTGGACTAACAACTAACTTTAGGATTCATAGTCTAGAAATTTTGATTGAATTGCAAAGCAGATTTTTCATTCAAAAATACTGATTAAATTTAATACTTCAACTATTTAATCTATTTTATCAATAAAATCTAACATTTGCTCACCTTTTTTAATTAGATAATGATAAACTACATAGACCTTTCTTTTTTAGATAGAATTCTCAAATAAAGTGTATTAAATTCATATAGCTTTATGTAAATTAAGAAATATAATAAAGAAAACATTTAAGATAATGGTTTCTTAGAAGAACCAATAAAAATCTGCATAAATATTTTAACCTAGCAATTATAAATCTTACTATTAATATGTATAAAATACTTTTATTTTGCATTTTTATGAAAAATGCAATTTTTTGATTTGATAGAGATTACATTTTACTATCATCCAGATAAGGCTATATAATTAAAACATTTTATTTATGAATTTTTAGAATGATGCATCAAACAATCTCCTTTTGAATGATCATTTCTAAAAATTTCTAAACAATTAAAAACGAATATTTTATATATTATCAAGTCATCAAAAAAGTGATGGCAAAAAACACAGTCACAATGTTTTTATGCTTATTAATATTGACGAGCCATTGCAGCCTAAAAGATTTGGTTGATAATCCTCAACAACATAGGGATAGAAGAAAAAAGTTGTGATAATTGTATTATTTTAGTAATTTGAGATCAAATACCTATAAGGAAAATTTATTGCAGTTTGATTAATATTAACGAAGCTTTCTAATTTCTGAGAACGTCCTTAGTGCTAATCAATAAGAGGTATAAGTCACAAAGGAAAAATTGTTTGCTAACTAAGAAGCTATTAAAAATTTAGAAGATAAAAGAGAAAATAATGTTAACAGAGAGGTTGATAATGAATTCAAAAACAATGCCGATTAAGCATAGTCATAAAATAATAATAGTAAATTTGATTAATCAAAATAATAATAATAATACTATTAGTAGGAAAATTAAGCTTAAGATTTAGATAACATAGAAGAATAAACATTACATATAGAATAATAAGACAGCGACCATAATATTAAAAGAATAAACAAAAACTATGCTATGTAAGATTAGTAAGATGGGGAATAAGATAATAATGAAGACGGGTAAGGACAAGATGGAGATACATAAGATGAGCCTCCTGCTGATGAAAATAAAGAAGATCCACCAGCAGAAGAACCAAAAGAAGATCCACCTGCTGAGGAACCGAAAGAAGATCCCCCAGCTGAAGAGCCAAAGGAAGATCCCCCAGCTGAAGAACCAAAAGAAGACCCCCCAGCTGAAGAACCTAAGGAAGATCCACCTGCTGAAGAGCCAAAGGAAGATCCTCCTGCTGAAGAACCAAAAGAAGATCCACCTGCGGAGGAACCTAAAGAGGATCCACCAGCTGAAGAACCTAAAGAAGACCCACCTGCTGAAGAACCAAAAGAAGAACCACCAGCTGAGGAACCTAAAGAAGAGCCTCCAGCTGAAGAACCGAAAGAAGAACCTCCAGCTGAAGAGCCAAAAGAAGAACCACCAGCTGAGGAACCTAAAGAAGAGCCACCAGCTGAGGAACCTAAAGAAGAGCCACCAGCTGAAGAAACCAAAGAAGAGCCACCTGCTGAAGAACCTAAGGAAGAGCCACCAGCTGAAGAACCAAAAGAAGAACCACCTGCTGAAGAACCAAAGGAAGATCCACCTGCTGAAGAACCAAAGGAAGATCCACCAGCCGAAGAACCTAAGGAAGATCCACCTGCTGAGGAACCGAAAGAAGAACCTCCAGCTGAAGAGCCAAAAGAAGATCCACCTGCTGAAGAACCAAAGGAAGATCCACCTGCTGAAGAACCAAAAGAAGAACCACCAGCAGAAGAGACGAAAGAAGAACCTCCTGCTGAGGAAACAAAAGAAGAACCTTCCCTGCTGAAGAAACTAAAGAAGAACCTCCCGGCTGAAGAAACAAAAGAAGAACCTCCTGCTGAAGAAACTAAAGAAGAGCCTCCTGCTGAGGAAACTAAAGAAGAACCACCAGCTGAAGAGACTAAAGAAGAACCACCAGCCGAAGAAACTAAAGAGGAGCCTCCCGCTGAAGAAACAAAAGAGGAACCACCAGCTGAAGAGACTAAAGAAGAACCACCAGCAGAAGAGACTAAAGAAGAACCTCCCGCTGAAGAAACAAAAGAAGAACCACCTGCTGAGGAAACTAAAGAAGAACCACCAGCTGAAGAGACTAAAGAAGAACCTCCTGCTGAGGAAACAAAAGAAGAACCTCCCGCTGAAGAAACAAAAGAAGAACCACCTGCTGAAGAAGAAAAAAAATCAGAAGAAGAAACAAAGCCTGAAGAAGAGGCGAAGCCTGAAGAAGAGGCGAGGCCAGAAGAAGAAACAAAAGCTGAAGAGGAAACTAAACCTGAAGAAGAGTCGAAACCAGAAGAGGAAACAAAGCCTGAAGAAGAGGCTAAACCCGAAGAAGAAGCAAAAGCTGAAGAGGAAACTAAGCCAGAAGAAGAAACTAAAGCCGAAGAAGAAACAAAAGCAGAAGAAGAAGCTAAACCAGAAGAAGAAACAAAACCTGAAGAAGAGGCTAAACCTGAAGAAGAAACAAAACCTGAAGAAGAAGCTAAACCAGAAGAAGAAACAAAACCTGAAGAAGAGGCTAAACCTGAAGAAGAAACAAAACCTGAAGAAGAAGCTAAACCAGAAGAAGAAACAAAACCTGAAGAAGAGGCTAAACCTGAAGAAGAAACAAAAGCGGAAGAAGAGGTTAAACCTGAAGAAGAAACAAAAGCGGAAGAAGAGGCAAAGCCAGAAGAGGAAACTAAGGCTGAAGAAGAAGCAAAGGCAGAAGAGGAAACTAAAGCTGAAGAAGAGGCAAAGCCAGAAGAGGAAGCGAAACCTGAAGAAGAAACAAAAGCAGAAGAGGAAGTGAAACCTGAAGAAGAGGCAAAGCCAGAAGAGGAAGCGAAACCTGAAGAGGAAACTAAAGCAGAAGAAGAGGCCAAACCAGAAGAAGAAGCAAAGCCTGAAGAAGAGACAAAGCCAGAAGAGGAAACTAAAGCAGAAGAAGAAACAAAGGCAGAAGAAGAAGCAAAGCCAGAAGAGGAGACTAAGGCTGAAGAGGAAACTAAGGCAGAAGAAGAAGCAAAGCCAGAAGAGGAGACTAAGGCTGAAGAGGAAACTAAGGCAGAAGAAGAAACAAAGCCAGAAGAGGAAACTAAAGCCGAAGAAGAGGCGAAGCCAGAAGAAGAAACAAAAGCTGAGGAGGAAACTAAACCTGAAGAAGAGTCGAAACCAGAAGAAGAAACAAAACCTGAAGAAGAGACTAAACCAGAAGAAGAAGCAAAAGCTGAAGAGGAAACTAAGCCAGAAGAAGCTAAACCAGAAGAAGAATCTAAAGCAGAAGAAGAAACAAAACCTGAAGAAGAAGCTAAGCCTGAAGATGAGAAGCAAGAAGAGGAGGCGAGCTAAAGTGAACCTGCCTCTGAGCCAGAATAAGAAAGTGAACCAGCCTCAGAGCCAGCATAAGAAAGCGAACCTGCTTCTGATGAGGATGATGATGGTGGCGATGATGGTAAGGATGATGGTGATGATGGTAAGGATGATGGTGATGATGATAAAGATAAAGATGCAGGCAAAGATGAGGACAAAGAAGAAGATAAAAAAGATGCTGATGATAAAAAAGATGATGAAGATGATGATATGGCATAACTAGCCCTAGCTCCAGAAGTTGATTTAGCAAAACAGTAAGAAAATGCATCAGAAGGAGATAAGAAGTTATCATAATTCGGGTATTAATTAGGCATGTGGATTGTAACCATATTCTATTTGGCTTTATGATTTATAAGCTCAAGAGAAATTAAATATCATCACTTAGTACATAATTTTAATTATATATTTTTATTCTTATCTACGAAAACCAGATGCCATACTTTTCTATTTAACTATCTTGGCTTTAAATAATTAGAGTGAGAAATAAAGTATAAGTAAGGTTTAATGTTAAAGACTTTAAAGTCAAGACTAAAATAAATAAGACAAGAGCAAAATATTAAAAGTTAACATAGAATAGTTGGATAGAGAATATATGAAATAAAGATATATCATTACTTAAAAGGAAGGGAGATATGAAGATAGAGAGAAATTTAAAATTCATAATAGAATCATTTCATAAAATACCACCAAAAATAAAAGTGAACTAATATATAATAGTTTAGGATTAATTATCTATTATAATGAGTAAGAATCTGATTGCAAGAGGATTGATGTGCAATTTAAGGAATTTAATTCTATAAAAAAAACTGCTGCTATTGATGATGGACTTAAAATTAAAGAAATATAAATCAATAAGTCTTAAGGAGGGAATATAGATTAGAACACAATAAGTAAATATTGAGATATTAATAATCGGCAGTATTAAGACGTAGATTTCTATCTACACGATTTAATTGCTGGCTTATAAAATCAGCAAACATAAATAATAAAATCTAATTCTCCTATCAAGAAGAACAATGATGGATGATGAGCCGAATAGGAGAAACCTTTAGATGAACTTGGATGAAATCCCTTGTACCAACCTTTTCAGAATGATTTTATGTAATATATGGTATAATAATTTTGTAAAAGTTGTATTTATTTGAATAATTTACATAATAATTTGTATTAAATAAAAAGCGCTATAATTAAGAATATTTTATTAATTTAAAATTAATTAAGTTTTACTTCACTCTAACATATATTAATGATTCCTGTACAAGTATTGAAAACCATTTAAAATCAGAATATTTAACTTCATTAAACAAACCCAGCCTTTCTTAAATCAAGAAAACACTCTCCTATTAACCATTTAATCGTTACTCGTCATCCAAGGGTAAGCCATCAAATCAAGGAGTAGTCAAATTCTTTATAAAAACATTTAAAGACCTCCTCTCAATATAATAAGTGTATCTAATCCGTTGAATAATTTCAAAGGCTACCAACTGAAGCAAATGGGGAGACTAAAAATAGACCTGCAATTCAAATTTCGAGTGCTCTTAAAATGTCTTCCTCAAAACATCCTTCTGAATAATATTACGACACACTAAAATTTTCTTCTTTTGTAAATGAAAAAGTAAATGATTAATTCGTTTATACTAATATTGGAGAAGCTAAAGAAAATGAGAAGGAATTTAGTCAAGCTAAAATTGTTAATGGAAGTGTGGACACTTTCATTGTACATAAGACTGTTTTGAATTGGAAAAATTTAGAAATCTAAAAATTAGAAAAGGAGTTAGAATAACTGAAATAAGAGAATGTATTATGTTATTGATCATTTAGAGAAAATATCAAAATTTAGAAATTGATTACTAAACTTTGTTGTAGGAGAATTCAAAATTAAAACTAGTTGTATAGACTTAATAAATAGAAATAAATTGTTTAAATCATCAGTAGACATTTACTTAACTTGGAAAATCTTCTGATTACGTGAGTGCTTTGAGTGATTCAGATAAATTAAAATTACAGTCTTTAATTGAATGCGATTGATAGGAAATAAATTTATATATATTCATTACTGATATATGTGAATATTCAATTCCATTATATTTTATTTCCTGTCCAAGCCTTTGGATTGTGTATGTTATATAGCATAACATAATTCTTAAATTTAAGGTAATCCTTAATGTTTTGTTTTTTGCTTGACAAAATCTGTTTGGTTGCAAGCGTATTTAAATACCAAACCAGAACCTCTTTAAATGCTTTCTTACGATTCTGATTTTGAATGGAGTCACCATCATAAATTAATTCTTTTTTCAAAGCTTAGTAACCCATAATCAAAACTCTTTATTTTGTGTAGTATTGAATGAAGTCATTGTAGTTGAATTAAAATTAGCTGCAAATACTTGAAATGGTTTCAGCGAATTAGTTATTTTCAATTGTACGAAATGCATATAGGAGTATATATCTACAAAAGTTTTTGTCAAGAAATTTTTTTGGTCTTTGGGGTGGTTCTTCTTTAATCTTAATTGGATCATATTTTTGTTTGGACTCACTATATTGATCATGAAACAAATTTAAGGAGTTGTCTTCCTCTTCTATAAATGCAAAGCTTTCATTGTCAATAATTTAAATAGATTTCTATTTTTCCAAATCCCCATTGCGAAAGACTATATATCCATAGTCATCGAAGAGTTGTGAAAAACCCTTCTGTGCCTAATTCATGTCTTAAAGCTCATTTTCTGGGTTATAAATTGAAATTTCGGAATCAAATGATTTCTTCACGCTTAACAATTCTTCATCGTTAACCGGACTAGAACACTAAAACTGAGGGTGATAGGTTGTTTTTGACATCTCATGCAATTAGTCAAAAAAAGAAAATAATTAAAGTTGTATAAGAAAATAAATTATTAGGATAGCTTACTTCACAAATAAATATTGTGAGGATACTGATAAATTCTGAAACAATTCTTTCATAATTATTATTTAAAACAATTGAATCCATCTGTCCTTCTTCTTTGACTACTTTGTTACTCAGCCTCCAATCTGACGAGAGTCTCTTACTATAGATGATATTATTTGTTCAACTTGAGGAATCTAATTTTCCACTCTTAAGCTTCAACTTCAAATTAGGGGAGCTATTCTATATATTTTCGTTGCAATTCAGATTGTTTCTCAAGGTTTTAAATTCTATTAAATTGCAATAATGTTTACTTGAGGAGAAGTTCTTTTTTTTCTTAACTATATTATCTAATTTATTATTAATGTTTTATTTATTATTATTCAATTTAGGTTTGCATTTGTTAAATTTGAGTAGTTTTATCCTAAAGATCCATATAAAGATCCATGTTTTTGGATTCCAATTCAAACATGCTAGAAATGAGATTGAAACTATTGATTTTATTGTCGACTGCAACACAATCGTAGCTCTTTCGCTATGTTTGAAATCCCAATTAAAGGTTTTTGTTCTCATCGATTTCAGTTTTGAAAACGACTCGATTGACTTTCTTTTTTTTGGTTTGATCAGCCTTGCATTTTTGGATGGGGGATTCCTGCAATTTCACTGACTAAAGGGATTTTGTAATCATAAAATAACTAACTTATAAATACCTAATTACATAATTAATGGTCTTATAATGGCAATTCTTTCTTCAGAATTCCTGATTTTTGAGATGTATTGTAATTAAATATTTTAGCAATATAACTTTCATGTTTCGGAGATGGTTTTGCACCTGCTTGGGATTCCTTTTTAATTGTCTAGAATTGCATTTTGAAATTAATTATTAAACAACTCAAATTCAAATTTTGATTTATTGCTAATATTTATATATATATATATTAATACTTATATACATAATTTCTTCAATAATCACTCATAAACTCAATCAACTGTTGGTATTTTTGATTCATCTATGCTACAGTATTCAAATAATTGTTGAGCTTTTCCCTTTTGAAAAGTAAACTGCACGACCACAATTTGCAATTCTAATACCCAATCGAGCAGCTTTTACATGACGAAGTAATATTGGCCTTATCTATTTCTAGTAGATTTTGTTTGTATTGCAATAGAAACAAGGCTGTTCTACCATCCTGGCTACATGATTTACATAACTATAAAATAATTTTAATTTAAATGTACTTCATATTTTGACTCTTCTCCACAAAGCAAACATTACTGTATATTAAGATATTTAACTAGTGTGTATTGAGTAGCCTTTGTTTAATGAGCATTGCTATAAGTGAGATGTTGTTTAAACTGGTCTCTTTTCGCAAGCATTTTTGGAAGATTACTGTACCAATCAGCTATGTCAATATCAAAGCACGCAAATAATCTACCAACTGCTGCATTAATCTACTTGATGTAGTAGTGTGGATTCAATTTCATAGTGCTTTAAAAATCATAAATGTTGACAACTAAATCAGCAAGTTTGGATGTGCCCTATGCTTAAATGACTACATATGGAACTCTTTCTCCTCCTTTTGGTCTTCGCATAGGATCCGAGTTCATAATTTTAGTAGCAACTACTGCATGAGCAGGTAGTCTCCCTTCCTTATATGATCCTAATTTGACTTCTTTTGCCATGATGTAATCTTAAATATCAACGTGATCTTGGAGAATTTTAGCCCATTATTTTTACATATATAATTTGAGTTGAGACAGATCTTTAGTCTTAAATAGAATATTTATGGCTTTTTTTTAAATTTTTTAAAGTGCAGGGAATCCATCTCTTCTGATTATTTCAAGCCCTTTACCATCCAATTAAAATTCTCCTTTTTCAAATTTATTACCAACATATCTCTTTTTAGCTACCAATAACGCTTCCGAATAGACCTTTTCAAACTTTAATTCAATTGGATGCGGATATAAGCTAGTACAATGTTATGCAATCTAATTTCCAATCAATAGAGCTTCATTAACTGTTCTGCCAGGAAGCATCACAAATAAGCTGTCTGTATCACCATATAAAACTTTGGCTTACCATGCTGGATTTGTGTTTATGCATTCTATACATTAGTTTAGAATGGTTCTTCCTAATTCGACAACGGAATCAGCTATATCGCCAGAAGGCATTCTACCAGAAAAGGATGCTCCACAATACCCGTACATCACATTCATAAATAGTTTAATGGCCAATTATCTGAACCCATGTTACTTCTGTATTTTAGGGTGTTTATCATAAAGTGAAGTAGATTTTTTGATCATAATTCTGGTCATTAGAAATTCATTCAAAATTTATGGTATTATACCTACCCTAACATCTTTTGTAAGGAAAGCAACATTATTAGGAGTAATTAAAATATGTTTCATCAATTCTTCTTGGTTTTAATACTTTTGTAGCAATGATTCGAAGTCAATGTCAGTTGCAACTACTCCAAATCTCTTCTTACCTCCTTCCTAGAACTCTTCTTTTATGCTTCCTAAACAAGTACTAAAGCATAAGTTATATGCAATCATAATTGAAGGGTATAATGACTGGAAATCAAGGACTATTAAAGGACTTTTAATAACAAATATTAATACTCTACTGTAAATATTTTAGGAGGCTCAACCACTAGAGGCATACACTCTAAGATTTTCTAAGTTGAAACCTGTACTCTTGTTGCTGACAGTAATAGGTAATCGTTTAGTTTTGTCACTCTATTGAGAATAGATTCAATTTTGAATTAACTTCCTCTAAAACCAACTGACTCATATTCACAACCGAAGAGTTTGGCTATTTCAATAGTTCTAGGGATTAGACCAATCATTTCTAAAATATCAAATGTCATATTGATTCTTTTAGCGTAATATTAGAAAACAAGGAATGTCTCTGATTTAAACCATTGTGAGAGAGTTTAATTATGTATCAAAGCATTTTTTTGTTTAAACATCTAAAAGTAAACATTCTCTATGGAATAATCTATAATTTTGATGTCTGTAGCTACATTTCTCCAAACATTGATTAAAACTCTTCCAACGACAAATGTTATAAACCTGAGCTTCTTCCTTCTACTATTAATTTAGTTTAGTTTTCCTTTAGAGTTATATGATTTCGTCTTCGCATCTTAATTAAAGCTCTATTTCTTACTGGCTGTCGGCCTTTACATACGATAATCCATGTATTTTTATAATTTCTCATTGATAGGTTATGGCTATCCAAAGTTAAACAAGATCTCATCGATATCAAATATTTCAATCAATTTGTCATAAGTTGGTTACCCTCTACTTATTTCTGTCAAGAAGTCATAGCCAATGAACTCTGCTCTATTTGCAACGTAATAAAGGCTCCTAGTTTCTAAATCATATCCTGATATGAAATCAGGATCAATGAGATGTACAATTAATGTAAAGGCTTTCATAAGATTGATCTCATTCTAAGTCAATACTATAGTGTATTCAACAGGAGCATTCATTCTTTCAAAATAACCATTAACTGCCTTCAAATAATTCTCCTCATTCTGGATTATAAGCATTTTATTCATGATCTTTGAACTCTTAACGTTGTAGGAGTGTAGGATAATAAAAGAAATTTCATCTTTTTCTGGATCCGGTAATAACTTTGAATCTTTATAAGAAAATATTTCAAATATCATCAGCACTAAATCTTCTTGAAATGTAATATCGTCTTCACTTAAAATTGATAATGGAGTTGGATAAAAATACTATGATGTTTCAATGATTGAATCTAAAGGATCATTTCTCATAGCTGATCTTCTCTTAATGTCTAAAACAACCTCTTAAACAGCAGGAGGTTCATGTTAATATTGATACTGTCTTAAATTGCAATTATATTATTATTCTTTAAATACGTCTAGTTTATAGGATTAAGGTAGCTTAGTTGAATTTTGGATACTTATGGCATAAAATCTATTTTCTGGAATTTTAATGCATTATTAATCTAAAAGCAAAGCATACATATGATTTTACGGAAGTTGTTTATGTTTGATATTGTAATGCTTGTACAAGTCTTTAATGTCTCCAAAATAGGCATATTAATGTTCACTTAATTTCATTTGCTTATGTAACTATAGGTATACTTCATTTGGAGAAGGTGGCTTTACTTTGTATTGATAGATTTAACTCTTATGACTTTTTGGGATGAGTAGAGAATATTTTTTCTATTTTTTTTCAATGCAATTGCACATGAGAAAGTTACTGTTGCAGAACTCACAAATTTAGAACATTTGGCCTAATTTGATATTATTTTTGTTTGCGTGATATTTCTTTCTAAATCTATTTTTATCTTAAAGTTTTTGGTTTTCTTTCATGATATCAAATACATTCTTTTCTTCTTATGATTTAATAATGCTTTCAGCATCTTCGAGATCTTCATCTTCATTATCTTATTAGAGATCTTACTGATCAATAAACTTATCATCGAAATCGTATTCATAATCAATGTTACCTTCTTCTTTGATAAGTTCAAATAGATCCTTTTTTCTGGTTTTATACTCTTGGAATCTTTGGATGATGGATTTCTTACACAACTCCATTTCATCCTATTAGCCATTAAAGAACATTTGTGCAATGTTTTGATTAATGATACAAGAGTTAATATCAAATTTGATATGATTCTTCTTAGCATCCTCGTATAATTGAAAATACTGTTTCATGAATTGCTTATTCAAGACATTAACAGAAGGATAATGTTCCCACAACTACCCTTCTTTATTTTTTGATTTATCCACGATAAAAGAGACTGGTTGATTGAACTTAAATCTTGCTCTATTAATTTCCTCGTCTGACCAGAGCTTATTAAGAGATGGAGTTAATTCTACTTCAAATTCTTTGTTGTGCGTGAATGCCCGAGCGATTTCCAACCTATCCTTCTCATCCTTGTAGCGTTCATTGAGAATGCAAGTATAGTGACAATCTATTTCTAAGGGACAAGTGGTAACCCTGTAGAGATGAGAATACTAGCTTGCGTGCAAATCTCTAAATAGAATTGGTTTTGTCAACAATGATTCTAAATCTTTATCGAATCTTTTTCTGTATTTCAATTTCAATATCTTGATTTGACTCATTCCGAATAAATTAGCATCGCTATAAAAGTGCATGAAGTATGTGAGATGAGACTTAAATTACATTATATATATAGTCTTACTTCATATGACTAAAACTTGTAATTCATGATGGCTCCACTTGCTAATAGCATAACCAATTAGGACATGTATTGTTTGTCATACATGAACAATTTTAAAAAGAGTTGCTTCTACATATGAAACCCATAAAAATCCAATTTCTGACATAATTCATATTGGTAGATGATTTTGAATTTTTCTTGAGATTTCTTTGGGTAATGAGCAAGGAAGGTGGAGGCATACACTTGATGCACTTTGTTTATAAAATCCTTCACAAAGTCAAGATCTGTGAATAAATGTCTCAATTCATCAACTTTGATGTAAAAGTAAGGAAAATAGCCATGAACATGTACGCACATCCGTTCTTTGGTCTTAGGCTCATATCCGAAGAGACGTATAACTGGAGCGAATTGGATTGGGCGATCCAAGTAATCTGTGTTTGAGTATTTGAGAGTTTCAAAGAGGGTTTCTTGGTTTGGTTAACTCATTTTGGTGCCTGGAGCTGGCAGATTCATGATGTAATAATCATGTGCGAAAGGGATAAAATCAATTTCCATAATAAATAAATCAAAACCCAAAATCAGAGGGCAATTTATATGTCCCAGGTCCTGGGGAGCGATTATGATTATCAGACATAGAACGCTGCGCTCTTGGAAATTTGTTGCATTTGCTTGCACTATACTTTGAGCAGAAGTATGTTCCCAAAGGGTCCATGTTTCCAATCTATTTATATGAGCCAGGACCAGGGGTAGTATCCTTCATCTTCCTCTCTGAATGGGTTTTGGGAGGAGCCAAGACTATGGCTCCGGAACTAGACGTAATGAATAATGCACTTAATACTTTCTGTATTGACTAAGAGTGTATACCCCTCTGCTATTAATACTGCTTGGTAAGTTGTAGTGACCTCTAAAATAAATGATTACCCATACGGTCCAGGTTTTCGTTCTTTCTCTTTACGACTCGACAATCTCTGTCTGATGCTGTAACGAACAGGAGAGAGGGAATCTTTGAATTTATAAGTCCCAGGTCCTGGAGTATTTTGGACTAGTCCCAAGAATATGCTCTCATATTTGTTTGCATGCTATCCATTATAACGAAATGCTGCTTACATCTCTTCCTAATCCCATGGTCCACCCATGTTCTTGATTTTGATGGACCTAATAGAAATTGGGAGCTGGCGTGATGGTTTCGTGAGTGAGATTCACTTTCTTGCCGTAACCAATGCCTGCTGCTCTTTTGCTTAAAGTAGTTGGTAATTAATATATTGGAGGACATCTAAGTAAGATGCATTCGCTTACAGATTGTCCTTTAAATCAACCCACCGTTTGGCTTTGGGGAAGGTGTACATTTATTTGCTTTTGCTAGTGTTCAATGGAGAACTATTGACAAAAGATCTGTCCATAATGTTATAGATGAATATTTATATCAATTATTAATAATCTGCGATATGAGTTTAATGTCTCTTTCGTTATCTTCGTTTAGGTAGAATTTGCTTCTTTCAATAAACATCTTGATATCAAAATACAGATTTGAGTATTGTTGATAGAACTGCCCCATTTTCAATTCAAACAAGTCGTAAACTAATGTAGAATAATAAGTCTTACGTTCTAATAGATTATTTGGAAATGATTGCGTTTTGAAAGAATTCAATTGAGTGATTAGCTCTTGGATGCGCATGAAAGTGAACTTGGTTAGATAACTATATTTCATTTGAATGTATACACCATGTTTCGTTATAATGATTTTGAGAGCTGAAAACTTTTTTCGATTTTCCTTTCACACATCGTTTTCATCTAATTGAGATGATTAATCATTTGATCAATCTGAAATTTGATGGATTGCTTCTCTTACTCTACTTACTTGTTTCTATAAAAAAAACTTGGAGTCTCGATTCTCTCTTGATTTTTCTCAGAAAGCGAAATGTTTGTCTTTTGAGAATCGTTGGGGTTTTGTATTCTATTCAATTCCTAACCATCATAATCATTCACCTGGATGTCGTTTCTAGAACACTAAGAAGCATCAATCATTTTAGATAATATTAAAATAATACAACAATATGAATAATTGCACTCACGTGACTCTGTTGTTAGACATGTCACCTTCCTTGGCCAAATTTGAAATGTTCACGTCCTTGGACTTCAAGTACGAATTCCTCATTGAAGCCCTGACATCTCTCATAAAGATGCTGACCAATCAATTATTGAGCATATTCATCATCAAGGAGGAGAGTGTTATTACATTCCTGAGAAATCACCCAGCCACCAATTTGCCCCTCCTAATTGAACTCCTTACAGAGTACATTCGCAATCATTATTCGAATCAAAACATATACATCAAGAAAACAATCCAATAGGCTATTGATATGACCATCTCCTAATTGCGGTGTCAACAATAGTCCTATGACAACAAGAAATACATAATCTTTAGTGATTTCACTAATTTCAGTTATGGAGGGTTCTTGGCCTTTGATTTATGGGACACCCAAGGGTACACATTCTCATTCAATGCTGTCTTGATTGGATCCCAGAAGTTGAATGGCTACGAGTCATTCAAATTAGTTATAGATCCGCAGGTGATTTCAGATTACATGGAAAACTTGAATGGGGAACTGTATGACATCAACCTAAGAAATAAGAATGGCGTGCTGATGGACATAGATCAAATTATAGTGCCAATCAGTAGTAACAAGCAGGTGTATAACACGAGATAATAGGTGGGAGAGTATATCAACAAATACCCTAAGGAGATGCTGGAAATGAGGAAGAAAGAAGGGTTCAAGGAGGAGAACTCACAGACCTTAAGCATTAGAGTGAACGATCAGATGAGGCTGCTCTATCAGATTGGGGAAGACAATGTGGCCATCTATTTGGAGCGCAATTAGTTGATGGATCGGCCACAGAGTCCCTAGAAGAAGCAGACGGAGTAGGATAATGAGATCAACACGAATTGCAAAATGCTGTTTGAGATGTATAAGGAAAGGGATCAGCTGCAGGAGATTGTTTTGGACATGCAATTGTAGAAGATATCCATAGAGGAGGGCATGGGTTTATTGGTGAAGAGGAAGGCCTTTGAGAGTCAGAAATTTATCAATAGAAATTTCAAGCAAATCTCGTTGGTTTATTTGATACGACCGATTGATTTTAGGCAGTTCTAAGAGGAGGGAGAAGAGTTCAACAAAAACCAATTTTACCATTACATTCGCTAAAAGTTGCAGGAGGTTTCAACAAAGCAAATACAGAATTGTTTATTGTATCAGTAAGACTAGGACTTTGTGATGATCAGAATCCTTTGGCATTCCCATACGATTATTAGATTGATATGCATTTATAATGATTCCAAAATGCTGCCCATATTGTCCAATAGGATTAAGGAGGTCTTCAGGAGTAATTAAATTCTGAGAAATTCCCTTATAGAATTCGATCATTCTTTGAAGAATCTGCTAATCAAGAGCGAGACTCACGTTTTGAAGAAGAACCCAGAACTGTATGTCTTGGAGAGGTGTTGGGAATGGAAGAAGGAATTGATTTGGGATTTGCAGTAGATGTACAAGATCCTGACGAGTGTGAGGATTAAGTCAAATTATTGGAGAGTGCCCTCTTTGAATGACAGAACTAATAAGTTCTTTGTTGCTCAATTGGAATTGGGATAGAAGATTGTCATAGTTCAGAATTTGATCTTGCAGGAAGATCGAATCATTTGCAATATATTCACAGAGAATATCATTTCGGAGGAGAGGAATGTGCTAATAGAATATTTTGATAAGATAAAGGAATTTGAAAAGTAAATAGTTATCACTCTCCATACCACTCATAGTATGTACAGACAATCACTCATCAAGAAATAGAACAGTTCCTAAGTGGACTTCTTCACTCTGCAATTCATCACGAGACAAGGGAAGCTATTTCAAACCAAAGAATAGGTGAGTAAGTAATTCTTGGAGTATGCTCAATCCTAAGCGACGTATTATCCAACTCCTACTAATCAATTGGATTACAATTCCCTATTTCAGAAGGGGTACTTGTATTATGAAATTAAGCAAAAGTAATTAGATGAGGATTCCAGGAATAGATTGAATACGGGGTATCTGCAAGTCTTGCAATAGATAGCTAATCACATAGTACTACGATAATAGAGTCAATTGGACTAAGACTTGTTGTTTATTGTGGTTGGTCCACAGAGATTGTTGATGATTGCCTTCACATTGGAGAACACAGCATTTTATTTGATTTCCTTGGAGTAGATAGAGCGTAATCATACATCTCATCCATTTTTGAATGCCAATCAAGAGAAGAAGGTGGATGCCTTAATAAATTTTGTGCAGCAGGAGTACAATTCTGTGTATGCTAAGGAGGTGCATCAACAATTCATGAGTAGCAGCTTTACATGTCGATTACAGGAGGCCATTGAAGGATGTCAAATAGAGATACTTGATGTGGATTTGAATCAAGCTCAGCAGGATCTTAGATTGCTATTTGATCTGTAGGCAAGGAAGATTCAGAAGAAATCGTAAATTGGCGAAGAAACTCAAAGTCCGAATAAATAGTTTAGAAGACAGAATTATTAATAACGATTAAGTGATATCAAATAATAGTTTGTTTAGAAGCAATGTTAGAAATGGGATGAGAGATTACTGAAGTTAATGAATGATCACAAGATCAGTATGAAGCAGATTGAGGGTTCTCAGTAATGGTATTATTATGACAACAAACAAGAGAAGAAGGAAAACATTCTATTTCTAAGTGTTAAGTTTAAGGATGGGGAGTCAGAATACTCAAGTATTTAGCAATTGATCGAAAATTTTAGGTAGAAGCAAAAGAGATTGAAATTGACCATTTCCTATTTGATTTATTATTACGATAAGAGAAGTCTAATCAAGATCTTGAATGAAGGTCTGGACTTTCTACAAGCTAGTCAGACTGACGAGTTGACATCAATTAAAATAAAGATTCAGAGGTGGTCGGATCCTTTCAGGAAGTACAACAATGAATTTATGAAGAAGTTTCAAATGGAGATTCAAAGATTGTTGCCAATTAACGAGGACAATATCAAATTGATATACACTATGATTGAGGGAATGGACAACAAATCTGTGGAGTATAAACAATCAGATCGAAAATATGATAAGCATTTTGCATCCTAATTTTCTGATGAGATTCGCAACACTTCAGAGTAGAATTAATTGTTTAAATACATAAACTTATCAGATGAATATTATGTGTTCATATTGACAACTGAGAATTGCAACATGCCTTAATTTGAGGAGTTTGAACTGGAAAAAGAGTTCTTGGCAGATGAACCATAGGTGATTCCCTTCTGGTTCATCGTCAGAGTTCAGGAATAAAACTTTTCTATTGTGTGGTATTCTGAGTATCAATTTGAGTCTCTGAAGTAAACAGCAGAGGAATTGAAAGAGTTGATATTGGAGACTATCGACAGAACTTTATTGTTCTTGATAATAAGGAAGGCCACTGAATCCACAAATAGAGTGAAGTTGATCCTAAGTCCTTATTTTGAAATAGATGAAGAGACTCCAGCCTTAGAGCAATTCAAGCAAAATCAGAATCCCGCTCCTGCGCCTTCTATGTAGAAGAATGTCTCAATGAGACAAATGTGGAAAACAAAAACTGTAGTTGAAACTAAAGTGCAGGAACAGAAGGAGTATAAAATACCCTTTGTTGGATGGAAAGTGTTTCATCCTTATCAACCCAAGAAACCATTCATTTAATACCTGATCAATAATACTATTTTGATGAACCATCAAATAGATTCCAATCAATATTATGGGTAGTTGGACAAATAGTACTATCTATTCAGCTTTTAGAATGTGAAGAATATCAGCAATTACGCTGAAAAGTACCCTGAATTATGTTCAGACATTATACCTGGTCAACTGTCCATAATAATGAATGTGTATTCCACCAACAAGAATCAGAAGAAGATTAAACAAGATATCGACTATTACTATGAACACATCAAGAGGAACATGGATGAAGACACAATCAATGCCTTGTCTCAGGGTGTGATTCGTAATCCCAGATTGAAGGAACAGGAGTTCTATTTGATTCAGAAGGGTGAACACAATTACATTGAGATTTTGTTGAATAACAACATAAAGGACATGTTGGCATTTTCTACCTTCATGAGACACAATCTGGAGAAGACCTTCTGCAAGTATGAGGTTCAACAGTAGGAGAAGGGTAAATTCGATGTCCAAAGGGATGATCTCAGATACATAGTAGATCAACATGAGAATTCATTCATCTTCTCCAAATACAAAGTGGTCTATTCCCCCAATGTAAACATGTCCAATTTCTTTGGTCAAGGATTGTGTTTGTTAAACTTCTTATACCAAGTCGATGGTGAAATTATCACTTCCTACCAATTTCCCAAACAGCCTAAGTGCGTTCAGCAGGAGGATCTATTGGTCATTCCTGCCTCATTGCCACCTCTGCAATTCTATTAGGGATCTAGGACACACAGAAGTGAGGTGTGTTATGATATTAGTAAAAATTACAATGAGAAATTCTTAATAATTGACGTGATTTCGAGAGGACAATTGGAATGGAATGCTTTTAAGGAGTACTTCTCAGCCTTGGTCAGATAGGTGGAATTGGAATACCAGATTGAGGTAATCTAATTAAAGGGTAAAAATAGAGATAACCTTTAAGAGATACAACAAACCTTTAAACAATTGAAACATTATAGTTTTAAGATGCATCATTTTGTGTATCCCTTGCATTACGATGAGATTTTGTGGAGCAGTGTGATGGGACAACTAAAAAATAAAATAATTGCGGAATTCGATAAGAAAGGAATAAGTACTCAACTCTCTCAACAATTTGAACAGCAATTTTCAATATCGCCAAGTGCCTAATTAGATCATGGTTCGATGGTTTACATTATAAATGATGGACAAGATTACGAATAAGCAACCCTTTTGGATGGAGTGAAGCATTTCGCATCGCAAAAACAAAAGAAAAATGACCCAATTGATTTGTATCATAGAAGTTTATTGGTGTATGTGCATTTGTCTAATCAAACCTTAGAAGTGTTCCTGTACAATTTAAATTGCGATGTTGCTGCCAATTTGAATCATCAATTTGGTATATTATCGAGGTGGTCGATCATAAGAAATCTGGTGGCCTAGAAGATGAAAAACGATCTTTGTGGCTGTTATAATGTTAGGTTGTCTCCACTGTATGAGGAGATATTTATGACTAAACACAACATCTATGATCACTCGATCGTTAATGATTTGCTTAGACTACGAAGTTAGGATCAAGCCAATAAAAAGGTGAAGAAGGAGGATCAACCTGATCAGTTCCCAACGGTCTCCAAGGCTATTGATACAATTGTGACGTAGGAGTTCCCTCCTCAAGATATTTAATTGTTTGAGTTTGTGAAGCATCTGGAGAAATTCTTTAAGCTCAACTTCAGCGTGGTTAAGCCTAAGAAGTTGAACATCGATCAGAATCAGCAGGGGGATTTTCTACAGAGGGAAGGCAAGGCGTTTTTGGAGTTGATTAAGGACTTCTATAAGAATTACATTCAGACCCAATTGATCAAGTATGTGAAGAAGATGAAGGTATCAGGAGACACTTAGATTGCTTAGTCGAAACCAATATTGGAGAAGATACTGAACTAGAGCAAGAGTCGTGTGCAATCATTTCCACTGTACATATTCAGAATGAAGGAGAAGTCAGAACTGAAGGGTAGTTTGGATTTGGAGAAGGAATTCCAGTCTTTGATCAATCAGGGTTACAGGAAGGTGTTGAAATAATCGAACTATGAAATATTCTTGGGAGATGACATCAAGATGGATGATATTGATGACCAGATTATGGATGATGAGCTAAAGAAGAATGTTCAGTTGTTGAGTGAGGAGGATGCAAAGAGTCTCATGTAATAAGTGGATTTGCGTCTGTATTACAATGAAAACATGTTGAACCACATGGATCATCATGCTCAAAGTTCAGATTTGATCAGAAGGGTGAATTACTTAAGGAGGAAGGACAATCCATCCATAATTAAGATGGTTGCTCTTCTGTCCTTTAAGTGTCCATTCATATTCGAAAAGATGTATTGTCTGCCTGGGGAAGAGTTGCCGCAAGAAGAGAAGGGGACTGAGAACTTCATCAATTAGAAATTGGAACAGTTCCATTCCAAATTGATAGAGTAACAATGGAAGAAGAATGAAATGCAGATAGATTTATACATGCTCATCAATGGGTACACAAAGATCTATCAGAGATTCAACCATTAATACCCTAAGATAGACAGGATCCTATACAGAATCTCCGTGGGATTTGTGTTGGATTGGATTAAGATAGATGGGTTCATCAAGTTCATATTGGCAAACAGCAAGATATATTATTTGAACAAATTGCATGGGTTCTACGTGTATGACAATCAGCATGTGCTTTAGAAATCAGAGCAGCTCCAACTTTCTCTTTACATAAATTTGCTGAGTCAAAATGACTTGGTTGACTTTAAGAACATTATTGAATTGGAATTGGATGAACAACAACAGGGATCGAAGTAGCTGTCTTTGGTTGCTAATCTGTTAATCAATAGTCCGAATATCGATTAATTCTTGCAAATATTCTAGTTGAGTCTTTTGGAGACCTTGAAGCGAGCTCACAAGAACTTTATGGCGTATGAGTGGTGGAACAAGATCAAGATCAACAATCAATTAGGGGCTCAAGACTTAGCGTTTTTGATTCCGTATTGCTAGTAGATTCAAACAAAGGTATTTTATGCATTTTAAATGAAAATAGAAATTGGCCAAGGAAATAAGATTTGAATAATTGGACGATTCTTATAAGATGAAACGTCTCCCCGTAGAGCAGTTGCTTCTGAAGTTGCCTCAGATTTGCTATGTGGTGGACAATCAGAGATCCATTCTCATAGTGAATAATACTCAGGATGTACTTTATTTGATCGATTTGATGAATGGGATGATTGACAACATTCGAATCCTGTATTTGATGATGGACAATCCGCAGTATGACCAAGAGAAAATGATCAAGCCGCATTATGATTGGTGTACTAAGCAAATAAAGTAATGTATGGATGAAATGATTTGAAAATTTATTTAAAATTTAATGTTCGAAAAAGAAATCGTAATCGATGGCAAAGGACACTTGCTCGGTCGTTTAGCCTCATACATCGCCAAAGAGTTGTAAAGAGGTTAAAGAATCGTCGTCGTCAGAACTGAGTTGATTTAGCAATCTGGTATCACGCTCACAATATTCTAGGTTCTCTCTTCAGAAACAGAGTCATCTTCGAAGAATACCTCAATAAGAGAATGGCATTCAATCCAAGAAGAGGATACAAACATTACAGAACACCTTCCAGATGTTTTTGGAAAGTTGTCAGAGGCATGCTTCAATACAAATCCAAAAGAGGAGCAGCTGCTTTGGAAAGATTGAAGATCTTTGAAGGAGTCCCACCTCCCTATGATACCAGAAAGAGACAAGTCATTCCAGATGCCATCAAATTGATCAGACTCAAGAATCACAGACCTTTTTGCACTTTGGGTGACTTATGCGCATCAGTTGGATGGAATTCATAATCTGTTGTTAACAGACTTGAAGAGAAAAGAAAGCAAAGGTATCGTGCATTTTAACACTTCCATTAGAGGTGCTGCCTACTATAAGAGAAAGGTTGCCAGAGAAAATCTCAGAAGAAAAGCCATCGGAGCTAAGGAACTTACTTCAATCAATTAGGAATTGGAGAAATTGGGCTATTGATAACACATATTATAAAAACATGTACATTTAATTTAGTAAATTCAAAATTTAGACAATATTCGATTCATAAATTATATATATTATATATTATAGATATAGATATACATCCCTTATTATTTAATCCATTTTAAATAGTTATCTCATTTTTAGTTTCTTGATCATTATATTCATAGAGAAGGCATAATAAATTAAAACAATTATTGTATCTCTCCACTTAAATAATGATCAAATACAAACAAAAATTAATGAGTTAATGTTGCTATCTATTTACAATGTTTCTATCTTACTATAAATAGATTATGGTTTATTTTAAGGAACCTCAATGCTTTCTTTAGGAGAGAGGCATTTCTTTAAATCATAAGTGTGCCTTCATGATCAAAGGTTTTTGGATTGAAATTAGGACATTTATATATTTGTTTATTAAAAATATGAATTAACATTTATTTCTTATATGAATTAACTCTTTTTATTCATAACCATTCTTGGAATCGTAACAGCCATTCCTAAGAAATTTATGAAGATCGAGGAATCAAACTCAAATGAAAACTAAATTGAAGTTAAAGATTCTATAGATAAGTAGAACAAAATTACATAGAAATAGAATGATATTATATTAATCGATCAGATCACGGATTGGGAACTGGCAAAGAAAGCCTTTGTTAACCAACTTCAGGACATTTATGATTATTGTTAAGTTATCCTACTTAATCAAGAATTGGTTGGATTCATTTTAGTTTTAATTATTAGCTACTCGTTTTATTTGATGATTAAATAAGAAGACATTAAATTAAAGCAAAAGAGCAAGAATTCACAACAACAGCAACAAAGAAAACTCAATAGCAATCCATAAACTATTTAAATTCTTTCGGATTCCCTTGAACAGAAGAATTAAGCATTACCACAAATGTCAACTATACATGGCTCAATTTGTTATGCTGAAAGAGTGTTTATATTTTTACAATATTGTTTTTAGAAATAAAACCATCGATGACTTGATTGTTAATGAAAAAGGAATCCTCCAAAGGTCCAGCTCCCATCCACTTTTGAATAAGCAGGATCAATCAGTCGAAGAACTTAATTGCCTATTGAGAGATATAAACTGAAAGAAAACAAAATTCAATTATAATACATTTCCAAGCACATTTCATGCTTTATTTCATAATCCTCTATAGTGATATGATCCTTAAACACCATATGTTATTTCTATAGTCTGATCTTCTCAGGTCTAACACCAATCTTGGCAGCAATCAATTTTTTGAGATCTCCAATCTTGTCTTGAGGACAACACTTGATTCTCTCCTTCTTGCCCAATCTGTCATTGACCAAGATTTCGATCATCCTGGGTGCCTAAGGATTGTTAAGTAAAGAAGGATTGACTGCCTTCACAGGAGCCACAATGTTCTTTTTCATAATCTATGATAATCAAATGATTTTCGTACTTCTTCATAAATATTCAAGGGAGTCTTGACTTTTAGTCCAGTGTATCCAACCTTCTTTTTCCACTGTTCTAATTTTTCTTCATCCTCTTGCCTTTCCTTTTTGATAATTTCCAAAACATCTAATCCTGCTTATACTGACTTTTATCCTATGTCTACTTTATCTTTTCTCCAATCCTTAGATTCATTCTCACCATCTTTTGGTTTTTATTTGTCAGATTTATGTTTCTTTTTTTCATGCGATCTTGATCTGCTTCTACTTTTGTGTTTGCCCATTTGAATAAAATTAATAATTAAAAATACTATATGTCATTCTAGATTCAATGCTATTCTCTTCTATATTATCAATTCCGATTGCTCCTTTTCAAATTCTTCCATCCTTTTGAGTTTATTTTACCCCTCAATCAGCCGTTCATGCATCGCTTAAATCTTTTAGTTCTCCTTCTACAATTTCATTCTAATTTATGACTTTAATGAGATGATCTCCTCCAAGGCCAATTACAATTGATTTATGTCTATTTTTTATCTAAAAATTTCCCGAATGATTTTTAGTTCTCTGCAATTATGAACCTAACAAAACCCTTATGTGTTTTTATCCGAATGTTCAATAATTTCATGAATTGTCTCTGAATTACTACTCGTTAAAGAGGCGAATGAAATATCCGAGAAGTCGTCCTCCTTCAATAAATATATTTATTAAGGATTTTAGTCTGGTTGGAATTTAGCCTTAGTTTAAATACTGCATTCGTTTTCACTCGACTGCTTGCTTAATTTCCTAATTGTATTTTTTGATCTTGATTAATCACTTATCTTTGATAGCGAATTTTTATGCATCCCTGTCAATTACTGCAATCGCTCCTTGTATAGAGCATAGTCCCGCTGAGAATATCCCTTTCTCCAAAGTTCAACGACTTCCTGCGAAAATTCTATTAATCTCCTATTCAATTAATTAAAATCTACTTTCAAGTCAGCCAACTAAATAGTTCTTGACATTACACATACCTTTTCAGCCTCCATTTAGGCATTATGAAGTTAATCTATAACCTTATTGATCAGAGACATTCTTAAATTGCTGTCATAAAGCATCTTTGTATGAATATTAAATTTATTTCAAAAATAATATAAGCACATCTTCAATGCGTATAAACTAATATTTTAATATAAATATTATATTAATATTATAATTTTTATAAAATAAACTTTTTGTTTACATTAAGATATAAATAAATAATGCGAATTTAAATGCAATTTTTCTATTAGACTTTGATTCAAATGGGATAACAAATTAAAATAATCTTAATAAATTAAATATTTTTTATTAAAACTCATGGACCAATAAAATAAAAACAATCAAAGCAAAAATGACAAAAATGAATAATAACCAAAACAAAAGGATGAGCCTATCAAGCCTCAAAAACGTGAAAGAATGGTAATGAAGATGCAAACTGGTATAGACGGTATGAACTTTGAGGGAATGGCTGAAGAATCTGAATTAAGGGATAAAGTATCAAAGGCCGTTCAGCAAGTTCTTCAATCATCGTGAGAAATGAATTATAATAATATTTTACATATAGAAAAATTTAAATCACATAAGGTTTTCTTTGGCTACAATCTGCTTGCATAACATAATATTATAGAATCGATTTATCAGAATTGAGAAGAATAGGATTCTGAGAGTAACATAATAGCTTGCAATCTTGGCATCTATGAGACCAATAAATATTTTAGAGCTATTTCACTATTATTTAAAATAATTATGATACCACATATTAATGTTAATATATTATTATATAAGAGATTAAGGCTTTAATACATTTATAAATTTATTCAATTAATATTTATTCAAGGATATGTGTAAACAATATACAAATTTTATTGGATCATTTACAGAAATTCGAGTAGACTCTTTGCATTCTCCTGTCTACTTATAATAAAGGAGGTAATCTATTGATTTTAGCAGCTTGTTAATTCACTTTTAATGGGGATTCCGCAATTGATGTCGGAACGCTGTTATTCCGAATTTTGAGCAATCTGCAGATCCTTACATCGTTATATTTAAATGATTAATAAACTGGGCTTTTCTTAAATTTATCATCTTCTGATCTTTTTGTTTTGGATTCTTGTTTATCTTATGCATCGATATATTCTGCGAATGTGGATAATTTAAATTAATTTTCGCCATTTCTTCTTCTTCGTTTGGTGGTATCAAGATGGATCTTAGGAGTTCCCAAATAAAGGAGTCTGGTTTAGAGATTTAATTTTAATTGTTCTTATCGATGTTTTTAGTATCTCATTAAAAAAATAACGAGGATTATATATCTTCTCCATAGTTTTCTAATTCCTGCTCTCGAATGCATTTTTATGGAATGATAAGGCAAGGATAGAAGAATGTGAGAAATTCTTTAATTGAGATGACCTTCTTAAGAATTTTGGGAACTTCTAGATCTTACATAGTATTTGATTCTATATATATATCTGGATGAATACTTAGAGAATTTCGAAATCTTATCGTTACATTCAAATAGCTTATTTAATTAAGATTACAATGGTATATTAACTTTTGACAACTGTTTTTTGATAACAAAACGAGATTTCTGGTTGTTGCATCTTAAATTGATGGAGGATTTATTAAATTGTTTCAAAAACTGGTAATCAAGATCCTTCTGATACTATTGTCTCAGCTTTCTGAACATAATAATTATAAAATAGAATATGAACGTAAAATATTATTAATGTATTATATTTTAATCGCGTCAGCCGATTACCTTTTCAGTTCTTTAGTAATACAAAGAGCAATGTATCATTTTGGTTAGTTATCGTGAAACCTGAAAAATATTAACAAATTCTGAATTTTTAATTATTTCTTTATGATATAAGGAATATCAGATTACATTTCTAAGCTCTATTAACTGGAAAATTTGTATTAGATCGATTTAATTCACTGTATAAAATCTGTTCATAAATTGATCATTTTATTAATTCAATTAACTTATTGAAATCTAGATGTTTTTATTATCTGAATTATTGAATTAATAGACCTAGAAATGGATACACATCATTTGTGACTAATTTTCACTGATCTTTTTAGAAAAATATAATAAAATTGAATAAATAAAATAGTTTTAATTGAGAATTAAAAGAATATTGATTTCTTCAATTTTGATTAATATTAGTTTATCGATATAATTTACAAATCCTCTTTGAATTAAATGTTCTATAATTCAAATATAGAAAATTCACTTTGCTTCCTTCTTTGCACTTGTTTTTTTATGATTTCTATTAATTATAAATTTGATTTACATACTTAGAGTATGTTGCATGAAAAAACCCCTATTTTATTACAATGAACTAGTAAATGGCATCACTCTCATATTTTGGAATTAATTTTAACAAGAATTTGTTTGTATACAAATTGATAACTGTTTAATGTGATATCTCAATATTATGTAACAAAGAAATAATAAACTTATTTATATATTATTGTATTGTACAATTATGTAAATCATTAGACTTTTGTGATTTCTGTTTTAAGGTTTGCGAATGAATCTACTGGAACGTGCTATGCAAGGGTATAGTATTTTCCTTTTCCATCATCTTCTTCCTTCTTCTTTCTTTGGAGTCTGCATAGGATAAGTCAATTGAATATACCTGACTCTGATTCTTCTTGGCAAATTGCGGATTCCTGTCTTCCAAATTTCTTCATTCAATTATGGATCAACTCTTACATCTTCTGTTAACATATTTTTTTGAGCTTTTCTATTAATCTTGACTCACATACCAAATCTAATAATGTGACTGACAGCACGGGGAGCCTTTCTCTTGAAAGTTTCCTTGTGAACAGCCTTGTGAAGATTAATAGTATAATCTCTGCTCACTTCGCCTAGTGGATTTTGCTTTCCCTTTTCCTTTTTGCCCATAAATTAAAATAAAATCTTTGATATATTTTTTAAATTTAATAGAGTCTTATACAAGAACTCATTCAAGGGGAGTGTGGGAATCATCTAAGATCTAAGTAATAAACAAATTATTCATTTTTCAATCTGCTATTTGAAGTCCTTAATTTATTATTCAATGTGTGAGATCATTTTCTTTTTATCCTTCCTCCTGAAGAATGTCAGAATACCCAACAATAATGACTGTTCCTAATCTAGGAAATAGATGTGGAACAGACTCTAAATCCCTGATTGCATTTCAACATAGTGAGTTTGAGATACAAATAAACCAATGGCGAATCCCATGGCCAATCCTGGATAGATTGAAAATAACTAATCAGAATACAGCAATCTCTAGATCACATAAATTATCATAGTAGCAAGCAAACTGATAAAGTATTGATTGAGCTATCCATACACTTGAGACATTTAAATCATTCTCTTCTGATGGACAGGCAATATCATCCCATTTAACTGCTCGACTATCTCGATGGCATGTTTGAATGTGCAATTCTTAAGCGAAAGCTAATAATAGGATTGAGTGTGTTACAATAGTGGAGAATTAATTCAATGAAGAATAATGATTGTAATCCTGCAAGTAAAATTTTAATTTAAGTTTCTTGTTGATCATACTAAACAGATTCCAGACATTAACAAAATAATCTGTGAAGAAAATGATCGAACTTTAAGCTACTACACTTCCCAAATTATAAATTAGTGTTTTCTTTTGAGGAATTTTGAAGTTTTGTGTTTAGTCCAATTCATTCTATTGAATTAATGCTAATCCATACCATTCCAAAAACAATGAACTTGTAAAGAAACTCAATAAATTATCAATCAAAAAATAACAGTATTTCAGTGAGACTATTAGATAAATGCCCAAACAATATTGAGTAAAGGATAAAGCATTCGTAAATATTTGTTTATGATTTCCAAAATCTGGTGGAGATAATGTAGCCATGAATGTGTAAAAGTATGATATGAAGATTAAAAACTTTAGAAAATTAGTGAATATCAGAACTGAGACCATTCTCTATGATTTTTGAAATTTCCTCATCAATTTCAATCCAATAAACAACAATTTAATTTCATTATTCAGCTTATAAAACAAATAAGCCATTATATAGAAAACCATCACAAGAATGATTGACATCAATAAGGCCAATGTTGGATTTGGTTTTGAAGTATGCTCCAAAACAAAGGCATAATCAACTGTCATGGTAGCTATTTATCTATATAAATAATAAAGAATCAATTTACGTGTCGAAAGATCCTATGTTAATCAACTTTATGAATTTATGAAAAAAATAGATTCCTGCAATGCCAATCAACAGAATGAGTAAAACACATGACACATATATTTTTTACATTCTTACCTTTATCAATTTGTCCAATATTACTTTTAGAAATATAGTCACCAAATAAGTTGCGAACACTGGATATCTCATTACCCACAAATCAGAGATGCATGATTAAATCAACTCAAAATTGTAGATTTCCGAAGTCTAATAGAAGTAATTCATAGTCTTCGGAATACAAACACTGTATTAATCTAAATTATATATAAGGATCAATCTACATCTGAAAGTCGAATATATAATGAAATCCTTGTTTGGATTTGATATGTTTATCTGTGAATTGCATGTCTTGATTAAATGATTACTCAAACAATCCACCTACTTCTGTTCGTCATCTGGACATTGTGATACACACACTCTTTGATATAAATACTCTTTCATTGGATTGTTCAAATAAATGAAGGGATAGCTTTCTGCTTTACCATAACCACAAAGCGTGCCTAATTTAGATAATACGATATTACCATCCAAATCAATGCCTTTGTTCCATCTTCCCAAATACTAATATCCTTAGTTATTGAGAATATATGTACAGTATAAGACAGTTTAGAAAACACTAATCAGAATCAAGAAATAAACCCATTTGATATCTCTTTTGTAAAATTAGTTAGATTTGTATTAATTGAGTAAGTTATTCCTATAATCTTGATATAGCTTACTAAAAATTAGTTTAAGATCTATCTGAGCTATGAAACTCTCCATTATAGACTGCTTATTGATATAATCTCTGCTGAAGATAGGTTTTACCTGTAGAATCAATTAGATGATGAGCACTATGATTTTATAATGTAAGTTGAGGTTCGAAAACATGAATTGATGGTGGTGTTGATCGATTCAAATTTTGGTTAGCTTATCTCTGCACATCTTCGTGTTTCTTATCAGTTTCGATGACCTTGATTAAATCAATTTTTGTTTGCTTATTGTCTGAAATCTCAATAAATAAATTATTCCCTGATGGAGTCTATTGAATCACTGTTTTTTCTTGAAAGAGATACTGCGATGAATTTTCGAATACTCTATGAGAGATCTCTTATTCTACGATTTATTCAGGTTGCATTCAAAAATATAAACTCGCTAATGAAAATTAAAATATTGTTATTTATTCATTAATTTGTAATTCATATGCTATTAAACAGTTATAAAGAATTTTCATTTTTCATAAGCCATTAATTAGAATGAATATCATGAATGTGCAGCATTGATGATTGGATTCAAAAGTAGAGGGGGGAAATGAAGCAGTTTAGGAAGAACAGAACAATAAATATTTAAATTTAGAGGGAACATTTTGTATTAAATAATATTTTAATAATTAAAAGTGCAATTATTTCTTCTATTGATGTTACCAACAAATAAAATTGATTAAGGAGAAATTATGCTGCAGATATCGCAAAGAGAACAGGAATTGTAAAATCAACAATCGAGTGCTTTAATTCAATTCTCATCTAATCCTATTTGCAATGATAATGCTACCATTTAAATCTCCAGGTTGGATCAAGAGGGTGAGACAATACAATAGCATTCTCATCAAGTAGAAACATAACATAAAGAAGGTTTAAATGATAACTCATTGGAGAACTAAAACATTGATTTTGATTCTGCAAGCTACTCTCATTTATAAGTCGCTGATGAGCAGAATCAATACAATACAAAAAGATAAGAGTTACAATAGGCAGTCAAAAAGGAAGACGTACAAATTCAATTCAATATTGCAACTAACAATCTTTAATAGAGTAATAGTCAGAAATCCATATCAATTATAAAATTTGATGACAATTCCGAAGTTAGGAACAATGGTTAAACAGGTAAAACTTAAGTTAATATCCAGAATCAAAACCAATTGCACATTATATCTTGATTCCAGTTTATTAAAGAAAATAGAATTTTCAAGACAATAATCCATAAGAAGAATCAGATTTTCAACAGCTTGACTAAAATCCAAATTGTCCCATTTGCAGTTCAAATTTTGAGAGAATCGTCAGACTTTTAGAATGTGAACACATGTTTTGCGAGTATCAATTTATCATATTCCAAAGGAGTTGCTACAAAGAATACTTAGAAGACAGAATCAAAATTGCCAAAATACATAATATTCCTTGTTTACAAGAAGGATGCACAATCCTTTTTTCAGAAGATGTGATTAAATCCATTGTGAGTGAGTAGAAATTCCAATTATATTTGGTTTTCAAGAGAAAGTATGAAATCGAGAATGATCCAAACAAAAAGTGGTGTCCAGCAAAGGGCTGCGATCGCTATATTGAAAAAGATCCAAAAACCAACTTGATATAGTGCGAATGTGGTTAGTTAGTCTGTTTTAATTGTGGCCAGGTTGCCCATCAAGGAATGCTATGTGAAGTATACGCATTTCTTTACTTTAGGATGCAATTTAAGGGGACTTTAAATAGGCTTTGGCTAAATATTGTATAAAGTATTGTCCAAAATGCAAATCCCATATTTAAAAAAACGCAGGATGCAACCATATGACTTGCGCCAATTGTTCATTTCAATTTTGCTGGGTTTGCTTATAACCTTATCATGAATACCACTATCGATATTGGTCAATCAGAGGATGTGCTAGTACTTCATTCAATTAATTGTAGTATGGACGAATGGTCGTTTTAACACTACGAAGGAGGTCTCAAACCCTGATAAAATGAGGAGAATCTACTTCCTTCCCAGAGTGTTTCTATATACATTTAGATGTCCTGTTCTGATAGTTAAGTTGACTGTGAAATCTGCCTGCAAGTCTGTTGTGAAGCCCTTCGTATTCCTCAATAAGTAATTGTGCAGATCATCAAAGCCTAAATTTTGGTATTAGATTGTTCAATATTAGTCTTTTGGCGTGCTTTTATTTTCTTTTCGCAGAATTATTAATCTTGTTAATTGTAATCCTAGTCTCTCCTTTTTTTTTGTTTTATCAATGCGCAAAAGAAATAAAGTGGCTTTCCATTAAGGGTTGTGCCTATTGAACATTTATCATCTTTATTAATTTACTATTATTTATTCTAAAAATATCATATAATGGGGAATTGTTGTGGAGGCCATAATTTGGCAAATGCGAATTTTTAGATCGCCAGTTACGATCTGTAATTCTCAGATCCCTCGAAATTTGACTTAGTACTTCTCAATAAGAAGGCTTTGTAGATTTAGAGTATGTTTCAAAATATATGAAATCTAAGAATTATTCAGAGGTTATGTAGTAAGAAAGAAGATGAAGAAATAACAGACAAAGGCATTGGCACAGACATCGGACGAGAGTTTCATTTATCAATATCGAGCGAATCAGAAGGAAGATGTTAAGAACAACCAAAATGTTTTAAAATTTAACATTGATGGTTAATAGCATATTCCTGTGTTTAATGTAAAAGAAGTTAATATCAGTTCGAAGTACTCAGATAAAATTAAAAGTGTAATAAATGATCCTTCTATCCAAGGTTCTTGATAAGTTGGATCCATTTAATTTCAATTAAGATGCCTAGTTTTTAGAGTACCCTTCCTCAAAACCACTGCTGATTGGCGATGTTATCTACGAAGGTCAATGGAACAATTGGTATTCAACTTTAGTTTATGAAGTTAAAAACACGGGAGAGGAAGATAGTTTTGGATTGATGGGTCATATTATGAAGGATATTGGTTCAATAATTGTTAACATGGCAAAGGCAGGTTGCTATTGGCCCAAGGAGACATTTACGAAGGAGATTGGAAGAATGATAAAGTTCATGGTTTTGTAATTTTATTAATTATTAATAGTAGGGTACTTACATTCATTAGAATGGAGCTAAGTATTAAGGCTATTGGGAGAACGATAAGCAGCATGGAAAGGGTAAGGAGTTCTGGCCAGATGGAGCTACTTTTGAAGGAGACTACAAGAATGGATAGAAGAACGGTGAGGGGATCTTGAGAGAGGCTGATGGATCGGTTTATGAAGGGGAGTTTTAGGAGAATAGGTTCGAAGGTCAGGGGGACTATAAGATTGTGGGTGGAAAGAGATATGTTGGACAGTACAAGAACAATAAGATGCATGGAAAGGGAGTGAGTAGTCTTGTTTATATTTATAGACATTTTATTGGAAAGATGGCAAGAAGTATGAGGGGGACTATGTCAATGGTGTGAAATAAGGATATGGAGTGTTGTATTATCCGGATGGGAGGGTATCTATGAAATAAATTCAAGATCTTTAAAGGCTATTGGTAGAATGGGAAGCAGCATGGGATCGGGATTTATATAGGGAAATCAAAGGTGGAGAAGGAAGGGGAATGGATTGATGGGAAGCGAGTCCGATGGATAAGGAAAGGAGGAGAGTTTGCTATTAATGAATCTTGATTAATAAATTTTTCTTTGGAATTTTAAGTTAATTTTTTATAAGGGGATTTTTTGATTAATTCTAACTCAAATGATATTTTTTGATGAGTCGATTAAGGGATCATGAAGCAAGAATGATTTAGTTGCAAATTTATATAATTTAATATAATTTTTATATAAATTACTGCATAACAGATTATGGGAAGTTGTTGTACAGGATAATAAGCATGGTGTGGTGATCAAAAAACACAAGTAAATTTAGGAGCAGGTCAATCACAAGATCCAGATAAAAAAGTGGATGAGCAGTTGGATGAAAATTTAGTTAAGGAAAAGGCTACAAAAATATAAGGTAATTTCAGTTTGGAATTATGAATAGCACATATAAGAGGTCACAAGGCGAGAGAAGAGGTTAAGAAAATAAAAGAAACCCAAAAGAGTTCAGAACAAGTTTCAGATAAGTGCATTAAATAAAGTCTTGAACCTAAAAGAATGGAAAACCATCAATAATAGGAAGAAAAGGCATCTGTAACAGCAAAAGAAGGTGCCTATACAAAGGGTCCAGAGTAAGGTGCTGGTGCCAATTAGCATGCTCCAAATGATAGAGTAAGAAAAATTGAAAGGGTACCTGACTTTTTGACAGATCGAACTAGACAAGTATATTTTAATTATACAAAGGTTTTGGAGAAATTGGATGAGTTTGTTTACGATTAAGATTAAGAGGAATACAAAGATTTACCACAATTGGGTCCTTATGAATTTGAGAACGGGAGTGTTTATATTGGTTAATGGAAGAACGGGTATATTTTTGCATCTATTTTATCTAGATAGAGGCATGGCAGAGGAAAACAAATTTGGCAGGATGGTTCATTGTATGAAGGCTATTGGTACTAAAATGTAGCATGTGGCAAAGGCAGATTAATTCATTCTGATGGTGATATTTATGAAGGAGAATGGAGAAATGACAAGGCTCATGGTTAAGTAAAATTTTAGATGTAATTCTAGGGAAAATATGTTCATATGGATGGGGCTTAGTATATTGGCCAATGGGAAGATGATAGATAGAACGGGGAAGGATAAGAAATTTGGCCAGATGGTGCTAGTTATTAAGGATAATATAAGAATGGAAAGAAGGATGGTAGGGGTACATTTAAATGGGCTGATGGCTCTATTTATGTTGGAGACTTCTATTAAAATAATATTTAAGGACAAGGAGAATATAGTTGGGAAGACGGTAGAAAATACGTTGGAGAATGGAAAAATAATAAAATGGATGGCAAAGGAGTATGGTTATTTATGCTAATCAAAGGTTTTTACTTGGCTGGATGGCAGAAGATATGAAGGTTAATATAAGGATGATAAAAAACATGGTTACGGAGAATTTAAATGGCCTGATGGCAGAGTATGATTTTTTAAAGATTATCAGGTCTATAAAGGAGACTGGTCAAATGGCAAATAGCATGGCAGAGGAATCTACATAGGTTCATCAAAGGTGGAAAAGGAAGGAGAATGGTAAGACGGTAAAAGAGTAAGGTGGATTAGAAGAGGAGGCTAACCAATAGAAGAGGGAAATTGAAATTCACTTTTATAACAAAGTTCCCTCACAGAAATTTTTTGTTTTTTAAATCTTTTATTATTTATTGTTTATTCAAAAGATTTTAGAGCTTTTTCTAACATCTGATTTTGCTTCCATTTTCTTTTAATCCTATGCTGCTTTATCGGCTGCTTCAACCTATGCTAATTATCTTTTAAGATCGGATATCTTTTATTAGCTTTCCTTATAATTTTTCTCTAAATTTGTGTACTTCTTCATCCATGTTTCTACTTCACTTGATGCATAAGTGACTTTCTCTGTTATTATAACTTAGTATTCTTCCTATAACTCTTACAATTTTAATCTTAGTTCTTTCATAAATTCTTCATCATCAGACATCTTTTTTTCTAATTCTTGTTTTTAGTTTAATAAGTTCTTAACCTTTGTGTCATCTTATACTTCTTAAAAATTTTCCTCTACAATTGTCCCATTGTTCTTTTTTATTTGAATTTGTAACTCTAAAATTTATCTTTCCAAAGCTGTGCATTTTTACTTCCATGGAGCCTCAATATCTTTTAAAATCGATTAGAACTTTTACCATCGGCTTTTACTACTTGTAATGGTCTCTCTAAATGTCTAAATTCCTAAGCCTATCCTTAAGGTTACGATGTCTAATCATAGATTATTTATTAAATTTACTTGTTAACTTTGACCAACCTTTTAGGATTAATTAGTTGGTTTAATGGTTTTAGGATTTGATGTATTTATGGGGTTTTATTAGGTCTATCTCGTTGGTATAATCGGACTTTATTGTAATTGTAGCTGTTTCATTTGTTGTGATAGTGGAGATCCCTAAATCATTTAACATAATAATAACCATTAATTATCTTTGTTGAGGAGATAACATTTAGGCGTTGTTATAATTTGGAGATTACTAAAATTGTCTTGGAGATTGAACCTAATGAAAATTTTATTATTCATTACAAACTGATTTTATCTTGGTGAAACCTGGAACTGATTAGTTTATTGACCAAATTGTTATTGCAATATAGGATTTGTTGAATACATCAAATAATAATTTTAATAAACTAAATACTATTCATTTTTTCCATATCATTTAAAATACTTTGGACGATTGGGAATCTAAATAGCCATAGTTATTTAGCTTATTCTAATAGTAGTTATATGCTGAATTATCGAAGAATCAACAGATATCTATACAATTATTTTATGTAATATATAACACGTATATAATTTATTCTAGAATTTTAATAATTATGTTGAAAATCATTTTCTTAGCTGTTCTGTGCTCATTTAGTGCAGCATTATTTGAGAATTCTTATCTGATTAAACAAGCCAATAAATTAGAAGATTTTAGAGGTATTTTAGAATCAGAATTTGTTTCTCTTGTGTATTTCTATTCAGATCAATGCGAAAATTGCCAAAGAGCTGCTTCACTAATAGAAAAAGTAGCAGAGGATTAGGAAGGCATAATAAATGCATATGGAGCAAATTGCGATGAAATAAATAAAGATCCTAAATCTAAGTATTTATGCAATCTAAATCTAGTGATTAATTACCATATTGCAGTTAAGATGTGATATAACATCTACCTTAAATTACTTTCTTTGAACCTCCAACTCAACCAATAAATCCATATACAAAAGAAAAGATGATAGCAACAGAACACAGATTTTAAGGGGAAGCTACTCCATAAAGTTTGGGGTAATTTGGATACAAATTCATCCCAAATCATGTTATTAGAATTAATACATTGGAGGAACTCAAGAAGTTTGAGACATCTGATCCAAAATTGAATAAAGTTATTCTTTTTACAAAGAGGAAGGAAACTTCACCTCTACTCAAAGCCATGAATCTCCATTATTTGGAAAGAGTCAAATTTGGAGAAGTTGTCGCAACTCCAGAAACATAATCATTATTAGATGAATTTGATATCAAGGAATTACCACAAATAGTGGGCTTAGAAAATAATGGAGATAATACTTATAATAGAGATCTATATGATGGTGATCTATTATTCAAACCAATCAAGAAATTTGTCAGGGGATTGGCTGCTAAAGATAGAATTCCATATGAATAAATCAATGAATAATCAAAGAAGTAGGAAGAAAGAAAGAATAGAAGACAAAAACAAGATGATTAAGAAAAAAGTAATGAAAAACAAAATGTCATTACTCCTACTAAATTAGATCAAAATATTTTAAATAAATAATTATTAAGAAATGATAAACCAGCATTTGTGCATGTTTATAAAGAGACACCTCATAAGGCATGGGAGGAAACCATTAAAAAATATAAATCTTTATTTGATTATTATGAATTTTAAGTAAACACTCAAGAGGATGAAGAATTAGTCAAAGAATTGCAAATAAAAAGCTACCCTAGCATAAGATTTTATCAAGTAGGAAATACTGCAAAAAAGAGAGCTTCCAAAATATCATTTACTAAAGAATATTCATTAGATGAAATAAATAAAGACATATAAGAATTAGTTGATGATAAGACTATTAATATCAATGAACAAACATTATAAATGTAATTGAGCCAGTATATTGCTGATAATAATATTGTTGTGCTTTATTTTTATTAGACTCCTTAAGTTGGATTAACTTATAGAGTCTTAAGTTAATTGCAAGAATATCACGGTAAGTATAAATTCTTGTCTTTTAAAAATGCTTCCTAAAAGGTTATTGAACAATTTTAGATCCCTAATCAACCAGCATTAACTATCATCTTTAGAGATGTCAAGGATAAGAAGGAATTAGAAGAAGAACTAAAACCTGATTAAGTGAGACAAGCACTATTTACTGGAAAGCATGGTTATGATGAAATTAAATCATTCTTAGATTCAGTATAATTATAATCAATATTTAGTTTGATGAATCCAAAAAGACATCCAGCAAAAAAGTATAGGAAATACATAATTAAGAGTAATTAGAAGAATATTGTGAAAAGAAGTAAACATTATGTTACATTGCATTATTGAATGGTGAACATAAATAAGTGAAACATGATGATATTTTAACAAAATGGGAACATCAATTGGAAGTGCTAGACAAAATAAAAAACACCCATGGAGCAAAATAAGCATCTTTTGTTTTCATTGATGCTTCTTGTCATGATGAATTATTATTAAAATTTGATATTTCTGATGACACATTACCTAATTTCGTTGCATACTCGAGCAGCAAAAAGATGTAATTAATATTATAATTTTAGTTATTCTAAATTAATTGGAAGATTCGATTATGATGCTCTTAGTAAATTTATTGACAAATAATATAAGGGATAATCTAACAATATCAATATTAATTCTATTTAAATTATAGAAAAAAATTGTGAAGAAATATTCCAAAAAAGAAAAGAGGCTAGTCAATAATCAGGATTATCAGATTTTGATGAAGAAATCCTGAAAGAAATTTTGGAAGAAGAAAGATTAAAAAAGAAAGAATTAGAAAAAGAATTAAAAAAAGGAAAGAAAAAAAGTAAAAAGTCTAAAGATGATTTATGATTTTAACTCGAATTTTATGTTGATAATTGTTATAAATTCTGCTATGAAATTTCTTCTCTCAATTTCCTATAAAAATTACTAACATAATATATACATGATAAAAAATAAATATATGATTTTTAGACCAAAATTCCAATAAAAGAAGGTCTCTGTATCATTTCTTATGAATACTTTCATAATTGTTAAAAATTAATACCAATTTCATAAAATTAAAAGTAGAAATACTCATATTTATAAATTCATTTCTTCTTCTTTTTTGTTCCCATAGCTTCCCTCAATTTTCTATCTTGTCTTTGAAATATTTCAAGGTTTTCTTTCCACTATTATGCTTAATCAAAATCTCTCAATTTCCACATAAGAACATCCATTCTGAAATTAGCATCTGATGGTAATGGGTATTAGGCCAATTCTAACTTGATTGGGAAGTCTGTCATTATAGATATCAATCGTTGATTATCAAACTTAGATAAGAACTATTCTTACTTTTAATTCTTGGTTCCAAACCCCTTTAATTATGCTTTTAACCGACTTAACTTCAGATTTTAAATCAAGTCCCTTATATTTTCTATAGCCTTCTCTTAAATATCTTCCTATCGCTGCGTCTGTAACCTCACAGACTCCTCCAGCTACAAAATCTGAATATGGAAGATGTTCAATATTAAAATATTGGCAGTATTTTTTATCAGGCTTGAATGCACATTCCATAACCCATTTATTATTTAAATCAAATAGAAATTATTTTTCTAAAAAGTCCATTGATTTATCACCAAATGTAGTCCCATAAATACAACCAGGTGCTAATAGAATAATGACTTCTTAAGGAGGATTTTCAAATATCACTTTAACTTCGCCTACGTTTCTACCAACAACAGAATTTGAATGAAAGTTAGCAACTAGTTCTAGACGAGCATCAATTCTATTCATATTTAGACTATTGATACTTATATTTTCGACCATAATATTATATAATGCAAATTGGAGGATGATGACTAATTTATTCGCAATATATCGGACAATTATCAAAATAACCTTAAAAGGTTTCTCCTAAAATAGGATTGAAGGGCTAGAATATATTAGGTATGGATCATACTTTTTCCATAGATAAATATGAAAAGATAAATCCGAAAGAAAACGCTGCACACTATTTAATCCTATAGAATTTATCCTTCGATATAGCAGCATCATCCAAAAACACTGGAGCAAAGGCCAAAGAACTACAAGCTCTTTCAGTATTAGATCTGGATTCGAATATTGTTACTGGCATAGATATGCTTGTAAGAGATCTTCCCATCAAAAGTGAAGTTCCTTTAATATATATAACTTTTTACCTATTCTAGCTAATAAAAATTTAACCACACTCTTCTATGCATTTACTTTTACCTCATTTATACATTTCAATCCTCCATTCTTTTCATCTCTGATAAAATCCTTTCTAAATATGTAGTGTCCTCCTTCTTATTCTTTCATATACTTTCTATTCTATATTATTTGATTATATATTTACTTTGATATCTGACTCTAATGGATTCAAAATATGTTCTATATCAATGGCAATTTGACAAAATTTCCCACTGAAATAAGCCTACATCTTCTTTTCTACCCAATCTTCAATATTTTCAATTGTATCACTTTAACTTTACACTTAGTGATTCCTGTTCGTTGGCTATCTTTAAGTTATCGAATTCCTGACTTCTATCACACTTTAATCAGAACTATTAGCTTATTGATCTTATTATCCAATAAACAACTTATCATTCATAGCATCTATATCATCCTAACAATCGTAATATTGAGTGAGGTTTCCATCAGATCCCTCATTTTCAGGTTCAATTTCATCATTTTCACAATCATCCTCTATTTTTGGTTACTGAAATAAGATATTTTATGAAATATTATTTCCAACAACTTGAGAAGATTCTTAAGAACTAGAAGTTTTCTTTAGTTTCAATTATTCTAAAGTACCTTAAGAAAGATTATTTTAATCATTTTTTCCTTAATTAATGTCAAAAGACTTAGCTGATTTTTTCATATTGACTTACTATTAAATTTATTAATCATCCTCTTTCAGATTTCCAATTAATGGAATATGTTTATCTTTAGAAGGTAATAACATTTAATTTGGTGATTAAACTTGACTTTATTAACTTGGACCTTAGAGTGAGGAGGAGACTATAATAGGTTATTGAGTATTTGGATTTTGAATTGTTTATTTAGGGATATCAGCTTACTAAGCATCTTTTATAACTTTTACTTTTGACTTTGAAGTTAAAAATTCATTTTGAGGACTATTATTTGGATTTATACCTTAACCTTTATCCTGCATTAGTTGTTTATCAGGATCAGTTTTTGATGTCTTTATTATATTTTCAAATTACAAAAAATATTGTTATGAAAGGATTGAGTCTTCTTCAATAAAGGCTAATCCATTGTAACTCTATTCGGTAAATAATACAATATTAGTTTGATTATTTTCAAATTAGAGACCCCAAACAGCAAATTTTAGGAGCCCTGACACTGTGCCTTAATGTATTTTGTGATCTGCTTTTTTTTCGATAATGATTTTAGTGTTTTCTTTTTTTTTAAATTCAACTACATGTCTTAAATAAGTGAATTCTCTTTTGAATTAAAACCAATTTTTGATTAATCTTATTTCAGTTATCATTTGGGATTTATCAGATTTGAAATCTTTAATTTAAGTGTATTCTTTGATATTGTGCGCATTCCAATCATACTAAGATTCAAATAATTGGGTTTGACATTTTGCTAAGCCTAAAGAAATAAAAAAGGAATATTACAATTTCCAGGTAAAGTAATAAATACTTTGAAATTGAGTTAATTGTTTTTATTTCTATAAATCTTCACTATTTGATTTTGCGTGAGTTCATACTATTCCAATTGGAAAGATTTAGATCTGATATTCTGAATACTAGATTAAATTTTAAAATTTACGCATCTCGAATTTCAGGCATTTCAAAAAAATGTGGAATGTCGTAATCATAATCTCTTATAGATGCTGCGGTTTAATAAAATTTATCATACAATTAGGTTTTGAAGATAAACTAGGCTCGAACAAACTTTATGTTCGAAGCTATTATCCACACATTTTTTTTAGGAATAACATAAGCTCATTGGCAAACTTCTCATTGTCAGATCCCATTAATATATTCTTTTCCCCTATTGTAGAAACCAATTCAAATTAAAATCTATTATTTTTTCTTTCTACATTTGCTATCTATCAGGAATGAGGAATATACTTTACTTAATAATTTGCTAGATGATAATTTTTATTTTATTTTGAACTTTTTATTGAAAATATTCTAAGTTCTTGATCAATGATGTATTTTTTTGGTTGCCAAAGACCAAAGGTCTTGCCTTTAACTAGGATCTCCCCTTCCAAAAGATAGTTGATTTTTGCCTTATCCATAAATTAATAATATTTTTAGGGAGATATTTTGTATTAAATTGGATTTTTAGTGTAATCTATTATTCCACCCCTGTTTGGCACTTTACATCATATAAATTTATTTTATACTAATATTGTTTTTTTGTTGCAATATGATAATACAACCTAGGTACTAGCAAAAGATGGCTGACACATTCTCCAATAGCAAGGACTTTTACTCCTTTCAACAAAAATAACTTACAGTTCAAAAACCATAAGCACTTCGTTTGGAACATTGGTCTATCTCACAAAGAACTAAATTTCAATCTATCAAATACAGAACGAATTCTGAGATCCTGACTGCTTTTATCAATAAAGGACTACTGTAGACCTAATAAAAAGAATCGTCCTAGAAACATTATGAAAATTCTTCCAGCATTTCAATCAAGTAGAGTTTAGATGAAAGAGTAACAAGAGAACATTTACTGTCATATTAGGCTCTGTAAACCATAGAGGATACGGAAAAAAGTAATTAACGATAATTAATTATTTAGGTAAGAAAATTCTTCCACCATTAAGTTTGTATGCGGATAAATTAATACTAAAGGAAAGGCAGAATTAATCTAAAGAAAAACTAGAAACCTGTAAAAATTCTATAAATGAAACGTAAGAATTAAAGACTATAACAAGTCCAAAATTGTAGAAGACAGTGGCAAGGAAAAGTAGAGGATTCATTCAAGGGGAACACAAGTCAATTTATGAGAGTGAACTAAATGCTCATAAAATGGGAAGAACTTCATCTACTCCATTAATGCAGAAATCAAAGGAAGATAAAGAAGAACAAGCTACAAGTAGATCTGGAACTCCTTAAAAAGAAACCCCGAAAATTAGTCCAATAAAGCATCCTTAAAAGAATTTAACTAAGTAGTTGAGCATATAGACACCTTAATACAAAGTGATGAAAGAGAAGAAATTTCATTCCGGTTTGCATTTATCATAACAATAATAACAATAATAACAATAATAATAATAACTATCATAATAATAATAATAATAATAATAATCAATCTAAATTGATAAAAAATTTATTCCAAGAAAAAAAAAAATGTCAATTTCCAATAATCTAATATAGTAGCAGAATCTCTAAAAAGAGAAACTCACTCTACGTCACACATCTTATCGCTGCTTTTTAAATAAGATTAATTTTTCAAATAATTAATGCATCTCTTCTCCAAGCAAAATGGAAGTTCCTACCTATTATTATTATGTAGGTCTTGGAAACAATGGAACTTTAGTCAAAAATATATTCAGATAAAGATGGTGGTGGACAGAGGCAGAGACTTTAGATACGACAAAAGTAAATATGTCATGGACATAATTGAAATAGAATATTTGTATTGAATAATTACATCCGTATTGCATGGACTAGGGAGCTTAGAGTTCTGAATCTTTTATCTTGAGTCATGAGGAAACTATTGGGGATACAAGTGATTCAGACATAGATGTAAAATCAAAATAGGTATGCTAAAGTGGTGGGGTGTAAAAACAGTAAAGCTCTTCTTAGCATTAATAAAAGAAGCCTCCCAATTACTTTTCGATTAAAAGAATATTAAATGCATAAGATTTACAGAAATTGTTAAATTATATGGAGGATACTAACTGCTATGATAGTTCAATAATTTTTAGTGATTGCTCTGAAAAATTGTTAAAAGATATAAAATAATATCACACTGTTCAAAAGCTTGATGGTTAAAGTCAAAGGATGCACAATCATATGGAGGACAATTGGCATCTGGGTAATAAAAAAGCTCTCTTCTATAATATGAAACATTACTTTTAAATTGTCAAAGAGGATTATAACAAATTGCTTCCTGTAACATTTCATGTTCAAAAAGGGTTAAGCGATATTGAGTATTCGAAATTTTTGGATTATTATAACAAAAGAACTGAAGAACTTCGTGAGCTTGAAAAGAATAGGGATAAAAAAGATAAAAAGAAACCACTTCTAAATTTATGGATAATTAAACCAGGAGAATTGACTAATAGAGGCTATGGGATTACGGTTTGTAATGATTTAAATGAAATTAATAAGATAATAAGTGAAGAAATTTAAGAAGGCAGATAAAGAACTTATATAGTTCAATAATATATTGACAATCCATTTTTGTATAATAAACGAAAATTCGATATTAGATGTTATATGCTACTGACTTCTTAAAATGGAATATTTAAAGGTTATTGGTATTAGGAAGGGTATATTAGAACTTCATCCAAAGAATTTACTACTAAATGCTTAGATAGATTTGTACACCTAACTAATGATGCTGTCCAATCAAAAGATTAAGACTATGGTAAACATGAGCCAGGCAATAAGATTTCTTATTTAGAGTTCTAAAGATACGTTGAATGCAATTATCCTAATTCTAAATTTAATTTTTTTGTTGACATCTATCCAAAAATGAGATCTGCTGCCTTGGATATGATGAAAGCTACCTATGGTAAAATAGATCCGCATAGGAGAATTAATAGTTTCGAAGTATTAACTTGTTAAATATATAGTTATATGGATTAGACTTTATGATTGATGAGAATTTCAAATTGTGGTTAATTGAAGCTAATACCAATCCCTGTCTTGAGTAGTCTTGTCCTCTTCTTAGTAGAATAATACCAACTATGGTAGAAAATCTGTTTAGGATCGCTGTTGATCCAATTTTCCCTCCCCCCTTTTTTGAAGAATGGCCTTTAAATAAGAAACTATTTATTCCTGATAATGTGATTGAGAATAATAAATTTGAGCTTATTTTCGATGAATTGATAGAAAAGAAAAACATGCTTAGTTTATTTCGAGACAATAAAATTGAATAAGAGTGTTTTGATATTGAAGAAGAAGAAGAAGAGGAAGAAGAAATAGATTGAATATATCTTATAACTCAATTTTTATTAGATTTATTTATTATAATTTTCCTTTAAAACTTTTTAACATCATGATTAAATTCTACAAAATTATATGATGAAATTTATTTATAAAAATATTAATTTTCTTAAATGCAGAGAACGATTGTTTACTATGCGTTTAAAATTATAGATGGTCTCTTTGTTGGAAATAGCCGTGCACCATTAGTATAAACTATATTTTTATATATGATGAGGAAAGAGATTTTTTGTTAATAAACAAAATAAATAACATAATTAATTGTGCAGCCTCAGAACTAACATATAATGGCCTCGGGAACTGCCTCTGCTTCAATTGGAGAGACTCAGTGGAACAAGTAAATTATTTTATAGATTTAGATTATTGTTACAATTGAGAACATTGAAAAAATCTATGAGTTTATTGAAGCAGCCATTAATAATGGGGAAGGTGTTTTATTTTTCTCGCTTAGAGGATAGAGCAGAGCTCTAACAGCCTTGACAGCTTATTTAATGTACAAGTAACTTTATCACTGAATTTAATAGATATAGTTGGAATTTGAATAAAACAGTCCAATTCTTGAGTACAAGAAAGAAAGACTTTGAAATCACACAAGCGTTTCTAAATTAATTAAAGAGTTTCGAGAAAGACTATTTAAAAGGTAGAAAATTAAGTTCCGAATGGGATAATAATGCAGAAAATTAAGAAATTTAGATTATATAAAATACTTATCTGAATTCGTTACGGCAACCTCCAATGATTTAAAAAACAGTTGCAAGGTTTTCAAGTCCAAATGAAACAAAGCAAAATGTAACTTGGTCTATTAACTTAATATAATAAATTTAAACAATTGAACCAAATGAAGATAAATAAACTCCAAAAGAGTTGAAATCTATTTTAAAAGGTTCTTCTAGACTTTTAAAAAAGGACAAATAATTAAGATCCATTTCAGTAAACGATAATTCAAAACCAAGTTTGGAGGATTTTATTTTACAAAATATGTTAATCACTAAAAAGTTACAAACACCCAAGATTAACAGTTTTAGTTTAGAGAATAAGGGTAAAAAGAAGGACTTGACGGAAGGAATAATTTCATAGCATAGAGCCAGGCCAAAAAGGCCATAGCATTTTACTCCTGAAAGATAAAGAATTATGTAGAATACTAAATAGATTATGGATACATATCTAAATTCGCAAATTAATAATATTTAATTAATGAGGGGCAGATCCATTTATACTCCTTAAAAAGAAAGAATAAGAGCAGTTTCCTAATTTAGTTAAAGTCCAAACAAAACTCCTAGTCTAACGAAGTAATAATTTTTTATTGAAAATTAAATTGGGAATTTTATGAAATGGAGTTTAGCTAAAAAATAGCCTTAATTTAAAATAAGATGATTCTTGTCATCATTCTATTTATGTGTTAATGTTGAATTACAAAATTTATTAATATATAATTGTTATCAATCAAAACTTGGTTTATTGGTTCTGCTACTTTTGATTTCAGTGATCAATTATCTACTAGTTGCAGCTTGTCCTTTTTTTGAACTTTATTTAGTCGAGACTAAATTAAAATTAAATATTTACTCCCACTTTTTTTAACTCTCATATCCCTCATTATTTAAAATATGTCAATACTAGTTTGCAATGTATTTTTTCTATTTTACAAAATATCAATACTTATCTGACATCTTTAGCTATTCGTGACTCATTTTATGAGATTCTTCTGATTTCAAAATTTCTGATTATTTTCTTGAATTTGGATGGGGTTACATGATGAATCCAAATAATCTACAATAGCTTAAGTTAGATATTACTATTTTGATTTCTTATTGCCTCCTTTAGGAGACATTTGTCTTACATCTTTCTGCTTTTCTCCAAGAGAAAATAAGAGACTTGCATAAGACTTTGAGTTTTCTTATTAAGCCCCTATTTTTGCATTTAAGGTTTGTTTGAATTTTTGGGTAACTTTGCCATCTGGAGATTATGTAGAATAGGACTCTTTTCTTAAAGCTTTATTGATCATATTCGAACAGTTAGTTAAGTCCTATTTAAACGATATTAATTCCCCAACTGAAGTGCTGTTTTTAGTGCTATTTCTTAGAATAATCTCTTACTGCATTTTATTATTATAATTCACATCTTCCTTGTAAACTTTATTCTTCTAGAGGTTTGTTAATTAAAGCTATTGTTATTCACCCACTGAACTATAATGAGCCAAAGGAGATATAATTCGATTCTTTTTATTTATAAAGACTTCTTGTCTTCTCTCTCCTTAGTAAACATAATTAAGGGATAAATTGAGAGGGTATTTTTATGAATTTAAAAGACTGGTTCTGCTGTCTTTACTAAGGGATTGTCCTCTATTTTAGGATTATGGTTGGATTAGAGGAGAGTGACTTTGCTACAATTTATGTGTTTCTAGTAGTAAATTTGGATTGATTTGCAAATACTTTTGTGTTTCTAAGATTTCAATCTATTAATAGAATAGATGTCATAGATACATACGTTATTTTGCAATTTCAAAATTTCATATTGAAGTTTTGCATTTTCTGATGTTTTAGCGTTCAATTTTTGTAACAAATATACTAATTTATCATTCATAGACAATTTATGAGGTAATAAATCATTGGAAAAGTCAGTGATGTTATTTAGATCAGTGCTTTTTTTTTATTCTAAAATTTAAATTTTGGATTGTAATAGCATATTTTCTTAGACTAGAGAACAATTCTTTTATTTCTGTTGAACCAATTCTTATTCTAATTTTTGATTTTAATTTTAAAGTGATTAGATCTAAGTTTACAAAGTTGTTTCAATAGCATTTTTCTAATCATTTAATTCCTTAATTTGTTTAATCAAATCATCTTATACACTTTTGGGAATGGTTTAGTTGTTATGCTGCTTAACAAGTGTTTCTTCAAATTCACTCTGATTTCCATGATTAATGATTATAGGTTATTCAACACAAAGTTGCTTTTTCACTAAACAATTTAATTTTGAATTTGTTACAACTACTGAAACAACCACCTTTTTGAGGAAAGCTAAATTTAGTCAAGTTTTTATTTTAAGGAGCTGGAGGCTCTTACATAATGTCTTTAGGACTTGGTTGAGAATCGATTCTTTAATAATTGGATTCAGATTAGCCAGAATTGATGCTTTGGGGATGAAACTCTACAAATTCAATATATTGTATAGGATGTGACTCTTAAATTTCATCTTATTTTTGATCACTAAATTTTGGATTGTATTGAAATTCTTGAGATTCTTGCAAATTGATAGGTTGAGAACTAAAGGATTTGGATTCCTTAGTAAAATTGAGTTCTTAGTTTTCAACATCTGGTATGTTGCTACAAAATTCTTCAAAAGTGTCTAATTCTTAGATCTGCATAGTAGATGAATAATTTTACTTATTGTTAGACAATTTTGTCCTCTTCAGAAGATTGGATGATCAGATTAGCTGGTTTCCTTTGTTTGAATAATGGTTACATATTGAATTTTAAATTGTATTTTCTTAATAATAAAAATATCGATAATTAAATAGTATGAGTCATAAGCAAAGTTTACAAAAGAATTCGGAATCATCCAATTCTCCCTCTTTTAAACCCACACACTCCAGATGGTACCATTAATGACACGAATCGCACTAGTTTAGATCTATTCATTTACTTATATATATTTTCTATCGGGATTGACCGGTTATTGACACGAACAGAACTTTTGAAGTTTTTCTAAACCTTAAAATTATTTTTTTTCCATATCCCAACTTAATCGGTTAAAATAAAGAGTGGATTCAATTTCATCAAGATCCACGTATTCCTTACATGTGAAAATCTGACACGAGTGTATCACAGTCTAGGCCAAAATATAATCTTCGTGTTTAGTTTCAAACAACTCCTGTTCTGAAACCCATTCATTGCTTTTCGGATGTGATTTGATCACTTCACTTTTTCTCATATACCATTGCACACGACATAAACATATAAGTTTAAGTGTTGTTGGTTCTTTTATTGATATAATTTATTTTATGGTCCCTACATAATCTTCATCATGAGCATCTCCACTATTAATTAGCACAGTCTCTCCCAACTTGATAACTTTCTTCTGAACCTTAATACAATCGTATTCCTCAAATAAACCTTTGGTTTGTTTGGCCATCTTGATAAGGTGTTCCCACTTTTAGGATTTGTACAAATCTCTAATGCTACTCGAAGAATGTTTCGAGATTTGCTTTTTAGTGATTGTAGAACTCTCCCTAGACTCTTTTTAGAATTTATTCTTGTTATATATAGCTTTTTTGATCCAGTGAGAATAGTTCATATTTATATTTAGATCAGATTTTTTATTTGAATTATAATTTAATTAAAAATTCAATTGGATATACAGCTGCTTTCTGAAATATTTATGTCATCTTGATCTTTGAATTGAGGCGAACAAAACAAACTCTTCTATTCTTCTTAGACTATTTCTAAATTCTTATTATTTTGACTTAATTCCAAAGGGTGATTTCTTGCCTTCAAATCACTGAAGTGCATCAACTCCCTGAAATTCAAAATCTAACCAGTTTCTTTCAGATCACTTTTCCCATATGAACCCACATTTTATTGATCATCCCATAAATTAACTTTTTTCACTGACTCCATCAATTAAGATCTCTTATCTAAAGCTTTTTTGCAAGTTTCTGTATCTTACAAATATTATAGATATTATAAATTTTCAAGCTCATTCTTCTTCAAATCAGGAGTTTCTAACACCATAGTCTAATTAGATTCAATTGACTATTAAAAAAACCTAGGTTTATATTTTAATACTTTATACTGTTAAGTTTTTGATGAATTATTCGAGATTTTGTTTAATTTTGGTAGATTCTTATCACTCACCTCTTTACATTATAAGACCTCTTCATTCATCTTTTCAATGCTCTGTGGATCATCAATGTTCTCGAATAATTTTCGAAAAGTGCTTTTCTGCTTCTAAATCACATCTGAACTAATTTATTGTGTATCCTCTGTCTTAGTCACTGTTCTTTAAATGGATTATTTCATTTATCCGCTAGCAGGGCTATGAGGAGTTGATTTGGGTGAATTTTACTCGCTCATCTAATTCTCTTAATAGTGTTAAGATTCTATCATTTATAACTATTATTTCTCTTCATGAAAACTTTTTTTAGCCTTATATTCTTATTCTACAATATTCATAAACAAATCTTTATTTTCAAAAGAAACATAAAGGTTGTTATTTTTTGGTTATTGCAATTTTGAATGATTCACTTGAATGATGTTGTCATGAATCAATTTTTAATTTGAATTGAATTATCTATCCTATTACTGTGACTAAGTTTCTAATCCACTGCTAAAATTTGTACGAATTCTTTATTGAGTCATCGATTGTTGAAATGGCATCTCATTATCCTCAGTTTTTTTGTAAGCAGATGTCATTTAAGTGAACTTAGGTTAATTAACATTTTAATTGCTACTATTCTAAATTAACAATCGTTTTTCATCTTACAATTAAAAGCTATTATATATAAACTAATCTATTACTTTTAAGTAATTAAAGCAATTATGGGTTTAATGTCTGGATTTATTTGTTGTTTCAATCCAATTGTAATTGAAAGCATGGATTACGTAAATTCATTCATCTTTACTAACTCTATTTAGTGATTATCCATGATCTTTTAAAATGGCTCCATTTTTATTGTTTTTAATACTGCATTCCAGTTGTTTTCTATATCCTATCTAATGTTATTCGTTTCTTAATGATGTTATTGTAAGACAAACAATAATATTGATATTTATTTTAACGATTCTTATTATTACATTTATAGATTAGATATGCAATAATTGCTAGCTTCATTCAATAGGTTTTAGAGTTCTAATCTAGATTCTTCACACTTTCTTATCTAATTCTCATACCATTATGTTATCTATTCAATTTGGAGTTGCATTTATCCCAGAATATCTTATCTAAGAGTTTAGGATGCATCCAACTTTTTCAGAAACCCACTTAATTATTTCTCCTTGAATTACATCTCAGTTTAATTTGCATTCCCATTTAATTCTATTAATTTAGATTAAAATGTAGGTATCTGGGTTTCAGAAGATTTAATTTTTAGTTAGTTAATTTCTTGAACCACTTTTCCTTAGCTTGCAACTTCAATGGCACATTAAGAACAGTAATATGTAAGTTTAGAACATTCTTCTACCTTATACTTGGCTCTCTTATTTCTATGATTTGCACACGTCTTTGTGGGTAATACATTTTCCAAATTATCATTTGATCCAATTAAGGGTGAATATTAACTTAGTAATTTTCCTTATTAGAATTTATTGCCTAAGCTTTCATCAACCTAAATGTCTATTCAATCTTATTACACTCTGCTACTCAATAGAAATTTTAGAATGAAGGTAAGTGCTGGGAGTACCAATATTCAAAATTTTCATATCATTTTCTCTATCTTAATCATAAATAATAGCTTTGATGGATTATTCTTTGTTAATAGATTTACATTTGCTATACTCAGTATTAAGAGTAGTGGTGGTTAATTTAGTAGGAGTGTGATTCGTATTCTAATCTAATTTCCTAACGAAATTGGATTTGCTATTGCTAGAGAGTGAATTGGTTGAGGAATGGCTTTGTAATTTGAGAGGGCATCTTTATTGGAATTGTTGTGCTGAGCTATACGATCCCACTTGCTAACTAACCTTTAATTTTGATTCGGTTGAATTCTTTGTCTGGGGGATTGCTAAATAGTAAATTGATATCGTCTACCTTGTTTATCGAATGCAGTTGTTACAATGCTCTCTTATAAATCATGTGGATTAGGAGACTTAGGTATCAGTCTCTATTTATGGGATGCATCATTGGCAAAAGAGGCAGGTCTTCTTTGTTGTTGCTCATCATTTAACTATGATTGATTATTGAAGGAATTGGGAGATTAACTTCTTTGCTTATTAAAATTATGACTCTTATCTTGGATTTGCTCTGTGATGTTATTGCTCTTATTTTACAATTGCTTAATATTGCACTTTTGAGTATGATTTTGCTGTGAGGGTTTTTAGGATGGTTTTAGTATATAATTGTTGAATCTTTGGGATGGGGATTCTTCTTTGTGTCTTTCGTTGTTTTGCTTATTAGAACTTTTTTCATTTTATTATTCAGCCATGAGGTTTGAGGGTTTCATCTTCTCTTATTTGGTAGAAAATTATTGAGCCAAGAACTATTGGGTTTGATGCTGTTTGAATAGTTGTTACATCTGGATTGACATTTTCTTTGACAGAATTTCAAATTCAATTTTCTAAATTTAATAATACAAACAAATAATCTAAATTATTTATAAACTATTATTATGTTTGGATATATTATTTGAATTCTTTAATTCATTGATTAACAATTAATTCTTAATTTTACGATAACTTATTTGTTTGTGTTGAAACCCAGAAATGATAGATTATCATTAATATAAAATTGGATTTATAATAATATAATTATGATTGATTAGGCTATCTAATTTTATTATGTCATGGAACCGCCTATTTCGTTTCTTGAAATTTTAAACTAACCTCTGATAGACAGCTCGTCCAAATTGAGTTACTTTAAAATGAAATATGCTCACCAATCAAATAAATTCAATCAGCTTAGAATTTGCACAGAACAAAATTTAATATCCGACAGCCTAATGATAAACCTCAATATTTAAAGTCCCAATTTCAAAGTCCATCAGAAGTTCGATTACAATCAGCACGAACTAACTATTCATTCTCAAATTATAACATAACAGGCTACTCCAAAATCGTCACGATCAGCAAGTCCTCTAAGGAGAGTTTATTTAAGTTCTAGTCTAGTAGCTCGCAGACAATTTAATGATTATGTTAAATGCAACAGATCCCCTGACCCTTATGATATTAATCACTACACTCAAGATATTCATCAATAGAGGACTAAAAAGGTGAAAAAAAAAGAAACCGACACTTCTGCTCTCATCTCGAAAACAACATATCATTTATCAAAATATGGTATCTGATTACTCATTTAAATATATTTATTAATCATTAAAATAATTAAATTGATGATTATCCTGTCGTGATTTAATATTACACTGTTGAATATGTAAACATGTATTTAATTAAATTTATTATTAGTTATTTTTGATATCAATAAGTAAGTATCATATAAATTAGACGTATAGGTATACTACTTATTCCAGACCAAAAATATTAATACATAGATTTATATAAAATCATTCTTTTGTTTTTTAATTAATCACAATATATAATTAAATTATTCTATTATTTATTGTATTCATTAAAATAGCTACTTCAAAAAAAATAGAACCTTTTAAATCATACTCTTTAAACTGAAATTACAAATATAAATTGATATAATAAGAAATACTAACTCATAAATAGAACTTATTTAAATTTTTATTATATCCTTTGATTAAATTACTCTATTTTTATAGGTAAAAAAGAATAATTTGAATACTGAAATATAATCTTAAATATTAGTACGAAGTCCATAGTAATAATTTGTCTTTAATATCATCATAATTTGTATATTAAATTAATTTGGTCTAATTATTAATAACTAATATGCAAGTGATTACAAATTATGATAGTGAGCCCTTCTAATTGATAAATACGAAGAGACAAATATTTGATGGAGAGTCGGATGCTAAGATGAGACAATTTTATGAAAGAAGTCCTTCTTTAGAGGAGATAGATGACATGATAGATGATTAAGACAAAAGTGCTAACTACTGTTCACATAATAGTAATAGACCTTCATCGTATAATTTGAGTAAGGCTAACAGTAACTACAAGCCTCCGACTATAAATATTAAAAATATCATTGCAGACAAAAGAGAAACTTATATTTTCGACAATCTGAATTTCGATTAGAAGGAGCCAGGGTATTATTTGATACAAATTGCATAGATTTAGTCCAGTTTGGAAGCATGGAAGCTTGAAGATCATCAGATTGGTTGCTAGACTTTTATATTAGTTGAAAACAAAAGCAGAAACTCTGAAGCTAAAATTAATGAATCATCATATATTCAAATACATTGATGACAAAGCAAGCGATTTTAATGAATTCAAATCTGGAAAGACTATAGATGACCATACCTTTAACAATAGAATCTGTCGAAATATCAAGAGGACTCATGCAATTTTTTCTACCATTAAGACTATTTTAGAATAATTATTTAGTAGAATAGGAGTTATTTATCCTGAGAGTACGTTCAAGATTATATGGGATTCTATCGTGGTATGTTTTATAGTAATCAATATATTCTTCATCCCTATGTCCTTGAGTTTTGAACTGGATAAATCAAGCACTTTAGTTTGGTTGTTCTTTGAAACCATTCCAAGTTACATTTTCATAGTTGAAATACTCCTTAATTTTAATACTGCATATTATAATCATGGGGTAATTCACACAACCAGGAAAGAAATATTTCATCATTACGTTTCTGAAAATTTCTGGTGGGATTTGATGATATCCATACCTTATATCCTATCTTAATTGGATATCCCCTATATTCAATTTGTATTGTTATTGAGAATTACAAGAGTTAAGTCGATGGTTTAAAATGTAGAGGATATGTTAAATGCTAAGGAATCAGTTTAGGCAGCAGTGGAGTTATCTAAACTCATCTATTTTATTATATTCGTTGCACATATGTGTAGTTGTGCTTGGCATCTATTGGGTAAAATTGAAGTTGATGTCTATGGAGATACTAATTCATGGTTGATTCATTATGGTTATTACGATGAACCTTGGCACACTCGATATATAGTAAGTATCTATTGGAGTGTGATAACAACATTGACAGTTGGGTATGGCGATATTGTGCCTTAAACTTCCATTGAATAATTGTTTGTAGTTATTATTGCTATGATTATTTGTGGTGTGTTTGGTTATTCTATATCAACTATAGGAGAGATCCTAAAGAATTTAGAAGAAAAGAAAGGCCAATTCAAGTAACTGATGAAGGAAGTGAATTCATACATTAAGGAAAAAGAACTCAATTTATAGTTATCCTTAAAAGTCCGAAAGTATTTTGAATTCTACTATCAAACCTAACAATCTCAAAAACGCTCCTATCAAACTTTACTTAATAATCTGAATGAATAATTAAAGTAAGAGATTATGATAGATCTTTATAAGAAGATTCTCATTCAATCCAAATTTATCAATGATACATTTAATGATAGTTTGATTAATCAGCTCTGTTAGAAGGTTCAGTAAGAAAACTTTGGTCCTGGAGATGAAATAATTGACCTAAAGAATAAAAGTGAAAAAAAGTTAATTTTTGTTCTGAATGGATAAGTGGATAGTTATTTTCATATCTAAAGAACTCAGAAGGAATAATCACATTCTATCAATCAAGGCAAGCTCTCTCGCACTTATAAGAAAGGTGACATCATAGGTGAATTTGAATTCATCACAAATAATGACTATTCTGTGTAATACAAGGCTATTAAGTTTACTCAAGTTGCCATAATTCATAGATAAGATTTACTCGAGATCATCAACTAAGATAAAGAGCATTTGTATAAATTCTAAACACTCATTGATTCTCTAACCTACTCTTAGAAATTAGGTAGAACTTGCGAAATTTGTAAATGGACTCACTTATATTAGAAGTAATTATAAAATGTTTTATTTTATTTAAATTTTAGTTGTCCATTTACATTCTATTAGCCAAACATTTGGAAGATAGTTAGATAAACTTCTGCTTCTGTTAATATAAAGCGCATCTCTTTTGAACGTAAGTCTCGTCAAAGATACAAAACAATTACAAATTCTCAGGTGGCAATAGCTACAATTCTCGATTTTATGATAGTTCATAATTTTATCTAAGAAGAGTAAACTAATTACATTAATTTAAGTTTATTGTGTAGTAAAACATTAAAAAGATTAGGATTCAATAGTAACCTTAGAATTAGTTAGAGAGAGATACAGGAAGTTAGTTCAGAGTCCTCTCAATCTTCAAGCAGTAGGGAATCATAAGTTTTGCGTCATGATAACAATAAAAGTGGATAAATCAAAAACAAGAGAACCTCTTTATAGTCTTAAAAAGATAAAAATGATAAATTTGAAAGACTTCGAACAAATCTAAATATGAAGGAAAGCGTTCAAAATAATCTATTAATGCCAATCTTATAAAAGATGAATTCTATTGGCTAATTACCACTTGATGATCCCAATAATTAAAACTCTACTCCTAATGTTAAAGTGCTTCCTTAATTTTACAAGAAAAAACCATCTATTTCAACTATAAAACCTATGATAAAGATTGATCAACAAGCTAATGAAGCTGACAACATTGAAGATACATTGAAAATATTCTCATTTAAAAAAGGGCCTCAAAATTTTGATGATATGGATCTTATGATGCAAGAGGATAATGATTTTTACCCAGAGTTTAATGTCTTCAAAGTTATAGATACCTACAATAAGTGCAGAATAAGAAATTTGAGTTTTAGAAAAAAAAGATAATTCCATGAAAAACTAAAATCTATAAGATTGTAAAAACAATTTAATCTAAAAATCCTGACACCTCGTTCATCATAACAAATTATTTGAATAATTTAACGATATCAATTGTTTTTGTTTATATAATATTTAAAAAATTTGAAGATTATTAATTCTATTATCACAGCTGTTCAATAAGCATTAATTTTTAAAATCAATTATTTAAGATATCTTCCCTTATTTTTAGAAGGTAGCATATATATGATTAAAGAAATGATTATTTCTATAACCAAAATTTCTAAATTACATATGTATATTAAATCTATCTAAAATATAATATTAAAATGAGCAAAACCAGCTTAATAGAAAATAATTTCAGTTTAAAATGCTTAAACCACTAGAAAGCTTAAGCACAATATTTTTGCTAATTACCTTAATGTCAATAACATAGAATATTTTGTGAGAAATGTCTAAATGATTTTCATTCCCAACACTCTGATTCAATATGTCATCTATCAAAGCTGTTTCTATTACTTGATGAAAAGTCCCTAAAAGCAGAATAAATCCTGCAATCATATTACAATTAATTCAAAAGTCTATAAGAACATTTTAGTGTCACAATTAGAGGATTGCGATATATGTTCGGAGGGCTGTCAAATGATTTATTAGAGCTTGATTAGAATCAAATTATTTAGTTTCTTGACCAATTAATTCACTTTGACGAAATAAACTAATTATATAGAGATTAAGTAGAGAGCAAATTACACAAGATCTTGGAAATTCTGAACCAAATATTTTCAAAGTTACCATTACAAGATATTGCATATAGGATACCCTAAGATTTAGCACAAAAACTATAAAAATATTAAAATTTTGGTTAAATCATTAAAATATATTAGGCATGCAATTAAAAGAATAAGGTCTTTATAGTGAGGCTATGATCTAATTTGATAGAGTACTTGAGATAAGCCCGTATAATATCAATGTTTTGTTTGAAAAAGGCATATTATTATATTAATATCTAAATAGGAGAGTGTTTAATGAAATAGAATTAAGAATATGAAGCATATCTTAAATATAAAGAAATAATTTTCTTAGATTCAAAACATTAGTAAGCTTTATGCAGAATAGGTAAATTACATTTTAATATTTAAGGCAGTTACCTATTTAAGTGCAATAAATATAATGAAGCATAAGAGTATTTTTCAAAATGCCTATGCATCAACTAAAATAATTATGAAGCTCTGTTAGGCTATGGTAAAGTTGATTTATATTTAAAGCTGACACTCTAAGATTACAGAATTAATTAATATTGGCAAATTATAATTATGAAAGAGCGATTAATATTAATTCATTGGATTATTAAGTGTTTTATGGAAGAGGTATACAAAAGAATCTCATGTTAAAAAGGGGTATGCTTAAAGAGTTTGAATGATTTCGAGAATTCCTAGAAAATGTTTAAAAAAGCGTTAATGCTAAACTAAAGCCATTTTGAGTCATTATTCAGTTTAGGTTATAAAAATGTGTTATTTTAGCGGATTACTTAAGATAAGTAGATAAATACATTGAAGCCATAGCATATTTTGATCAGGCTTTGTAAATTAAACCTCAGCATCCAGAATTATGGGAAGGAAAAGGTTATTAGATCATCATAAAATTAGCCTTTTGCTTAAGAGAGTTAAACGATAATGAAGAAGCAGTAAATTGCTATGAAAAAGCTCTGAAATACGACCCTACTTCTTATGAGGCCTTGAAAGGAATGGGTTAATAAGATCAATTAATTTAATAGGTTTAAGCTTACGAAAGTTATATAAATGCGATGAATCAATTGTTTTTTTTGAAAAAGCACTTTAAATCCAGCCAAATAATGTATTTTCTCTAAAGGGAAAAGGTCTTAAACTTCAATATTAATAGCTGAATGCTTAAGATTGCAGGGAAAATGGGAAGAGGCCTTAAAGTATTATTCATGGGTTTTGCATATTCATCCTGGTTAACACAGGGCTTTGTTTTTCAAATGTATAATTAAATTTAAAGGTCATTTCACTAGCTTAAATGGAATCAATAGTGACAACTTTAAGGTAACATGAAAACGATATTATTCTTAATCCTCAAAACACTAATCCAATTTTTGGAAAAGGTTACTCTTCTTACTATATTTTTAGCCGAGTGTCTAAGGATGCTAAATGATTTTGATGGAGCTCTGTAATTTTATATGAAAACTTTATAAATTGATCCTAATCACATTAATTCCTTAATAGGATATGGTAAACATAATTGAAATTTTAGGCTTTTGCTTAGGATACTAAAATAAATTTCAATTGGCTTTAGAATAATATGATAAAGCCTTAACTTTGAATAAATACTCAACAGATGCACTCTGGGGGAAAGGTTAAATTTCTAAATATCATAGGGGAATGTTTAAGAATGCTGATGGATTTTAATAATGCCTTAGTTTATTATGAAAAAGTCTTGATACTTTATCCTTGCCATTATATTTCATTAAGTGGAAAAGGTAAGAAATGTGTAAAATTAGGTGATTGCTTAAGGATGCTTGGTTTGTACCAACAGGCTCTAGATGTATATAAGTAGGCACTCTTCATATAAAGTAACTAACCAAGTTTACTATATGGTAAAGGTAAAAATAATTATAAATTCAGCTGTTTGTCTAATAGCTCAAAATAATTTTGAAACTGCGCCTGATTTGTTAAGGTAGGCAAAAAAAGTTGCACCTCCAAACTTTTTTGTAGATAAAGCAATTTGTATTATTAACTTTACATCATTTAGAATTTTGTGAATTCAAAAAATAAATCCTAGAAATATGTTTAGAAATCATCATAAATGAGAATTCAACAAAGATTAGTTGAATATTATTTTAATATTATTATAAATATACAATTAAATTAAATATATTAAATAATATTACTGATCATTAGAAAAATTAGTATTGTGCAAATTTTCTGAAATGATAAAAATTAGTATGCATCATTATAATTTCATTTCGAATTCGATTTGCTTAAATTTTCATCTTACTCTATGACAAAAATAAATGAGTTATTTGTAAAATAAAAAAAGCTATCAAAGTTTCTTCATTTTTAATTTGAGAGTTTAGATTCCTTTACATTAGATTTGTAATAAAATGAGATGTTAATTGTTGTTTTAAATAATCTGTAAATTTTTTAAGATCAATCCTCTACTTATGTCTCATGAACAATTTACAAGATTTTCTTCTAAATTTTAAAGCTCATCTTTTTCTATTATTTTAATACATACATTCAAACAAACTAATCAATCTTGGAAAGCAGAATACTACCTAATTGTTAATCAAGTCTTATAAAATTTGGTTTACATAAGAGCTTCAAATTCTTAATTATCAAATTAACAAGATCAATATCACTCTATGGTAGGGGAAAAGTTTATATACTTAAAAATATAGAGTAACACGAAAGAGATAAAGTTAATTGCATCACTTTTTTCATTATATTCGACAAAATATATAAATATGAGAGTGTGTATACGTTGATTAGTTTTTATTCTTTAAAATATTGATTAAAAGTTTATAAAATAATTTATAAGACCACTATGATAATGCATCATAACTTTGATAGTTGGTATTTTATAAAAGCATCCTGAAACCCATTTCCTATGCGGCAAAATAAAAGTATTTAGCTTCTGATTTCCTTTATAATTCTAATAATGAATCAGCTAAAAAGAAAATTACAGAATAATTTACCTTTACATTTAAATCTAGAAGCATCAGTTTTTATTTTAAGGGCTTGTTCAAAATTTTAGAGTGCATCCATATTTTTCTATATTTTTTGTAGGATTAAATCTGAATAAAAAAAATATTAACCTTTCCTTTCATATGACGAATCAAATTTTGGATTAAAAGATATTGCTTCATCATAACATTCAATTTCTTCTTGATATTGTTTCAATTAGTTTAATGCACGACCTAAATAATAATATTAAACAATTAATTGCCCTTGCAAGTCCAAGTAATTTCAGATTTAGGATTAATAGATATAGCTTTATTGTAACATTAAATTGCTTCTTCATATTAATTCTAATCGCCTAATGTAATTCCTAATTATCATAATTTTACAATTAATTACCTTTCAAAAACCATGAATAATCATTTTTAGGATTTATAGAAATTCATTGAAACATTGAATAGCTTAATGATATTGATACAAATTGCCTAATGCAAATCCTAAATATTAATAATTAACAATGAATTACCTTTGCCATTCAATGCAGTGTCAGATTAATGGTTAATGGAAATAGTTTCGTTGTAACAATTAATTGCTTCTTGATATTGCTTCAATTTGGTTAATGCATCACCTAAAATTTTAAAATAATATAAATTACCCTTGCCAATATATGCAGAATCATATTTAGGATTAATAAATATGGCTTAATTATAAAATAAAATTGCTTCTTGATATTAATTTGAATTGTATAATGCAGATCCTAAATATTATATTTAACAATTTACTACCCTTATCATACCACACTTATTCTTCTTAAGAATTAATAGAAAAAATAATGATTATAATTAATTATACATTTTTCTTTTAATATATCATAAATTTCAAAATTGAAAAATGCATTACATTACTTTAAGGTCATTGTGCTTCTCAATACATTTATTTTTCAAATTTATTCATCTTATTCCAAGAATTGGTTTAAGGAGAAATAAAGTAGAATACATTTCAAAATTTTATTACTACTGCCTTTTAATATCATTCAAAATTTGATTAAGGTATAAATCTATAGGATATTGAATTAAAAAAATGTTATTTTTCAAGGAAAACTAAATATACATTTTACAGTATAATAATATCATACTTTAATTCTTCTTTAGACACATAGATAGCAAATATTTAAAACGTTAAGAAGAAATGATAAATCAGTCAGGATATAGAACCAAAAAGGCTAGAAGAATCATTTATTTTGCTTAACTCAACATTATACAAATACATCAATATTTCAATTAAATAGATATATTAAAGTTTGGAATCTAAATATGTAAAATAGGAAGGATTATTCATGCGGATATTTAAAATGTTAGTATATATGATAAAAGTATTCGAAGAAGCAATATAAATTTCATTCTATACAAAGGAAGCAATTAATTGATTATTAATTTTTTTATTTATTTTGATACCCTGCAGTTTCTGTGTCTATTTTGATTATCTTTTTATTTAATTAGAACTCTTTTTGAATTAATTGTGATTGAGGATAATTAAAGTATAATTTTTTGAATTTATGATTTCTAACGATAAAATCTCCTACTGTAAAGTGTAATAATGGTATTTTCTCTTAAAATTTTGAGTTAATTTAATCTAAAACTCTATTACGAGTAGTATCAACCCATTTATATACTTAATCCTCTTGTTCTTAGAGTAAACTGGAATCAAATTGAATGATATTTTTATTGAATTCCTCTTATACTGTGGATAGTTTAGTTAAAATTTATAATTTATCCTGATATGACTCTTCCTTTTACATAAAATAATTATGGGCATAGGTAAGGTCTATTGATAAAATTGTAATAGGTTTTCTACTAATAATCACATTTTAATCATTGTAGAAGGATGTGCAAATATCAAAAATAACTTTAGAGTCAAATTGTTTTGGGTTCTATATTTACTAAAATATGAACAATATGGTTTCGACATCGGTTCCATGTATAGGCAGTCGGTATTAAAATTGATCAGCGGGTATCTTAGGAAAAGTATTAGAAATTTCTATTGAATCAAACATGAGAATTTTGGCTATTTTGAATTTACTAAAATCTCTTAGGAATCTATTTAGTTTAATACCTCCACATTCTATTTATTGAGATTAAGATTTCGATAGATAGATTGCATCAAAGTTGTATCCATTATCGGATAAATATTTTTACCACATTAAAGCAAATGTCTAACTTGTAAATAGGAGAACTATTAGATAAGCTTTGGAAAGACTAAGAAATATATAAAAATAAGAAGATATTATACATTCTTAGAGTGTTTTTGAGATCACTTCTTAGCGTACATGGACAATAAGGACTATCGCATTGTTCAATTACTCTACCTATTGAAAATGAATGGCAGATTTTCAAATCAGTTTTATGATCCCAAAAGTTCCTTTTTGATTGCAATAATAAATCTAATCAATCATATTTGTAGTATACTTTCAAAATTCAAAACAATAACTTTATCCAAATATTCCTCTCTATTATTGATATTAAGAAAGAGGCATTTGATCATAATACCCTTTTGTAATTCCTCATATTATTTATTTAAATAACGTAATTGGATTACATGTTCTAAACTCTTTTGTTTCTTGATAACAGGCTTGGCTTTCAACTGCCGACTTTGCATTTTCATCCTAACTACTTATTAGGTCGATGACAATTGTGGCAAGATCTGCTATTCCTTTTGCATAAGCCTAAGATTAGTCATATATTTCTTATTAATTTCCTTTTTATCCACTTGCTATATTTATGAGTCCTCGATATTTGTGTTATCATATGTTATTCTTCTCTAACTTGGCATCTATTGGACTGAACTTGAAACGAAGACTGACTCTTCAGGTTCAGATTACTTGCTATCATATCTTAATTTGTTTCTAGTTTCTAAAATGCTAAAATTAGCATTTTTAAAAACAAAATATCCACGATAAATGTTTTATTTGAAATGAGTGTGCTTTGTATAGTAAAGGGAATTCGAGACTGTATTATTTTACATATTAATTTTATTATAAAATGTGAATTATTTCAATCAGGTTTTCTTAATTATAATGAAAATAAATCTTATCTGTATTATTATTTTTATACCTATGTCAGAACCATTTATTTAATGATAAAATTGTTTGGGCTTATTGAATGTTTTATAACATCTATCCCACTCCCAACTCCTTTTAATATACCTATTTTTTTTGGTGAATTTTAACATGACTTTGCTAAGCTTTTCTTTAATTAATGTTCACCTTGACTTCTCCTGTCTGTTAAACACACTAATTATTGATGAGAATCCTCTTAAGGTGAATTTAATTATTTTCCTTCAGATTTATTCTTTTTGTGCATTATTTATATTGCTTAAATATGGATAAAGTATATTACATTGCTAATTCAGTAGGTTTTCGTTTATATTAATGATCTTATCTTAATTTGACCTAAATCGGAGGTGAATATTTGGTTGTATCGATTTCCTATTAGGTGAAGAATCTATATTTTTTTGGCTTTATTTTTATGATATTTATGAAACAGCTGAAATCTAACCTGAATTCTACTTCAACATATTAATTTGTAATTCATTTTAAGCTCCACTTTATAAAATAGGACTATTTCTATTAAAGAAGAAGTTTTTGGTATCAGAATTAGGTCTCTGAGTTTATGCCCCATTTTTCCATTTTAATTCCTATTGAAAGAGATTATCATCAATTATGATTTTAGAAATCTATTTGAGATTTAATTTGTCTAATGAATAGAATTAATAAAGTAATACTTATATATGTTTGATTAGTTGCCTATATTTATAATTAATTATTGCATTATACTGGAGATGAAATTGGATTCTGATTTTGTAGTTTAAGGAGTTGAGGATTTGATTAAACATTAAGCCTGAAATTTTGAAAATATTATTGAGTTGTTATTTTAGGTTACACATTTGTTATATATTTAGGACTAATTTATTATTTTATTTCAAAATTTTAATCCATTCTTGCATGATTACTTTATTGTTTTTTTTATGGAGAATCAACATGATTCCTTTGATTTATATCACTTGATATTTTATTCTTTTGTTATAATAGTTCTGCATTTTATTTTGAATATTGTGAACCCAACCTAAGTTTATTCTCATCCTAACACTATTTTTAAAGAAGGCTGAAAACTATATTTGGTTAGCTCAGTTTTTTGGTTTATATTTAAGACACTTTATCTACTTGACTCTTTTAGGTTTACTAATTTAGATAAACCTAAAATCTATTCAGTTCTATCTCATCTCCTTTCCCAGCAAAAATTAATAGAGGAGATTATTCCACAGTTTCTTTTCCTAACTATTTACAAATTTCTTATAATGTATAGGATATTTCCATTTACTTTTTCTAGATTTAGATTGATGATCTATTCAACCAACTCAAATCTTTTAAAATTAAGGTATTCTTAATTCTTTTAGTATTGGTCTGGGATTCTTAATCTTTTTGACTCTATTATGAATTTGCAGGTGATGGTTTATCTCCAATAATATGTTTTGATGGCCCATCAGGATTTTTCTTGTCCTCTTCCTCGACCAGAAGAGCTATTCTATAATACTCTTGTCTGCGCATCTTATCATAGTATTTATTCAACAATTATATTATTGGTTCCATGAAGAATCGCGGTATTTCTGTATGAAACTCTGTTAAATGGTTCAATTTACTTTATAATATTCGGACAGCAACTTGAATTTCTGTGGGTATTCATCCTCGTAACAGTAGAACCTCTTCAAATATTCATCCTTAAATGAAACTACACACTTACATAATCATCATACCCAATCAAATCTTTATACCGTACTACTGCCTTTGATGAAACATCTCTGAGGATATCATTGATATCTCTTGTGTAATAATAATTCTAAGATTGGCAATATTTTTTAAATAGTGTTTTAATGATCCAAACTAATGGGTTTGCTACTATATGAGATTATCTTATTCTCTTTAATTCTTCAAATTCAACTTCCATTTTCAATTTTTTCTTGTACTTCATTCAGATTGCTTTATATATTTATAAATGCAATATAAGAATAATTTTAATCTAAGTAAACTACTATTAAGACTATATTTATTCAAAAATTAATTTTAGATATCATATAACTAGGTGTGATAAATTTCGATCTTAGAAGTTGTAAAATGATAACTTCTATACCAATATTTGAAAAAATATTTTAGAGAAAATGAAATTGTTCTTTCATTTTAGTTTGTATGCTATGTAGGTAAAATTCTAAGGCATTTCAAACAAAGAAATACAGAACGTGTTCCTCGATAAAAGTAGTCTAAATGGGCCTAATTATAAAGGAATTATAAAATCAATTATTGGAAATAACTTTGACTCTGGTAAATGGATAATAAAGTTCAAAATACTATAACTAAGTTAAATCTATATTTCAATAAGAATCCATCCTTAAATGATCTAAATTATTTATCAGGTTCAAAATTTAATGCCTAAATATTTAATTTGTTTAATTCGTCGAATAGAATTATATAATACATATTATTATTAATAATTATGTATTAGAACACTGGTTTGACTTATCATAATGTAGATTCCTATATAGAAACTGAAGGATTCTTTTGCTTTGAACAATTTTCAAGACTTGATCTGAAGAAGAAAAATTGGGAGGATAGTTTAAATAGTCTGACAGATGATTTAATTGCTCTTAAAAGTGAATATGTAGATTTAGAAAATCTAGAAATATTCAATGCTCTCTTGGAATTCTTAGAATAGAATATTCAATAATCGGAAATAGGGTCCACTTATTATCAATTAAGATAAGGCATGAGCTAAACTTCAATTAATAATTATATAAATGACATGCTTGATAATATTGAAAATAGTTTAACTTGTGATTCAAATGACTATAAAGCAATAGACTTCGCAGGATTATTGAAATTGGAGGACATATTGAGCTTTTTAAAGGAATCCAAATTCATTAAATCCTATTCAAAGAAAGTAGATTAATTACTTAAATTTTAAAAGGAAAAGAAATAGTAATAGATTAAAAGGAAGAAATGACCAATCTTTGTTTATATATTTTAATAAATATAGCATTCAACCAATTAATTTTAAAAATTAACTCTTTTTTCTTAAGCTATTCACCATCATACTTGGTCTTTATGCTTACAAAATACTGGATCGAATAACCATTTTATTGGTTTAAGTCTTTGTTTATGAACTCTTCATAGAAGAAGGTATAACATCAGCCTTTTATTATTATTGTTATTATTGCTATTATTATTCTTATTGTTTTTTTGTATTTTATTATTATTACTATTATTATTTCTATTGTTTAAGCTCTTCCTCTCTTATCTTATCTCGTTATTATTTAATGCATCTTAAAAATTTCATTAACTTTTCTCCGAATTTATCACTTGCATCAGCAGGATTCTCGCATAAAAATTTAGCTGTCTTTTTATAATCCGTGTCCAATTTTTGTATTTTTAATTCCAAATCCTTGGTATTCTCTTATAATTTTGATTATACATCCTTCAAAGTATCAACAATTTTATCATTTTCATCATTTGATTTGCATTCAATTGCTTTAGATACTGTATTCAGACCTTTTTTAATTTCATTTAAATTTGTGTTCAGTTGAGTTATAGGTAATTTAGTAATGATATCAAATCTGTCCAAATCTATCTCTTCATTGAACTTAATCTGCTTAATAATATATTATAGAACATTAGATTTATTATCTAAGCCTTTCACATCAGTTAATTTTTCAATTTATTCTAATTTGAATCCCCAAGCTCCTCCTTTGGCAGATTAACCATTCAGATAATTACCAACAGCCAACGAATATTCAATCAATTAAGTAACCCATCCCATGGCAAGTAAATCATTAAACACATCAAGTGAAGTAATTTAAGCATCTAGATCCGTTACGTATTCAACGTATTAGCAAGAAAATTTAAGGGCTTTAATTCTGATAGAGAATCCCTTTAATTGGGAAATCTTCAGGATGTATTTCTCCGGATTACCAAGCAATTCTTTATCTCCATCGTAACCCTGCACAGTTCCTATTTCATCTTCTGTTGGTGTGATTACATCTAAACTTTCTAGTGTTGGTAATGTTAGGATTTTTTCATCACATTTAATCAAAGCTTCATATAATAAAGTTGGAGATATTTTCAATTTCATCAAGACTAACTCCATATTCTTTTATCTCTCAGGTTGCAGTAAGGAGATTTTTTAAGGCTAAGCTGATTAGGATTTAGGATTTGAATCTGCTTATTGAGCTTATTGTTTTTTTGAGAATTCTTTTTCTAAAAATTCAATATCCAATTTCACATCTAAATCCTTGATATTCTCAAATATAGTATCTTTTATTTATGCTTTTTAAGTGATTATCGTCCATTAAACAGGTTTCATAGGAACGCTGGGATTTTATTTTTATTTTAAGCCTTAATTTTGTGGCTATGGAGGAGCTCCAAAAGGGGGAGGTGGTGCAGATCCTCCAGGTGGTTATGGAGCTCCTGGAGGAGGAGGTGGTGGAGGACCACCTGCTTTACTACCAGGAGGAGGTGGTGGTGGAGGGGGACCTCCAGGAGGACGGGGAACTCCTGGAGGAGGTGGTGGAGGTGGAGGTCCTGCTTTCATGGGCGGTGGTGGAGGAGGAGGAGGTGCTGCAATTTTTGGAGGAGGAGGTGGTGGAGGTAAAGGAGCTGATTTAACTGGAGGAGGAGGGGGAGGTGGAGGAGGAGGAAGTGAAGGAGCATTTGGAGGTTATTGGGGCACTGATTAAGAAGTATTTGAAGGCCCAGCGGCTTAAATAGTTTAGTTAAGTTTTTCAAGGTTCTTAATTTGATTTTAAAGTTTCTCAATTTCTTTTGATTACTCAATATTTTGAGCTTCTTTTAAGATTGTTTAGGCTTTGATAGTTTCTAATTCTTTGGTTAATTTATCAATTTAACTTAGATATTCTTATTGCAAGGAATTGGTTTGAGTAATTTTTTCATTTAGTTTAATAACTTCCTATTCTTTTGAAGTTAGCTACATTTGGGCCTGCTTTTAACCCTGGATTATTGATTTAATTTATTTTTCTAAGTCTCTAATGGATTGCTGTGCTTTTTCGTAATCCTCATAGATTTGATCATGTTTAGGAATCTCAATAATTTCATCATCTTCTTCGTCTATAAGCAACCTTTAGAGAGCTTATTCACTCAATTCCCACATATCTCTCACTTTTAGATTTGACATGAAATTTAAGATGGTTAGGAATTTACCGTAGGAATCGAGTTGTAGGGATTATTACTTAACAATATCAAAAAGCTTTTGATCTGAAAATTCAATGATTTTGGTAGGTTTTCTTTCTGAATCAAATTCAAAGTTACGAATTTCCTTAATGATTTGCAAGAGGTCTTAAATAATGAAAAGTATTACTTTGTTGTTATAATTGAAATGATGCTTCGTCATGTTTTTCTAAGTAAAATTGTGCCTCTCCTTCTTGAGGTAATTGGGTAAACTAAATAGTTTCAGTTTTAGATTGATCTTCACGAGATTCATTGAACAAAATGGGATTCTTAATGAAGGGTGATTTTTGTTTAAAGAAATGATCAACATTTTGATATTTAATCAACTTATTTTAGATAGATTCGTATGTACAAGCATCAATATTATATTCGTTGATTCTTTGTTCAATGAGCTTAAGGATGGCAGCAAAATTGTAAGGAGAGATGACAGAGGATTCTAATTCATTTCTAATGTGAGGTTAGATATTTCGTAAGAATCCCAAGATATTGACTACCATCATGATGTTATCCGATTAGTACACAGTCCTAACAAAGATTTCAAGTCGATATTTTAATGAGTGATCTTTACGATAGGATGCGAAGGATTCTACAATATCTTCAACATTATCCTTATAAATTAGACCATTTTCACCAGCAAAGATCTCCAAGACTAGGCAACTCATTTCTATGTGAACAGGGTGAAAATTAGCAAATATTATTCTGAAGGCTCCAGGAATGGAAGATAAGTCATCGCTTGCTAGTTCTGATTGATTAATGAAATAGATGAATCTAAGGAAAGCAACGCATAACTTGTAATTTTTAGTTGATCTTGCATTGAGTTCACATTGTTCTAAGACTTCTAATAATTTAAATAAACTACATATAATAATTATAATCAAATTACCCTCGATATATAAGAAACTGATCCCATTCATCCTCCTCTGGATTTTCCAATTTTCTTTGCAGATTTTGCAGGGCTATAGTAGATGGTTTAGAAACACATTCATCAACGAGATGTTGTATCTCTGATTTCTCACTTTCTTCCAAATGCGGAATTATATCTGACAGTTTTTCTTTTTCGATATTATGTCTATGTATTAATCTCCACTTGATTTTCAATGGTAATTGTTCAATAATGTGTTTATCTGAGGGAAGCAGGATGATTTCATCTAGAAATTTACGAAATTCCTCTAAAACAAGTGTTTTTTTATTTGGCATTTTAGGGAATGTGAAATTGCCTTTCAGATCTTCATAGGTGATTGAAATGGTGCCAAGTTTATTAATGATTTGATACTCAAAACTAGCATCTTTCGGGATATTATTTCCCATTTTTATAAAATATTTTATAATGTCATTTGATTTGATATAACTCTCTAAGTTTTGGATCCTAAAGTTCTTTGTTTATTTCATCTCTCATTTTGAATTTTTGTGGCTTGCCTGTTACAGTATATGGAAAATCATTGACAAATTTGACATACTTTGGAATTTTGTAATGAGCAATTCTCTTGTGACAAAATTGGTAGACATCCAATCCAGAAAGTTCTTCAGCTCCCTTCTTCATTTTAATCAACGCAACAACTTCCTCTCCATATTTCTCATCAAAACAACCGACTACTTAAACCTATTCAACTCCAGTCATATGAGATAAATAATCTTCAATCTCCTTTGGATAGATATTCTCACCACCTCTTATGATCATATCCTTGATTCTACCAACAATGGCCACATACCCATTTTTGTCCATGGTAGCCAAATCTCCACTATGCAGAAACCCATTTTCATCAATAGCATTTTTAGTAGCCTTTTCATCACCCCAATATCCTTTCATAACAGCATATCCTCTGGAACAATATTCCCCTGTTGTGTCACAAGGAACAATCTTTCCATTTGAGTCAACGATTTTCACTTCCATGTTCATTGGTAATCCAACTTTACTTGTTTTAATCTCAAAAGAATCCGATGTTTTAGTCTAGGATGTAACTGGACTTGTTTCAGTCTATCCATAACAATTTGAGATATCTTTCACTCCCAAAACATTGATAATTTATTTCATTAATGCTTCAGAGGCCAGAGATCCAGCAATTAAACCAGTTCTCAAAGAAGATACATCATATTTTGATGGATGCCTCTCGTATTCATTCAAATACTCAATAAACTAAGATTATTAATCAATAATAATACCATTGTTGGTACTCCGTAAATAGAAGTACATTTATAGTTTGTGACTGCTTCTAAGGTAGCTCCTGCACTAAAGCCATCACTTGGATAGACCATAGTAGATCCATAGTTGATACATGCCAGATTACCCATGACCATGCCGAAACAGTGATACAATGGCACAGCTATAGCTACTCTGTCTTTTTCTGTGTAATGAACTCTTTCTCCCACATATTTTCCGTTGTTCAATATGTTCAAGTGACTTAAACAGGCTCCTTTGGGGGCTCCTGTGGTTCCAGATGTGAATTGAATATTAGTGATATCGTCTGGATCTTGTTTTGACATTCTCTGTTCAACCTCATTCAAATGGGAGGAACCATAAAGAGAGAAGAGTTCTTTAAAATTGAAAAAGCCTTTCTTATGGATATCATCAATTAAAATGGTGCCTAATTCTATTTTATATTAATACTTTTCAAAGATGGGATTCTCTTAGAATTAAGGTGGCCAGGTTAATCTAATTCTGGAGCTAGTTCTTTGATCATATTAACATAGTTAGAATGCTTGAAAGTAGATCTTAGTACCAAGGCTTTGCATCCAACTTTATTCAGAGTATATTCTAATTCATTAGTTTAATAGGCGGGGTTAATATTCACTAAAATCAAATCAGCCATTGCAGCGGCGAATTAAGTTAACGCCCACTCCACATTGTTTGGTGAAAAGATGCCTATGCGATCTCCTTTCTCCAATCCGAGAGCCACAAAGGCAGCAGCCAATTCTTTGGATCTCGTGTAGAATTCTTTGTAAGTCATCTGAACATCTTGCAATTAGGAGGCTACCTGAAATCCATATAAAGCTTAGTTACTGCTAAATTGTCAGGGTATTTCTCAGTAATATCGTGTAACTGCTACCCGACAGTTTTATAGGTTAGTGGAATGTTCGAAGCACCGTGAAAATAACTCTTGGCGTATCTTATTCCTTTGAAAAGCATAATAAGAATTAATAAAATTGATTTACATTACTTAACAATATGAAACTTAAAATAATTAATTGGATATTAAGTAACACAATTAGTTCTAGAATTTCTTCATCTGAGTCGTTATAACTAGGGCATATTAATTAAATTTCATATGACGTGATATCATTCATTAATATCAATTTGGCATCTCAATTAAGTACAGAATTGAAACAAAATAATCGATAAATAGCTAAAAACGGAATTTTGTAATTATTTGTAAAGATTTAATAAAAATCTTAATATAGATCAAAAAAGCATTTTAATGTTATGCAGTCCAAATAAGACAAATAGAATACCCCCACAGAGATGAATCTAAATTAAAATCTTTTAAATATAATACGTATTTTTCAGAAATTTTTGATGAGATCATTTTTCCCCCAAGTACTGCTGTACTTGTACAGATAAAGTGACCAAGCAATGCGCCAACTAGTACAACGAAAGTCTCCTCAGTAGCCAATGCAATCGTTGTGATCTGACTTCTGTCTCCCCATTCTGCTAAAAAGGTTAATGCAATTGCAGCTCTCAAGACCTCCACGTTTGATACATTCTTTGCATCTGATTATTTGCTAAGCTTTGACTTGACCTTATTCACTTCTAGTACTGCCTCTTACTCTTCATCGTCATTTTCATTCTCCTCTGAACTCCAGAACTCCCTCAACAATTTTTATCCAAAATAAAAAAACATCGCACAAGCTATTGCATGTGTGTAAGTTGGATTCAAAATTTAAGGTAACAAATATCCGAAGAAGCAAGACAATAAAGTCATTAAAACCATGGCTGTGTATGAACCCAAAAATACCAAACTCATTGAATAAGTCATTCCCAAAATTGCTGTAATAAAGAATGTCTATCATATGTATTTCAAATACCTTATCTCCTATTTCTGACACAATAATAGAGGAAAATGATGAAGCGAATGGAGACAACTCAGAAAACAGCATTAATTAATTATTATGAATATAAATTAAAGTTTTATTCGTTTTATCCCTTGTTTTTATGGATCTTGAAGAATTGAATGGTTTATTCCAAATTCAACACCTGCCAAACCTATTAAATATGTTCGTAAGGGCAGAAACACAAATTCAGGCTTCTTAAATTATTTGATTGCAATTTTAGCATTAATAATACCTGCACTTTTTCATATATTGTTATTGATATAACTGGTTGTGAAATCATGCATCTTTCCTTCAAATCATCGAAGAAATCAAAAAATATGACTGATTAACTGCCCATCCCACAAAATTAAATTGATACTTTGAATTATACTTCCTAATTGGACAATTAATTATTGGATGATACTAATACTAATAATGAGGATCATGGGGCTCAAACTGAAGAATATATGGATGACAATTTCTCAACTTAGGATGAATAAATTCAAAAAGAGGAACAATAATTTTGAAAATCAAAAAGGAAAGTATAAACAATCCAGAGTGCTACCTTCGAAATTAGCGATTAATCAGAAATTGAAGATTAAGCTTAAATACTTAATGATGATTAACAACTTGAATAATATTCCCTACTTTAATCAGGGTCTAGAATTATTCAACCAAAGATAGATAACTCTAAATATAATTATGCTGAATTACCTAAATAAAATGAAATTCTATTGTGCTCATCTTTTTTATTTATTCTTCATATTGCTTGATTTTCCATTAAAGGTTATTATTGATTATGTATATGATATCGTGATACTCTGGTTGATTTGATAAGAGTGAGCTATCGGAGTCCTTTAATAATTTCAGAAGCATATTAATTAATTTTGCCACCGCTCCAATTTTTACTTTAATTTAAGGATCGTTACTCAAAATAGGTTGTGTTGTTTTGATAAAAGACTGAAATTAATGAATTTTTACATACCATCAAATCATTGCATTTGCCAAATATATCATAATCCAACACTTACAAGGCATTTAATTCATTTATTTCTTAATTTGACATTTAAAATATTTATTTTTCAATATAATTAATAATCAAAGCATAATTTCAAATTCATCAATTTAATCTAAATTTTATTTATCCGGAGCATCTCGTGAAACTCATTATGTAATAAATTATGTCTCTATTACTATAAATTGCTTTTCCTTATCCTTTTCCTTTTAGGATTGCCATCTATTTTCATAATCTTTTGTGATCTAAAATGATTTAGGCAATGCAGAAATATATTCAAATAATTTTAAGGATATTAGTAGACTAACTACTTTGCTAATTGTGATGAATGTATAATTACTGTCAAAGAAGAGCAAACCTAATATTTCATTTAAACTAAATCTGATCAAATTTTGACTAGCTTTACTGAGTTAAGCAAAGCTTTAAATAAAACAAAAAGGTAAAAATATTCATAATTTTGGAAGAAATAATCAGGTAAAATAACTTTCTTTATTGATGATTAAAATAGAAGTACAAATATGGATAATCTAGAAATAATTCAATTTAAATGAAAATCAAAAATCTTCTATTTTATTTTTGTTCAATTTATTCAAATAGCAAAAAATATAATGCAATAATAAATTATATTACTATCTAAAATTTATTGATTTGTTTCTTGTAGTTTTAAATTTTCCCACAAACTTGATGTTGTTATGCTCAACAAACATAAAGTAATTGAATTTTGTTACCTATTACAATTTTAATATAAACTAGTAAAAGTAATTTCTATATTAAACTACTTCACGGAATAAATCTAATTAATTTTATTTTATTTATTATCAGTTTTTCTTTATTCTTAATCATCTTATAATTATTCTGTAAAACGCATCCAATTATTACCTTTTTATGACATGATATCTTCAAGAACCCTTTTTATCAGAAATGACTTCTTATATTTTTTTAATCCAATTAAAATGAACATGTAATTACAATAATCCCCTTAATTCCACTTTATAGGCTCTAATTTATATGTCAAATAGGAATAAATTGATTGAATTGAAGCAGAAATGTTAATCATAGAAAATTACATAATATTGCCAAATTTTTTTTTTCAAATCAAGAATATTTTAACTTTGCATTCATTTCTATAGTAAGCAGGCGCAATAATCTCTTATAATATCAATTAAAAGAGATAGTTTTTGATTTTGATTGGTTAAGCAATTAAAATTGTCTCTTCATGCAAATAAAAAAAAAATGTAGAAATTTGGTAAAAAAGGCAAAATATGAACATGCAGAGAAAAATTGTATAAATAATATATAAATCTAATTAGTCTCTGTATTTTCTTTTTTTTATGTTCATATCTAGTCAGAGCACATCCTATAACTTCTTCTCGAAAATAATTCTGAATCCATTGTTAATGAAATTCTTCTTTAAGATTTTGGGGGAGTTATAGCTGAGTCTAAGGAATACAATGAGTTTCTTTAATTAGAATGCTTTTCGACTTAGATCAATTAATTAATCCCTAGTTAATCCAAATAGGACACAATTGACTGTTCAACATCATTTGTAATCGGAAGCCAGCCCTGAGTAAATTATTCGCCTTTTGTTGACCCTTCATTTGATTTCTAGAATTAAGGTGATTGCATAAATATTTTTTTTATATTTTTAATTATTTCACATGATTTTGAAATGAATTTACTTAGAACAATAAGAGTTATCTATTCAAAAAGTGATAATTAAATTTCTATGATTTCGATAAAGGCATTGCATTAATTTGGATTGGAGATACAAATGATTCATCAAAATATTTGTGTATGTATTCTAAAAATAATCTTGAAAATTATTCTCTTTTATTGTTTTACGTAATTTTATCTTCTGATACCTATAGAAAAGTTTCAATAACTAATAAAAACTTAAATCATTTGCATTTATCGACAAATATATCTCATTAAGATTCTGGTTAAAAAGGTAAACATCTGGATCATTCTAATGATTGAATTATCTCTTAATATCTCAATAGGATTTTATGATATTTTGTATAAGATCAATTTATCTTTATATTTTGTTTCATTTATAGGTATGAGAAACCAGATGTGATGTTTTCCTTATCATTTCTCCCATCTCTCACTCTCTAAACAAAGATTTATCAAGTAAGATCTCAATTTAGAGATATTGGAAAGACATCACTTTATTTAATTTATGATTCTAATTATTATTTTTATATATTCAAAAAATCAGACATATAATGAGGTACTAAATTCAACATTGAATTAGTTATACATTAATAAGCGGGATAAACAAGTAGGATATAATAGAGTAAATAAATTATAGAAATGCCTAAGAGAGAAAAGATTAGTTAGATCAATATTTAGATAGACTAAATGCATTGGGATTTTACATTGAATTATTACCATCCATTGAACCACTGTTCTTTGTTGAGAAGTAAGGATTTTCGATCAAAGAAGCTTTGCTATTGACAAGAGGAAGACAATAAAGCCGGCCAAATAATGAAGAGATTTAGAGTTTATAAATTGATAAGGAGTCAAATATTCTAAAACTGGAATATGAAAATGTAGCTTTTTAAGAAAATTAAAGTTATACTTATATAATTATTCTTGGTCCACCGAACAGAGGAAAAACCACCTTTATCTTTAATATAATAAATAAAATCTTCAATGTTTAATATTACAGTCTTTATAGAGTGAGAAAGAAGTAAGATGAAACTAGAAGATATTATGATGAATATTTCATTTAAATATAAAACAAGAACTATGTGTTTGTGGATTTTAGAGGAATTGGCGATTCAAAATTGGATTTTTTAGGTTTGGATTATAGTGGAAACTCAAATATCTATATCAAGATTTTGGAATATATTTAAAACAAGGCATTGGCTGCAATATTTTATGTGAATTCTTCCTCCATCAATCGATTGTCTGAAGATGAATCCTATTGTTTATAACGTTTCTTTGAATTAATTCCAAAAAGCATCATCAACCAAAATAAATTCTTTTTGGTGCTGACCTATTGCACTGATAATTAACCTAAAATGACTATTTATGAACAATCTAATTCTACTCCTGAAGACTTGAAAGACCTTCTAAGAGATTCAAACTTGGCAGATCAAAAAAAGTTTTGGTATGGTATTAATAATAAGCCTCTTTATGAACCAGTAATATATTTTAATGGTTCAGTAGAAGTGTAAAACGATAAGCTTGATATATTAATAAAAAACATAGGAGAAGATGCATTTTTAACACCAGAACAGAATTTGAATGATGGAAATTAATTGGGTTCGGATGAAAGAAATGAAGATGAGGAATAACGAGAGGATCAGCCTGAAATATAAGAAGCATAATTAGGAAAATTCTAGTTCAATTAGATGTCTAAAATCATAGAAGAAATAATTTAAAAGTTGTAACTATTAAACAATCGATAAGATAATGATGCCATTGATAGAAAGTATTTTAAGAATAAATTAAATTTTGAGAAAAATATAATAGAATTATTAATAATTTACAGATTAAGCACAGAAGGATTAGAATTAAAAGATTTGGAAAATGAACAATTTCAAACTACATTTTTAGTGTATGAATTAAGAGACTCAAATGAAAGAGAAACATTTAAAATAAAGTAAGGATCTCGACTACTTTTATGCGAAACATGTAAGATTAAATGTCATGTTAATTGCCGTTTTAACAATACTGGTGAAATGGTAGATGATAATAATATGTGTAGAATGTTTGTTAAAAGAAATGGAATTTTTGAGTGTAAAAAGTGTTTAAAGCATGGGCACAATAAAGGATGTCAACCTAAAAATCACATATTGGTTGATAGAGCAGGAGAAATTAATAAAAAAATATAGGTTTCGATGATTATTTCTAATAATTATGATCAATTTAAGACTAAGATGTCTTTGAATAGAAAATCAAAAGCAATATATCGACTTTAATAAACAGCAGCCATGAAAGCAAAGCTTAATTATCAAACTAAAATTGATGAGATTAGAGACTATATGGCAAACAATACTAAAGATAACGATTGCATAGCTGTTGATTTACATTAAAGAGCAAAGTATTTGAATGCTATGATGACTTAATTAAAAGAGAACAATTAAAATGGTGATGACTTTTATAAAAAGTTAGAGGAAGTAAATCAAATTTATTAAAATTTTTTTTTAATTGATAATACTGCATAAGTGCCATAATAAGCGAATATTATACCTGAGTTAGATATGGATGACTAGAATGTCCCCTAAATGGATAATAATATTTCTTTTAGACAATAATTTCCTGATTAAAACATAATTAATCATGAGAACTAATTCTCACAGTAGATGATAAATGGATCTCCATTGAAAAATCCTCTATTTAATTCTGCATACTTCAATAATGCAAATGAATAGTAGCCATTAATCTCTAATTAATGAAATGTCAAATAAGGCAACAATGATTCAAAACAATTCATTATTTTAAATTAAATTGATCTTTAATCATCATCATAATTTATAAAATCAAATTATTACCATCGATCTAACCAAAAGTACTTGCTGAAAAGTAAGGTTTTGATTCAAATAATTAAGGCACCAAAATTTTGGCAAATTTAGCAATCAATTTTTATTATATAAATTGAAAACTTTCTAAGATAGTATATTCACTAGAAATTCAAATATATCAATTATTCATCATTATAATATATATTAATTAGCAAATATAACTTATTCATGGATTCAATAAAGAACTTTGCCAATTCATTTGTAAACAGAGACCAAAAGAATAATACAGAAGGAAAAGTTGTTCCATTGGAAGACAAAGACAAAGAACCGTTATCTATTAAACGTCCCTTGGTTAGGTAGTTATATAATTGGATGATGTAGTATGGCTGATGATCTCTAGATGGTGGCGAGTAAAGGACTCTAAAAGATAATTTAATAAGTGGACAATGCAAAGTCTGATGTAAAATAAGGTTTCTCTTAATTGGATGATAAGTAATTGAAAGTCGGACAATAATAGATTAAAGATGATGTTGAAGTAGTATACACAGTAAATTAATGTCTGGGCAAGATCAAAAGTGATATCATCGGTAATCATCGTGATTGAGAAATTTCGACCTACTGTCAAAGAAGGACTCAAAGATCCTGATATGTGTTAGTGCGTGAAGAATTTGGTATTTTAAACAGTTATTTAAACAGGTTGATGACACTGTTGATGCAACTTGGCCAGAAATAGTTGATGAAGTCAAATATCAATTAATGTTGTAAATGGCCGATCCTTATATAGAAATAGAGGAGAAAAAGCAATCGATCATTTGTTTATACCCCTTTGTTTGGATTCGCAATTGGTATCTCTATGCAAATTATCCATTTGACAGGAGCTCATGGAAATAGTATAAGACTATGTATTTATACGAATTAATAATTTAGATCATATTGGTTTTGGTATTTGGTCTCGGCAATTCCATTTTATGGTGTTTCAGAATACTTCTATGTTTTTGATTTCTTGATGATTGATAAGGGTGATGAATACTAGTTGGCTAGTTTTATTTTAAGTTTCAAAACGTAATTTAATACGATACATATAGGATGTTTTTTATTACTTAAGGAGTAATGAAAGCATTAATCGGATATTTCATGCTCTACGCTTGCACAACTATGAATTATATTGGTAGTACTTAATAAGAAGATTGCACAAGGAAGGGACCAGGAGCTAGCATTGAAGTCTTTTCGGAAGTTGTTGGATAGATTGCTTAAGTAGTTCTTATTTGGGTCGCCTTTTTCCTTTTGGGATGTTCTAAATAAAAAGGAAAACCTATTTTTTAATATGATGACACTCCCCCAGTTAAGGAGGGATGCTTTGAAAGAGGTGCTCGTCTAAGGTACTTCATGTTTTGGGACCTCTTTGCATTGGGAGGCAGCATCGGACTTTTTTGGTTAGTGTATATGACATAGGACACTAGGCCTAATTTTGATAACTCAGGAGATTTCGTAATTAAAAATAAGATAAAAATAGATTTACTTTACTGAAATTTGTTATGGAATGTTGAGTTTTCCATTTTTAATCTTTAATGTGCCTTTTATAAATGGAAGATTGACTAGGGCCAAAGAAACTGCATATGATAGAAAAGGTAACTGCGTCCCAGCTATCGATGGATTAAGAAAAACCGTTAAGCCTAAATAAGAGGAGGATGTAAATCTTTTGCTGAATACTTTGACAATTGATGTAGGAGAAGTGTTTGATGGTTGATTTACTAAATTTTTTATATTTTATTATAAAAAATTTTAATTTATTAATAATGGATTCCAAAAGATAAATTTGATAATAAACCTAAATCCATTCAGCTTGACTCAGATGTGAAAAAAATAATTCAGTATAAAGTCTATAGAATTAGTATGGAAAGAGTAATGAATTACCTAAGAGAATTATCTTTGATTTAAACGATCAAAAGGGGAATTTGAAAAGGAATTCTTACTGAGTGATTAATATTGAAAATAGCAGAATTCTGAGAATTAAAATCAGAAGAGATAAAATGAAATTGAAAAAAGTTTCAAAAAAAAAATATCCTATGAATAAGTTTTATTAATCTTAATAATATGAGATTTTAATTAGAGAATTATATTTGTTAAAAAATATAAAAGGATATAATAAATTTAGATAAGTCTTATTAAAAGGAGGTTTTTCTTGGCCACTATCTAAAAAGATAAAGGGAATATTATTCAGAATGTGAGAATATAAATATGTGGAATAAGAGGTAAGAAAAATAATTTATTGGATTTGAAATATCATAAATAATTTATAAATTAGAAATTACACATTTTAAAACAATTTTGCTTAATGGTCCTACTGGATGTAAAAAGGATTTTTGGCTAGAGTTTTATGTACCTAATGCAATATTGCTCTTGAAGTAATAAAGGGATCTGAAACTTTCAGTAAGTACATGTAGGAATGGCAGTTTTTCCTTTTTGGAAAAATATTAATTATATATTAATGAATTTTATATAAAATATCATATGTTAAAAATGGTGGATTTTAATAAAGTTTTTGTTTAAAATAAAGTTCTATTGTTTTTGAATTAAATTAATAAAATAAATAACACTGATCATTAATTCAATCCTCTAATGAGGAGTAGTGCAAAAAATAAATCGTCTCTTAATATTATTAAGGAAGCAATTAGTCAAATTTTATTATTATATTCAGTTATCATAGTCATAAATCTTGATTAAAGACTGTATTACTAGTTTTTTGAGATTTAAATGTTGTATTATATTAAATATAGTATATTAGTCAGACATCTAAAAAAATATTCATTATTTTCCATTAATTCCTAGTATCCCTTTAACAGTGATTTTATTCTTCTATACAGTTTGTAAACCAATTCTTTGTTCTCCTGGTTTAGATATTCCAATCACAAAGTTATGATTAGCTATTTTTCTAGAGCAGAATTCATTTTCTGGTAAGAAATGAATTCTATCTTCTAAATCAGTGTCTTAGGGATTGTTCAAATTTTAACACATAGCATTCTGTGATTCTTCTTCTTTATATATGTAACTCATTCAAATTATTTCGAACTGAAGAGAAAATTTTAAATAAATTAAAAATGTGAGAAAATAATATATGATTATCATAAATAATAGAAATAACATGAAATTTAAAAGTGCTACTAATTTAAATTTAGCTGATAATTTCATTTCAACAGGAATGATCTGAGGATGAATTGCCACATTCTAAAATTTGATTATCACACCCATTTATTTAACAATTTTAGGCAATTATGCTTTAAGATTATAGCTATTCTGAATAATTAATAATTTTGATTTATTTCATATCTTATTTAAGATCACGAATGGATACAATAGACACTCCACGCTAACTATATTTATCTCTAAAAGTTAAATTTTGGGCATAGGTGATTGCCAATATAAAATATCTTAATTTTTTAAAGAATACTTCCTTTGGTCTAATCATAGCAGATCCAAATATTCTGAAATATAATTCTATTACTAAAAATTTATGACATCATTCTTCATATTTTAATGAATATAGATCCTATTTGTTTATACAAATATTTATATTAAATAATATTAATATATTATAAAATGTGCAAATTAAAAAAAGCAATTTAAACTATATTCTTTATATTTTTGTATAATAAAGGGAATTGATAAATACTAAATATTAGGATCTTCAACAAAATGCTTCTCAGATGATTTTGATATTTCATGTTTATAAACTGGTATTGTACAAACTATGTGTTAAAATGAATATAAGAGAGTTTTATTTTTTTGTTTTAACATTTTTCATATAATTAATCATATCAATTAATATGAATTCTATGTATAATTTAGTTAAGTTTGAGTTCAACTTCAACAGCTTTTGGATATTTTGGTAAATTTATACTAAATTTATCCAATTAATATTGGCGAATATTTACTTTATTGTTAATATTATCCATGATCTTAATTAATTATTATTCGTGATTTTGAGAAGGAGGTCTTCATTTTCAAATTCTACAGATGAAATGTGGAATAAAATATGAAGGATGTATATAATTAATTAAATTTTATTTATTTTCATGTTGAATAAATCGAGATCAAGACTACCTCCTCAATTACTGATTACTCCTAAATATGATGAAAACCTTGCAATTTGCAAAACGTAGGAGGACATCACGAAAGAACATAGAAGAAATACTAGCTACTAATAAAGACCTAAACAATAGAAATATAATTTTCAGTTGTGCCATTAGATAGGAAAGGGATAATTCAGTAAAGTGATGCTTGTCAAGTAATCATTAATAATATGTCCAATTAGAAATGCAGGTGTTTTATACGCTTTAAAAATGATTGACAAAAAACTGATCTAAAAGTGCAATATTGCATAATAAGTTTAAAGAGAAATCGACATACAATCATCGATATAACACTAAAACATAGTTAAAATGTTTGGCAATTTTCAAGACAATGAATATGTTTATCTAATAACAGAGTATTGTGAGAAGGGGAATTTATACTAAAAATAATTCTCTAAGGAGGAGATTAAGAAAATAATCAAATAGGTACTGCTCGGAATTCAGTATCTCCACTCAATGGGTATAATGCATAGAGATGTGAAGCCAGAGAACATCTACTTAACCTCTAATGACACAATTAAGATAGGTGACTTTGGCTTCTCAAATTATAGAGGTCGAAGAAAGACATTCTGTGGTACTCCTGAATACATGCCTCCAGAAATTGTGCTATCTTAGACCAATAAGAACTATTACTATGGCTATGACGAAAGAGTAGATATCTGGGCTATCGGAATCTTGTTGTTTGAGTTATGCAATGACACAGTCCCTTTTAGAGATGCTGATCGCAACAGATAGCAAGATAGGATATGTAGGGAGAATATACAATTCAAAGAGGGGGAGGATAAGGATCTTATCGATTTCATTCAAAAATGTTTGAAGAAGGATCCAAATCAGAGGGCTGTAATATAAGAATTGTTGCAACATCCTTACTTATAAATTTGATAATTAATTAATTTCATTAAATTTATAAAATTACTGATATTTTTGGAATGAAGACAAGCTCCTATAGATCTAGAGTAGACGCATCTAAATCTGATGATTTGGATAATAAAAACACTCAAGTAATGCTTCCACCAATTAATCTTAGAATCTGATCTAACTAACCTCTTAGGTAGAGAGACTTACTCAAGTATTATATATGAAGAATAATGAAGTAGAGATGTTGAGACAGTAACTTGATCTTTAAAAATCGTCTGCAAATCCTAAGGAGATTGAAAATTTGATAACTGTACTTATCTATCTCAATTTATTAGACAGTTGAAGAACAAACTAAGGAGATCGAGAGATGGGCAGAAAAATACAAAAAATTACAATTACAAACTTAGTAATTGGAGCTTAAGAATACTGATTTAGAGAAAGTGGTTAGTTTGCTATAAAATAGTACAAGTAGCTCATAGTACATCAAATCTAACGATATTTAATAATCATCTTAGAGGGATACCTAATCCAAAAGAATCTATTAAAGTAACATCAGAAAAGTGGATGACTTGTCCTTGAATGAAGATTTGAACTACATTAACACTCAAAATCCTTAGAAGAAATAAGATGAAATAAATCAATTAAAATTATAGCTTTCCTAATTGTAACAGGAACTTCTAAACGAGAAACAATTGCATAGAGAATTAATTTCTGCAGAGGAATCTAGAATTAGAGAGCAAGAAAGAAGAGCATTGAATCAATACAAATAGGACACGTAAAGATAATTGCTTTTATATCAAAACTAAATTAATGCTCTACAGAATATGTTAGAGAATTCTCAAAAGAAAGATGTCAATAGGTCTTAAATTAAAGAAATAAACCAATAAATTCCTGAGAGAAGCAAAAGAGTAGTGATGTACGATGAAGAAGTCCAAAATGTATAACCAGTTACTAGAAAGTCATCATCATCGAAGCCATAGAAAGAATAAGTCAGCCAAGTGAAACAATAGAAAGTGAACCTTCTTCCCATTTATCCATCTCAGACATTTAGAGTAGCTCCTTTGGAGAACAACTCTTTTTCTTTAGAGGCTGCTCCTGAGGAATCCCAGCTGAATTCGAGCAAGATTAATTAAATTTAAGAGCAAATTAATTAAACGATGGCTCAAATTGAAAAATCAATTATACAGGTGGATATGATGAAACAGACTAATTAAGTGCATTAGAAGATATTTCAAGAGTAAATCTACTCTTCCACTTCTAATCATTAAACAAATTCTTAACCTCCTCAACATCAACCTAGTCCTAAATACTCAGATAATTTGAAGTCTATCTCTTACTTAGGCCAGTAATCAAACAATTTCAATTAATTTAATCAAAGATAGTATTTTTGATATTTTATTTATGTTGGGTTTTTGAATCATTTGTAAAACAAAATTTAGTATGTATAATATTGTTGAATAACTAAAATAATTTAAAAATAAAGGGTGTGGCAAATGACTCTAAAATATTTCAATTATTCGCTATAATATTTATTATTGAAATAACACTCAATATATATAATAAAAATTATTTTAATAAATCTAAAAATTATATTATAAAATAGAGTATTGTGGGAGTTATATAAACAGAATTAATTTATGAGAATAAGCAAATGTCTACAAGATTGATTGGGAGTGAAATATATTTCTCAGAAAAAGAGTTATCACTGAAGTTCAGCATGCCACTGTTCTTTTCTAATAACTGAACTTATCTATATAATTGGTGAATTTAATACATATAAAATTTATTTTATGTTATTGACTTACACAACTGGAGGGAAGTAGTTTTGTATATATTCGAATAATCAAACAAAATTAGTTTTAAAATAGTTCATATATATAGCTAATTGCGAAGAATTAAAATTCAATAATAAATATATGGATAATCTTAACACATGTTTAATGATGCTGAATGTTTAAAGCACGTAGGAGAGTGAATGTCCAAAAGATGAATTGAATGATTCGATAGATCTATATATGGACTCAAAGATTAGTGCAATTGAAATTCGGATTGTGAAATATTTGCATGGGATGGGAATTTAGACCAAAACAGATCCAGGACAGAAGGAATAACAATATTGGAATTCGAAAAGGCTTGAGAGTAATAAGAAATTAGAACAGTTTTGGAGTGGTACCAATCTTCCAATGAACTCTTCCTTAACTCGTTTATTGAAGGGTCGTTAATCTCAAACATTTTAACATTTTGGACAGAGTGGAAAATCTGTTCAAGATTTTGGAACTTACTGAAATTCGAGTACGTGAACAGTTGAGTTAATTGATTTTAGTATATTAAATTTATTCTTTTGAAATTTATACATATGGAAAAATAGTTTATTTTTTAAAGAAGCTATTTGAAGGATTTAGAAAAAAGGGATGTAATATAACCTTCATACGACTTCAAAAGAAAATGACCTAGCCAAGAAGTCTGTTGAGGAAATTTCTAGTGTATTCCATTCTTACAATTAATAGTTTTTAAGCTTAACAATTGGGATTTCTCGTATATTCTAAATTGATTAATATTGTTTTATAATAATATTGGAAATTTTTACATTCATTCATATTCACTGATTGCCTCTAAAATGCAAGCAATTGACCAAGCTTGAGCTCTACATGAAAATATATTGTATTCTCCATTTCCATTGGTCATCTCAGGCAAGGAATACCTAGGTCTAACTTTAATAGGAATACCATTCGTTTTGATGCAGAGTTATTTTGTGGTTCGACAAATAGGAATAAAACAGCTGTCTGTTGATGTGTTCCTTGCCATGGATAGCAATCAAGGCCTTGATGAAGTATCCATATACCCACACCCATTCTGGTCCATTATGATAAGAGAAACCGTGAGATACATTGAAGATGTGAGATTAATCGTTGTTATCATAAAAATGAACATATTCCGAAGCAGCAGGATCAAGAGTCTTGACCCCAATGGAGCCTTCTCTTAACAGACAGGCTTCAACAGTAGCCAAATGGAACATGGCCTTTTCCTTGTGAAACAGTTCAGGAGCCAATCCTATAGCAATACTAGCATTGCATCTTAATTGATATTCATTTCTGGGCTTCGATGATTTAACAAGATCCTTATAGATTTGGCGATGTCTAACATGTTTTTCAACAATATGATATTCTTAGTAATTTGGATCGTTTTATTTTGGAATGTAGTAATACTTTTCAAAATTAACAAGTAAGAAATGAGACCATTCTTTGAAGAGTAGTTTCTTACCATTAGGACATATAACACCATCATAAGGATAATGATTTTGAGCATGACTGACAAAATCTAAGCAAACCTTGAGTAGAGCTGTCAATTCAATTGGTGCCCCATCTCTACTAGTAGCAGGAATTCCTCTATTAACATCAGATGAGCCCATTTTATCCATCCATGTCAAACAATTTAGCCAATTTCCACCTACAATAAAACCAGTCTATTCATCCAAACACAATGAAAATGTTGAATCCTTCTGATTACATGCAATTATCTATTTGATTTCCTGCTCTCCATTCTCTATATTTAATTCCAGAAGCATGACTCTAAAAGATCTTTTGAATAATTTCTGCAATAGTTTTCTTAATGATAACTCCTTAAGATTTCAATTAGTAGTGTTTATCCATATCATCATCTAGGAATATCATTTGGACTTCTTCATTAAGAATGTCAGTCTTTCCTGCAAATTGCACGTAATCTTTGACTGCTTTAATGTACCACCAGCAAGCATCTCTGCAATTGTATCTTGGATTATGGCCTGAATCCAATAAGTTAGGGATGAGGCCATGTCTTAAACAAGAACCAAAAGTTAATAAAGCCTCTCTTGCTTCAGCCAGTAATCCATTTTCTAGATAAATTCCTTTAAAGGATATGAAAGTGTCTCTGCCCCATGATCTGGCCCAACCAGTAGTAAAATGTGGTAATCCTGCTGACATCGATTTTGAGGAAGGTAGTTCGGCAATGAAATTGATATGAAGCTAGCTTCAACTCTCTTTTAAAACTATGAACTTTAGAGATTAGTAATGGATAACATACAGTTGTTGTAGATGCAATCAACAAACTTACAGAAATAGGATGGAATATGAAAACGAGGTATGTTCTTAATTTATTGTGTGATAGAATTGATTAATTTAGATATTTCCAATTATCCAAGTTAGCGTTGTACTCTATCATTCAAATAGTCCAATAACCAATCTCCATTTCTCAAATTTTCACAGATGGGATGTGCCAAATTATTAACAGTTTAAGCTTCTCTGGTGGCAGAGCGAGGACCAGCAAAACCAGCATAAATAAGTTGTCTGTAGTTGGGAATGAAATACAATCCAGTATTATTTTTGTCTCTTTCTTCAGGTTCAGACATAAAAAGTAAGTAATTTAATTAGGATGAACTCAAAGCTTTGAAATGTTGCAATTAGGAAGCATCATTTAAAATGGTTTCTAGGGATTGTAAATTCTTCTGTTATTCAGGGTCAATGTGGCATTCGATGACTGCAGTGAATGAGGAGGGTAAATTGATGAATCTTAATTCATTGTCTTAGATTTCAGCGAATTCCCTAATATTCTGATGCTAGATGATCCTGACTTATGATGCCTCTATGATTTGATTATTCTACTCAGGAAATTATATGAAATCTTCATGATAGAATATTGCATCTACTTTGACAATTTGTCCTGGCAATTTGATTGAACTAAATGAATTGGGAATTCCAAATGAAGGGACAGTAATCAAAACCTTAGATCTGCACTTGTCTTATGTTTCTCTGGTGATGATTTAAATAGTATCACTTTAATTTTAACAAAAGATGAAAGGGAAGGATTGATTAAGTTCCTCCTTAATCTGATGTAATTTGAATCTAACTAATTCCATGGTTGTCAGTAACTTAGTAGGATTAGGTTCTACTATTAATTTCCTATTAATTTGATCGACCCAATTGGAGTTGACTTTATATTTATATTCATAAAATCCTTCATTCAACTTCAAAGTTGAAGTATAAATGTTATGATGAGCATTCAAAACTAAACCTCTTTGCCAATTATCCCAGGATCCAAACACTTCTACAAATTAATTAGGTGATCCATCAAACCTGAATGCTATTATTGATTGTCTTTCTACAACCACATTTTCAGTGGGAGGCACGATATTATATATTCTCCTTTCATCTACAACTGATAACCTATTTGGCAAGAAACAATCATATCCCCTGACAGTTCCACCCATACAACTACTAAATGTAATTAAAGCTGCAATTGGTAATTGATGTCTGTAACCATGAGTGGAGATCAATGACTCATTATCATGTGATTACTCATAAATCAAAGCAGGACTATATTAAGGTTAGAGGATAGTAAAGGTTTCATTGATTGATTCAAATTATTCTTGTAATTTGGGTAAAGATCCAATGGACATTCTACCATCTCCACTATAATAATGTAATTCCCTATTCAAATGACCAGCATCATGACACCTGTTAGTTTCTCTAACCAAACAATTGATACCCATAGTTTTTGTAAATATTGAATCTTTCTCCGGAGATCCCGTGAACAACTCAGCAAAGACTAGGATGTTTGGATTGGCTTTCCTTGCCTTCCTCATCATATATTCTCTAGGTTAAGATCAAATAAACTAAATACCCTACGATCATGGGAGTTGAATGGGCATTATCCAATCTCAACCCTGCGAATATCTTGGCCATCTATTGAACATATTTCTTCATGTATTTCCACAATGCAGGACTGTCCTATTTCTTGTGTCCATATCTAAGCTTCACCAAGTCTCCCCATATTACAATTGTCCTTCTCAAATAATGATGTTCCTGGTTCTCTGCGAAATTATTCAAAGGATCGAAGCCTTAAATCCATCCATTATTGGCCACATATTTTCCATTGCTTAACTTAGTGAAATATCTTGGAACCAGAGAATCTCCCTTTTCGTTTACTTCCACGAAGGGATTCTTCAATGTCAATTTCCACCAAGTGACTTAGCCTCTGGTAGAATTCATAGCTTCTCTGATGTAGGATTCAGCTTCGTTCCAAAATTGGTGATTATAATATTGCAACAATTCTTGGATGTATTCCAAAGACACCTTCTTGTAATTCTCATCTTTGCTACCATTATTATTGAAATATATACTTCAGAAATTCAATTATTGCATCGTAATTTAATGATACTCCATATTCCTTATAACCTTTTAAGATTGTCTCCTTTCCTATCAATTGGAGCATGACTTCACTTGCACTTTTAATGAAGATGTTTTGATTCTCCTCCAATTACTCACTCTTGTTTTTTACTATTTTATTGCATCTAGTCTGTATTTCATTTACAACTGCATTTATATTGAATTAGAAGTATCCATGAATATTCAATTTTCTTATGTACTCATGTTCCAAAATGTCCATAACTTGATTCAGATCATTTTCGTTATAAATTGTGTTTCTGGGATATTGAGTCAACACACCTGATCCTAATTTATTGCTAAATTCTGCAATAGCACAATCCATTAGAATGGCTGCTTCTAAATGGGGTGAATTCTTAACATTATAAGTAGCATTTTCAAATTCTGGTTGAACTAACCAACTGGAATCAAACGCAGTGTGATTTAATAGGATATCTATAAAAAAGTAAGTGTTTGGAAATTTAGCAAAAAGTTATTTTAAATCATCATATGTGTGATTCCCAAAAATGTCAGTATTCAACTTTTGCTGATCAGCAATTGCATATAAACTGGGTGATTGTCCCAACTGTTAAATAGGCGGGAAATGGAAAGCCTCGTAACCCAAATCGACTTGAGAACGAATTTACTTTTCGTAATCCTCAAACTTGCCCAAACAGTAGGGTAGCAGTGTCTATATGGTGATTTCCTAGAGTTTATCGACATGATTTGGCTAAACTATTATGTGATTCTCCACTCCCAAGACTACAGGCTTATCCTGAGCAACAAACCAACACAATCTCAAATAAGCTGCACCAGTCAATGCAAATTCAACGTCCACCTTCCAATCACCTGATGAATCGAGTGTAAATCCTTTTACTTCATGATGTTGCTAAATTTATTTCAAAGTCAAATTATCCATCTCATATACATGCTTATAACCTTTTTGCATGATCACGTGTGGATGATAGCCTTGTTTGCGATTGCGAACGAAGATTCTAACTATCTGATGTTGGCGCACATAGATGGCCTTGTCGTGACTACCTTCAATTTCTCCCTTTTAATTTAGTTCTAAGAAGAATCTATCCTGTTGCATTATTAATATATTTTTTCTTTAATCGAATCTAGATGAATTAACATAAATAATTTCAACGATTAATACAACCAAGAGAAATAAGGATTCTTCTGAAGAAAGTCTGTTCTGGCTGCTCGTTTAAGGGCTAAGTTTGGTGGAACACAAAATGCTGAGATCTGTTTTTCATCTCTTCCCATTCCTTGCTGTTGGTTTTCCTTTCAGAAACAAATGTTGGACAAGATTTTATAGGAGAATGACTAAATTCGTCCATCAGCACAGAGATGCTTTTGGAATTTAACTGATCGTTGCGAGACTAATACTTTGACTTCGATGACATCCATTTATGATTGAGAATACCTTAAATAGAAGGTCTATTAAATGGATTCGCTTGCAGAATCATGGCAATCAATGCTTTGCAGTCTTCACTCACGAACTCCTCGTACTTCAACTGCTACCCTGACAGAATGGCTACACACTTTTCCTAATCATTTCTTCCTGTAAAAGGAGGCTTACCTTGAACCATCTCATACAACAATACGCCCAAACACCAGATGTCCAATTTGAAATTGGTACTCTGAGACTTGATCATCTCTGGTGCCATGTACTCGATGGTTCCACAAAAGGCCTTCTTTAGATTATCCATTTCAGTGGACCACCCAAAATCGCATATCTTTATATTCCCCTTCGCATCCAGCAAAAGATTCTCTGGCTATATAGATATGACCCATAATTCAACCTTTATGTCCCGGTGGATTATCTTCATCTTGTGTAAGTACTCTATTCCTAAACAAGTCTGATAGAGATAATGAAAGGCTTCCTCCTCCGAAAGTCGACGCTCCTTTTTGATCTTTTTAAATAGAGAACCTCCTTCCGCATACTCCAAAATGAGATAGACATTGGTCTTTTCTTTAAATCATACTCATACCTTGTCTTCGAAATAACTATCCAATTTAATAATATTAGGATGATGCAATTTGCGTTAAATTTTTATCTCCCTCTTCAAATTATCCACTGTACAGTACTTAAAGAGTTCTTCCTTCCTCATCTATGACATTGAACATTCAATAATACTGCTTTCATGGCAAATAGATTTCCAGTCTTAATCTCCTTAACTAAAGTCACCCAACCAAAAGAGCCTTATCCCAACGTTTGCTGCATTGACTAAAAGTCACTACCTTCAAATGTTTTCAATACCTGTGGGTTTTCTTTTGAATTTTGCTTGAAGATGCTTTGCTGCTTGATCCAGGCATATTCGTACTAGTCTTACTCCAAAAACATACCAATTAGAGTCATGCTTTGAAATCGAGGTGTTCAATTTTAGACTCCGACTTTCGCTTTGACTCTCTATAAATACTGTATTAGAGTTCATTAATATATAAAATATATTTTAAAAAACTCAAACAACATCTTACGCCTCCACTATTCCCCACAAATTTCGGTTTTTCCAACTAACTCCAAGACCTAACATGCAGTCCCTTATCAACTATTTCACATTTGTATCTTGCTCTTAACGCTTTTTCTCAAACTTATTGTTAGCTTTCCCCTTCTTGTTTTAGTCGTACTTACGATCCTACGAACTTACTATGATTTTAATAAGTAATCCTACTCTCCTAATAGTGATTTTATCAATAATTTTCTTAATTGATTTATACTTTATAGTTGATGTATTTTATGACAAATGTAATTCGCAAAGAGAACAAACAATCAAACAACATTAATCAATTCAACCTTACTGGTTTGATTAAAACCTCAATTCCATTGTCCAACCTTGATTGAATATCTTCATTTATTCAATCTACTTGCTGCTAATTTACAATGGAGTATGAATACCTACACTTTTTTCGTTTTTTTTGATTTATTTAGTAGTAATATAAATTTATACTTATGTTATGTTTAAGAATGGTCAATATTTGGTTTTTTTTGTTTCGCATTATATCAGTCTGGCTGATTAAAATAGTTCTAAATATCAACTTGCCGCTGGGTTTCTACTGAGATATTCTATTTGGAAGGCTCGTATATTTATAAAAAATTAATTAATTTATATTGGAACATTTTTCAATTGTTTTATTCTATTTTGTTATGCTTAAAAATATATTATATAATCACTAAATATTCAGGCACTTGATATCGAGGTAATAAATAATTATTATATTTTAATATAGCAAATTATCAAATTATTTAGTTATTGTCTGATTTCGATGAAAATAATCTACTAATTATCTTCGTTTAGGGAGTTCTTTGCAGAAAATTCTTTGGTTTCTATGAACCTCCAGTTGATTAAAAGGCAAATTGCTATTTAGTACTTGCTTGAGGGGATTAGATTTACGGTAACTGATTGAATTGATCGGGCTTATCCATACCAATTATTTTGTATGCTTATTTCATTTGATTTTGAGATTCAAGAGAGTCTCTTAGATGCTCTTAAGCAGTTCTTGATTTTCTTGCCACATCATCATTTGGTAGATTGAAACTAATAAATTCATTGACAGGAGTAATAGTCTATTTCGAGGAATTTGTTCTCAGAGCTGTTTCTTATTGGGATTATTGTCCAATGGAACCATACCCAATTAGTTGATTGTTGTATATTTTCTTTGTTTAATTAATTCGGGGTAAAAACGCAGTTGAATTAGACTTTTGCATTTATTCACTATTGTATTGAGATTGTCTGCTATCTAACAATGATTTTTGATAGGATGGATATTCTGGTTAAATAAAATCTTCATTTTATTTGGTAGGTATGAGTTTTCGAACAGGTTATAAGTCAGCCATACTGATGTTGAATTCGTTGTCTGAAATTTTGAGAGGCTAGCCAAACTTGATATTGGCGTTTCTTTGGAAGCCAGGGGCCACAGAGTTATTCTGGAGTATATTAATTTATTCATTGTTTGTTTTGGGCTGGGGTGGCGAGAATGGTTTAACCGAAGGAACTTTATTTAATTTAGGAGGGGAGCTAATTAGAGATTATTTGATACCCAAACTTATGCATGACAGGAGTGATATGATTATTTTATGCAAACTATTTAGTAGATTTAGCCAGCGTGACTTTTTTCAAAGTTTGAGATGGTCTCTTTTCAATATTTATTTGAGGTTACAAATTCTTTTTGCCTTCTGAACTAATCTTGAATGCCTATTCTTTAGGTGATTTGAAGGGCACTCTTTATATTTGTTTTTATTAAAATTTAATGGATTGTCCCAATGAGCTTAATTGTGGATTAAAAAATTAAGCTGTTTACTTCATTTCCTATTATAATCGACTATCATCAAATGAAGCTTAATCTTGGTGATTTATCATTTGTTTTAAATAATTATTTTATTTATTTTATCAATAACAATTATTCATGCAAGTCCTAAAAAGATATAAAAGATATATATCAAATACAATACCTCCCACTGCAGGATCTAAAAATAGTGGGTCCTATGGATGACAATCCAAAATTTAAACACAATTTACTAAGAATATCTAAAGAGAAGAATGCATTTATTGATGAAATATTAAAATTGTTTCATTCACGATTAGTCACAATCAAAGATATCGACGTTCCTTCTTTGAAATCGTCAGGCAATTCGACTACATAATATGATTTGCTAAAAGCCTTCAGAGTGCAGCCAGAACAATTTCTATTAATCAAAATAAGCCTTACGTAAATTGATAATGAATCTAATCGAAATAATATTTTCTTGATAAGAAGATTTCTGTTTGTTATCCATAGCAATTATTGCTGGCTCTCCAATCCAATAACAAGAAATAAGAGTCATCATCCACTCTGTTTGAAGTTAGAACTGCTGGGAGTGCCACATATATTAGTCACATATGACCTACTAAAAGTCTATACTTTATTTGTTTGTAGTATTCCAAACTAAACATAGAAGGATTCTATTTGTCCAGGATGAGTTTATGTCGTGATGTCAGCATAATACTTAGATTCCCAATAAGCCCAATGAAAGTGAATCTGAATTCCATTAAGTCTAATAAGTAGTCTAATTCCTTTTTTCTTCTGGAGTATCAAGAATAGCTCCAAGCTCAGTCATGAATTTGCCAACTCCTAATATATTGGCCACACCGTCTTTGGTTGCAAAGTAGAATGAATCCATGTAATTGCACACTTACTCATTCTATGGAAGGCTATAATCATCAACATCAAACAAATAAATGTATGCTTCTCTATCTCTGAATTCTTAACCTCCTGGAGTATCTTTAAATCCAGCACTTATCAGATCAGTAGCTCCAGGTTCAAAAAAGATAATTTTTTGATCATCAACTTTCTGATTAGTTTATGAGCTATTCTATAAAGAGGTAAAAGATTGTGATAATTACCATATTTGGGAACAAGAATTCTCTGATACTGTGGTAAATTGATCCTTGAATTGGTTCATTGATAATCCTGAGGTACCATACCATAGGCAAAACGAAAATAACCAGAAAAAATGATCATAAATGAAAGTCTAATTTAAACATATTTTATAATCATGATAAAAATTCATCAAGTACTTAACTCTATATTAAAAGCATATGCATCAATTCAAACTAATTTTTCTATCCATTTAGCAAATCATAAGGCCTGCTTTATTTTAGGCTTTATTGGTATCCACTTTTGGAGGATACTGTTCTGTTTGCCATCATATTGGATAATTAACTCTATGATAGTTAATCTTGGCCAGAATCTTACAGAATATTATCAGAATAACTAGATATGGCATTTAACTTAGCATTCAAAGTGTTTTAAGAAACAAATAACTCTTTCTATAATTCGGCTATCTCGTTACCTATGTTCTCTTGCGAAAGATTAACTATTCTCTCAACGATATTTTTGTATTATTTTCCAAAAAACATGGTATCCCCTAATAATTATGCCTAAAATATAGTTATGAAGATGGATACAATGATCGATGATTTTTCATTTAATTCGCTTTTCAATTATTTTATCTCTCTATCTTTAGTTTATTGAAGCTGATTGCATTGTTCTTGATAATAAGTGTAGGTTTCATTTTAGTATTTATCAAACTGTGTCTTAACTTAATCGTGGGCAGTCTAGTTGGGATAGAGATTCATAAGTTACTTTATATTTTTCCAGATTTTATTTGAGTTGGATGCTTTCTAATTCAAAATCATGATATAGGTTTAAATATTGTTCTTTTTCTTCCAAACAAAGTTGGTTACTTGATTTTAAAAGGTCATATGATCGTTTTAATTGTTCCAGCTATGATAGATTTATATAATAAATAAGGATACTTCATCAATTTTGGATTGTAATTAGGATTTGAAGGATTCATTTTAAGCATTTAGTTCTGAAATTGAAAGAATTTATTTTTTATTATTATTTTATAATTTCAAAATTTAGTCATTTAATGAGGTGATAAGTTTAGATTTCTATTCCAATTCATCAATTTAATATTTAATAATCTTGGTTGATCCATGGTTTAATTAAGGATTGCTTTTGAATTGATTAGCGCTGAGATTGATTTCAGTAGCAAGTTTATTTTGGCATGCAGACGAGTTATTATTTTTCTCTAGATTGCAACTATTGAATCTTTGATGATGAGACGATTTGCTTATAGTTTTGACAGAACTACTAGGTTGGGGTTTAAAGGAATTTTGAATTTTGGTTAATTGATTATTAAGGTTATCTATTTGGGAAGTGATGTGTTATTTTGATTTGATTTCTTCGATGATCTCATAAACGATGGTGACTATATCCTTGACCATGCTTTGAAATTACTGGGTCTGATCTGGTATTGATTCTTTTTTATTCTGATTGGATTGTTGGTTTAGTTCCAGGATTCAAAAGATAGATCATGTATTTCAGTAGTATTAGATCGGTGCATCTATAAAAATCAAAGCAAGTTGTGGAGTTATCTAGACAAAAGAGTTTTATTTTGGTTAGTATTGTTGCAAAGGTGTTTTAATCTTGGTCTTTGGCATATCGAAGTTGTTTGAGCTATTTTTCAATTTGAGTCAGCGATTTAATAAGGGATTGCTAGATGGTCGAGGGAACAAGGGAGCATTTCTAAGGTTGGTTTTCAAGGGGAATTTCATTTTGAGTGAATGAGCCGTGCTTATCCATCTATCTGACAATACGATCGGTCCATTATTCCACATCATATTGTTTGATTTGAAGGTAGGGGACTGGGGAGGATTTTTGGAGCAATTAGTTGATTTCTTTGGAGGCAATTGGCTTAATTGGGGAATGCGAGTGTTGGCTACCTTTCTTTTGGGTAGAATACAAATTTTGAAGTTTTTGAAGCAACTAATTGCTAGAAGCTGAGTTCATTATAATTAACAGATATTTATACTTGGCTGAATGTAAAAATTCTTAAATTATTTAATAAATTAAAATGAGAGTTCTCTTCTGTATAGCATTGCTTTTAGTTGTAAGTGGGGCAGTGGTAGTCACATGCCCATCAAATGGATATGGTTGCGTTACATATGGAGCCAATATAGCTAAATAGACAACAAGGACAAATTCATTGTGCAGAAATGGTATTCTATATTATGATCATAATAGGGTATTATTGGAACAACCAAGCATGCATGCCATGCAAAAACGCTGACGCAGTATTGGGTGGTTATTACACCTGTAGTGCTTATTATGAGGCAACCTCTTTGACATGTACTTCTGGTTATACATTAATAAATGGGTAATGCAGCAATATTTATTTTAAGTGTTTGTATTCCTATACCCTAACGGTTGTACTACTTATGGTTTAAACTAAAACTAAGATGCTTATGTGTGCACAGCCTGCAACTCCGATTACACACTTAAAGGAGGTGTATGTATCAATAATAGATATTGTTCATCATGGGATGAAAATGCAGTTTGCACAACATGCTAGACTGGATACTTTTTAAATTGGGACTTGAAATTCACTCTAACAACCTCAGGCTCTAACAATTAAACTGATTGGATCACAACCTGGTAAACATACTATAGATTCCCCGGAGAATCATTTTGCAGTGTCTGTTCTTAGACAATGGCCAATTGCAAGTCATGTAATTCAGCGTAATTAATTATATATATTATAGTTATACTTGTTCATAATGTAATGATGGTTATTATTGGTAATAATCAACAAGCAGTACCTAATTGACATCCTCCAATGCATAGTTTGCAGGTGCCTGTGTCAGTTGTCTCACAAGTGGATATTGTGCTACTTGTCAAGGCTCAAATTGTACTCAATGCAGAACTGGTTATTTCCCAACTAAAGATACAACCAACACTATCATTTTATCTTGTAATGCATGCCCAACTGGATGTACATCATGTACTTCATCAACATAATGCATTGATTGCGTTACCTCATACTACAAATATAACAGATAACTTATGTTATCCTCTCAATAAGTGTGCTTCAATCAACACCTAATTAACAACATCTGGAGCAAATCCAAAGTGTTCTTCTTGTATTGCTGGATATGCCTTAGACCCAAGTGGTTCAGGTATTTGCTATTAATGTGGAAATTGTGATAGTTGCACAGTTCCATCTGGATAATAAACAGCTGGTTTATAAACATCATGTACTACTTGCTGGGACACGTATAATATTATCAATATACTCTAGATATTATGGTGTAAAGGATTCAAATGGTATAGTTACTTGTAAACCATGCACACAAGCATCAGATTCATTCTTGAGATGTCAAGGACCTGTTGAAAATTCATCACTTACTAGTGTTGTACCAACTCAATGCTAAGATGGATATTATTTGTATACTCTACCTGCCGTAGGTACTACAGCAGCTTAAACTATTTGTGTTCCATCTACTCAAAACTTACAATGTGTAACCATCGTAGCAACTAGTGCCACTCAATACACATGTGCAACATGTACCTCATAAAGTAAATTATATAACAACGCAAATTGTTTGGTTTGTAATCCAACCCTGACTTCCTCATTACCTCAAGGATGTACAGCATGTTCTGGATCTCCAAGCAATTCAATAACTTGCAGTGCTTGTGCAGTTAACTATTTTTACTCGACTGGTACTACCACAACATGTACTGCTTGTGATTAAAATTGTATTTAATGTGGATCAGGTCCAACTTGTACCAAGTGTGCAATAACCTACTATGTATCTGGTGCTGGATGCACACAATGTGGAGTTGCTAATTGTGCCACTTGTACTGCTCAAAGTCCTAACACATGTTAAGTGTGTTTAGATGGATATTTCTTATCCAGCATCAACACAGGCACAGGATCCACTTCTTATTGTTTGAAGTGTCCTGCTGAATGTGCAACTTGTTCTGCTCCAGGTTAAGTTTGTAATTCTTGTATCTCTGGATACGTACTCTCAAATGGAGGCTGTATTTCTTTAAGTTAGGCAAATTGTGCTGAAGGATATATTACTTCAACATTGAACAATGAATAGTACCCATCCACCCAAAAACGGATGTGCTATATGTAAATATGGATTCTACAACTTTGAAAAAAGATGTCTTCAATCTGTCCAACCATATGCAGGAGTACTATATATTAATTACTATTTCTTAGTCTGTTTATACCACAACGAATATCGGAATTGGCTCAAACCCAGGTACATCTTCTTACCAGACCATCATGTATTCAATATTCTTGGTCATCATGTTGCTTGGATATTGATTTATTAATATAATTATGGAAGATCAATTAGAACTAACTTCTTAATGGAGTTTCTATGAGATGTGCACCAAAAAGAACAACAAGTTGCCGTGTCTTATACCATAGACCATCATCTTCGATAAACTCATGCCTAAGGTTTGGCTCTTCAATCCCAAGAACACTCAAGTGGTCATGAAAAAGAATTCAGACAAACTCTCCAACCTCGAAATTGCTAAGGCTTTACTTGGTATTAAATTCCCTAAGGACATCAAGATTGACACTCTGACTCAATTGGTTGAGCAAGCAAGGTAGTCTCCTCAATTCAGAGAGGTACTATTTTAATATTATCGAAGGAAACTCCAATAGCATTTTTGCAGATGAAAAGGAATGAGGGCATCCCTATGAATAGATAAGAGTTATTGCAATTCTTTGTTGAAGGCAAAGATCTCTCATCTTTGGCATACATGCAATAGTACATTGAAAATCAAAGTAGCTAGATTAATAGTTTGCAGATGAAGTCTACTACGTTGAGTACCATTATGATGTTGATTTCATTCCAATCACTTTCAAGTTTTTCAAGAAGACTCTCACAATCAAAAGAGCCAACAAAAGTACAACTGCTAAATCCACCAATCCCTTCTAAACCCTCTTGATGCCAGTCCAAAGCAGTGGTTAAATTCCAGTCAGACAACAAGAAGTTTAGAAAGTGCAAACTATGTTCAAATATTGCAATTCTACTCTGAATCAACGCTTCTAAGAAGTACCTATATCATTTACTAATTCCTAAAGGAGGCGAAAAAGGTAGCATTCTACATCGAAAAGGTCTTCAAAGTCAAAATACGCAAATTCACTCCCAAATTCATTGTTGATTAAAGAGAACAGATCTATTTTGCTGGTATCAAATAAATCTCAATCTAAATTTAAAAAGGAGGTACTTTTTAGTTCATATGCAGCACCTTATCAAAGAGGGTTGAGAGATGAAATTGCTAGTAATGGTTAATTTGATAATTTCATGATGGCATGCAAGTAGTTTAGATTGGACAAGAATGCAAACAATGAATTCAAAAAGTATCCCAAATAGATTGTAGAAGAGGATAAGAAATTGAGTAAAACACTCTACAAGCATTTAATATTGGAAAGATGTCAAGGAGACTTTTGCAATTATAAATTAATAGAAAAAAACAAGTATTTCGATCAAATTTATTTAAAGAGGACCCTTGCAATTAAGGAAGGGACTATTGGAAACATACAAGAATGTGTTTAAAGAGTCCAAATAGACAGTCAGTAATATGAGTACCAATTTACCTTATGAAATCTCATTGTAATTAATAGTGCGTACACGTGATGATCATAAAGAAGTCATTGAACTTTTTAAAAAATTTAAAATTCATTTAGAAAATTACAATCCAGAAGAACATCCAGAAATTAAAGACGAATAATAACATCCATTTAGTAAGGAGAATTCAGATGTTCAAGCACTAATCAATCTATATAAATCAGTTAAAATTTGTAAGAATTGTTTCATAATCTATTCTATGATTCAAAGACACTTTGAATCCTAACTCAAAAAAGATATTAAAAATGGAGTCTAATTTATCAATGAGAAGAAGACTCCCTCATTACAAATAGATGAAGAAGCAGAAAGACGTAGAAAGAGAGAAGAAAATATTCACAAAAGACAAGAGAAATTATTGATGAAACCAACTACATCTACTAAATCTTTCAGAATATTCAGAGCTCCAACACAAAAGAGGAATTTCCTGATTACTTCCATACCTGAAAGCAGAGTTTCTAAAACTGCATCACCTGAAAAGTTTAGAGATATTTGCAAGTAAATTGAAATCAATAGATTGACTTTGGGTTATTTGAATTATTAGAAATTGGAGCAATTCCAAAAGCCAAGTCAGATGGAACAATCTCAAGAGTTTAGAAATGAATCATATAATTTGATAAACCTCCTTTCAGAACAAAAAGCACCCAATGTTAGAAGAATTGATACAAATCAGTAGGAGAATAAGGAATTGCAAGGGAGAGCAGAAGAGATAAAGAAAATGCTAGTTAAGACTTCCAAGAAGGAGTAGGAATGTAGAGCAATACAGAAGGAATACTATATTGAGAAGACATAGGAAGGAGCTTAATAGATCTTGCTTTCGACTTCATCCCATTACTATTATCATGTTAATTTTGATATCGTAAGGAAGTTGTATCAATTCTAATTAAGTACTCCGATGTAAGCATTATCCTATGATTTGAAATATGACCAATTAAGGCCATTACAAATTGAGGAGGTCTGTGAGATGATGAATTACCCATCTCCTTGTTTTGATATCACATAATTGGAGTATTTGGTAGTTGATTCCCAGACTGCTGTACCATATGCTTTATTCGAGAGCAACATAACAAAAAAGAAGGAGAAGAGTTCCCAATCAGGAATAGATTTGATAATCATACTCCATGACATGTTCGAATCCTTTTTTGAGTATTCATATCAATCATATCTTAGATATTATCCGATCATTGTGGATTTGATCAATGACGCCTAAAATAAGAAGGTACTGCTCTTAAACACTCCCGGATAAGCCTACACTTTATTCAACAAGAAACAAGCATACACAAATATCTACATAGCAGGCATCCTAGACTAAATACTATATGAATTATCCATCAAGGGGAAAATCGACTTGCAAACGGATACTCTAAAGATTTTGGGAGTAGGATCTGGAGGGTTTCATGCATAAGCTTTCAGTAAGAAGTTATTAGAGTCTATTTAGTTGTACAATGCCAAAATACGATTCAATTTAGTTAGATTGCCTTTATAAATTCTTATACGTCAATTTATCCTCAATTGAGAAGCTTCTTTACTCAATCAATAAAAATCTTTGAATCTTAACCTTATGATATGCCAGAACTTGCTTTTGAATACACTAATACCATCATGAATACTCAGCCAATTTCTGAAGATCTACTTTCTTGTGTTTTGCAACAGAATCCAATAAATCAATTGGGCAGGCAGATTATTTTAGAGGGTAGATGACATTCTAATTTTAGGTTTGTTGTAAAGTCCTTCATTTATGGAGAGATTCCAAAAACTGATCCTAAGTGTGTAGGTATACCATTCCTTAAAGAATTGTTTGGTCAATATATCTGAGGCTGACTTATTGCAAACATTCCTGTAGGATGAGACACTGGATGTGAATAATGTGGCATTATCGAAGAAGATACAAATGAATAAACGCACAGTCCAATACATTGAGGGTGGCCACTCTGTATTGTATGAAAATAAGGATTAATTGGTGTAAATTTTAAATAGATTAGCGTGACTTATATAAATAATTTATTCAAATGTATAAATTCCTAATACTATTGTAAACACTATTGTGGATTAGTGAAACAAAAAAGATTCAGAAGAGTTTTCGTATCAGATAGCTGTCTGATTGGGAATACCTGACTAAATTTGGGGCTGAAGTTGGAGATGTCACTTATCATATCAAATTCAAACTTGTTGGATTGGAGTCTGAGGAAATGAGAGAAAGAAAATTCCCCATTTAATTTGAGCTGTATTTAGATGAGGAGTGGCCAGAAGCATTGGAGAAGCAAGAATGCGAGGTAAGTTTATTCTTAATTAATTAGAGAGCATCCTCGGCCAGAAGAAAAGAGACTATCCAAGTGCCTGGAAATGGGGAATTTTCTTAAGTGTACACAGGGAATATTAAAGCCAAAGTAAGAGCTCATATGTGGTATTATGCCATATCTGATTGTCATCGAAGATTAAGGGATGAATTCAAAGAAGATTAGTATAAACGACTTAAATTAGAAGTGGATATTCACATAAAGAATGCTGGTAAGACTGAATTTTCAGTTGAACAGTTTGGAATTTAATATTTCATGATTGTGGTAGTTTTGGTTGACATTGTGATGTTGGTTTATAATGGCTATTACATTGTCTAAAGACACGAAAAGTATGAGGAATTCAGTTTAGCACTGTTTCTGTTGGTCGTCACTCTTTTCCTTGAAACAATCTCCTACGGTGTGAATCTATTGCACTTGTGGTTTTACAGTAATGATGGACAGGGAGTGTTTTTCCTTCATGTGGCTTCAGTTATTGTTTAGGTAAATCTTTATTATAAATGCAGGTTGCATCTCAATTCTCTTTAACAATGATATTAGTGATGTTGTCTTGGGGTTGGCAAATCAGTTTCACTAAGTTCGAAAATTTCGAAATTTTCTTGCCCTTATCACTATTAATAGCATTCTTTTAATTGACTATCGTAGGGGTTGGTTTTATTGATTATGATGCTTACTACAAGGATCACTCTTATGAAGGATGGGTTGGCTGGTTGGCATCCTTTATATTTATTGGAGAATTCATCTACTTTATGAATGGATTGTCTAATACATATAAAAAGAGTAATGGAGCCGTTTAATAATTTATATTGATGCTTGGAGTCTATGGAGGAATTTATTTCATCAGTTTCCCAGTTCTCCAGACAGTCAATTTGGTATTATTATTAAAATAACAGTATAGGTTGTGGCCAGATATCTTAGACACAAAGTAATGGAAATAGGTACAATATCTTTGAGGACTGCTGCTATTCTACTTCTGACTCATTTGTTTACATCTAAAAAGTCCCTATTTGCTAAAATATCGTATGATAGCAAAAGTTTCTTGGATAGAAACAAGGATGAGTGAATGTTTGTGTTAATTATTATTCATATATAAAAATCAAAAATACTTCTTGTATAGCCATCCAGCTATTCCACAAGTAGCCAGTAATACCCCTGCTATCTTTAGATTTTTGTAAGGGTCAGCTTTTACAGATTCTTCTGTTGTTTCAAATTAAACTTTTGATTTACTTAATTATTATGATTTCCTGTTTATGATGATAGTAGAATCTTAGATTATTGACTATTATTAAACTAGTGAAGGTATTTCATCGCTATCATTCAACTCAGTATCCTTTTCTTTAATATCCTCATCTACTTGCTATTATTCATAAATGCTTTGAAATTCTTCTTTCAAAGTCATTACACCCATTCTATTGAAACTCTAATCTGAGGATTCGGATGCAAAAGAATACTTATTTTTCTAATGTTTCTTTCTGCCACTATAATTTTCCCAATTCTTCTCTGAATTCTTACTACTTATGATTGGCACTGCTGATTTATAATACCATGGCTATTTATGGGATCTCTGTTCAGGACGTTTATCATCCTCATCTGAAGAGGAATGTTTCACCTCATCTTCTTCATTAAATTCAGAGAAAGCCCTGAGATCATCCTCCTGTGACGAGAGCTGTCTCCTTTTGATCTATTTCTCTCCCAAATTCTGGTGTGTTTTAAATCTGAATCCTCCTGATGTCAATACAGGATCAACTTTTTCTACTTCCTGCTATCTAGGTGAATTCAAACTGGGATCTATCATATTAATTTATGCTAATTCTTGTCTGATGGTGATTATTTATTAAATACTTTCAGCCACCTGTTAATCAATATTTTGTTCTTACATTTCTAAATTTTTGTACAACTCATTGAGGTGCTCAAAATGAATTTAATTATGTTATACATGTATCTTCCAATTATGAATAATTACTAATAAAATTCTCAAGTTTATTTTTCCTGTTTTAACTTACTGTTCCACTTTATTTTAACTGTCTCAAGTCATTAATTATTTTTAATTATTTGTTTATTCGATAATTTAGATTCATCCCATGTTGTTGCATCTCATTCAAGGTAGATATATTGTTATCATAAGTAGAATGAGCCTAGAAATCTAATATTCATCCATTTTACTTTAGAATAGCGACATTTTAATTAATCGTTTTGCTATCTCAGAGATTCAGCAATCTTCGTAAACTCACGATTCTCTTCTTATAACAGTGCACATTTCTCCTTACACATCTATATTCCATCATTCAGATCTTCAAATTAATGTTAAATTGATTCTTTTTTATTAAGACTCTCTATAAGCTTTTCTATCTTCGACAACTCTTATTCTCTTTAATCTAGTTTCAAAAGCAATTACTCCCTTTGCTCTTTGAGTCGATCCAAATTTGCAATCTTTGACTGCTATTATGACTCTTTCTACATGATTTCTTGACTTGATATTAACACTTGTGAACTAATTAAAGTCTTCTGATTTTCATTTTATTAAAACCTACTAGAGTAAATTTTAATAAACTATTTCAACATCTCATCAAATGATTGGTTTGAATTATGTATCTATCCATGCTTATTATTATATATTGTTAGTAATTAAACTAATTCATGCTACTAGCTTAAACTTAGGTGATTCATTTATTAATTATTTTATTATTCAATTATACAGAAAATCTCAATAATTAATACTCATTCGTAATTAGTTTATGATTATTATTCTAATTTCAAATTATAACTATTCTTCAAAAAGTAATTATTGAATCAAATCTACTAATTTCTTTCAGTAGATTAAAAATGTTAAGTATTTGCAATAATTTTAATTAATACTTTAATAATTGAATCTAAACTCTATTATAAATCATTATCATTGTCAAACTATGATAGTGATTCTAGAGTTGTAAAGACTTTCACCTACATTAATGAATTTTCCTTTAATGATCCACCTCATTTGACTAAGAATATGATATTCAAATTAAAGAAATTGGTTATCAGATTCATTTTACCATTAATTTTCACAAAATCAAAGAACAATATTTACCTTTTTTCTTATATCTGCATTTTCTATATTTTCTAATTGACATAAGTTATTTCAAACGTATTCTATATAGACATCATCATAGTATTTATAAAGGATATTTGTAATAATATTATTATAACATATTGATACCTTAGCAATTAACTTTACATATATATATTATAATAGATCATATCTTGCGAATCTCAAATAGCTAAACTTTACTGTTTTGTTTATATTGGAGGAGAGGATCAACATTTTAAGGATCTTTAATATGGAATGGTAATTCTGAGTAATATGTAATGGCCATTTTATATTCTCTACATAAATCTTGAACCTTTTCTTTCTCTTGCAATTCCAACAATTAAGAAAGATCACTATAAATTAAAATCAATCTTCCTTTAGTAGAATCCAATGATTCAATTTACAAGTATCTGTTAGCAAACTCAAAGATTGACTTCAACATTATCCCTTCTGGATCTGTGACTGTATTTTCTATTAAATCGTCAACACGTAATTTAGATGCTTAGATCCACGGTGGATTAGCAATAATCAGATTAAATTTGGCAGGGTATCTAGAAATTGATGATGATTACTTACTTGAAAACAGTCAACTAATACTATAAGGTTTCAATGTCTGTGATATCTCCTTGTTCTGCAGTATAATTCTTATATTCCAAACATTATGCATTGATTTTTGCAGATTTAACTGCATTCTCAACGTTGTCTAATGAATAGATATTGATTTCTTTGTCTTTAAAGCTTCTCAATAGGATATCATTTGCTATGAATCCAAGCACTCCAGTTCCACAACCCAAATCAATCACATTGTAGAGGGAAGAATGAGTCCTATAAGAAATGGTTATCAATATTACACATCATGTATTTTAACTAATTTCTGCATATAGGAATGGAACAAGACCTAATATTGTCTTTGAGTGGGAGGGAAAACACCATATAATGCATAGATTTTTTTATAGTTCAAAAATTCTATTGCCACTCCTTCTTTTTCGTAATTATAAGCAGTTACAATCCCCTGATAAGCACTAAAAGGTAATAAGTAATTGTATTTGCGATATCCCAATTGACTGATGTTATTTGGTTGTTCTTCCAAGTGATATTTCAAATCTCCACATTCAGGTAATGTGCCTTGTATTCTTACTTCTCCATTGTAGCTCACAATGAGACACATCCTTGAAAGCATAAGTTTTTATTGATTCTGAATATGCCTATAGAGATTAAATATGTCTTTGGGGCCTTTGCATTTTGAGAATGGATTGCGAGGTCTTTTGGGTGTTCCAAAAAATTACAAATCGATTTACTTTTTGGTTGCTTAGTAAATCTCGATTGCATTCCTTAAATGCATCTTATCGCAATCGAATATAATCAACGAATTCATATCCTTTTTAAAAAGACTCTTAATGAAGTTGGATCCAACTCCGTCCTCCAAGAAATATGCATTGGCGATGATTTCTAATTGTTTTTATTTTAGGTATGGATTCCTTGTCATTTTTAGTAACCCATAGTTTGTATCAAATAGTCCATCTTGATAGTGAATGTTGACTGGCTCTATTTTAATTAAGGAACAAAAATATAGCCTTGAGAATCTATTAATCATAAATAAATTATTTAATATACCACTACTTACAACAAGTGAAACTAAAACTAAGATATAAAAACTCTTTTGCAGAGAAGTATGCTCTTATAAACTGAAACAAATTAACATGTTTGATTTCGAATGCAAAATTAAATTATCATAAATAATTTTGTACAAAAAAATATTTGTTACGCATTATTGAGTTTAAAACATCATCCCATTATATTTTATATTTCAAACCCTCCCTAATTCAAGAATAAATATATTAGCCTATTAGTGTGTCTTGGGAAGAAACTTAAGGAATATTACTTTGCATTTTCAAACTTTAAACTCAGATATTTTGATTAAAATTTGGATAAATATTTTTATTATATCAATAATCACTTAGGAAACTTAGTTTAAATGAATATTTAAGCGTATCCAATAGCAATCACAAGTCAAAAAGTCTTGAAGACTAAAGGAGACAGTTCAGAAAATGTGATACCCGATTCTGATCAGGAAGATAACTTGTAGAGTCCCTTTTTAAAAGAAACTCCAACCTCTTCATCCAAACCTCTCAAACATATACGGTTTAGCGGAACCAATCAATTATGCTATTTTCCCAAAAATGGCAAAAAAGATCTCTCACCATCACCAACCAGAAAAAGCCATCAATCTATTCAATCAATACTCAAAAACAAAGAGAAAGTATTTTTCTTCACCCAAGAAAAATGATTTATAGTTATGTAAAAACTGATTTTCATTATTTGACTAAACTTGACTTCTACATTGAAATTTAGGTTAAATATAAAAAATCAATAAATTAGGGAAATATTTAGAATTGGCATTTTAATAATTATTATAAATTATATTAAAAAAATGCAGAAATAATAAAATAAAAGACTTAGTTGAATATTGTGTCATCCTTACATAGATTTTTTGACAAGTTTCCTATTGTTTGGAATGGAGGATTAATCTGACCTGATCAAGTTGTCATCTTCTTCAGACTAGTTTAATAAATAATGAGTATTACCATTTAAGAATTCTTTAACTATAAAAATATTGAGGATGTTTAAAGCTCTTAACGAAAAGCATTCTAATAATTAAGGACTATTATTACTTATTTCATTACCAAAAGACAAGTGCCCAATTAAACAGGAGTTAAACACTCTTTTAGTTGTTCCCACATTTAATCCACTTTATTGGCTTCGCCCTGTATTATTTTTAGCTGAACTTTAATGTTCTATATAGAGCTAGAATGACTAGAATAATAAATTTACTCAGATATTGTATTTCTGACACTTTACAATTTAGATTTCATTCTCTTTACTTTAACAATCTGTTCTGGCTTGATTTCTGTCTTCTTAAATACATCCTTCATCCAGTCAGTATAATCACTAATATAAGATCTTTAGTACTCAGGTTGTTGAGCAAAGAAATCTTTGTCTTGTTCTAATGCATAAATAAGGTATTTGGTTTGTATTGGCAAACACACTTCAACCATGGAGTCAAAGTATTGTCTTGCAGCATCATTTCGTTCTTAACTGTTTGAATTTGTTCTATATCTCAAGGCATCTAGGACCATTGCTATTTCAAAATTATCCTTATTTTTGAGTAAACAAGTTTCTAATTTATCAAATAATTATTATTATTAATCTAAAAAAGTTTGAAACTAGATTTTGCACATTAATATACTTTCTCTTAAAATTTGTTGCAAATTTCAGTGTATTTAGTTTGATTTCGATTTGATTCTTTAACTTTGTCCAACTCATCCTAAAGCTCTTTCACTTTGGTTTCCAATAATTCATAATAAATTTTCTTTCTTGCCCTTGAATTTTTTGCAGATTCTCTGTTCTTGGCCAACTTTTACTGTACAGGGTCCATGTTACCATCAGGACTCAATTGACTTGACTATAATTCATTGGAGGAAACATCGAAATGATCCCTTGAAATTATGGGTGATTTCCTCTAAAGTTTTTGTTGACTCTTCCTATATGTATAATTTTCGTATTTTACGATAATCTGGGGGATGATTTAGTAGCGAAATCAACTTTTTTTTAGGTCTATTCAACCAATTGAGTAATCTTATTTGTATATATGCTCTTGGCTTGATTCACATTAAACAAATTCTTATTCTCCTAGATAATGTTGGAGTTTAAAAGTAGTTTAACTTCGGGTTTAAACTTTGAACTTATCTACTCGCCTGATTCTAAACAAATTTAGATTTGCAATCTACCTATTTTCAAGTCGAATTCATGAGATGATTATTAGCTGCTTTTCATTCCACTATCCAATGATGGTGCCTTGTGTTCTTTTGAATCCTCTTAAATTTTAGGTTGTATATTCAATCTGTCAATCCCAATCTCTTCGAATTACATCTCGAAATCACCGCTGCTCCTAAAAAATACTCCCTTTTATATTTAAGGTTCCTGATATTCGTAGATTTAAATTGGAGCAGCCACATCTTCTAAACCAACAGAAGATCGGTATTACTCATTTTAAACTATAAACCCAGAATTCTATGCAAAACTTCCCCCTCCATTTCCACCAAAACTTTGATTGTCCTAATGCAATTTGCCAAAACTTGCTCCTAAACTAATGGGTATAATCATCAACTTCATTACTTGTCATTAAAACTACCGAATCCACTTTAATTTTGCTGAGAAATTTCACTTCTATTTTAGACAAAGAAATCGCTCATTTCAATTATAAATATTTATTAATTAAAGAATTCTAACAAAATTCAACCAACTTAGCATATTAATACTATTTGGATCAAGCAAGATCTTTTGCAACTACATCTTGTTATTGAAAACCTTACTCTTAAGAAATACCAAATACTAAATACCTAAAATATGGTCATCTCTATATAAATGAAACTCAAAACTTACTCTTTTTAATGTTTTCTTGACATCATACTAGAATTTGTAAGGGATAATCAAATGGAAGTCCTTCTAAATTATGCTTATAATATGAAATATATATTATCATTATTCATGAAAAAAAAGTAGTTGTTACTTCAACCTCCTTATTGTTTGAAGTCTTGATACTTTCTGTTTTTTAGGTTTTGCTCAAAGAATTGTTAAAGTCAATTAGATTTTGTAATCTCTCTATTTGTTTCTTCTTTTCCTAAGAATACATTTTTCATTATAACTTCTCTAATTTATGCTTTCTACTCCTGATTGAATTTCTTATGCTTCTCATTTCTCAATTTGATGTATTCCTCTTTTCGTTTTTATTTAGCCCCAAACATCCCAGTCAAATACTCCTTTCTCTCCTTTTCATCAAAAACAGCTGCCATCTTTGTCCTGCTAATCTATTTGAATTAGTTTTTCTTTGTTGAAAAATTTCTTTTGTTGTTTTTCTTCCCCATATTAAAAAAATAAATTATATAATAATTGTCATTAAAATTCATTTTACTATTCACCTTGACCTTATTTAAAATCTAAGTCCTCAGGAATAACCATAAAATTTTTCATTTATTAAATATGCTATTTTCTGACAGTCCCAGGTAATCCATTTATTATCCATGGATGTATCAAAGCTTCTTCAGGTGTCATTCTCTAATTTGGATTCCATCTTAGGCATTTAGTAACAAACTTATTTATATAGATCATAAATACATCCTAATATTGGGGATCTGCTTTTTGTAAGTGTTAATTAAGTGTTTTAATTTACTATAATAAATCTCCATCCTTTATTTTGTAGTTGAGTTAACATTTTTCATCAAAAAATTTAGATTTTCGAGATCCTTATTCAATCAAATCTTTTGGAGGCATGCCTATAACTTTGATTTACAGGAATAACAACTCCTTTTCTGATTTGGATTAAAATAAAGATTCGCCAGTAAAGAGTTCTGCAATTATGCATCCGAAACTCCACATATCTATTTAAGTAGAATACTCTAAGCCCAGCACTATCTCTGGAGCTCTGTAAAATCTGCTCTAGTTAATTATTGATTTATGAATATACTTGAATGTAGGAGTATATCTTTTGGTTGGTGAAACAACTGGATCCGAAGTCTATAATCCGTATGCCAGATCTATTGATATCCTTAAGGAGTATGTTTTCTGGCTTCAGATCACAATGGATGATGTTGCATTCCTTTAAGTAAAGAAGACCTTGAAGGATTTATATTGCAAATCTTCTAATTAAATCGAGATCGAAGCCAATGAAATCATTTATGGCAATGAATTCATAGAGATTACAACTCAAAAGCTCGAAGACCATGCACTTCCTAAATTAATACATTGGACTTACAATATGACCACGGAATTCGAAATAATTCAACATCTTGATCAAACAACAAGAGACATCTGCTTTGTTCACTATCCTGAGGATTTCTATTTCGATTAGAGCCTACTTATAGAACTTTTCTTTGTTCTTAATAATCTTCAAAGCGACTTGCTGATTATGCTTATGATCCATAACCTTAAACACATACCCGAAACTTCCATGTCCCAGTTTCTCCAACATCTCATATCGATATGCTATTTAATCTTATTTCATGAATATGTAATCTCCACTAGACATATTAATCAAATAGAATATACTCTTGTGTGTCAAATCCATTGTTATATTAAGTGTTCAAAGTGTCCTTTTGGCTCTAACTCATCTGTTTTGGAGCCAAATAATAAATGGTTTCATAATCGATGATCTCTTTCTTTTCGAAATCATTCAAATGATCAGAATAACTCTACAAGACAACCAAGGCTGACTAGGGTAACTGTGGTTTTGAATTCTATTAGAAATTATGAGATTCTGATTTTTCCACGAAGGAGATTACGGGGAATGATGATTTCTGGGGTCTTGGTTTAACATTCTTTGCAAGTTTGAGTTACAAAGAAATTATTTTCTATTTATTTTTCTCCAATTAAAGTATTTTATCAGAGACACTCAAATTTGTATTTTAGAAGGAAGCTTTGCTTTTTGAGTTTTCAATTTTACTATATTTAACATCTGGGCTTGTTTTGATGTTTTGTTTTGGAGACTGAGGTAAAGTGTTGGAATTTATTTATGTGTTTATTCCTAAAATATATATATATTTCCCACAATACTTTTGGTTTAATCTAGGAGTGCAGGTTTTTCTTATTCACTGCCTAACAGGGCCTTCAATTAGTATTAATAGGTCTTTTGAATCGCTCGTTTTTAGGAGTCCATTTATTTTAATTCATCTATGCTAGATGATAAATTTGTACTGTTATTGCTCAGACTGATAGGTTTGCTGGCCTTTGTTGATTCAGGAGGTGATTTAATGTTTTACCTCTAATTAACTCTACTTGTTATCGGTTGATACTCTTTGAGAAGATGTCTTGAGTTTTATCGATTGAAATTGCTTTTGTATGGACTTTTTCCTAAAACATCAAAACTACTGGTCTTCTTTTTTAAATCTTAGCCTTTGTGAATAATACTAGCCTTAGTTTTAGATTAATTGCACGTCAGGTTCAATAAGCTTAACTATTATTTCATACTTGTTTCACTTTTTTAATGATTATTAAAGTAATTTAATTCAAGAGTAAAATTAATTGAATAATAGATTTAATTAATTATGCGATCGTATCTACACTTTAATTCCTAGGAAATCAAAAAATAAATCAAACTCTCCATTAACAATAATATAATTAATCAATAATCTTATCCAGATAATCTCGTGTGTAAAGAAGTGAGCAATTCCCTTATTTTTATATGCAATTATTAATTCAAGTCTAATTACAATTTGTTAATTAAGTTTTCAATGTGATTTTCACATTCTACATTTATTTATAAATTCATTATTCCTTTTCTTAATTAATTTTAGCTCTTCAATTAAATAGTTTTAGTTTTAAATGAAATGACAAATCTGAATATTGAAGAAATCAATATATATCATATACATTTCTTAATCCAATTTGTGTATATCTTTTAATATAATTTCATGAATCAAATATCAAAAAGAGAATTTACTTTAGAGAATCTTTTAATTAAAACAAATAGATCATCGTATCCTAATAGATTATTATTAAAACAAATGATAATTGTTTCATCATTTCTACATTATGGATTTAGAAATGAAATTAAAAACTAATTCATTTTTTTTAATTATTTGATCAGGAATTTAAATGCAATTTAACACCATAATTTGAAGTAGAGAGTTAGAATTGATGCATGGCTGATTATTTGTTATAAATATTTATTGATATGGGTAAAAAATTTATATATATGATTTAATGGTAGTTTAGAATATTCTTTTTGAAATTTCATTTTTGAATTGTTCTAGATCATTCAAGAAAAATCTAGATCTTTTAATCTGGTTGATTAAGAACACAATAGGAAATTCAATTAGAATTAATTTAATGTTCCCATTTGTTAGTAATATATTTAGATCAGACCTCCCACTTTTCATTTTTGATGATATCTTTGTTCCAGGACCAGGGATCAGAGTGGGAGTACCAAGACCACCTTACACAAATCAATAGTTTAGAGATCAAGTTCCCAAGGTACATATAAGTGAATCATAAGTAGCCACCCAATTTGTAGAAAATGCAAAGTGTGAAAAAATCACTCGCCGATTACTCAGAGACATAGGGACAATATTGGTGCATATTGGGGGACATGTCATTTGAAAAGGGAGATTATACGAAGGCAATTTAATATTATGACAGAGCCATTGAATTGACAGATGGCACAGAAAGTTCTTTTTTCAGATCAAGAGGTTTGGCCTATAAAAAGTTGGGGAATTTAGAACAGGTAAAAGCATTAATGTATATATCCATAGGCGTATAAAGACGCAATTATGGCAATTGAGTTGGATGATAAAAATATCAAGGCTCATTTATTGTGTGGATAAGTATTGGCAGAAAGAGGGAAGTCGCAGGATAACACTCATGATATCGAGACAGCTATTAATAGATTGACAAAGGCCAGAACTTTATGTGCAGGATAGAAGAAACAATATTATGAGGATGAATTGAGTAAGTACATCTACAGAGCAAAAAAGTTACTTTGGTACAAGAACAAAGAGTTGGAGAATCAGAAAAAGAGATAAGCGATTGATAATTATACAAAGTATTTAAAATAAAGAGAAGACATGAATGAGGAGGAAAGATAGAAGGAAATTCATGCATTTATTAATTCTATTGGAAATCCGGATTAAAAATAGAATTACGATATTCCAAGTTATTTGATATGCAAAATCACATTTGTAAATATAGTTTTTCTATTGAAATAGGAAATTATGGAGAACCCAGTAGTTACAGATGCAGGTTAAACATATGAGAGAGATATGTTAATTGAAGCAATCTAGAAAAATGGCCCAGTTGATCCTTGTACAAGGTAACCTATAAGTGGAGAGTTTTATCCAAACCATAATATCAAACAAGCAACGTAGGATTTCCTACTTAACAACCCATGGGCTTTTGAGTTTTAATCTGGGGAAAACTATGCAGATATAGAATTTTGATTATAATTTATTATCCATTATAATCCTTTTTTAATATCTTATTTTATGAGGGTATCTATATTGATATTGGCACTTTTGACAGTTGGGACCATGGTAAAAAATAATGTATTATTAGCTGAATTAAAATAAGAAGCATTTGAAGAATAATCATTTTTCGGATAACAATGATACTTCTTGAGCAAAAAGGAAATTGAGGACGTTGTTAATAGATAAAAGGGTTAAGTCTAAATTGACGCTACATTTTCCAAGTTTCAAGCCAGAATTGAGAAGGAGAATAAAGTATTAAATAGACAAAATGAAATCTAAGATGATCTATAATATTTAATAGTTAATTTCTATAGCATTTTTTAAATTAATTGACTACTTTATATGGGCGATTGATTCAGACTAGATTGAAAGAAATAAATATACATATTGGCAAAAGAGGATTTGAAATATAATTGGGAATGGATTGATGAGGGCAGAAAGTGATTGGATAAGGAATTGGAATTGCTTAATTAGCTAATTAAACATTTTTAAGTGGCAATTTTTATGCGGACACAAATGGTAATGATGGTGATAGTGAAAATGTTGATAATGGATAATCTGCATAAGTGAAGTAGATTTGATTTAAAGTTAGGGACAAATTGGAAATGATAGGAATAGAGTAATTGATTGATTATACACCAATAAAAGAAGTATTTCATGCATATGGGCATCCTCAGAAGAAGAGGGAAACAATGCAAATCAAGAGGGAGATCATTAAGATACAAATAATAGAGAAGATGCACAATTAATCAAGTTTTACTATTGTAATGTTATAGCAGTTATTGTCAATATTATGAATAAAGTTTTTGGAAGTGACCATAAGATTATAAGCCAACTGAAGAAAAGGATGTGGATTGGGATTCCTTGTTGTAAAGGAATTAAGTACAGACTCAAGAGAGTCATAATAAATTAAAGATTAGTACTCGAAAATGATTTATATATGTTGTTCCTTATATAATGGAGAATGGAATGTTCACATTAACAGTTCCGGTATAGTCTAGTGGTTAGGATATCAGGTTCTCACCCTGGGGACCCGGGTTCAATCCCCGGTATCGGAATAATTTTTTATTTTTTATATAATGTTAAAATGAATTAATTTCTTCTTGAAAGCTTTTGAAAATTTATTTTTATGAATTAAAGTTGGAGATAAAAGTTTGAGAAAGATAAGTAGTATCCGAGACATCCAATGGCTCACAAAAATGGTAATGCACAATTTCTATATTGAAAAGGTGGTGTTCATATGAATTAGGAGGATGATACAAAGCTATTTTAGATAGCAGGAGCAATGCTAAAATAAATTGGTACAAAAATAGCTAAGGGAGATTTCAATTTAGCTACTATTCCAAAACCCATCTGTTTAACGGCTCCCAAAACAGCTAATGAGTGCTTGACATTGTATATTTTTAATAGCAATAAGTGATCACGACTATGCCAACATTTATCTGACAGAGGCAGCAAAGTGCAAGGATCCCCTCTAAAGAATGCAATTGGTAGTGGCAAATGAAATTGCCTATCTACATGGGACACACACTTATTTGAGGTCACTGGCACCCATCGATCCTATGGTTGGAGAAACATGCCAAAAAGTGAAGGAGGATGGCACTGCATTTTATTGCGAATTCATCAAGGCTGACCCTCCAACAACATTATATCAAATCTATGGGGATGGGTGGTAAATCTATGGCTCGGAGGAAGTGTTAGCTGAAATTCATCCAACCATTACTTAGATTATTGGTAAAAATCTTAAACCCAAATACATAAAATTTGCAGATGGAAAAGTGTATGAAATAAAAGTGCCTGTTATGATTATCAATGGGTTAATGAAGGGAGATCGAATTTTAAATAAATTAGATAGTTTCACAATAAAGTGTGTGTAAGACAAATTGGTTGCTCAAATCAATTTCAGTTATGTGTATGAAGGGAGTGCTTAGAAGATCAAAAACAAACTGATGTTTTGGTCTCAGTAATAGAAACCACTCTCTGATTTGGTGGATGTTAAAATAAATAAATTAATTAATGTAATAATAATATTATTAAAAAGACTGATGAGGATGATGAAGATCAAGTGTTCACCTTATCAAAAGGCTCAGGGTCATGGTTGTCTCATTTTGAAATGGATGGCGAAGTAGTGTGGAGAATAGATGATCCTATCTAACCATGGAAGGAACCAGCCTATATACTACCAAGTGATTCGATTTTTAGAGAGGACAAGGCACTGATGTTGAAGGGAGATGACGATGCGGCTCAAATGTATTTGTGATGTGTCAATAGTTACAGTACTCGTAATAAGATTGAGGAGCTTGGATTAAAAGATTAGAATTTAAGAAAAAAGAGGAAATGAAATATATTTGATAAAATGTAAAGTAAGATCAATTCTATTATTCTTTCACTTTTTTCTCTTCTCATCACTTTTTCTATTCTAAATAAGCGGTGACGATTTCAGATACAAATTATAACTTCTGTTAAATTATTTTGATTTGAAGACATCAACAAAGTATTGATGCTTTAAATGTAATATAGAAATATATAAATCGAATTTTCTAGTAATAACATAGAAACAATTATCCTCATTTTAATTCATAGTTAAGCTATTCTGATAAAAATTTATTGTATCATAGTATTATCAATATTGCAATAAACTTGAAGAGACAAAAATTCATAGATTTTGTAAGTTCTTAGAGAATGCAATACATAATATATCACACGGTAGGTGTATCATTTAAGCTTTATCCAATATTTTCAACTTGAAATCAGAAAATAAGTGCTAAATTTTAGAAAAGCCCTGCAATTAAATTGTAATTCATCATTTAAAAAGTATGCGAGAAGTCGCACTGTTAAGCTAAAAATCTTTAAAAATTATTTGATAATGATCGGTTACATCTAATGATATTTCTTCATCTAAATTGCCCTATTCTTAAGGCATATTTTTGCATCAATCGTAAACTTAAAATCCTAATTCTGATAGTATTAATTTCCCCCATTCTTATGGTAAAAATTTGATCGAAATTCCACGATCCAAATTCTACTTATGGATTTCTAAGAAATATTTTTATCGAAATTGTGTCAAAAAATTTGATTTAAGTAATCAAACTTCATCATTTATACGATTTCAAATGGACTATCCTTATTAATTGATTTAGTTTCTTATTTAAACTTTTGTAAAGTAGCCCATAAATATTTGTTTCAAAATTTTACAGTATATTCAGTCTGAAAGATCACCAGTTCTTAATAGATTTATAGTCATATGATAATTTAAAATTCAATATTAAAACTGAAAGTTCTAATTTCGATATTGTTTTACCAATTTCTTAAAACTCATAATATAATTTAAAGGTCTTTAAAAAAGAAAATTTAGAGAAATTTCTAAAATCGCAAATGATAAGGAGCATTATTAAAAGGTGAAATTTCAAACGTTTATTCAAAAATTGAAACATGTGTCAACTTTTATTTTATGAACTACATATTGATGTTGATAACTGTAATATTTATTACTGATTTGATTCATGTTAGAGAACTTTGATCATTCAATCAGAAATAGAATTTTTGGAGATTGAAAAAGAATGAAATTCAAAGATTTACAATTGAAAAATATTGAATATTTAATTTATCTTATGAATGATTCAATCATTGTATCAATTCAACTTTGTAGAGAAGTTTTTAGAATAGGCCAGAAGATTTGATTATTTAGGTTGCTGTAAATGAAGCTGAAGTTTTGGTAATTTTAAGATATTATTAAGAATTTGTAGTTAACAAATACTTTGCTGATAGCCTTACAGTATTAGTTTTCCCTACTTTACATTAGATATTAGAAGAAGTGTACTATTATTGAATGTCTCGAATACAAAATATTTGCATCTTCAATTATTAATTTTCTTAGCATTTCCAATAATAATTAATTTTTATAGATTAGATGCCTTCAGGGATTTTAATTTCTTCTTCTACATCTTGACTTTAATTATAGTTCATTTCTTAAATTTCTACATGATTCTCTATTTCATTTTTTGTATCAAAATAATTAGTTTGTGTCATGCCTTAAAATATTGCGAGATCAAAATATGCATAATTAATACAAAAATAATTGTATTAAATTGATAAAATTATTGTTGCATGCCCTTAAATATTAATTTATTAATTACATGGGTAAAATCCAAGATCTATTTAGGAGGTATATGAAACTCTTCCAGATAACCTTATGTTAAAATCAGTTCCATCATGATAAAACCCAAGAAGATTCGGATGACACATTGTTGTTTCCCATCCTGATGGAAAATTCACAGTTTGGCTTGAACCATAAGGTAGGGTACTTGTGATTGTTGGTCCGACTAAAATAAGATCAGAGGAGGCCAATAATATTTAATAACCAAATTATTTAAGATTGGTGTAGAGACTTATCGTCACAGTATCATCTGTTAATGATAAGCCCTATATTGTCATAATTTGCATACCGTTAAATTATTAAATTAAGGTCCTTCAGCATAATAACTAACAAAATTAGCTATGGCCACATTTATCTTCAAATTTTTAATATATGAATGAGTATATTACCAAAGTGGATTAGTGATATTTAAATGGTTTATAACTTAAACACTGTCATCATTAAATGCAAACCAATTTAAATTGATTCCAAAATATAACCAAGGACTCTCACAAACTGTCTTCATTGTGAAACCTAAATCTAAGTTTTTCATATTACCAAGTGTGGTGATGCTTGTTATATCTAATGAATATCCTTGAGGAAACTATAGCGCCATATCCATCAAAGCGATATTTAAGTACACATCTGGTATTGAGGAGAATTCTTATGCAAATGGAACAAAAAATTCTTCTGACCTAAATTTCATTGAAGAAGTAAATAAAATTAAAGACAGATTGTATGCATAATTGAACTGAGTGAAGAATCCTGACTCAAATTAATGACCAGCGTTTACAGAAAATATTTATAAGGCTAAATGAAGTATTAGCATAATAATTATTAATAAATTAGATACATTTATTTGAATTAAATATTTCTAACCTAAGTGTGGGTAAATAGATTAGAGGTTTTAATAATAATTTCAAGATTTATAGGGGACAAATTATATATAAATGTAGACTATCTACTTTAATTTAGGATAATTTCATATAACACCGTTTCATTGTTTTCCAAAACTATTTATATAAATTATATTAAAGTTATTCGGTGATTTTTATTTTAATCTTCAAATAAGGAATTTGAATTATTAGCAAATAATCTACTAAATTACAGATGGTAGATTAAAGATTAATTGGTACTAATTAACTAATCAATATAAATTGGTATATAAATATGCTGTTGTGACTTTATGCTATTTCTATATAAACTCAGATCTAGTTATACCTTATTAAATTCATGAATAAGTACTAAAAATACTTTTGATCAATGATCACAGTCGTATTCATTAAAACATCGTATAAGCATAAATGAATTTGGATTAAGAAAATTATAAACTCCTTCATTAAATACCTTCAAATCAATTTTTTATTAAAGCCAAATAAATTAAGTTTAATAGTTGAATTCAGGGTCTATTCAAATTTTAATTTAGATTTCGCTTTATCCCTAATCGGACTTAAAATTAAATTCAACTCTCAAGTAACCTTATTTAAATTCGATATTTTGGAACAACCAAAAAATTACAATGAAGTTTTAAAGAATGATACTCATAATTTCTAAATTATATGCAGTATATCATGTCAGTTAAAAAAGATCATAAATTTCTAATTTATTTAGCTTTCTGCACATATGCTTTTTTATTTCTATTTTTAAGATTATTCCATCTAAGTCTCATTATTTCACAATTTAATTATTAATTAATTTTATATTTATTTATTTTATTATCATTTTGTAAATTAAACTACTCCATAAATGAAAAGTCTAGAATAATAATAAAAAAAACACAATAAGTATACTTTTTCCTATCGATTAAATAGCATCCAATTTATTTTTAAATTATAAAAATAAATATCAGTCTGATGTTAATTTAGTTGTATTAATCATAGATATTGCATTAATAAATTATCTCGCTTTAAAGAATAAACTCTTTTATAATCAGTATATTCAATTATATTAATTAAATGAGGATATGATGTGAATTAATTCAATTAGAATAGAAATGAAATATCTGCACATCAACAAAACTTATGTTTTCATTAATTCAAGGACCTGGTTAAATAATTCATAGGGATCTTCAAGATTCTGATGCTTTGAATCTAATAATAAATTATTTATTAATAGATTAGTCTTGGCCTGGATAGCCTTCATTTTTTAAGTGTCCAACAAGATGGAATAAAAGATGTTTATTTTATCATTTCTTTAGTTTCTTTTGAAGGCGATAAAAGTTAGTATTTCATATAAATTTAATTTGATTTTGATAAATTGATAAGGTTAAATCACACGTTCTTTTCAAATTATATTTTATCTATCTCACTCGATTTGGCTGAACTTTCCTAGTTTTGATAAATTTCAAAATTTGTATATATATAAAAATTAATCAAAACAATGGGTAATTGTGTGACAAACAGAACAAAAATCTAGACCAATCTAGAGAAACCCCAAAAGTTGTACATTCACCAAGCCTTTATGAGACACACACTTACAAACCCAGAGTATACTTTATTATGAAAATTGCTAGATCTCGTAAGTAACTATTGCTATTTGAAGACAATTTCATTGACATGTTTGATGAAAGTCCCATTTTGGGATAAAGCATGTATTGGTTTTTATTAGGACTGCAAAACAATGAGTAGAAGGGGATCGAATACGAAACGATGCTCCATATATCAGAGGTCTTCGTTTTGGGTAAATCAGAAAATGAAATATTAAGATTACCAAACAGAGTTTCTTTAATTGTATTAATAGTCTCCCTGTTTGGTAATTTGAATGTCAAGGATGCGATCAAACAATTTGCCTCCATGGAAATCACTTATTTGTAGACAACCAAATGTATGCAAGTGTTTATCAATATGATGTTGAGAAAGCAGAATGTGAATGAACAGCCAATCAAATCATTTGTAGATTCAATATTCTAGAAAGTTAATGGCAACGTTCCGATCTTGCAGTTAATTAAATTTTTTGATAATTACATGGCACAGTTAGAAGAAATTGTCGAAGATTATTATTACAATAAATTTCTCGGAGAATAGAAATTATTTCGTAATCCCCAATTGTAACATCCCTCTCACATCTTGAATCAAGAATGGATAGCATTTATGTATTTGAGTTTCATGCACAAAGACACTAACAAATTGGAACTACTCTACTCCACCAATGTTCATGAGAGGAGCTTTGAGTTATTGTCTCATCTTCTTACTGAATGTCAAACAAGTGTATTATTCTTAATCCAGTGTGAAGAAGTTAATCGTAAGTACATCTTTGGAGCATATACAAATTTTGAATGGAAAGATGATGCTCAACCTAATGGTAGCAAAGAAGATTGCATATTTCAAATGTTCCCATAATACAAGGTTTACAAAACTAAAAATGATAAATTTACTCGATCACAATGTACTTACCTAAATTCAAAGCACTCAGAATTAAAGCAAGGCATTGGATTTGGAGGAGAATTAGCAAAGGAATTTAGGGTTTTTCTTAATTAAGATCTCCTTAATGTATAATGCAAAAATCATGATAAAACTTATGAGCCTGGAGAGTTGATGCCTCTCAAATAAGCCAAAGTATCTATCCTCGAAGTTTGGACCATTTAATAGATTTAAGGTACTACATAATTTAAAGATCTGATTTATCAAAAAATTGATGAATAAATTGAATTGGAAGAATTCGAAAACCCATTAGTTCATTTAGATGAAGATATCAGTTCCTATAGATCTGGTGATCATCCATCTCTAAATCAGTCTATTCATTAATTACAAGAGAGGGATTCATGCGATTGGGAGGGAGAAAGTTAGAATGGATTTGAAGAAGAGATCATCATAAGAGGGGATGGATTTGAAGAAGTGAAGAAAAATGAACAAGGATTCGAAGTCATTCCTTTGAATGAAGCAAGTGTATATCAATTTAAGTATATTTAATTTAGATCAATAAAAAGAGTACAAAGGTGTAAAACTAAGAAAAGGCACCATAACCTCCACAACAGGAAGACAATCAATTTGAAGAAGTTCTGATCAAAACATCGTAATGTATGGATTCCTCTGCACTTTAAATGGTGTACAATGTCGTTTCAGGAGCCTTTGGACAGGCTGAAACAGATGATAAGTATTTGTATTATAAATCAAAAGTTGGAATGGGGATAACTCTGATTGGAAAGGTGATGGATCCACTACTGCCAAACAAAGTCGAGTTCAATTAAGTAAGGATTTGGCTACAATCACTGAGGAACTTAAGGAGTCTACCAATACCCAATATTGATTACATTAAATAATATATTTAATACTAAAGTTAAAAATCAATTAATAAAACTCATTTTACACAAATTTGTTTTTAATACGATATTTTATATTCTTCATATTCCTAAATCAAGAAATCCCAATTTTGGAGCTACAAATTAAGTAGATTGCTTACTTAATTGTTTGTATAGCATCTCATATTCTCTAAATAATATTGAATTTCATTAAGCAGTTTATCGGTTTCAATTATGAATTGTTATTCATATTATTCATTGAATTTATTAAGCATGTAGACATATTGGTCTCTTTTTTCATCCACATAGAATGTGTCTTTTGGTAACATGATTTCTTTGGCATATTTCAAATCAGTAAAACATTTATTGATATCAACCTTAAGTTATTATTCTTAATTCAATCCCCATTTTTATAGATCCTCTACATTAAATAAAAATCACAATTACTTATTACAAATAATTCTTCCTTTCTTTTTTCAAGGAGGTTGAATTCATTTGAAAAGATTTAGAAAGTCTCAAAGAGATTTGACTTCAGTTCAGTTAATTGCTATCTGGAATTCTTGAATTTGACTAAGGTTATCAATAGGACATCCATGATTTATTTTGTTGACCTTAAGACAAAATCTTTTTAGGTTTGCTATCTAAATAGTGGATTCAAATTACAAAATAAGATTTGATCATACATAAGGATTTTCCAAATTCTTAAGCTTCCATATATTATGGCAGTGAATTGCACAACGATTAAATCATTTCTATTGAGTAACCCAGACTTTATTAACCTTTCTAAGTGAATTCGGCAAATTATTCCAAATATTTTTAGATGATCTCATAATTTCCTTACTCTCCATTTAAATACATTTAATAGTCCTTGTATTTTTGATACTGAGTTTAATTGAATGAAAAAGTGAGAGTGCCAGTTTTAGATTGTTTCTAACCCAAGTTATATTATTTTTAGAGAGTTTGTTCTTTGTAAAATTTCTATTAAAATTGCTTCGAATTTTCTTCATTCAAAAATAGCAAACTTGAAAAGACAGTTCTGATAATAGGTTTTTTGTTGTATATCTGGAGGAATACCTAAATAAAAGTAATGGGCGGACTTTACATTCAAGACTTTAATAATGTTTTATTGCTCCTTCATGATAATATCATAGTCATTGATATCGTTGTAAGGAAAGGAAGGAATCTAAATAAGAGAATAGTTTACAATATACTCTGGAAATGCAGCTGAGAGTATGTTTCTGAATTGAATGAAATCCTGGAGTGTTCTTTTGACCTTCCATTACATTGGAAGAATTTGAATTGGGAATACAATGGTTTTTGAAAAGAAATCTAGAATGCCACCTCCTTCTTGAATGGGACTTGAATGTTATTAGAATAAAATACGGACTGATTTCAAATTAGAGATCGATGTTTTCATCTATAAAAAAATACATTTATTTGCAAGTGATAGTCTTTTCAAATGGAATCAAGGATATTTTATCAGTCTAATGATAGGTGGTAAAATGATGTACGATTTTAATGGATTCTAAGGTTTATTTTTGGACAAAAGTATCTCGATCTATAATTTGAATTTGATCAGAAATGTCTGGAGAATCAAGTTCGACTATTTGATATGAATCTGATTATTGTTCTTTTTCTGCATAATAATTAGATTTGATACTCTCCTATTGATATTGTTGTATGATTTTCAATAACTCCTAATATGTCCATTGAGTTAGATCTTAACCTAAAGAATAGAAAGGATTTTGAACCTTTGTTTGGTTCCTTGTGTAAAACAAAGTCTTCAAAATCATCTTGATTATAGCCCTTGCTTATGATTTCATCGACTAATAACTATTACTCTTTTGTAAATGTTTAACTCATAATTAATAAATCAAAATCCGTATTAAATTTTCTTATCGTAGAATCTCTTATATATTTGACTATTGAACATAATTGCCACAACGGATGCCATGAAGGGAGTACAAGTAAATACCCACAAGAATCCAAACCTACCCCATGTGCCATCCTAAATACATTCAAATAATTCCAAGCTTGAAATACTTTCATTTGAATACCTAAAAGCAAATGCTGGATTGAAGAGTGATTGTCCTTAAGATGTCAAGACTCGAGCTGCTCCAAATCCCAAAGTCACGACTAGGGCATGCTCTAATTTGTCATCCGAGAATTTCAAGTAATCGTCCTCCTGCAATACCAATACTATCATGAACAACATGGAGCCAAATAATTCGCCTTCAACTGACTATTTACTTATTGAATATATTCTAATACGCCAATCAAATTGTCACCAATTTTGGCATCTAAATAAGGTGCATTAGTGAAATCCTACAAAACAAAGAAGCACACCATTGCACCCAATAGACTGCCTCCGACTTAACCAATTACGTTGAATATAAATTCTTGGAATCCAATTCTTGCCATGAGTAAATCAATGAAGCTAACAGCAGGATTGAATACAGTTAGACGATCTGTCATAAGTACACTCAAGAAGAATATGACTAAGATGGCCATATTATTGCCTGCTGATGCCAAAATACCATAAGTAAAAATGAATGATCCAATTGTTGCAATTAGAGTTGATTTGATTATTGTTTGTTTCTCTAAATGCGTACCAGATAATTGTCCAACAGAAGGAGACGAGTCAAATCTAGTGTAAGCCGCCTAAGATTCTCCTTCCACATTCACATCACTTTCGAATCTTTGCATATTTGTATATTATTTATAATAATTCCATAAAAACATAAATCAATACCATCATTTAACCCACTATTTCAGTTTAATTGTCCCTAAAATAAGTTCATCAATATAGTAATAAGTAAATAGATTGATTTAGCTATCCTCAAAAATAAGGTCCATCGATTTCTTAACAAAATCCTTTACTTATTTTTTATATACAAAAAAAATATCAGAAACTAACAATAACAGATCAAATTGTATTATTCTGATAATTCGATTTAAAATAGGGACTTATACTAAAAGAAATTGATATAAATCTAACAGAATAACATAGCTAAATAGATATTTTTTGAAGAAATATATAGTTTCACAACAATATGCATAAACACATCACACAGTATGAGCAGAATTCCTTTTAAGATGTAATTAAATTGTATGAAATACTAAATATTCATTCCTTTTGATAAGAATTTCCAGAATAATCCCATATAACCTCAATAGATGATTCTCTGCTTTAATAGAGTATTTTCATAAATTTAAAGATGATTCCAAAAATAAATTTTAGTAGATTTTGAATAGATATCAACAATCTTAATTAACATTAGAATGTAATTATTTTTGATTAAATAATCAAATAAATATCCAAGAAATAATTATATTTCATCAAAAAGTGAATTGATCACAATTTTCTTTAATTTAGTTGATATTTAATACTTGATATTCAACATAATCATAATAATTAAATTAATCATTGTTTTCTACATAGAACCACTAATTATAACTGCTTATGGCTTTAGTTTACAGTTCAATTATAAAAATATAATTAACCAAAAACCATTCTTCTGCATTTCTATAAATCCTATTCATCAATATTTTATTAATTATTTTATTATTCCGATGCTTTCTTATCATAATTTAGCCCAAAGTGATTATCAAAAGGAAAAGGATATTCCAGTTACAAATCCCTTACACAAACCAAAACAAAACAGCCTTAATATCTTAACTTCTCCTGTGCCCCACCCTTTCAACACATTGCTCCCATCCAATCTGTAATCTTGATTTTCTTAGTTTCTATAGTCTATAACACCAACCACTTGATAACGATCGACAATCGTAAACATATAATCATTCTTAGATAGAGGTCCAATCTCTCCCAAAAAGACCAATCCTATAGCTACATCCCAATCTTAACCAATCCTCATGAGCAAATGCTGTTAGAGTAATAGCAACATCTGATGGATCAAGGTGAAGATTTAAAGTAATAAATCATTCCACTTATATTTAGATCCCAAAACAAGAAACTGGTGTTCGAAAACAATTCACTCAAAAAGCTGGTGGAGTAGCTCTCCTTAGAATTGTACATATATGTATCTAACTACTCTAGGCAGTCTTTAAGGATCCAGAAATCTTAGGAACTAGAAATGAAAGCTAAAATAGACTATTAGGAAGAAATGATTGTCAAACTTAAATCGGAAGTCAGAAGAAAAGCAGATCTTATATAAGAGAACTAATTTAAGGTAAATGAGTTGGAACGGCTGCAAAATAAATTAGAAGAATATTCGGGCTTAACTAAGAAATATTAAGAATAAGTCTTATAAATGTAATAACTGAAAGAATAGGCTCAAGATCTCAATAGGCAATTAATTCAATATCAAAGTACAGAAAATGAGAATCACAACCTAAAGGAATACATAGAAGCATATAAACAATAAATAAGAGACAAAGATGTTAAAATATAACAATAGAGGGAGCAATAGGAATAATTGTTTTCAGATAATAAAAAAATGAAATCCACTTTGGATGTTCTTAACTTTGAGTTTAAAAAAGCACAGGATGGTTATAATGAATCCTTGCACAGAGCGACCATTTAAAATACAGAATTGCAAGGATAATTAAGTTTACTCCAAAAAAATTTAACTAATCAAACTCATCAAATTGAATTACAAAAATAATAGGTTAAATAACTAGAACTCAAAGAAAAGGAATTATACACTACCAAAAATCAATACTTAAAATTAGACGAAAAGTTTTAAGCCTAAACACAATAGACCATTAAATGTAATACTTATATCTTGATATTTAGAAACTAAAGAAATTGATAAACTTCATATGACCTTAAAAAACGGCAAATAAGAATACTTGAATTTACAATAAAAATTAATGCATTTAGAATAAGAAAATAAGAGATTATCAGAATAGTCTCTGCAAATTTCCAAATCTAAAAATCAACTCGAATTATAATGCTAATAATTAGATTAAGAACTAATTAAAAAACAAGGATCCTTAGACACTCTCTAATTGAAATAAATGGAATTGAAATCCAATTTTGAAAAGTGTTAAGGATAGGTATAAGGATTAGAAAACGAGCTCAAAAAGAAAGAGACAATTATACTCAATTTGGAATAATAACTTTAAACGTAAAAAGGATAACTAGAATAAATTACACATATTGATACATAAAACAAAAGTGAAATTAATCATAATTTTGCAAAAATGAAGGAAATGCACAATGATCTTATTTTGTATGAAAAATAAGTAAAGTAAATCAATTCAGGTAATAATAATCTTATGATTTAAAGAAAATTATTAACTCAAATAATAAAATTAGATCATAATTGAGAGAAATGCCTAATAAGAAAACGAAATGAAAAAGATGAGAGTAATTTATCATATTTTAATTTAGGAATAAATAATGCATTAGGATAATCGTATAAGATATTTAGAAAATGAAATCCATAACTAATCTTTTTAATAAAAATTGACTACAGCTAGACCTATTTAATCTTAAGAAAAAGGATTTCCAAATCAATATCCTTCTTCTCAACAAAATACCCTTCAAGGATCCTTTAATAATCAATTCAATTAATATAAATGATTATCTAGAAATTTTAGGTTAATATAAATTAATTTATAACCTTTCTAACATTTATATTTCTCATAATAATATTTCTTATGAGTTACATTTCTTTTATTATGATGGTGTATGAATTATTAGTAAAAGTAAATGCTCATCAATTTAAATCTATAACAAAATTATAGTGATTTCATTTAAGAAAATAAATGAATAATTTAAATCTATCGATCTGTAATATGGATATCATATTGTAAGCATTTAGCAACCTACCTTCTATTATTGTAACTTGTTGTTTACAATTAGTTATAGAAAGATGAAAATTCTGAATTGAATGAAATTCAGGCTCAGAATCAATTAGATTATATTTTAAAGGTTTTAGTAAATTAATTTAATATTATAAATTGCTCTAATATAAATTATTATTATTCGTATTTGTTTAATAAAATAATGGCAGACTTTTGGAAACCTACAGCTGATTTATATAGTGCTCTATTTGAAAAGCCAAAAATGTCATAGAAGTTACTTGAAAGACCACCTTTTAAATACATATTTGATATTATAATGGAGACAACCAAATAAACAGGTTTCAAATTTAAATTTCCTTTAGGTTATGCAAAAGGACTTTATACAACTGATGAATTAGATGGGAATTCGTACGATAATAAAGATAAAAAGCTTATGTTCCTATAAAAGATAATAGATTTGACATCCATGATGTTAAAAGAGGAAATCGCTGCTAAACCTGGTAAAATAGCTGCAGGTTTAGAACCAGAGAATACAAATCTTTTACTGTAAGCTATTTATAGAGCAGCTGTAAGTGGTAAAAATAGTGATTCTTATGTAGAAGATGTACTTTTAAATATTTAGGATTTAGGTACTTGCAATAATAGGGGCAAATCCAAAAGATTAATAATTTTAAGCTCAAGGAATTTATGATAAAAAACCTTAGTAAACATAAAGTCAATAAATTCAAGAATTTTAAAATGAACTAAATTTTAAAAAAGGAGATGATTTTTGACTTTGAATAATAAATTTAGGCATTGAAAATGTAATTACAATAAACAGCTTAAAATACTTAAAATTATGTTTATAAAGTCTAAGATCCCATTATTTATATATAACTATTTCATTTTTTTCAATATTGATAATCATTCAGTTGTTTTTAATCTTTCCCTAAATCAATAAAATTATATAATAAAATAAAATTCGATTAAATAGATACTTGATATTAAAATTAATAGCTATTATTATTTTAAAAGAATGTATAAATAATTGAATTAATAAGTTGAAATCAAAATAAGATTTGATAGCCTACCCTCGATATAAGCAATCTCAAGACAAAGTCTAAACCGAATTAAAAAAATCTTTAACCACTCAGAACTTCCATAAATTCCTTTTCGATCAATTTTTGAATCTACTGGATAATAAAAAAAATTAACAATAGACAACTTCGGCCAAGTAGCTGAATAAAAATAAATAATTTCTACTACTAGAAAATCTCTTAAATTATCAAAATATTAATCTCCTTCATACTTTTCAAGAAAAATGCAATTTAGAAAATAATTCCTTAATTAATTTAAATTTGGAAGTAGTTAATCAAATAAAGGAAATTCCTTTCAAAGATACTACTTTATTTTAGATAATTAATAAAATAAGTCAAAAAATGAATTAGTTACATGAGTATAGGAGTGAAAAGGCAATTCTTTCAGCAGCTGATAAATTAATTAAATCTCACATACGTATTTAAGAAATAGAATTGATTTTCAAAAATTGTAAACTAAAAGTTTGGTAATCTGTAGATACAATTTTTGTTCGAATATACTGGTAAGTTAAAAATTATATTAATTTTAGTCCTAAAATGTAAAAGAAGCAAAAAAATTATGAATATTTTTTATAGGATTGTATTAATAGAGAATTGCCCTTTCATAAATTCTTAATTTTGCTTCAAAACAATTAAATTAATTTAAAAAAATAAAAATAAACCAGATTAATTCTTCTTACAAGTTCTTTATGACTTTTTAGACAAATTAGAAGATCTATTTAAAAAATTATGTGATGATTCTTACCGTTTGTTAGAATAAACTATAATAAATTTAAAATAAAAATTACTAAGTATTATTTCATAACAATTCTTAAGATAAGGAAGTTGAGGTGATGGAACAATTTTCAAAATTAAGTAAAAAAGAGAGTTATAACCAATATTGATGGAGAGTACAATGATGAAATAATTGACTGAATTTGAAGATAGATTTTGAATGTTCAAATAAATAGAAAATAGTAATAGGTTTATTCAAACAGAATAAACGATTTAGTTTATGATATTAAAACTGTAAATCTAGTTTGAGTTTAATAAATAAGGGGTTTTGTAACTAATCATTAGTAAGATATACTCTAAATTATAGCAATTCTTCCAATAATATAAAAATATTTGAATGCTATTTCCTCATAGAACCATTTATTACAATAGCATTTTCTTGTTATTAATTCATTATAATTATTTGAAAAAATAATTATTTATATTAATTGTCTGTCATTATTCGACTATTAAGTAATGACTTAATTTTTATCCTTTCATATGTAATCAAGAATACTCATGGTAGTAGTATTAGTGATTTCAAAATTTAAATAATAAAACATGAATATTGAATTATTATTTGTTTTTTTTTAATAAAATAATGGCAGACTTTTGGAAACCTACAGCTGATTTATATAGTGCTCTATTTGAAAAGCCAAAAATGTCATAGAAGTTACTTGAAAAACCGCCTTTTAAATACATATTTGATATTATAATGGAGACAACCAAATAAACAGGTTTCAAATTTAAATTTCCTTTAGGTTATGCAAAAGGACTTTATACAACTGATGAATTAGATGGGAATTCGTATGATAATAAAGACAAAAAGCTTATGTTCCTATAAAAGATAATAGATTTGACATCCATGATGTTAAAAGAGGAAATCGCTGCTAAACCTGGTAAAATAGCTGCAGGTTTAGAACCAGAGAATACAAATCTTTTACTGTAAGCTATTTATAGAGCAGCTGTAAGTGGTAAAAATAGTGATCCTTTTGTTAAGAAAGTACATAGAGTTTAATAATTAATATTTAGATTTTAGGAGGAGCAGGAGCCAAAGAGCCTGAACCTTAAAAAAAAGAACAGCCTAAACCAGAACCAAAAGCTTAATAGCCTCCTCCAAAGGAGTAAAGTGCACCATAAGTAAAGGATGAAAAAAGGCCTGATGAGAAGAAGCCAGCTCAACCTAAGGAAGATCCTAAGCCAAAATAATAAGCTCAATAACCTCCTCCTCAATAGCCTAAGGAGAATTAAAAATAACAATAAGTTCCTCCTCCATAATAATAATAATAATAAACACAAGAGGGAAATGTAAGACCTTCAACTGCCAAAAAAAGACCACCTTAATTGCCTTCAAATCAAGTTTAGGTTGAACAAAATTAAAAGAAAGGAGGAACAGCAAATGTAATTATTGAAGGGAAAGGAAATAATGATGAAGATGATGGTATTGTAGTTCAAAGCAACGTGAGGCCAACTTCTGATATTAATGCTCAAGAATATGGTAAATTCGTTAGAGACAATATGAAAAATTAAGAGAAAGCCAAAGAGGAAGAAAAAGAGAAGGATTAACCACAGGAAGGAATTAAAATGAAGAGGATAGGAAATGTCAATTAGAGAAAAGGTTATTAGTCAAATACTATGAGTAGATAAAATCAAGGAAGAGATTGCATAAAATTTGGGAACATCACAAGTCTCTGATACAATTGTGATGCAAAAACTAATCCAATCTATGAGTTAAAATGTAAATCCTTTGGCTAAATAAATTGAATTTATTTAAGATGATATTGAGAACATGAATAGGGAATTGTAATAATGGAGAAAGATCTATAATGTTTCTAAACAAAAGATGGTTGATATGAATAGAGCAACTGAAGAGGTGAGAATAATTTATTAATAATTAGGCATAATAACCTTTATATGATAAGATAGCTGAAGTTGAGGAAGTTATAAAAGAGAAAAAATCTAAGATATAAAACATCAAAGCTTAAATTATAAAAAATAAATTACAAATCGACTAATTGCTTAAAGCAGTTTTAGTTTAAAAATGAGAAAAATTTATACAAATTATAAATTAATTTTAAAATAAATCTGTTACATTTCTTCATGATAAAAAATAAATTCGATAATAAATAAAAAAGCTTTTCTTTTGCCTACCAATTATAAAGCAAGGATTTTTTAATTTTTTGGGATTTTGATTAATCTACTTTTGCATCCAAACCTTGAATTAATCCGAAAACTCCTGGAATTTAATTAACCAATTATCTGATAGCTTCTAACCCAATACTAGTTCAATTCTCTTGTACTCTCTGTAGATTTTTCAACATTTATATTTTTTTTGAAGATGTCAAGACCTTCATTTGTACGATATGAAATGTCTCCTTAGTGAATAAATACAATAATTTTAGATTCTCTTCAACTTCTTTATTTAATCCAGTATTTCTACTCATTTACTCTTCTCTATTTTAATCTTGCAACAATTATAATTTCCTTTTTGATTTTGCCTTTTGTGCTAAAAATGTTTCATATCGCATCAGTTAATTATGTAGATCCTCTTCTAACATCTCTCCAATAATGTCTGTCACTTAAAGACAGACATATATGTAGTTTCTATTTAAGTGATTTATGTTTCTCTATCCAATTTATTTTTTTGGATTCTTTTACTTGGGCTAACGAAAACTTTCTTTACATTTGAGTTTTAACTTAAGAGTTTATTTCAACTTTTTTGAATCCTTCTCTGATTTAGAGCATAAATGGATTAAGTAAAAATGTTGATTGAGCTATCAAAGAATTAAAAAAAATTGTTTAGTCAATTCAGTTAAATTAAGACCAATTTATGATTATTAAATGAATTTTTTGACTAAGGTAAAATATTTGGATATTGCTTGGTTACTTATTGTTGAAAGGATATGTTAAATTTCAACAAATCCATTATTGGTTATGTGTTATTATTTTGGTAGTTTGAGTGAGACCAATTGGAATTCATCGATAATGCATCTTTGAAACTCTTCAATTAAAATTCATTCGAATGAAATGATTTAGTTATAAATTGTATACTCATTACTTATATTATGAGTTACCCATATAGAGTTATTTTATAATATTATTTCATATTGATTTTACAATACCTTGGGTAATTTGAACATGGAGGACAATAGTGCTTCACTATTAGATTTTTTTTTCTAAATTCCTCCATTGGAACTAGAGATTCTACTCGTTTATGTTTCATTAGAAATAATTATAAAATATTATATTGATATTTAAACTCATTGTTCCTGAACAGCATTTTTAATGGCTTTAAATAATTGAGTCGCCTCTTAAATTGAAGAAAACTCTAAACAAAATCCCTAGAGTTAAACATAAATCTTCTTAGGATTGAAGGTCTTTTATTTGATCAAAGTCTTAATGAAAACTGATACGAGTCTAACTTATCTGGCTAATTGTTATTGATTCTATATTGATTGTTAAATTAAAATATTACTTATTTGACTTCTTCACAAGTGGCGATGCATCTGGTAATGAAGCTTATAAGAAATTGATCAGGAAGAGTTATGTTCTTGGTGAGTTGGTTCACTAATTCTAAAGTTTAGATGGTGACCTTAATTTGAATGAGGAAATCTAAATATCTAAAGAATAAGATTTAGGATTTACTCATGAACATTAACTCCAGATTAGTGTAGTTTAGTAATGATATCACTAACTAGTTGTGGGTTGTGCTCAACAATGTTGTTGAATTGAGTGATGTCATTTTTATATTCAGGCTTGAATAGAGTCAAGATCATCTAGTGATCCTATGGGGAAAGCTTGGTGGATTGTGCTTGTGCTAAGTAAAATCGAAAGAGGAATGGGTTTATGTTGTAATCCCAGATTGGTTGATGTATAAATTGAGGTGAAATGTCTTCCCATTGTGGTGTTAATATTTAGGGGATGGGTCTCAAATATTCACATTAGGCAGTTAGGGATGTGTCCATTTAATTCAGCAATTAATCTAAATCTTACCCATACTCTATCATACTGCATTGAGAATACATATTTGATATTGTTTACGATGTTCAATTCCAATTGATTGTTGCACAATTCAGTCAAACTCATTTTCTAATTGATCTAATGGACATTATACAAATACTATAATCGTATGTGTTATGGCAAGTCCTTGGATATTTATTTAAAATTAAAATTACCTAATCACGTAAACTGGATAACATGAAATTGCAAATTTCATTCACTCCCTGCTCTTTGATGACTTTAAAGTTATCTTCAAGAGTCTTATGGATATCCACAGGGACTTTGGTGTTTGCTTACATTAAAAAAGTGATTTATTGAAATAAATTACTTAAATATATTAATATATAATTTTAAATATAAATATGATTAAAAATAAAGGTTATTGGGTCTATGGAGGTGCTCTGGCGTTGGCTCTGCTTGGCACATTCAAATATACTATGAAATCTAAACAATAAAAGCCGACAGGCCAAGTAGAATTCAGTCTACTATAATCATCCATTACTCTTGATTACAATAAGAAGCCAGCAGGCATAATAAACAACGGGAATACGTGCTTCTTGAATTCCGTATTACAAGTACGATAAATTACATAATTAGTGGCCTTAAGTTCATAACCCAATTTCATTGAATACCTATTTGAATTAGTGTAACACATCAATGGACAAACTACTTTAGCTTAGTAGATCTGCTTAGAATTGGCTAAAATCATGAAGTACCTCAATAGTGATTTGGAAGTGATAAACGCATCCGATTTGATTGATCTGCTATCAGAAGATGCCGATTACTCCTTTTTTTATGAACAATAGGATTCTCACGAACTCTTCAACATGCTCATGAAACACATTGAAGAAGCCAATAACCAAGTTAATTCATTTGATTTAACCATGTTGAGATCAAAACAAATGAAATCCAAGAATCCTTTTCTTCATCACACCAAGGTTCAAATTAAGTGCAATACTTGTAACCATTCTGTAAGCATCTTCTACTAAATGTAGTTTAACTCACTCAAAGTAGAAAGCAACTATGCATTCCATTTCAATCTCAATCATGCAAGAACAGTTCCAGAAGCAATCGATTATATTTAGAAACCTGAAACAATCACTGAATATATTTGTCTCTATTGTTCCCTTTAATTTTTAAGGAAAAAGTACACATTGACCGAACAACAGAATATAATTGATTCATATTTCTCAGCCAACAATTACGATGAGGATTCTTTCACAATCCTTAAGAAAATCATCGAGCAATTGAATACAGTCCAAGGCAATTAAGTTGAATTGGATCCATAGAAGGCATGTCTTAAAAGAACCGTGACACGTTAGACTTACATTGCAAAATATCCAGTATTTCATAGTACTAAACTCTTAGAAAACGTTTTGTTTTTTCGTCAACCGACTCATTGTACATCCCTATCATGGTTTGATTAAATTGGATGATCCAGTTTACTTGGATTCTAATTTTCCCATAGCTGATAAGGAATTCACTCTCTCTGCATTAGTTTGTCATCTAGGAGATTCCAAATCAGGTGAGTATCTTAATCATCATTCTAGGCCACTATGTTGCATTCAAAAGAACATTTGCTTAGGATCTGGAATCATCAATGAGTCTAAATAAAACATACAAGAAATGTGAATGGTATGCTATTTCTGACGTTAAAGTCGCTGTCACAAAACAACCACAGCAAGGTGAAGCGTATTTAATTTTTTATGACACATATTGATATAATATAATGATTAGTATTATTATTTGTAACAATTCATTCAGATAAACAATTTAAGAATTTGACATAAAATTATAATAAATTATTTTAGTACTCTCTTAAAAAAGGTTTGTAGATTATTAATAAATAATATTTTAATCATTCTAATATATATTTATGTTTGGTAGTTGATAAAAATAGATCTGTTTTTACAATCTCTGTACTTACAATTTAATTAAACTTATCTGGATTCTTGAATTTTAATGCTCTTAACTTTTGTGCCAACAATTCAAACTTTTTATCATTCTAATTTGACATTACGCAATCCTATTCTAATTGTTCAGTTTTCCTCTATGTCTCTTAAGTAGGTTCTTCATAGATTCTCATTTGTGCTTGAGTTTACACAATCTCACTTGCCAATGATTCCATTTTTCTTTATTGAATAATGCTTGAATCGTACTCGAAACATTCTTTTCTTACTTCAGGATGATCCCTCATTTACTCTAATATAATCACTCATTATGATTACCTAATTGTACTTATTGAATCATTCTTTATATATTCATTTAGACTTCTCTCATGTATTCATCCAGGTGAGATTGAGTGTTAATTTGAGTTTACTATTCATCATCTAATTAAATTTGATTAGTAAATTTGAGTGCCTAATCCTTCTCTATTACATCTTTATATCTCATCCGGTTCTCATGAAATTTTCGAATCGTATCTCCACAAGCATCTTCATTTTCCCTCTTATCATTAATTAATCCTTCTATTGTTTAAGGTATATGCTTCAGTTGCTTTTAACGCTATTCATCTAGTGTTATTACTTATAATATTTACATAAATAGATATTATATTTAGCCTCATCATCTGGACTTTATAATTGTGAAATCTTTTTCTCTATATCCTTCTTGAGATCTGCCAAACTTAAATTTTGCTTAGCTATCAATTCGTATTCCTATTTTAAATCATAAACCTTCTTTTTCGCTATCGTAGCTTAATTTTGTTACTTAGTCATCGGAGAAATAGAGGGTGATTAAATGTCATTTCTTAAAGTGGATTTACTTGATTTTGAAGTATTTTTCTTCTTTTTATTGCTTGGATCCTCATCATCCCAATCATAATCATAATCGTCATCATCATTATTATTAGCTGCTTCCTAAAATCTTGATAATTTAGTTTTAACTCTTTGTAATTTTGCTTAAGGTGTATTACTGTTATTATTGTTACTACTCTAATCTTCAAATTTAGTTTTCTTACCCCCTTGTTTCCTAGGAGGCTAAAGGGGAGTATTATTTTATTGAGGAGTTCCACTGCTATTAACCATAGATTAATTTTGCGAAGGTTAATAGCTCCTTAATTAAATATCCTACAAATTTGTTCTATTTCGTAATTATTATTAATAAATCTATTAAGTTGAAGAATTCTCAGCATAATTTTGATTACTATCTTAGCGTTGAAGATTTAATTTAATTTATTTATCTTCATTGTTATTAATACTTGGTTATTCTTATTAATATTATTATTATTAATTTGATATCTATTTTTGCATAGGTTATGAAACAATATTTTATGATGAGTTTTATTATTACTATTATTCTTAATGTTATTCTTATTCCTTATACTATGATTGTTATGTTTTTTCTCTTGGATTCTATTTATTGATTTGAGATTATAATTATTATGAACCTGATTATTTTGATTTCTTTGATCTTTCAGTTTATTTGGGATCTGACTTCTTTGAATTTTCAGTCGGCTATTTAATTGTTCTCTTTGTGACCACATTAACGACATTTCCATTTTCATCTATTATTTCCTAGATCTCCTCTACAACTTATTCATCTTCTTTATCTGTTTATTCATCATATTCATCTTAATGAGGTACTTCTTCAACTGATATGTTTGGAGAATAAACTTCCTTATTTTCATTACCTCTATCGCTACTCTCTCTATTCCCATATTTGAGACTCTTATAAGTTCCATAAGACTATGATGAACCTTCAGGTTAATTTGCTTATTATTCATCCTGATTTGATCTTTTAGTTCTGCTTCTCTAAGCATCTGATCTTTATGTACCTTATTAACTGGAGATTTACATTTGCTAACCTTTTTCAGATTAATTTTAAGTTTAATCAGTTTTTTATTTAACTTAAGGTCTTCTTATATTAAAATTGATTTCTGTTTATCCTTATTTAATTTGATCAGATTCGTAATTGATATTAGTTGGTGGATTATGAGATCTAAATGTATTTTATTATTTTTCACTAGATTCATCAAAATCAATCAAATCTCTTGATGTGTTCTTACCTGATTGTAATGGTTAGGATTATTTCTTAGTGAATATTTATTCCCTTTATTTCTTCTGATCATCAATCACAGTTTATAGAAATTGCAACTCCTCGTCCAATTCTTATGAATTGGCTCTTTCCTAAAGATTCATCTTATGGGAAGCTAGAAATTGCTTTCGCTCATCCTCAGACATATTTTTGATCATAGTAGATGGCTTGGATCTTTTGGAACTATCCTAGATTTTATAGCTTTTCCTTGATTTCTCCTATTTGGATGGTGCATTTTCTTCATAAAATTTCAAATAATCAATTTAATCTTTATTATGAGTTATTTTAGGTGGTTTGATTGGATATCTAGTTTCTTCCAAATAGATCTTTTTATTTGGTTCATTTTGCATAATGGTTGTTGATTACTTAAGTAACTTGGATGATAATTTATTAATTGGATGTTTAAGTAGGATATTAGTGACTTCATCTAATTGTTTTTCAATTTGATCAGGAGGTATTTGAGCTTATAGTAATTATTGTGAAATCTATTAGATAATATTAGCAATTTATTCTTCATTCAATCTTTTATCATTGAGAGAAACCTAACTCTCAATTTTAAACGTATGATCAAGATGAGAAATATCTCGATTGTAAGAGAGATGTCTGCGAGCATCTTCTGGAATATCTTCACTTTTGATGACAGGAATACTTTAGGTTGCTTTCTCTTAATCATCAGAGTCAACATCCAAGTAATTGAAAGTAGACGGTTGATCCATAATTGGAGTTGGATTTTTGTGGATATTAATAATATTGGATACTAGATTTTAAGCTATTTTTTAGACAGTTTCAGATTCAACTTAGGAGAGAGTCTGAGAATGTTAAGATTCTTCTCCTCCTTGAATTTTCTTTTAATCCATTACTCTTTATAAGATTTGACTGAATTTCATTTCATAATAGTTCTATCTCTCAAATTTCATATCGTCACTTACATCTAATTCTTAGGCAGATGATCTGGCTTTCTATTCTTCATTTAATTTATAGGCACTCTTTCTCATAGTTTCAGTTTATTTCTTCTCAAGACTTAATTGATTTGAATGATGATTGGATGAAGCAGATGCCAATTGATTTGATCTATTGACACTGGATTTCATAGTTTTACTTGTTTTATTTTGTAGTTATGATACCATAGATAGACTCTATTAAACCTTAGACTTGCTTGTGTCTTCAATATCAGGTTAAAAGTATGGTTATTAGAGTTGTTGAGTGTCATTGTCAGATCTTTAAGCAATTTACTGTTTAGCTTATTCTAAGAATTTTAAAGTTGGTAATAGTTTATTCTTATCTTAGGTCTTCTCCTTGCTATGTTCAGTCTCATTGCCTTTTGTAGCAAGCGAACTGGATCTCATTTATTGTAAGATAGATTGCATCTCAGTTGATTGTTCTTAAATGAGTGTTTCTTCTATTTATTTCTATTTTAGATCCATTTTTGTTTTGTTAGTTACATCCTCTAGTTCAGGTTCATCTTCATAGTTGTTAAATTTATATTCAGTAACACTCACATTAGGCAATGATTTGACATACATGGATCTCATGATTGAAACTTCTTAGATTGAACTTAATTCATTGAAATTGACAGGGTTATCAATGCCTGGAGGTCTATTGAATTCATTCTTCATTGCCACTTCCCTCTCATAGATTTGTTTCTTGATTCCAAGAATTTCATTTAATTATAATTCTCTCTCCATCTCACTCAATTGACTGTGTCGTTGCAGAATGATTTCTTTTACTTTTCTCACATCTTCATGTGAAACCATTTTAGATTCTTAAATTGCTTACACTACTCTACTCAGCATTAATTCTTCCAGTTCCAATTATGAATCCCTTGTTCTGGCTTAAGGGATTTTGGAAATATTGATATTAACTATTTTGACTTGAGTTTGAGAAGAAACCAATTTAGGCAATTCTAAGTGTTTATTAACAATTGATGCCTATTATTATAAATTCTGAATGCATTCCCTGACAAATTTGAGTTATTTCTATTAAGATGGTGGTTTAATCTCTATTGTTTTGTAAGCATTACGTATCTCCTCTGTATTTGGTTCTTCGGTTTAGTTTAGTTTCTACTTTTTAGCATTCTCATTCTTTTTTAATCCATCTTTGACTTTCTTCTCCTTTCTGATTCTCTGAATTGCAAATTTATTCTTCAAATACAATCGATAGTAGAACTTGAATAAGTCCACATTGCTTTTCCCTTTGAAACCCATGGCATGATTGGCCACAAAGTCAAAGTCTCTGTGCAATGGAAACTGTATTTCCAATTGATTATCGATACTCTAGCGTTGTTTCTTCTCGAATTTGGGTCTAATTATAAATGTCTATTGATTCCACTCTCCTCTGTCCTTCACAAGAGGCAAACGAGATGAAACCATTTCCATTTTTTCCATTTTAATTATATTATTTAATAAAATGTCACTCACTTAATATCCTCTTAGTAATATTATTATTTATTAAAAATGGCTCTGATACATAATTAAAATGACTTATAAAATATGTTTAGTAAGGCTGGAAAAATAACTTCTGAAAAATATATTGTATTTCAACATAGAGATGATCAACCTGTTAAAAAGTTTAAGACTCCACAATCAACCAAATCTCCAGAATCAATAAAAAAGAAAGCACATTCTCAATAAGAGTCGCTCAGTGAAGCAGATCAAACCCATTTAAAACACCTTCTCAAACTATCCTAACCCTTTTCCAAATAGATCTCCAGACAAATTGGACATTACACTTAAGTTGGAAACAATAACAAAGCATCATGTGGATAATATCATATCAAATATAGTGAACTAGACAAGTAACATCAATATCCTATACTTTTGACAGAGCAGTACATTCAGTTCCAAATTATGATAAAACTTTGAAACACACTCATCCCATCGAAGTTCCCCATAGATATCAATAAGATTGCCCTATAGTGTAAGTACCCTATTGCTATAATAGTACTCCCATTATTGAGAAACCTAAAATTAAAAATGAAAGTTTTGTAGATTTGCAAAGATAAATACCAAGGTTTACTCTCTTGTTATAAATAGAGCTGACATATTTTCAGGAACGCCCAATCCTCATCCAGATCGATTTCAGTTCTTAAATGTAACCAATCAATGGAGTAAAATACCAAGATAACCTTAAATTAAGTTGGAAAAACAATTATCCAGAGATCAGATGTTGATTTATAAGAAGAAGGAGTTTGCACCTGATTATAAACCTAATTTCGAGTTTGGCAAAAAGTAAAAGCTCCTAATTAATTTAGGAAGTTGGGCAGTTGTGGGGCACCTTTTTATAAATTAGAATAAAGAAAGGACATTTTGACTAAGATACCTCCATACACTTTTGAAAGCTATTTCGAATATGATGAATATGCCAAAAAATCAAATAGCCAACTCTTCAGTTCTCCAACAGCTCCTAATTTTAACACTATGTTAGAGAGAGAATGTGATCAACGTTCATTGTTGCCAAGCTTCATGCAAGTAATTCTATCAGTTAAATTTAGAAATATACAAATACAAGATTGGGCATTACTCATTTAAATTAGAAAATGTTAGAAGTTAACAATTTTAGAGATGGTAGATTCCTAACAGTTACATCAAGTTTTATGCCTACAAAGTAATAGACATCCAAAAAGAACCTTAACAAATCAAGCCAAAATTAATCAATTGATGACATTTGAAATATTAGATTTATTGATTAAGAATTATCAATAACTTAATACATAAGTAGCTTCATTTTTGAATGCAATAATAATATCTGTTATCTAAAATTTCATTTAATTTTAAATTCAAGAAACTAAGAGAAATCAGTAATTATTGATTTAAATTGATACCAATGAAAATTCATAAAAAACTTGTTGAAAATAAACTAAATATTCAGATTCCATCCTCATCAAAATTACGAGATCTATATAGTTTTCGTTCAAAACTATCTAACATATTATTAACATTTTTTATATCATTTGAATCATTCTACTTTTAGCTGTTTATTAAGTTGCTACATTTAATCTACCTTCTCTTTTTAGGATTCATCTATTATCTACTTTTATTTAAATATATTGATGTTTCTTTTAACAACGAACTATTGGCTTATAAGGTTTTGCTAAAAGTACTTTCTGCTTACTCAACAGCTTGGGCTAGCAATAAACCTTTATATTCAGTCCTATCGAGTGGATGCTTATGGGATAAAGCATATGTAGATTTAGATTATTAACTAAGATTTAAGATAGGAAATACCTACTTAACATTAACATGGGAGTAGTCTAGGGTTGATTGGTAGACTATATTTAGGTTTGCTCATTTTTGATAGTTAAACCATTATTAAACGAGACAGAATTGAATTCCTAGTTGAGTACACTGCCAACAGTATATGGTCTGCTGGTGTGATTGTTCTGTTGTGAGGATGTAAGAATTTGATTTTGAAATTATTACAAAGTCTAAGATTATTGCTATTTTTCAAGTTATTGAAGTGTGGATTCAATGACATCTTTAGATTGTCTGGTTAAAGCTGTGGTTACTCTTTGGAGACTTTACCTTGAGGGAGAGATTCCACTTTTTTATTCTAATTCTAGATTGAGAATTCTTCTTCGAGTGCTTTGTTGTTTAATTTAATCCATGTTTTTAAGTCTCAAATCTTCTTTAATCTATTCGACTTAAAAGTCTTTACTAATTTTATCACTTATAGACTTAACTCCTTGTTCCTCCATTTTAAGTATCCTAGGATTGATAAGGATATTGATATATTTTTAAGATTGCTGGTTTAATTTGTTCCATAGGTGATCAGGCCTACCCAGAAGTGCAGTTCTAGAGAAGATAGGTTTCAGAACGATATTCTCAACTTGGACATCATTTTGCTATTAACTCAGGTTCTGCAGACTTCCTCTTTCCATTTTCCTTTGTTGTAGCCTGTTCAAATCTTCGTCTCTTGCCAAATTATAATAAATGATTTTGTTCTTCTACAACTCCATTTTGTCTTGCTATTAGAGTTCCAACATCTTCTTTATTCTCTTTTCGCCTCGTTTTTATTGTTCCTTGAGTTAGGTGAATATTTTGGCATTAGACTTAGCCTGATGAGGATTGTTCCAAATATGGGTGTTATCATTATAATAATCATGATTCTTTTTCTGATGGGTGTTGATTGGAATTGTTTAATATCTAAAATGAGTGTATAAATTACTCAGGTAATTTGGTATGTAAATAGTACTTATCTATTTCCTTGATGGGATAAGAGGGGTGATTTGTTATCATTTTAATATATAAAATTAATTAATCAATTTTCATTTATAATCCGCTAACATTAAGCCATTAAGTTGAAGATTTGCAAGTCCTCAGCTGATCCTTCGATTAAACATTTCTCAGTATAAGCTGCAATTTCCATCATCTTAGCCTTTTGCTTTTCTTTAATCGTGTCTGTTGCTAGCACAACATCCAAAAACTATAAAATCTATTATAATTAGATAATAATTCACCAATTGTTCGATATTATAGCCTTATTGGATAACTCTAGTGCATTCCTCCTAAACACTTCTTATACTCTTAGTTTGAATTACAGACACAAGGTCTTCGATTTATTCATCTGGTATGAACTAAACTATTGATTGGAATATTTTACTCCTGATATTTCATTAATAGCCTTTTTGTTTATACTCTTCTCATACAGAGTTGACGAACTTTGAAGCATATTGACACTCTTCCTCAGATCACCACCAGAAACAACCACTAATTATTTTAATGCATCCAAATTATATGTTACTGACTCAGAATCAGCAACAAACTTGAGTCTCTCTATTTGTTCATTCTCAGGGATGGATTTGAATCTATATTTGACACATCTTGAAACTAAGGGTTCAATGATCTAATTAATATACACACTTACTTTGGTGATATAGTTGCAAATTATACAAAATCTGGTTGTGGTTGCATAGTCTTCGATGATTCTTCTGAGAGCACTTTGAGCATCATTAGTCATTGAATCAGCTTCATCAAGAATGATGATTTTATAACTAGGACATAGAAATCCTGGGTTTGGGTTTTTGGCCACTATTTATTCTGCAAACTTTTTGACTTTATTCCTGACAACATTGATTCCTCTGTCATCAGATGCATTCAATTCCAATACTCTTTATCTCCAAAAATCGGGTCCAAATAATTGCTTTGCTAATGCTATTATGGTGGATGTCTTCCCAGTCCCTGGAGGTCCATGAAGTAGAAGGTGAGGCAGATTTCCAGTTTTCAAAACTCCTTGCAAACTCTAAACCACCTCTTCTTAATATGCAAGATCCTCTATTTTGTTAGGACGACTTAAAATTATGAATTGATTATACTATTTTTCAACCCATGGCAACATAGGTTTAACAACAGGTTCTTCCACCTGCATTGCTGATGTGTTTTTGTTAAACTAATTCAGAGTCCTATTTTACATAATAAAATTAAATGAGCGGGTAATTTATATTTATTGAGAATCAAATATTAAAATGTGTTATATTTGCAGAATATCAATATTTTCTGTGAGGTTCTTTGGAAGTGACTATCTTTGGTGCCAACACCTAAGTTCCTGGCTTAACTATATCTAGTGAGGGAATATGCTATTTATTTTAAAAGCTGGTTCTCCTCTTATCCACAGACGTAATCTTAGTTAATTATTGTTATTATATGGTTTTTCTTTGTCCAATCAATTGTTAAGAATTGAATTGTTAGATGTTCAAATTGGACATTTTCTTCTCAGAATCTAATCCATTCAATACTGCTTTTGGTAGTATTGGAGGTTACTGATGCAATGGTTATGTCATAATCAACTATTGATGCAACTATTTTTTTTCAGCACTCATAATATCCTGCTGAGTTTTAATTGCATTATCATCCTTTATCCAATCATACCTTTAATCGAGCTCAAAACCAATCTTTTTGAAGGCATCCTAAAATTTAAGCTGAGTAACATACTTTAAACAATCCTCTCAGATAATGATAATCTGGTTTCTCTTCGAATTTTAGTTACTTGCAATAATTTAAATATTGACTTAACTCAACGGGAAACCCTTTGCATAAAACATCTGATGAGGTTTCTACTTTTTTCTCCATTATTCGTTGATATTTTTCTTTTTGATTAATCCCCTTCATGTTTTACCAAGGCAACTATCCTCTTAATAAATACATTAGGACATAACCAAGAGATTCTAGATCGTCCCTCCTTGATTATTCAATTCCTAAGTGAGTGTTGATAGATGCATATCTGGCAGTTCCAGTTAGACTCTTTCCCTCTCTATAGGGGATGTGTCCATCTTTTGTTGAGTACCGTTTGGCTAGTCCGAAATCCAAAAGGTAGATTCGAACGGCCTTCTAGCCTAATCCAATGAGGAAATTATCAGGCTTAATATCGCGATGAAGGAATTTGTTCAAATGGATGAATTCAATTCGTTAAATCATCTAATCTGCGAGCATCAACACCTAAGAATAAATTGGAGCTGCGTACAGTCTTTAGTGATAATCTTTTATTGTGCTTATTGAACAGGTCTTCGAGACTTTGACCCAATAAATCAATGACGATGTAATTATAATCACCGTCTGTTCCTTAAGCAAATATTCTGGGGATTCCTAACTTTTAATTAACACTTCAAATACCTTTATCACTCTGATCGGAACCTTGTAAATATGTGTACAATTTAGCCTCAAAAAATAGTTGAGGATGCTTAGTATCACTTCTTTCCAATTTCATTGCGTATTCCTCCTTTCCCTTAGTTACTTGATATATTTCTCCAAAAGCACCACTCCCTATTCTCTTGGTCAACTTATAAACCTTGGCGATAACCGTATTTGTGAGATCTTTGCCTATAGGAGTGTCCATTAATTAATATAATTTAATAACTTATTCTTTAAAATTCAAAATAATTTAAAATATAAGTACGCCAGGAGGAACCCCAATATAAATTTCCATTGATTTTTCGCCATCAACCACCCTCTATACAACATTAATAAGAACTTTAAGAATATGGCCAATCTACCAACGACCTTGGACAATTACTCTGGACTAAAACAATTGAGAGAGACAACTCACCTTGCAGATTCAATGTATGATGTGATTGCATTATTGCCACCAAATGCAGGAGCCATCATTTTTAACATTTAGGGATTGCTCTTTAATTGATCGATAACCATTTCAAGCATTTAGGGATTTTATGCTAAACCCTATAGGTTTTATGGCATTTATTACGACGCAGTGGGAGCCTAAGGAGCTTGAGGAGCGTTTTGATTATTTGATTATGAAGTTGACTAAATGGGTTGTTATTATGCGAATTATTAAGATTATTAGGATAACTTTTATTATTGTAATACTGCTGGATCCACATTTTTCATTTATGCCAACATTTCAGGTGTCATCATAGTTTGCATCATCTCTATTTATTAATCTGACATCTCTACTCCACTCTACTATTTCATCATTTATTTTAAGAAGCCTTTGTCCATTGATTTTAACGTGTTAGTCATGTAATTTAATTATTCAGGAGACTATAATAGTAGATGGATATTACCATATTTTTAAATTAGTCAAATTGCTATTGAAATTGGGGATTCTCTGGAATTTTGTTTACATTCTGAGTTTCATTTTATTTAGTGGCAGGCTTTGTAGGTTGACTTTTAGAAGTAGGAATCTCCTCCTCAACAATAAAACCATCTTCTTTAGTGGATTGCACCTTCTACTTTAAATTTTGGAACTCTTCAGAATTGGTGTCAACAGAGGATAATTTGATTTTTGGTTTCTTTTGTGCTTCTTCTTCTAAGTCTTTGTTTTCCTTCTTATCTTTATAAATTTGTTAAGGCTATTATTATTATTGATTTTGAATTGGTTCATCTTCTTATACAATTTTAGTTTATTCAACTTTCTATTCTTGTTTTTCTTATGGATCATCTGAATTTTATTTTTATGTTTGATCGATATTTGAATTTTACAATTCTTTTGTTTGTTTATACATAACTTGCACTGTTTCATCCGCTGGTAATTTTTAGGATGCAATTTCCAAATATCCAAGGGCCTCCGTATACCTTTTTGTCTCGAAGAGTGCTTAACCCATTCTGAAATTAGCCTTACCATTCTAATCGTCATCCTCTAGGACTTTCTTAGCTTAACGTAAAACAACGTCAAATTGAGATTGTTTGGCTTTCACATTACAATAATTTAATCTGCAAGAATGTTCCAATTGCTTCAATTCTATTTTTTTGTTTGCGTCATTTTTCAAATAGGCATTGTTTTCCCACAATTCTTCAATTTCTGAGATTGCTTCATAATATTTGGATGCTGCCTTTTCGTAATCTTATTATTTAAATGCATCATTTCCTTGATTCTTTAATTTTGTTAATGATCGGAAATTACTCACTCTATGGTTTTTGCTATTGCTATTATTATTATTGTGCTTGCTGACCCTGAATTCTCTATTTTGCTCTCTCTATGTCTTCTGGACGAGTCTAAAATAGATTCTTGATACAATACTTGATTGACTTGTCTTTATAGATCCTCATCTTTCATATTCTTGACTTGACCCATGGTTTGTCTCAAAAATGAAGGATCTATGTTACCCATTCCTGCCATCTAAGCATATTGTCTCAATTGATCATCACTCATGTTTGCACACATTTGTGAGGTCTACTTCATCATTTCAGGAGTCAGGAACTTCTTTGAGTCTTGATTAAATTACATTTTTATATAATTTTTAATTAAAGTGAAGCACGTATTCAATCATTTTACATCTTTCATCTGAATACAACATTTTCATCTACCTTATACAGTTAACTTAATTGATCTAAACTATTGATCTCCTTGATTATTTATAATTTCGATATATATATTTTATACATATAATAAACAGATAAACAGTTAATGAATAAATCTGTTTTATTAGAGATGCAACTCAAGGAAGCCCTCGATAGAGAGATCAATCTCAAAATGCTGAATGAATCCTTAATGTAAGCCATGAGTGGCATGGCAAATCAAGACAGGGGCAAAGAAATTCATTTATTAAATTAACTGCATCAATAGGAGCTATCCAAATTAAAAACGACTCTTCAAGAAAAAATAACAATTCTAGAATACGAAGTAAGATCCGAATATTATTTTAAGCATCGCAAGAAATGTCTAGAGTTTGTACAATTGTAAAAAGATTATAGCCAATTAAAATTAGACTATGAAGAGAAAGAAGAACAGTATGTATTTTTGATTAATTAGAAAATGTCTAAGATGTGTTGAATTGCAATATTAATTGAGTTTGATCGTAAAATAAAATGAAGTTGAAAAAGAAGGACTTGCTCATGAATTTGCAGATGCCCTCAGCAATTAGAAATCTATTATTGAATACGTATTACTATTGCATTTATTCAGTAGGACTTGAATTGCCTCAAATCGAATCTCAAGGATCTCACATACTAATTAGATTGTGAGTGTAAGGAGAAGGACAAATTGTAAAATGCTATTCAAGAATTAAATAAGACTCACGATTAAGCAGTAAATAGTACTTATAGATTAGTAAAAGCAGCTTAATGTAACAAATTTGCTGATTTAAACAGATCCCACCATGAAACAATCCTTTAGAATAATCAATATCAAATGAATAACCAATAGAGAGAATAGATGTAAACAGTCAAGCTTTCACAAAATGAATAAGAGAAATTAAATTTGGAAAAGTCACTCCTAGAATACAAGTAATTAGTTTAATCTATAACTAATATAGAGAGATTAATTATAAATTGGATTCTTAACTTAAAATATTGAATCAGCAATTACTTGATAAAGAAACTAAAATAATTGAATAAAAAACAGAATTAACAAAAAAGTTGCATAATGAAAAAAAAATAGCAGAGTAATGTTAAGTTGTAGCTCTCAAATTAAAAAATGATTTTCAAAGAAAATAGTCTCTCCTAATCGAAGATTCTCTTAAAAAAGAATAACAATTAAAAACCATTTAAACTCAACTTACAAGGTAGAAGAGCAAGAATAAATTTTATGAAAAATGCTCTTAATTAAGTCAACCTCTAAGAAATTAAGAATGCCACTCCTAAATAAATTAAGCATAAAAAAAATAACCTTTCCAACGATTACAAATCTTCTCATTAACCTGGACATTAAAAAGTAAATCATCTCTTTATTTAAGAATACTTTAAGTCAAGGAAACATTGGAAAAATTAAATTATAGCCATCCACAATTCTTAGAAGTGAAGCAGACTCTATTCATTTCACTCTAACAGATATGTTGAATTCAACTAGAAATATTGATTAACAAACACTATCTTGTCGATAATCTAATGATGATATCACTTACCATATTGACCAATTTAATTGTGTGGCCAAAATTGTATTTATTTTATTTTTAAGTCTTAGATCTAAACTAATGAAGATTCAGTCACCCCGACATAAATCTTAACGGATAGGCAATTATCTCCCAGAATTAGAAGTACTCTTTGATTATAATGATTAATAGTTCAAACAGTGAATCCGAAGGGACCTACTTCAAAAGTACGATAAATACAGGCAGATTTGTCTAAAGAAAATGCTATAGTGAGACTTAAATCTTGATAATATAAACTTAACTAAAAATTTTATAAAAATTATGTTGTGAATATAATTTTAATAAGGCCTTAATAGTTCATAATCATTTAGATGTTGATCTATAATTAAGAAATCTTTAAAGTTTAAATGAATATTTTTAAATCATTCTCATAACTTTATGTATTTTTCTATTAACTTGTGTTGCCAACGTTCAAAATAATCGTAATCAAATTCAATGATAGAAATAAATTACTTCATAAAATCCTCATTAATACTATATTTATTGAAATCAATAAAAGAATATTATTTGATATTAACTGACCCTAGTTTTTTTGGGTATACAACTATAAAAAACGAATACATTTTAGAGTTTTATAAAGTGATATCAAAATTTCATATGAATATACGATAAATGAATACAAAAATAGTAAAGATCAAAATTTTTAACTGTTACTTTCAAACTTTTTAAGCCTTTCTTTTGAGAAGGGGACAAGGATTTAAAACAATTTGTTTCTTCAGTTGGTTTTCACTTAAAGTTTAAGAGAAATGTCTTACACACATCTGCAGAAATAACCATTGCAACATTGGCAATGATAAAACATTCTTTTTGAATTTCTATAACAGTTTTAATGTAATTGAACATCCTCATCGCTTTGATAGTAAGTATCTAATCTAATCTAAAATAGTTTATAATTAATATTTACATTGACACATCTTGGACAAGTTACAGGTAAACCGTTACATTCGAGCATTTCAAATTGCTTACGGCATGTACAACAGTTGAGAAATCCAACGTTGACCTAGCACCAAGGACATAAAATAATGCAGCAATCCATCTTGTTAATTAGTGATATAATTAATATAAATATTAACAATTGTGTTAATACGTCAAATAGTCAGCCCCTTTGAAATCGTTAATTTACTTTTTGTTATAAAAAATATTCTTTTATAATATAAATAATAAATAGCTCATTCTCACAAAACTATGTGTTTACATATGCTAATTACAAACCAATTTAATAAGACTTCATACATTTCAAAATATTATTAAAGTCAATTTAAATATAAAATCCAAAAAAGGGGAATTGAGCGCAAATTATAATATCGCAACAAAATCAATTTTTGATTAAATAATATTTGATATATCCTATCTCAGCTTACAGGTTAATGAGATTTTGTTATTTATTATTGTAATATTATCATTTAAATTTTGTAATATTAAATCCATAAAGGCAAATAATTTGCATCTATATTGAATTGAGTTTTATAATACTCATATTCGAAATAAGCCTTTTTATTTCACTTCATACCAATACTTCTTTTCGTATTACAAAATTCCTGATAAAAATTATCTTATGATATCTGATTTTAAAGTTTAGCTCTTAATATTCAATATATGATAGAATACAAGATCATTGAAGTTTACAAATTTTAACTAAATGCTTCTTCTGGAATTGTAAACAAATATTTATAACAATTTTCAGCTAATGAGAACAACACAAATGACAAATGAATTCACCTCACAAATTATCTATAGTAAAATCCAATTGAATATAGCAAGTTTTTTATATAAAAGTATCAATTCTAGGTATTCTAATTTGGTTTCAGTGATTCTAACAATAAATGCTATGCTTGTTGCTTAATAATCATTGATTTTTTTGTTAGTGCTTTAGAATGATTTCTCCATCCGAAGCTAAGGTTTGAATTTTAAAATGCGATTAATAGAAATCTGCCTTGCAATAGTGCATTAATAAATTTTAAAAAGGAATTAATATATATTTTATAAAAATTACATAATATAAATAATAATATATTGGGTTCAAATTATATGAGTTTAAAATATTATGAAAAAACTATTTGTATCTAATTGACCGGTAGATGAATTGCTCTGAATTTTGAAGAGTCAATTTATAATCTTAAGTCTAATTATCTAATCGTAAGCTATAAATTCGTTTTTCTCGGAAATTTTAACAAGTTTACCTTAATCATATCCACATCATTTTTATTTCACATGCTTTGGATCAAGAGTGGTGAAAATCGAATAAAATTTTGAAATCCACAATTAGAAAATTAGAGAATAGTTCGTGTGACCTTACTCATCTCTAGTTCAGTGGATTAGACTCATTTTTGAGAAGTATTTTATTTAAAATGCAAAATAAACATATGCTCTTATATTCTAAAATTTAAAAGGATAACTAGAAGTATGGATTTATTATTTAATATAAGGGAGTACGAATTATTTAAGTTTCATCATTATCCGAATGAGGGATATTCAGTCAATTGAATTCTTAAGAATCCATCAGGACTTTTGAATTTATTATAAACTTCATCAACTTGACTCTCTTATTAATATGAATGGTTGTACCTGCTTTGACCAAGCCAGAGTTGTTAATGAAGAGATATAGGCTTTCTTGCTGTTAGATGTGGAGTGTCTCTCTAATGATTTATAGGAAATGATAAAAGTGGTCAGATTTGCTCATTAAATACTTTTTGATTTTGGTTCCATCCTGAAATTGCAATCTAGATCTAACACTTATCTATAATAAAATTGGACTAATTATTATATTAAAATACACTCTATCAGGATATTTCTCAATGAAATTGTCTGAAATTTTTAAATTATCACACATCATATAAAATAATTAATTATAGTTATCATTATTATTATTATTGTTCTTCATTTTTCTTCCCTATCTTTTCCCAATATTGAATAGTATCATCAATATACCCAATGCAGTGTTTCAATCTGCCTTCCAGGAACTCACTCAACAACACATAACAAGGTCTCACAATCACCTTCAAAAACCCAACTTCAGACTTCGCCATTACTTGAGGCTAAGAACTAATAAGACTTGGAATATTACAATATGTAGATCCTTCATATATGGTTACTATGGGTATCCGAGTTCTCCTTCTAACTTGTATTGAAAACTGAATTCTTAATTAACTCTCGATGACCACTTTACTGAAATATTGCTTCTCTTCCCAGCACCACCAAAATCACTAACATGCATGATATAACCACTTAAAATCTTTGGATCATTGAAATTCTTAGGTCTGTTTTCAAAATCCTTCAATAGTGTGAAATGCTCAGACATATCTGTACTCAAGATATTGGATATCAATCCTTTTCTAAAATTCCTAAATTACGTTTAATTTAGATTGGTTAGAATGTTGCATTAAGGGTATTTTAGAATTTAAATTGTTAATGCAGCATGATGTTATTCCAATACACTTTTATCATGATATCTAATGGCTAAATCACTTAAACTATTGATTTCAAAGACATTGGTTCTACCAGTATGTCCAACATCATGTCCAAAACTACTGATCATAAGAATAAATCGGTTGAAATTATCAATGATTGTATTCTTGGATGTTTAATCTAATTCTTTACAAAAGTAATGAGCAGTTTACATCACAGTAACGCCATGATCATAATTATGATATGGGTTATTATTGACATTATAATGATATTCCATCTCCTTAATGAAATTCTATAAGTTCTCCTAAGGTAAACCAAAATCATCAAAAATTCTATTCTTCTTTAGAATTGCCCACACAACTCTATGTTTATCTTTCTAACTTGTTAATTCCATAATATTGAAATCAAATGTGTCTATCAAGTCATCCTGACTTGTTAAACAGAACTCATTTAAGTCTAATTCTTCCATGGTTGCAAATTTGGATCTTTTTAGTTCAACTTCAGATTTTTGAATTTTAGGTTAATCTTGCTAATTTCCTTAATTTGATTTAGTCCGTTTCAATATCAATTATTGCAAAGGCATATATAATGAAGCCACAGAATATTTAACATCCGGATTAGTTTCTTCTAGTTTGTTCACAAAATTGATTGTCTCATGTTAAATTAACTATTTCCTAATTTTAGCCTTTATCTTAGAATCTAATTTATTTCCAGATTCTAACTATTTAAATTACTTCTTGACCCACCCCTTAGTGTTCTCTGTAAAAATCAAAGCAAATCCTTTATACGTTTTCTCCTCTATTTTTAAAAATATTTCATATTGTTTTTCATTATCTTTCATAGTTTTCCAATTATGATCCTAAAGATAGTTCTCAATATTTGACACAACCCTTTAATCAAAGATCTTATTGTATGACAATTGATTATAATGTATCATATGAGAATTGAATTGGATATTAAAATTAGATTTAATTTATTTGGGTATGGGTCTTGATAAGAATAGAAGGTGTCCACTCTTATCAAATTCAAAAACTAAAGAGTTATTGGATCTTAAAAAGAATTTATAGAAAGCACTTTTATCAAAACATTCTCTAATAAATCTGAGATATTTTTCATAATAATGTTTTACTTCTGAATAGATTCTCTGGTCTGTCTATTTCTACAAATTCATCGAATAAATTCTGAAACACACAGTCACTTAAGAGTCTTTAAATATTATATAGACACTTTCGGAATCCCAGACTTAAATATCCTACTGATCTGTTTGCAATCTATCATTAAATTAAGATTACTTGTCCATTTTGAACATTTGAGAAAGGATATTGTACATCTACTCAATCAATATAAATTTGGAGGCTCTGAGAAATGAGATGCCAAGATCTAGGATCATGTCTGCAATGGATAATGGACTAAAAAACTAGACTTTGGCATTTTGGATGGTATGAATCAAAAACATGGACATATTCCTCAATTCATCTATCAATTAATAATCGTTGGCTATTCTAGATAGAGAATACAGAATGAACTTACTTCAATATGGATTCTGAATCTAGTTATTTATTTTATTTGGAATGATATATGAAGATCACATTATTGGTCTACAATCCATAGGAGGACAAATAATTCATAGAGTCTAATTTTGAACACAAATGAGAGGCTTGAGGGAATCGAAAAACCTTGTTCTGTGGTAATGAGGCAATCTCATCAGTGAGGAATTGATCCAATGGGATTTAATCAAAAATGTCAGTCTTGGTTTAATATAATTCCAGCTCAGAATTTGAATTTAATTTGAAAAAACTAAAATGATCGCAATCCAATAGATTTTTGGTTAATTCTCTCAATAAATTGAATATGGTAGTGTATGAAACATTTTCATCCATTAATAACAAATGGCTTTTCATGTAATTAGCAAATTGAAACTTTATGCTTTTATAGGAATCCAACAAATCAGATTCGATCAATTAATTCATATCCATGGTTGGAGATGAAGAACATTTAGTGAGCAAAGCTGATGATGGATTTGATTGAGATTCATTCTAAGTAAAGAGATTACGAATATTTTCAAATATCTGATTGATTTTAGGATTTATGGTTTGTCCCTCTTTTTTTTTATTATAGAAATGATTAATCAATTTAAATGCCTTTTCCATATCGGCAACCGAATCATGGAATTAACTATCATCCAATTTGACACCCTTGATTAGATCCACATCTGTTATGCTTGATCTAGTTCTCTTCATCTATCTTGAAACTCCTTGCTTTTCTTTAGGCAATTCATTCAAATAATTCAAAAGACTAAATTTAATTTCCTCTTCGTCCTCGTCATCTTTTTAATGTATATTTTATACTTAGATCGCTTAGAATATTCATCAATTTTTTATCCTTTATAGTAAAGTTAACCTTGAGTATTTACTTCTATCTGCTATCAATTTAGAAACTATCCTCTAATTCTCGTATGATATGAAAGAACTTAACATAAGATCCCAACTATTAATTCATTTAATTATATTATATCTATACATAATTATTTTATAGATCAATCAAAGTATAAATCATCTAATTGTTGATCTCCCAACAATTGAATTATTCCATCCTCATTTAATTCTTAAGCATCTTAATTTTCTGCATTTGTTAACATCAAAGGTGGATATAGGTGTCCCATTCTCTCAATAGTGCTATCAGAATCATCTTCCTTCACCTTTTTTTTATTCACCACAATCAGATCTTCATTATCAGATTCCAATGTCTAATACAATGCCCCAGATGATCTTTTCTAATTCCTAATTAAATTAGCTTACTTGTAGAGGATCATCTTCCAGAGTTTGCATCTATTGTTATCCTAAAAAGTAATCCTTCAACTTCTGAATCTTTTTATTACCATTGAATCTACTTAAATTCATATAGATACCTCTCTTGAACCAATTGATTCCTGAGTTGTTGATTGCATTGTAATATTTTATTATTTTATTCAATCAATATTTTACAAACTTTCTCTAACTCCTATTATTTAGTTAATATTTCTTAAATTTATTTCTAATTAATAATAAAACTTATAATAAACATCTTATAAATTTGTATTTCTATGTGGCTTCAGTTCCATTATTGCGAATTGTTCGTCAATATGTTCACCTGACTTTCTTTTTATTTTTTTTAAAAGATTTCTTCAATTACTTACAAAAATACCTTTAGTCCTTCCTAAAATGAGGATGGATGAATTCGTTTTCCTTCAAATCGCTTCTTGACTTATGGAACCCATACATATTCATCTATTTAATGCTGACTTTTATTAGTTACTTATCTAACAAACGATGCAAAGTTTCGATGCTTAAAGTACATGGGAAGAACCTGATCTTGGAAGGCTATCACGTTTTTTACGAGAAATCCTGAACCATCTTCGTTCCAACCTACAATATCTTACAATTAAGGATTCTTGTAATTAAATGGAGTACCATACTTCCAAAATATCGTATGTTTTCTACAAAAATGCTGGTATAGATGACTGACTACGAGATTTCGACATTAATTTATAATATATATTTTATTAAGAATCTCTCACACATAGACAAATTTAGAATGTCTAAGAAAATCATAGAATGTTCTATTCTTCCTTGCAATTCAAAAAATACCAATCAAACATTTACTTAAGAACCTTCTCAAATCTATATTTAATCTAATACCTTTTTAACTTAAATCTCACCTTATTCAGTTATGAAATTCAAAAAGTCCTTAATCATTATCTCCATATATTAAAATTAGATGATCTCGTTCAAACTAATTAAAGCAAAAATACATTGCTCAAGATTAGTTCTTTATTATTTCTGAATCAAAACCTAAGGATTTATTTTTCGTATTCGAATTCAATTTATTTATATTTTAAACATATTATTTCTTAGAAATATAGTAAAATTAATTTCATATATCACTATTGTTATTTAATTCTATCAGCTCTTGATCTCCTCCTAGGATGACCTCCCTCATTCTCTTAATTATCAAATCTTTTCAATCTATCTTCAAGTCCTGACATATTTTATGATTTATGAGGCGATATTCTGAATTACTCCTATTTACTGTCTCCTTTTCTATCAAATTTCGACTTCTATGATCTGTCTGTCACGTTTTACAAACTTAAATCTCTGTTCGTTTATTATAATAGCTTTTCCACTTTAAAGGTTTTTGGATAGTGCAATGTTTGATCATTTTAATAATCAAATTGAAGCTTTTCCAAATACCTTTAAGTGGTCAGATTATTTATTATAGTGTCATCAGAATTATCCGTGATCATCTCTTAAGTATTTTACATAGAATTTTACATTCTAACTCTCTGGGATTGTAATGATTGAAATGTACAAGTGTTCTATCTACATATAATATGATGCATTAATTACAGCGAGTCATTATCAGTTAAATATTGATAAACTTTAGTAGGAAAGAAAAGTGTGTGTATTTCCTCGCTCTCTTTTTAAATTCTCTCATTTATAATAATCTTCATCTCGTCTTCATCGATTATTTTATTCTTTTCATAAATAACCCCATATTTCTCTATACAGCTTTTCAGATCCATTTTGATTGTGTCATCTATACCAAATTTATCGATTAATTTATTGTATTGAATAATCATACTGTTTAGACAACTCTAAAAAGTGCCATATTTATACAGACACTTCAAATATCTTTGTTTAATTTATTTAATTTACTTACGATGAATTTATTGATATTTTGCATCAATTATTTTTACATTTTGCATCAATTAGCATTATTAATTCAGAACTTATTCCTTCAAGTATTTATTTTCTCGTTCTAATTCCTCGAGTTTACTGATAAATCTATTGAGTTAAACTTGCAAATCCTTCAGGTTTTAACTATCTTACATATTAATTTTAAATTATAACAATCATTTTTTATTTTATATCATTGTTTTTTGTAGTAAAAAGTTTAAAATTTTTCGAAAGAGTGCCATTCCTCATCTTTAACCGATTGTGACATTGTCTACAGATTATATTCTTCAACTATGCATCTGGGTCCACTCTCAATGTTCAAAGACTATTAGGTGATAAATAACTTATCAATGTGGAAACAGTCTAGTTTGTACTTGATTGGCATCTTCTTAATGAACCCCGAAACCCAAGGATGTTATAAGATTTCTAAGTTTCAATATGAAATCATACTTTTTCCACATAATCTCTCTTCAACATTTTTATTGCATAAATTAGAAATTAGATCAACTAAATTTTTTGAAAAGAAACTAGGAAAATTGATTTTTTTTGTCAAAATATTTTTCACCATCTCTTGTCTAGTTTTGGCAAAAAAAGGAGGAATCCCAGCAACCATCTCATACAGTAAGATGCCTAATTGATAATAATCTAATGAGTAGTTATGTCCCTTCAATTCTAGCATCTCAGGGGCCATATACTCTAAAGATCCACAGAATGAAAAATTTAGATCTTCTTGATCCTCAACAATTTTACTCAATCCAAAATCCACTAATTTTGGATAACCATCCAAATCTATTAAAATATTCTCTGGTTTTAAGTCTCTATAGATAATATTCTTAGAATGCAGATATTGAATGCCATCTACTATTTATAAAAATAGCCATTTAGCTTACTCCTCGTTAAATCTTTTCTAATTTCTCAAATGATAAAATAATTCACCACCAGGACAATAATCGAATACAAAATATAATTTGGTTTTCTATATGAATAATTTAATATCATACAGACTAAAATGAGGCATGCAAATTAATAATTCTTCTGTGATTCAATTAAATAAGAATCTCTTTCTCATTAATAATTAATTCCTCCTTTTTGTTTTCCATCATCAATTGTTTATCTGTAACCTTCATGGCATAAAATTATCCATTTTCCTTATTTCTAACCAAATACACAACAGAAAAACTACCAGCTCCTATTTTTTTTATTATTTCAAACCACTCTATATTAATTGGTTCTTTCAATCCTTTTCTTATTAATGGAACAAGCAATGTCCCATTTAAGTTTGGTAAAATTAAATGTAAGCAACTTAATTGGTAATCTAAGTGAATGTTATGGGTTGTAAATCCAACAATATCAAAGGGATCATAGTTTAATTCCAATTGACTAAATTTACGTATTACTTCAGATAGTAACCATCCACATGTTATATAAGGATGCCTAATCTAAATACCAACCCATCTATTTATTTTCGTCTATACTCTGATTACACCAATAACATCTTTAACATTCAATGATCTGGACAGTTCTAATTGATGTTGTGCATTTTAGATATTTTCATTTACTTCATCATTGTCATCTTGAGTTTTATGAATTGATCTGAATTTTGGCTTTATACTTGATATCGGGCTTTTCAGATTTTCCTCATTAGGGATATCAGTCTCAAACATATAATAAATAAAGATAAAAAGTAAACTAATTATGAAAAGCATTCTTGAATTATTTTATATTACATTAAACAATAATCAATTAATCAATGTAAACTAAGTTTTGGTAAAATAAAATTCTATATGCAAACTCCTTTTTATTATTTCTTATATGAAATTGAGTGATTACTTAGGATTTTATTCATATTAATTACTCATAAATTATAATAAAATCTATGTCCATTAATAATAGAGGTTTATCGAAAGAATTCTAAGAGCGCATTATTAATGACTTAGGCATAGTGGAATGCAGTGATTTTCATGATGGCACTTGTTTGTATGCCTCCTTTATAAGGCTGCTATAATTGATACCCAAATCATACAAATACTACATTCCCATCCATTTAATTCCCTTCCTCATCTTCAAAAGAAAGAGAGTGATGCAGAGGTAGCTATCCTTAAATTTATATAAGACCCTTGAAAACTATTTCAGTGGCATTTTATAATTATGCCAAATCAGTTTTATTCGTCTCTCTGTATGTAGCTATTTGCAAGTATGCTTTATGCAAGCTTAAAAACATTCGACATAAAGTAGATGGTAAATTATCAACATGATCTTTAGGTTGGAATCCTGCCCTTGCAGCATCAGCTGCTTGTTCAGCACTTTTCTTAGAATCTGAAGGCAGAAGATAGGAAATTGCCTTATTCATATTCCCAAAATCATTAGAAACTGCATGGAGATTGCTAAAAAAGAGAGGCTACGTAACAAATATCAAAGGATGGGAATTGTTCCTATTCGGTCTTGCTATGGGAATTATTAATTATTTCTATCATTATGACGTAACATTGATAATACATATTAGGAAGCAGCAATTAAATCTACATACTTAACTATATTCAAAAATTTTTGGGGAAAAGATTGATTAAGTTACTAGTGTGTATTTGCAAAACAATTAATATATTAAATCTTAATAAATACATTTTCAATATTCTCAAAATTTATAATATCTTTATAATTCAACTAAAACTCTCTTAATATAACCCTAACTGGCAACCTTACTAAACCATATGATTAAAAAAAATTTAATTGGGACACAAGAAATAACCAAGAATCCACAGTAAATCTCTCATCTTTCATACATTAATAGTAAATATTTAATATAGATCATAAATGGCATAACATAATACTATTTTTTGATTATACAAATATTGATAGAATTTTTAACTTAAATTTGGTATTCAGTTAATTATAATAAACAATCGAAATCAAAGTATGGATTCCATTTTAAATCATTTTATAATTTAACATTCATATTTCAATTTGTAATTGAGTAAACATCCACCTTTTCATTTGTACAAATCAATGCGATATTTTTTTATTCTTTTCTTTGCTACTTAACATTATCATCTATTTTACCATTATCAATCATATGTCTAAAAAGAAATCATTAATGTTAATCCTTTGATGTAAAAGGACTAACATTAATGATTAAAAGAAATACAATAAATAATTAAAATTAATTTAATTAAAAATATAAAAAAGGGTTGTCAACACGAGGACTTCCCAAGCGGTCCCCCACCTTAGTACTAACCTCGCCTTAAGCCGCTTAACTTCGGAGTTCGAATGGGATCCGGTGCTTTAGGCTTAGTATGGCCGACAACGATATTTACTATATGGTTTGCGATTTAAATGGTTGTCTTTATTATTATAATATAATTATTGGTTCATTCAGAATCATATTCAACTATTTTTACTTTCTTTTAAACAGCAGGTTCTGGTGTTATATCATCATCATCATCATTCACAAGGGGTTTAAAATTCTTAAGATTAGGATTTTTGATTAATAAGCTGTTTTCATCTTTGTCAACATTTTTGATCTCTTCTTTGTTATTTTGATTAGTCAGATCTTCTAAGAATCGAGGGGGTTTAATCTTTAATTTGACAATCTTGATAGAGCCCACGGAGTAGATTTTATCGGATGCTTAGGATTCTTTTTAAACAACAATTTGAGGTGTGCTATCAATAGTTAATTCCGATCTTCTTTATTTAAATTGCTTAATGTGTTCTCTTTCGATTTTTATTTTTCTATTATCGATTTCCCTCAATTAACCGTAATATTGAAAAAAGTCGAAATCTTCTTCATTGAATATTTCCTACTTAAACCCACTCTCTTCAACATATTCAAGATTGTCTATCAATTATAACAACTCAAAATACCTTCATCAGTTAATGGTTTTGTCTTTTCATAAATGTTAGGCTTGGTTTATTTTTTCCTTTGCATTTTGGTTACTTCAGGCCTGAGCAATTGATCAAGTTTTTCTTATTCCACCATCTATTCAGTGAGAGTCATAAAGGATAACTTTTTCTCTTAAACTTGGATTGGCTAATCGCGCTTCACCTCCTAGAATTCTAATCCATCTTTGGAAGTTAAAATCGAATGAGAAACAAATTTATTAGTCATAATAAAATATATCAAAATTATTATATTAAAAAGCAGGTTGAACTTATGCATTTATTGTTAATTATTGTTCTACTCATTATATTTTGGGAATATTCAATAGGGTGACTTCTATGATGTAACTTATTGGTTCAAAAATTAAAACTTATGAAAATTCTACCTATATCTTTGATCCAATTGTGTAGAGAGAGGGGGATAAAAGCCGATAGTGAATGAATAGTAAGGAGTTAGTTTTGTTTAAAATAATGTTATTTCAAATATTCACAGATTTTAATTATAAGCATTATATATTTATATTATGAGTATCGACTATTCTTATTTGGCTCCTCCTTTGGGAGCTCATTCAGTTCAGCATACAGGTATATAGAAACTACTATTCAATTGCTAGATTATTATATTAAACATCATGAGAGAGAGAAAGGAGCTCGTAAAATTTATGATTGTGTTTCTTATGATACTTTTGAACAAGAGAAGATCAGAGAACTCAAACAAGAAATTTAGAAATAAAATATCTAGCTTCCATCAGAGTAAGTATTTTGTCTTATGAATCAGCTGGAAGGAGAGTGATTATTTAAAAATTGGCTACTCAGGTCGCTTTAAAATGAAGGAAGTCATCAAAGTATCTAATGTCATCATAACTCCATTAGAAACTGCAGTTGCATTTATCTTGGAGAGCCAATCCAATATATCATTAAATTAATCCAGCAACTGAAAAATTTCTCAAGGAGGGCATCTGTTATATATTTGGCAGAGACAAGCAGTATCGTCCCATAGTTATTTTGAATGCTCATATGATTGATTTAAAGAAAGTATGACTCTCACAATATTTTATATAGTATGATAAAGAAACGATAATTTAGGCATTATCATTCCAAATGGGAATTATTAAAAAACACATGTTCATTCCTGGCAAAGTTGAAAATTGGATATTCCTATTGGAAAGTAATGGCTTAGGAGTTTTTGGTTTGCCAACAAAAGCATTATAAGTTGTAATTGATACAATGAGCACAAATTTTGGTGGTTGCTTGGAAAAGATGTTCATATTGAATCCGTCATCAGGTTTGAATTTTTTGTGGAAAACTATATCTGGATTTTTGGATCCTGAAACTGCCGAAAAGATTAATTTTTTATAGAAGAAGGACTTTATGAAGTTGCAGTAAATTATTGATCCTAATCAGTTGGAATAAAAATATGGTGGAACCTAACCAAACTAAAATACATTTTGGTATCTTTATCTAATTAAAAAATAGGCCTCCATATAATTTAGATTTAACTGATGGGAGAACTGTTCCTAAACAAAAATAATAAATTGATTAGTTTATACCACTGAAAAATGAAGAAGAAAAACAAGTTTTAAAAAATGCTGACCCTTATGATAATGTTGAAAATAATGTTAATGACTTTTTTGAAACTTAAAAACAATTGTATAACTTCGAACAACAAAAGAAATCAGCTGAATTTGGGTAGGGACCTTAAATTGAGTAAAAGGATCAGGAATAACCCTAAAAGTAGGAATTAAATGATCAAGATCAATAACAAGTCAATGATTAAATTCATCAACAATCTCCTGCGAAGGAAAACTAATAACAATAAGAGATTGACTAAAATAACAACGAATAAAATGTATAATAGACTGAACATGAGAAGAAAAGAGAAGGAGATAACGAGGAATAACACCATCAACAACAAGAACAAGAAGGGAATATTTCTAAATAGGAACCTGAGTAAGAAGTATAGAAATCAGCGGAATTGCATCAATAATAATAATAAAATCATCAGGAGTAAACTCAAAAAGTTGAAGTTGATGTGAATAATAAAAACTAACAGGAGGAAGAAAATTAAGTTGTAAGCAATGCATCAGCTACTAAAATCATCTAACCAGAGGAAGTGCAAGCATAGAATGTTGAGATGACTTAAATCGATCCAGTTGCCAATCAAGCTTGTTGTAAGGGTTGTGAGATATTTTGAAATAATTCATTATCAAATTTTAATTATTATTATTTAACATATGAAACAACATTTTTCTTACATTGAAGAATTGTTTGATGCTCAATAATATGTTCTGATGACCAAGAACATCCAAGATTTCCATAAAGTCACTTCATACTTCAAAAAGTATTCTTCATTCAAATCACTTAGATTTTTTGATGATATTTTGAATAAACAATTGGATTTATGTGGAACCAATATTAAGAATGCTTAAAAAATTACTAAATACATGCAATAACCTTAATTGCCCTTGTCTAAGAGTTTGCTCAAATTGAGTCAAGTATTTATATAGAATCAAACTAATTCAAGATTGTATAGGATTTATTTACATTTGTAAAATAAGGCAATTTAGAGCAACAGGATGGTCTGAATCAATACGAATCACTAGTACGCGAATAAATTGATAAAATCATAGAGCATCATAATGGTTATGTCTAAACTGCAATCAAGGTATTTTTTGAAGTTTTATTTTCATTAGTACTATAAAAATGATGAACAACAATACAAGAAGAGTTTGGATGGCTTGAAAAACAGAAAACAGTAATACACTGAACAATTGGAACTATATAAACAAACTGTCAATGATCCTTCCATGTTATACAATCAGAATCTCAAATAATAGAGATACAATGAGTTGTAATAAAAAATAAGAAAAATCAAAGAAAATGAAAATCAAATTCTTACCTCTTTGGAAGTCCTCAATTATCGTAGAAAATGCTTATGCATTGAACTGCAATAACTTTAGAAAATAATTGAAGAAGCCTATTCAACAATTATTGCATTAACTCATAAATTGTGCTATTCAAATATAATCAGTTTTAAAAAGAAATTGGAATCATTCTATTAAATGAGTAAAAAACATCAGAAATAGATCAAATATCAATTTACTATCTTACCAGACTAATCCAAATTTAATTTCGATAAAATAGATTATGTAAGTCAATAGGATTTTTAATAATTGTATTATGTACAAAAGAACTTTAATTTTAATTAAGATGAATCTTTTGAAACCCTAACTCAAAATAATGAGGACGTCTCATTTCGTTCAATAAAAAATATTCCATCAGTCAATCAAAGTTATTAAACAATAAATGATCAAAATGATCAATGGATACCTAACTTCCTAAAGTAAGATATTTAATTGGTGCCTACTTCATAATTGATACAATATTATGAGTGGATATTAACATACACCAAAGTAGTGAAGGAAAATTGTAGTATAAACAATAATCTTATTTTTAAATTGTTGTAATTCATAGATGAATTGATGATTTAATTTAGAAAATAAGGAAAAGCATGCATAAAGCAACCAGATTTTAAGTAAAACTATTTTTCTCAATTGAAATGGTTTGAATAATTTAACCAAGTCTTTGGGGAATAGGGTTATAATGATTTATATGCTTACACCAGTATAAATGATTTGTTTAATTTATTTACTAATAAATTTTCAAATCTTTTATAAGAAGAATAACAATCCATTTTATAGGTTCAAGAGAAAATTACAAACGAGTAAAACATTGTTTTCTCAAGTATAGATAAATAAATGTTTGATTTGCAAATTGTGCATCAAAACTATCTTAGATAATAAGGATATAACAGAACCATTACATTAAGTTAAATGGATTCCAATAAAAAGGACTTTTACAATTAACCTAAAGTACGTAATTGATCAATATTAGAATGAATAAGATTTTAGATAAATGATAAAATAGAGCAATGATGCTATAAAGCATTTAGTATTGGAACTAGATAACAAATTAAGTAAGAGATACAAGACAATCAGCGAAATTACAGAATAAATTAACTTAGCTTTCAATATAAATTTAATAGATTTATTGAAATTGTATACAACTAATCTTATAATGTAGTACCTATCAATAAGAAGATGCATTAGAATTGAAAAAGAAGTCATTGGAATAGGTTGTCTAATATTTGAAAACCTAAAACTCATTCTCAATATTCTACAAATAGATCTTTGTGAAAAATAAGGCTAAAACTTTAATAGAAGATTTATAGACTGAAACATATGATTATAAATACTAATCTGATTAGGATTTTTATTAACTTTCAACATTACCTAAACCTAACATTGTAAAATATTAAATGATGTCTAGATTCTGGATTAAAGTTAGAATGATCAAGAAGATGATTAATAAAGTATAAGTGAATAATCAACAAAAGAGCAAGATAAAGATAAAATAGAACAATTATAATTTATAAAATCAAAGTTGAAAATAGAAATCAATGAAATATTAATTGCATCATTTGCCTGTGCATTATCAGAAAAAATCTAATTACAAGGAAGATTGTATATCACAAATAAAAGACTGTTTTTTCATTCAAGTTTCAACTCAAATAATTTATTTTTTGGTGATACAATATTGAACATTCCTAAATAGGATATAATGTGTATATAAAAGAGAGCAAATGCATATATATTTGACAATTCGATATCAATATTTACACCAAAAGGCTAGTTGTTCTTTGCTACATTCTTTTAGAGAGATATAGCTTATGATTTAATCATTAAGACATTTTCTCCAAAAGAATAGCCTGAGTTAATGGCATCATTAACAAATCAAGCTCCTATAAATTCAATAAAGATTATCAATGTTCCATACACTTAGGATTAATTAAAGTATATGATTTGTCTAATATATTAGATTATTAGAGGAGAGATAATAAAGAATATTAAATCTAATGGGTCCAGATCCAGAGATATTTATAGCTGAGAGTATCTTTGAATTTCCAGAGATAAATGTTAAATTGTTCTATAGATTGATATTTGGTGATAAGATGCTTGGATAAAACATGTCATTTTATGAGAAAATGAAGAAAGGTCCTTTGGGATGCGATGGTTTAAATTTGACTCAATGGATTCCTGCTCCACCAATGGATTTTGATTCTGATTACGGTACTCAAAATTTGTTGGATGGTCCTGATTTCCTAGAGAGGGAATTTAGTTGTATTTAACCATTACCAAAATCTTCAATTCCATTTATGCCCACTAAATGTGATTGTAAAGAATAATAAAAGATTTATTTCATCAATTAAGATTTCTTTATTTTAGACTTGATAGTGAAAACCTATAAAGTACAGAATTTGATAATAAATTAAAGGTGCCTTATGCTGAGTCATTTCAAGTTCTGGTTAGATACAAATGCACTTAAACTGAGAAAGGAGTGAAGTTGGATTGTAGAGTTAGAAATGAATTCTTAAAAGCCATTCTGGTTAAAAAAGGTTCAAAATGACATAATTTTAGTTATTGAAAAAGCAAGTCAAGATGAGATTTCTGAAAAGACTAACTAAAAGATCTTTCCTGCCATTAGATAAGAGTTAAGCAATTATTTGAAAGGATCAAATAGCAATGATAATGGTGAGGATAAGAGTGATACCAATGAATAGAAGGTGGAACAATAGAAGAGTAAAATAAAATAAAAGTTGAAATCTATGATTCCTTTTGTAAATGGTACAATAATAACTTGTCTAATCCTCATTGTTATTTATTTCTTATATGTGAGAGTATTGAGTAAGTTGACTATCAAAATAGAGTTTGATAAATGATCAAATATATCAATGACAATAAATATATATTTTATTTCTTAACTGATAATTTACATGAACTCAAAACAATAACATATGACAGTATGTCCAGCACTACTGAAGGGTGATGATTAACCAGACGACTTCCCACTTCGAACACAAAATGCTAATGTGCCCAAAATGCCCATTTAGAAAAAGATTATGCTTCAACCAAATAATGAAATCTTATATGAGAGATTGAATTAAGAGGCGCAAATTTTTAAATAGAATAATTAAATGTTAAAAGATTATTACGATCAAGAAGAATTGCGTCCTTGTTCATTTACTCCTTAAACCTTAAATGACGGTTAAGAAAAAAGATCACTTTATTAATTTTTATTTGATTAACAGAATCATGTTCTTAAAATAGAATAAAAATTAGAGTAAATCAAAATAAATGAAATGGAACGAGATTTATAACATCCCTATCATCCAAAAACCAATGAATTTCAATTCCAATCCAGAGATGAATCCATCCCCACTTATGAGAGACTATACAATTTAAACTAAAAGAAGCAAAATGAACCAAAGATGCAATAATCAGAATCAACCGTTGATTTCAAACCTGTAATTCAATAGAAATCCTCAAATATAGTTAGAACTTAAAAGGTTGAAGACATCCTTTACTAAGATGCTCAAAGGAGACAACAAAAACAATAAGAAGTATAAGATAAAAAGAATGCTCCAAAGGTTGTAACAGTAAATGTTAAATATACCTCAAATAATAGTGAGAAGATTGTAGCACAAAAGTTTATCAGAGAATTTGAGACTGTCATAGATTGGATCTTTGATTAGACAGGACAAGAGAGACCTTCTAATGTTTCTTTTTCAATTGATTATTTAAAACTAGGAGAAATACTGTAGCGATTAGATTTTCTTAATTTATTGTAAGCTAAGGACAGCAATGAAAGAGCTGTGGAATATGAGAATCTAAGGTTGTCAGAGGAAAGAGCTTTGTTATGTGAAATATGGACAGTGTTGAGAGGCGATGAATTAGGAGGAATAAGCAAAAGAAATCTTTGTTTGTTTTTATTGACTTTGATTGGAATCACTGATTTCAAAATCAAGGAATTACCATCTGCTTAGAATGAGGAATTACCAAACTATCAGAAATCAATATAACCTCAATAACATAAAATTGTAACTGCTCATCAACCTAATGATAAACCTAAGTTGGGAACTATCGATAAAGATGGAAATATCATCTTTACAATTGAAGAGACAAAGAAGATCCAAAGACAATTTGATATTTTATATAGAAACAGATTAGGTTGCGAAGAACTCAAAAAAACAAACTGGAAAGATGAAAATCCTTATAAACCATAGATATTGCCTCATTCTAAATAATTAGCCTGTTAGTATAGAGAGAAATTGTTAGAGGAAACTGCTACCTTAATTGATAATTAATTGATCAAAGTCAATATTCCTGAAAATGGCTAGATTACTCATGCTGATCTATTAGTCTTATAGAAGAAAGCTGTCGAGTATCATAAGGAACAGAAGAAACAGGAGATATTGTAATAATAATTAGATAAATGTCCATTCAAACCTCAATTACTGAATAATAATGAAGAGAGAAAGAGCTACTCCAAGAAGTAAGATAAACATTTATAACTATATTCATTGGCCAAACCAGCAAATTAGAAAAGAGATAGAACAACTGAAGAGATTGAATATGAAAGATAATTAGAGGAATGCACATTTTAACCTGGTTTATAAAATAAAGCTAGTTAATAATAAAAGTAGGATAATCATTATGTGAATAAGGATGTTGATAAAACTGTTTAAAGAATGAAATAGGCAAGGTAAAGAAGAGAAGAAGTATAAGGGATGTTAGAGAGAGGATATAAAAGTAATAAGAGCACTTAAAATTAACAATAATAGGTTTAAGCAAATTCATAGAAAAAGGATAGCAGAAGTGAATCATAAAATCAAATCAAATAGGCATCTCAATTATCCAGATAGAAAAGTATGTAATCAGAGGATTCTTAATAAACGAATACTTTCCAATCTTAGAATTTCCATATGGATGAATCTTAGCCAAAGGAAGAATAGAGCATTGTTAGAGCTGGTAGCTGTAATATTTCAATATGATTAATAGAATAAGACGAGAGAATACCATTATTATTTGTGGATGTGAATCTGGGACCAAGCAAGACTGAAAGAATAGTAGTCTATGATGGGGATCAATCTTGTGATTTAGCAGCCAGATTTGCTCAAGAACATAGTAAGAATACTAATTAAATCATTAGATTTGGATGAATTTATGTAAGAAAAATTAAAGGAATTGCTGGATTACTAAATAAGTGGATTACTAACAAAGATAGATGAAGAGGAAGGAGCATTAAGTGAAAATGATTAATGATATTTTATATATAAGTACTAATCATGATTAAATTTTCATTAAAAACTATCTGATTGGAGATATGATATGCAAGTCTATTAAAAAGGAGTTGTGTGTCATTCCTTCAAATAATTGTAAATGAACAAATCCACTGCACTTACTCATCAATTAAATTGAATGTTAATAAGATATAAATTTATCATTGATACCATGGATAAAAAGAGTAGGAGAATACACTTTATGCATTTTTTCAAGATTTCTAAAGCGTTCTTTAACTAATTTGGATACCCAATTGAAACTATTATCTTTAATAACATCGCAAAGAGATGTAAATGGACTCAATAGCACAAGAGCTTTAATTCTTTTGTATCTGATGCTCATTTCGACAGCAATACTGGTTCCTATGGATCTACCCATTATAATGATTTTAGATTCATGGACTTTGAGGTTGTTGATGAGATGGTCAATCAGGAGATATGCATCCTTGATTATAGTATCACTTGATGATTGACCATGGTAAATTCCATAACCTGGATATTCCATACAGATGGAGGCCATCTTAATAGTATTATTGCGATACTTCCAATTCAGCAGCAAGTAAGAATGCAAGAGATTTGCACATTCCTATATCTTCGGCATTGGCATGAAAGTAGACAATGATACCATTTCTGAGATTTTCTTCCAGTTGTAGAAGAGTAACTATTCGTTTGGTCTATCTATTTTGACTCAATTGTCTTGTTGACTCAGATTGATTGAGAGTGACTTTGATGGTGCCCTCGTATGTTTTGAGTTCGTTTTGTTGGATGAGGGAACGACTACGATGATATTGAAGTTCCTCTTCAATGTAGTAGAGACCAGAGAGAGTGTAATCGTAACTAGGTTTAGGAGAGGGAAATATTAAATCGTTAAAATCCATAATAAATATTAATTATGAATCAAAGACCGATTCGACCATCGAGTGCCCAATAGAATGTGTCTCATATGAGTGATAAGAATGCCTCCTTTTTAAAGAAGTAAGAGAGTTAGATAATGAGTAGTCCATATAAGCAAGGCAATCAATTGAACGTTTCATAATATAGAGTGAAGGAGAGCGAGAAATTGCTAGAAGACAACCAATAATTGAAGGTATAGCTCAATTAATTCAAAGATGAAAATATTAAATTAAGAACACGCAACACAAACTTAGAAGTATTATTGCCATGAATCATTTAGAAAGACCTTCAAAAATGTTAAAAGATAATAGAAGAAGTAGAAGCAACTGGTAACATGAAGAGGTTCTATGCAAAACCAAGCACTGATAATCAAATGATTTTAAGTTTAAAAAGCTAAGTAAAAGAATTGAGGCAAATGTTAGATCAAAGAGAATAAGAGATGGTCTAGCTCAAAAAGTCTGTTAAATTTACTAGACTTACTGAGATGGAAATTGAACGCAAACACTTTTAGGATGAAACCTTAAGGATGAAATAGATCATTGAAGAATTGATTCAATAAAATCTCTATGCTCAATAAAAAGAGAAGGATTAATAAAAATTATAGGACATGGTGTAGCAAAGGGATAATCTCATCCAGTAGATGCAATAGGACATAGAATAACTAGAAATTGAGAATAAGAATTTATAGTCTCAATAATAGCAACTAATTATAGGATATTAAGATTTGGATTAGGAGTACGTTAAATTAGATCAGAGCATTTAAGCTAAATTAAAGTCTAAGGATAAGTAGATAAATGAACTCAAAAACAACTTAAAAAGAATGTAAGATTAAGTTGATAGAGAAAAAAAAATAATTTAACCAACAACAACAACAACAACAAAAGCCAATCATCCTGCATTATAAACTCATAATAAATAACAAAAACGTATCTAGAGTGCAAAACCCTCTCTGTAAGTCACAAAACCAATTTAATAAGAAGAAATCTAGGATCTCATTCAAGAAATTAAATATAAATTGATTGCTCTTTAGAAAAATTCACATCAAATCGACAACCTACTATTCAGTGAATCTTCTTAATAAACTACTATCTCTTAATTAACAGATAAGCTAATTAATGATCCCTTTTATCTAGAAAGGATGGATGCTTAAAATTTAGCCAGATTCTTGGTTGAATCGCCTCAATAGAAATATCCCTACACTATGAATATGTAGATTTCTCAAGATAACGGATTGATTCGTGGATTATTTTTCAAGACTATAGGTTATTGGGCCTGCTATGATTAAGTTGAAACTAAAGTGATCGAAGCTAGTTTAGCAAAAGTGTTCTTTGGAACTTATTCTCAATTTGAAAAGTAAATGAGCAAGAAAACCTTCACCAAAACAGAATTTATAAATTAGATATCAAAGATATTGCAAGGAAAATAAATAAGAGAATTGGAATTGACATATTTACTCTCTAAAGTAAGATACGATTACTAATTAGATTATTATAAAATCAAAGCATCTTAACACCTTGAAGGGAGACTACTTTATCGAATACTTAAAACAACTACAATAAGTGAGAGCAGAAGATGATATAACCGTAGAAGATCTACAACAATACTACGATAATAAGGAGTAACATATTTAAGTGATTTTAAGTGCTGAAAAAGGGTTCTTCTATTTTAAACAATAGCGAAGCAAGCAGGAATAAATGATTGCCCTCTTAGAGACAAAAGAAGAGAAGTTAACAGATTAGGAAGGACTAAACGATGGCACTCCCTAGAAATCAGTTCAACAATATTTGATTAAGGGAGGACTTGTAAGAAGTCATTCGGATCCAGATCCCTTACAAATGAAATTGATTGAGCAGGAGGAAGAAGAAGGAGAGGAGGAGGAACAGTATAATGAATAAAAGCAGAATGAAGGATAATATGAATAGTATGATCAGTATGATCAGTATAATGAGACTGAATATGAGAATGATTTCTAACCTGATTTAAATGATGCTTAGATTGAAGATGAATATGGAATACAAGAGGAAGAAGATGACGAATATAATATCAATGTAGATGGAGTATTTGAAGAGGATAACGACGATGAAAATGATCAATGGGAAAAAGTGGAAAATCATAAAGGGAACTTCCCAGTTCGATAAGAGTATTAAACTATTTATTCATATTCCTAGTCGATAAATACCAAATAGTCGTCCTACTTCCAGCTATATCAATAAAGCAAATAGGAGTAATAGTGATATCAAAGCCAGTCTTTAATCTGAATTGCATCCCACAAAGGAAGTTAATGAGGAAGGTATTAAATGTAAATTAAAAATTCTGTAGAATACCAGGAGGATCAATTCGAGGATGAAAATTGATAAATACAATTTATATAAATTATATTATGAAACGAACAAAAGAAACATTTTTTAGAGAACATCCAGACTGGTAATATAGATAAGGAGTGAGTGGTTTGAAGGAATTCGATGGCGAAGATTTATGTAATCACTTCATTCAATAAAAGAATATGATTCTCGTAATTAGCATAACAAAGAGCAACAAAAGTAATGGATATTCGATTAGATTGAGGAAAAGAAAAGAAGACAAGATTAAGAAAAGGCAGAGGAATAGGCATATGCATAATAAACCTTAGAAATAAATAGATTTCGAGGAATGTTACAAGACAATTTTGCCTCAAGGAAAACTGATATGGGAGTTGCCACTAAATAAACGAATTTATAATTGGTAATGCTTTGAATGCATTTCATATAGGCCAAGGAGAAGAAGGACAAAGAGGAGAGAGAGAAGTAGGAGAAGTTGGCAGCTGAACGTGCAGAGAGAGATTTATTACTATAGCGGGGTCGTAAATAGCCATATAACGGATGATTATTATTAATATATCAAATGGTTGATCTTTGTAGGGAATTCAAGTATTCTACGTCATCTCCAATAATCTCCATAATTTCCTAAGCACTTTAATTGGGGAATAATTCCAACAATGTCGCAGCCACTTCTGGTCTGACTCTCAAGAGTTCACACAACTCAACGACGATAGGATTAGTAGATCTATAGATGTGGGAATCAGGAATTTATTATTATTCTTGTAAAATTTAGGAAATATCTAAGGGGAATGGGACAGGTGTTGATTCAGATAATGATTACACTGATTAGTAACCCAAACTCTAATCGACATATTTTCTTATGATATTTTCCTATTACAAGTCTGGTTTATCACCCTGAATATTTAAATAATTAAATACAATAGCTGTTATGATAATTGAAGGAGCCTATCCTGGATTCCTAATTTTTAACATAGCATGTTCATGGGTTCCTAGATCTTCGCATTTCTCACATAAGTCAAAGTCTTAACATACTGCACACTAGATTATAATTTGAATAATTTACTTTGTATCTAATTCCTACAATGGGGAACATTTCGCAGCCATCGCAAGCCACTCTCTAGTGGACTATTTTTTTAGCATCGGTAACTTCAGCTTTGGTTGTATTGTTAATTGATAATGTTTCAATTTATTTTTAAACATCATCAGTTGCAATTGATAGTTTGACTTGCTTAGTAATTTCAGGAATTAGTTCCATAACTCTTTGGTTCACTATTTCCTTAATATGGTCTTTTCTGTTTTCTCTTCTATGACCTACTTATTCTTTCTTAAAACCACCTTATTTTGCTTGTTGTACATATCTAGAATAAGTGAATAAATAATTACATTGTGGCCACTTGGTTGTTGAATTGGCATTCTCTAATAGTCTACAAGTCAGCATCACATGTGACATCAATCATATCTCCATCAAAGTCTTCATATTGGAATGTGAATAAATTGGGGAGATTAGTTATCCTATAGGGAAGTCTTTTCAGTATTTTTTTCATGGTGAGTTTAGCCAGAGGTCTTCTGAATGTCCATGACTAATCGTTACATTTAACTTAAAGCTACATTTGTATTATAAAATATTATTGTATTATGTTTAAATACTGGTGTGACTTATATAAATGCAAATCAAATTAAAACTTTCTTATTAATTATTATTTGTAATTAATAATCTATTGGGAACGTATCTGTACCTGATAATTTTATATTTACCAATTAAAATTACTATTCAAATTATGAAATAACTTACTTTCACAAAATATAATCTGACTCCCTTCTCATCCTCAGGATCATTGTAGAACACTATCAACTCTTATTTTTTCGCTCCCACATCTTGAACTGTGAATTTATAAGTATTTTTTAGATTCTTCAACTCAACTCTCTTGAAAACTTAAATGAATAAATACTCTTTCTAAATTGAATTTTGGAATGATAATCTCAATATGTTGTTTAGTAACAGAGAGGATATATCCATCTACTTCCACTGGATTAGCCTTCAAGAGCAAAGCTAAGAATAACTAGAATATAGTTATGAGACATACTTAATCACATTAATCACTAACTCTTCTGGAATTCAATTTGCAATCATTGCAATGTTACATTATAGCTTTTAATTTATCCTTGGTTTCTCCAGTTTGATCAACTTCTTGTTATTCAAGAGCAATCTGTAATCTTCTGTGTACTAGAACATCAGGATATCTTCTGATTGGGGATGTGAAGTGTGTATACACATCGAAATCTAAGGCATAGTGTCTCCATTCTATTTCTGGAGTATTATCAACAACAAAATATTGAGCTGCTTCCATTAATTTCAATAGACGGAACCCTAAAATCAATTTAATTTCTTCAGATTCTATTTCACTCACCTTAGCCATAGTTAACTTTAAATTTTTAGATGTCGACACATCCAAATTTTTAGCCATTTCCTCTAATCCACACGCTTCCAATAGGTTTTGATAATACTCTAATTTTTCTGCTCTAGGAGATATGTGTTATCTAAGGACAGCTGTTTTAGTATCATATTCAATCAACTTCTTGCCCACAAATTAATTAGCCAATAACATCCATTCCTCCACCATAAATTGAGCTAGTCCTCTCTTTTCCTCAGTGTAACCAGTCGGAAATAAATCAGCATTAAGAATAAATCTTAATTTGCTTTTTTCAAATGTTATTGATCCCTCTAATCTCTTTTCCCTTCTCTTTTGTGCAATATTATTCAACAATAACACCTTATCTTTCAATATCTTTTCATCAAATCCTTCCGCAACGTTATACCTTTCTTCTCCTTAACTAAACTGCTCGATCTCACCATCGATGATTTGATTCACAATATCATAACTTAGCTATGCACAGCTTCTAATAACTGATTTGGCAGCTCTGAAACTATCCCATAACACTTCTCCTTCACTTGTAATCTTAAAGAACACAGAAAATGCTAATCTCTCAACATCTCTATTCAATGAACATAACTCTTCACAAAGAATCCTCGGTAACATTGGAATAACCTTATGAACTAAATAAACAGAAGTTGTTCTAAGTATTGCCTCCTTGTCTACTTCACTATTGGGAATGACAAAATGAGAGACATCGGCAATATGTACTCCAATCTCATAAATACCATTTCCTAAATTATTAATACTTAATGCATCATCCAAATCTCTGGCAGTCACAGGATCTATACTACAAATATATTCTTTTGTTAAGTCCATTCTATTGACTCTTTCTTTAGCTATTGAATCATGAGTAAATGCCTTCAATTCTTCCTTACACATCTCTGAAAAATCATTCTCATATACTGAATTCGCTGTTAATATAACCTCACATTCCACATCAATATTTCCCTGTACTCCTACTTCTTTAATCAATTCAACAGTTGGGTATTTTTTATTTCTGGGCCATTATAAGTATTTCGCTGAAAAATATCTCTATGACACATAATCCATGAACTTCTAAACAGGTTCTTCATTATCCAATTCATAATTAAAAGTAAGTAGTTCTTTCACATTGAAGAATGGGATTCTTTTATTAACACACTTAAATGAAACATGATAATTTTATTGCATATAGTTTATCAGTTCCTCCTTATTAGTTACTTATTTATCTTATTACTCATGTTTTTCATCGAAACATATCCTTCCAACTAAATGTCTTTATTCAAATGGATTTTTCCTAATTCCAACAATTTTACCTGTAAGACTGGCCTTTTGTAATTTCTATATGCTAGTTATGGACACCTTCTTCTTAACAACGTAGATATCTGATACTTCTGAAACGTTGTCATCAATATTATCCTCTTGATTATCTATATCATCATTTTGCTCTTCTTTTTCATCATTCACTTACTTAACTTCCTTCTGTTATTCAACACTTATATTATTATGTATTGGAATTTACTCACTTATTACATCTTCTTCTAAGTCATTTTCAGATTCTTCTTATTGCTTTGATATTTTAGTAATTGTGAAAGCAACAAGAGATCCATGAAATGCTCTATTTGTATCAACAAAGGCTATTTTTTAGAACAATGATCTTACAATTAATATGTACTTTCTTCTTAAATATCGGACATTTAATAGCACTCTTTTCTCTAGTAAATTCGCTAGCCATAAAGATTCCTTCAAAAATCTCATTTTCAGCCTTTCCTTTTTCTATTTGTTATTCAGTCCAATATTCTTCAAAATTTTAATACTTAGATTTTGTTTTATTGTTATTTCCCTTCGCTCCTTTATTCTTGAATCTTCTATCGTCATAATTATCGTCATCATATATGCCGTATTCATTAAGTCCATAATCATCACTGCTCCTTCTCCGGTATTTCTATCTTTAATTTCCTTAATCCTTTTTATAATAATGATCCTCAAATGAATTATTATTATCTGATCTATTTTAATCATTATTATTATTCCTTTATAAATTGAACTTTCTTTTATTGTATTTTTAATTCTATTCTGATTAGTTTAATGTACTACTATAATTTTCTCCTCTTCTATCCTTTCTCACTTATGAATGATGAGGAGGTTCCCTATATTAATAATAATTTTGGCTTCTCTTTTCTTGTTAACTATAATTATTTCTCCTTTCCTCATGATTATTATTATTATCAACATTGGCCTCCTAATTTGTATTTTTCTCTTTTCCTTCTATATACGGATAACAGAATGGTTGATCATTATCATTAGAATTTTTTCTTTGTGGATTTTAAAACCCTTAATTAGGCCCTTATTACCAATTTGAATAGCCTTAATTATTTTGGCTGTATTTTCTATTGCTTTTTCTTTCTTAAAAATCATTAGTTTATTAATGGCTTTATTATTATAATTAACCTTATTCTCTTGAGTTCTGGTATTACTACTTGTATTGTCTTTATTTTTGATTATAATTTTGCTATTAATCATAATTTTATTGTCTGTAATATTCTGTTTATTTCTGTTCACTATCTTCATATTTATCTGTATTGTAATTTGTATATCCTTGATTTGCTTACTAATCTCTAAGATTTTATGATTATTAATTATAATCCCTTCTTACATTATCCCTCTTCTAAAAATTATAAATACTAATACATTAGGTTCTTCCTTAATTTCCTACACTTATTATTTGTAAAAACCACCTTCCCAGTTCATTAGAATATTTTTAATTAAAGAATTAATATCTAATTTCTATCTACTTATAAATAAATTACAAAATATAATTTATATCAATAATTTTTAATTATTAATGCAGAAATATTGTGCATTTAAATTTATTTAAAGTATCGTAGTTCTTTTTGATAACCAACAACTCTTTTACTTAAAATGGCTGAAAAGTAATCTATATCTATATATCTAAAGTAATTAAAATTCGATTATAAAATGATTGAACTACTGATTTTGGTTTATATTAATTTATGCAAGAGTGGATATAGAGTATCTTATTATTAATAATATAATGAAAAAAAATCCACCAAAAACTGTAGAATATAATGAACATAAATAAATAGTCAGGGACTAATTGATTTAGAGAATAGAGGACAATAATAAATCATCAAAATCTCCATAGGAAATCATCATCAAAATATTGAAGGAGTGGGACTTAGAAAAACTTAAAAAAATAATTAAGAAACTTGGAGTATGGCCTTGTACAATAGATTGTAAACTTTATTTATGATGTTAGAGCAATTTATTGAAGATCTTCTCTAATAACCTGAAATATCATTTGAAATTATAGTTTATATGATGCTGATATCTAATGGGTATTTCTGTCCACTCTCTCCTTTAACCACTTCTAATTAGATTACTGCTTTTCAATGTGGTTTGCTACAAACCTATTTTTGTTGTGTAACTCCAGAAAGCTATCATATCTACTTCGAAATTGGACTGGAGAAGAAGCCTATAATTTAAAAAAACGAAGTAACTGTTACTGTATATATTTTAGTTTTTGGGTTTTCGAACAATTCATAGAATACATTTTATAGCGTTAAGATTTGATAGAAGAATTGAGAATGTACTAACAAGACTCTCCAATTATCATTCAAATTAGAAGTTTAACCCTTACAGGTAGAATTTTGGATAATTAAATTTCGATTCTAGTAATTCATAATTAAAATATAGCGACTTCAATTTAAGGAAAATAAAAATACTTTTGTTTGGAAAAATCATTGTTTTATTGGAATGAGGTGGAAGAGTGGGGAGAATGTCAATTCAAGATTGGATTAAAAGATCAGTAATGTATGAGATGGATACCCACAGGAGTTTAGACTAAATAATTAGATGAATAGTAATTAAAATAATACTATTACGATTAAAACCTGGATTAATGGGTGCGAAAAGAAGACATCGAGTTTTTTTAGAAGTTTAAATAGAACAGAGATTTATCAAAACAAAATAAACACATTTTACATTAATATGCAGACTTTGAATCAGGAGCGTTGATAATTGATATTATGTAAAAACTGCCTGATTTCAAAATTCTGATCACTTAATAGGAAAGGAAGGTTATAGCATCAAAATAAAATTCTTTGATTATTGGTAGAAGTGGAACAGGGAAAACAACTTGTACTGTCCTTAGATTATTTGCAGTTTAGACTCTTTTCAAAATTAGATAAAAATTATTTAATTAAGAAAATGAAAAGCTACTGTTCAATTATTAAGATGTTCCAAATAAAGTAGGATTACATTGTGTATTTACAACGTAGAACCATGTATTAATAGGTGAAGTCAGAAAGTATTATAGAAAATTGTTGTAACACATACAAGATTCTATAAGGAGGAATTAAGAGAAATAACAAAATCAAAAATAAAATATTCCATTAAGTTTAGATTAAAGTTTGTAAGATTTGTTATTGACTTAGTATATCTCAATCATTTTAGATCTGTGAGGAAATTAATGAAAGTTCTATAAGTATGATACTCTAAGAAGAAACATTCTTATGCGATGAAAATGACATTGAGGATGGAGATATGGATGAGGATGATTAATTAGAGGATGTTGATTAACTTGGTTCATTGTAGTAGATGTCTGATGATAAATTTCCTGCTTTTTTGAGTCTTAAGAAATTGATTTTGTTAATTGATTCATCATTGAATAAACCATTTTTTGAATTAGACAGATTCAAAAAGAATGGGGTAAAATTATAAAAAGCAGGATGGAACACTGGAAAAACAATCAAAATAACTTAAAAACTAAAAACAAATAAGAATATTAATGTTATTGAAATAGATGAAAATGCTAAATTTGAAGAATAAGAGTTTACAATGTTAAATTAACAAGAAGTCAAAGAAGAAATAGATGAAACCAAACTACTTCTAAAAAAACAAGAAGAAAAAGCCTAATAAAGTTAAAAATAACATTAAAATCAATAAGAATCAAATATTCAAGTTACAGAAGTTGATTATGAGTATTTCTTAAAGAGATTTTGGCCAACAATTAAGAAACCAAATTAGAAATATGGATGTGATGAAAGATCATTCCCAACATTAATATGGACTTAAGTTTATTCTTACATCAAAGGATCTTAATTCTCTTATTCTTACCCAATGAAATATTTACCTAAAGCTATCTATGCCGAATTTAATCCGTCAAATCTATCCTAAGATATCATAAATCTCATCTATGACTACTTTTTGGAATATGAAAAATGGAAACTCTCTTGTGGAGTATTTGATCTAATGGACTTAGTCAATTACACCATATGTGAATTAGACAAGGGAGAATTTAAAACAGTCCCCATCCATTACTTATTCGTAGACGAAGTTTAAGATTTACCACATGCAGTAATAACTCTATTTACTAGACTAATTGAATAAGGTTATTATTTCTGTGGAGATACTGCATAGAATATAGTCAAAGGAGTTGGTTTTAGATTCTAAGATCTTAAAAATATGTTTAAACACATAGACAACCCTTTACTTACAGACTTAGAATAATTTTAATTGACCATTAATTTTAGATCCCATAATAGCATTCTGTAATTGGCAAACAGCATTGTGAATCTTATTGAATTATTTTTCCCTAAAGCAATTGATAGACTGAATAAAGAGATCTCAGATTTAAAGGGACCTATGCCTATGATTATTTAAAGTAACAATATTGATGACCTATTCAATTTCTTGACTGGAGATGTTAATCCTAACTTAGAAAAACAAGCTGTTCCAATTGAATTTGGTTGTAATTAAGTTGTCCTGGTCAAAGATTCAGATGCTAGAGATAATATCCCCTCTGTTTTAGCTCATGCATTAATCTTAACAATCTATGAATCAAAGGGTCTAGAATTTGAAGATGTTATCTTATATAATTTCTTTACTGACAATACAATTTTGTAGTCTTAATGGGATCTATTTAATTAATTATTTATTGATGAAGTTGAGGTTGATAGAGATGAATATAATTATAAATTGACAAGTAAGTATTCATTTGTAATTTAGGACATGATTAATAAAACACTAGTTCTGAAGAACTATAAGATAATAATGCATCCTTCAGCACATAAAATGAATAAGGAAATATTTTAGTCAAAAAATTAAGATTGAAGCCCAGCATCAAATCATTAGATCTGAATAATTATAATGCCTTATGCAATGAGTTGAAATATTTATATGTGGCTGCAACTAGAGCCAAAAATAGATTAATTATATTTGATGATTAACCAGAAAAGAGAAATTAAATTTAGAATCTATGGCAATCTTTGAATTTAATCTAAATATTAGATGAATCCTATTTCTAAAATGCCAAAGAAATGAATAAAATTGTGACTCAAAATACAAAAGAAGAATGGTATGCAACTGGAATGAAAATGTTTGCCAATAAATATTATGATCAAGCAATCAAATGCTTTGAAATGTCTGGTCACTAATAACTGTTTACTAAATCTTAGGCATATGCTTTTGCATTTAGAGCAGAAAAATAATTATTGTAAAGTGAGAACTTTTTTGAACTTAGTGAAGACACTCATTTACCTTAAAATTTAAGGAGGAAATATAAGGAAAAATATGAAAAATCTAAGCATGAAATGTTTAATAACTTCAATAAAGCTGGTGAAAAATTCATAGAATGCAAAAATAAAAAGAATGCAGCAGCCTGTTTCTTTTCAGGTTAATAATATCAACTTTCATTAATATACTATCTTTAAACTAAATGTTGGGAGGAAGCAGCAGAGGTAGCACTTAAATTAAAACTCTATCCTGTAGCTGGGCTATTATGGTTAAGGGCTTACAAAATTGATCAAAGCATAGAGGCATTTAATTAGTTCAAAAATAATCTAATTACCTTGCATTTACTTAGTGAATTCAAATATGAATTAGGGGATGATCTGAAGAATCTTTGGGAAATTCTATTACCCTAAGTGCTACAAGAGTGTTGGTTACAATATAGCAAGACTAAAGATGCAATTTATATTGAAAGAAATAATTATGCTGGCAAAAAATTAGATTTTTCAATTCTAACAGAGCATACTGATTTTCAAACTGATTTCGCTTCAGAATTACTTATTATTGAAGCATCAGCTTAAAATGTGTATACTTAAGAGGAAATGTACAAGACGCTTTACAATTACATCTACAACTTTCTAGATGAAATACTTGTAGTTCTTTCAAAAGTGTTTATTAACTATCCATTGCAAGTAATGAAAGTATGTATGTTGTCTAAATCAGATGAATTTTTATAAAATCAAACTGCATTCATTCAAAATGTTTTAGAATATTTTGATATTCAGGATTTGCAACTCTTTATGCTTGAAAGAACAAATTGTAAGGATAGAGATAATTATTTTATATCCTGTCTTTATTATATCTCGCCCTTATATTAACCATGCTTCTCATTAAATTTCATTTTCTAAAATTACGGGAGATTCGGTAAAGCGGATTTAAAAAAAATAGAGAACACTTATAATTAAACTCTTTAGAAATCGGAATAGAAGTTAATTACCTTTAAATTTTCTACTTCTAGTAAATTACTCATGAGCTATTCTTTATGCTAATTAGGATTATATGAAGTCGTTATTCACTTGTTTTAGAAACATATTATTTCATTATAATAGGGTGAATAAAAATAAATGACCCAAACCAAAATAAAAGTTTATACGTCAAACTTGAGGTCTACATCACAACTTTTTTAGTAACATAAATCATTGTTATTAACCTACACAAATGATGATAGACTTTAGAGCCATGAGACATTCATTAAAGGAAGACAATTTATTTAAGGCTATGCCTGGGATTTTATTATTCTAACGATTAGGATCTTAAGAAGCTTAGAAAGTTGTAAAATGACTACATGGTTCAATATATTGATCAATTAGAATAAGCTAAAAGCATGAAATCAAATTTAGATGGTTATCTTAAATTTTTATTAAGTCACAATAATTTTTAAATACATAAATGTATAATTTTATCATTTGTATCTGATTAAGATGAAAAAGTTTTGTAATCACTATATGACTTGCATTATTGCGACTCTTAAGTGTTCTTAATTGAACTTTAAAAAGTAGTCGATCTATTCAAATACAATAGATACACACATTTATATAATGACACATTTCAGAGTATTTGTGCTATTTACTAATTATCTGTACCAACATCAGAGGAATTCTAATTCTTAGGATAATCATACATCATTGTTCATAAATCCTCATTGATTTTTTCAACTTTAGCCAATAATTATAAATAATAATAATTTTAGGCATTTTAATTTGATGTCAAAGGCGAATTGTTTTTATTTTCATCCTATTTTGTTGTAAAAACAATACAACGAATTTTTAAAGATTTCCTAAAGACTTATGTACATAAGTATTGTATGAAGAAAACAGTATCTAACAATAATGTCCCATTTCTAATTTAAATTTATTCCTTCTGTGCTATTAAAAATTATAATGCAGAACATAAAATATCTAATAAATACTTAGAATAAACTTAGCCAGATTAAAACTTATTAAACTGTTTAGAATATCAATTGTCAGATTAAATATTCAATATCTGGTATCAAATACCTAAAATTGAAAATCCTTTGAATAGAAAAATGTATGAAAGGCTAACAAATAAGTCATTCGCTAAGGTCTTAACTGATCAAACAAAGGAAGAATTACACATTCATATATTGACTGGTATCCATGCCTTAAATATTGCTTATTATTATGATATTTCATTAGAGTTTATTTAGAATCTTATTTATGTCCGTAGACAGTTAGAATAGAGAGAGAAAATTAAAAACAATGTAATCGTCAATTTAAACCCATTTCTAACTTAATTTTAACTTAAAGGTTATTAAAGTTATATTTACTATTTGTTACATAGTTAAATTTGCATGTCCATGAAAAATATAGCTTTATACATAGAATACCATACTTTGTTGTCCTCCATAAGTTTTTCAGAATAAATTTATAGAGATCTTACTTTCTGTACTTTAATTTACATAATATGCAAAAGATCTCATTAGGAATTTATCCGAAAACTTTAAGAATTGGAGAATGATGCAAACTAGGCGAAAGAATTTGAAGGATCTCTATAAATGGAATAGTAAATAATTGATGAAATCATAGAGTTAAGAACCTTTCGAGATTTTAAGTAATAAACAATGAAGTTAATATTACCAAAGAAGTCTATCACCTTCTTATAAACCCTAAAGTTCTAAAAAGTTTAGATAGATGAAGAATTTGATGATTCCCCTGTTCAAAAGTTCTTATAGATATTAATTGAATTATCTAAAAGTGGAGATGAGCAACCATTATTTTTGTTGGCTGCAATTTTAATCAATGTGGAGAAAGTCAACATAGAGGTTTAGATGGCATTGGAAGCTGAATTAATAGAATAAATTCCTTAAAAACGCAGAAGAATAATTGAAGATTTATTGGCAGTAGCTAATGAAGAGTTTGAAAATAGACAAGATTTAATGTTAAAGCTGATTAAGAAAGGATAAAGTGTATTCTCAAAGTTAACTGAGATAGTACTCCCATATAACAATATTTCAATGAAAACTTTTAAAAATTTTTAAGATGATGCACTTAAAGATAAATCATCAACAGAATAAATCAATAAAAACATTAATTTTCAATTAGAATAGTAAGAGAAGAAAAAGTTTAAAAGCTTGTATGTTGGGATGAGGTTCACTACTTATTAACCTCTATTAAACGAGAAGATAGGATTTAATGATTCGTTACTCAAAATAGGAGGATCTTCAGAAATTTATGATTAAGTCAATATATTAAGAAGGTATTTAATTATGTAATTGTAGTAAATTAATTGAAATTTTGTACACAAAGTAATTATAAAAACCTGTGCATTTTAATTCAATTAGGGAAGAGTTGAAAAGACTTGCTTAACTAGAAAGGGAGTTAGATGATGAATTCGTTGAAAACTCCTAATCTAGATATGGAAGAATTCAAAAAAGATAATTTTAAGAGGAACTTGAAGAATTCGATGAACAAATAGAGAAATGGATTCAAGAAAACAGTTAGTTGTCTAATAAATTCCAAAATATTGAAACTCAAATAAACAAAAATGTTCAGAAATAAACCATTGCAATGTGTTTAATTTAAAAGAAAACCAATTAGATAAACAATAAAAGATGGTGAATTAAATTATAATAGATTATTAATAATATTATTATATTTATAATCTAAAGATTAAAGTTAACCAATATCTATTATAGTATATCATTGATGATGTTTATTTTTCTTAACTGTTGGACATTTTTCTGGCTATCCAATTTTAACCATTCTAATATTGGATAATTAGATAAGATATGATCCATCTAATTAAGGGTCAAATGAATAAAGATTGAACTCCGCGGTAGTAGGAATGTAATGTTATTTAGTAAATTCTAATCTCATTTCATTCTAAATTTAACTATAGGATTTAGATAATTATATACCTTTTTAGGACTTAATGTTTAATAACAAAGAGACCTTGTTTGTCACTCTTTGTTTCAATTTAAACATCAACATAAGATAATCCATTCCATTATTTCAGTTTGATATTAACTCCTTCTAATCCTAACCATTCCAATTTTTAACTGCAGTCAAATTCAGCAAATACTGCACCATAAATTGCAGAAAGTTAGTAATATTTAGTAAGTTATTCTTTGAATTTTTCTGTCACTTGAGCTTAATTGGTAATCTTAATAACATCATTATTGGGATTAATTTTGAATCGATTATTTGTTAATTAAAATTTGACAGTTTCATGTGAAATAATTAAGCAGTCAATATTAGAATTAGCATTCATGAGCATCTTCCATTTGAACTAATATGATCCAGTAGAATCTGTAAATGTTTTTAGATCAATAGGTACTTTATTTTCACCAAAAGCATCGCATTATAAACTAATTGGAACATTAGATGGAAATATTCCTCCTTCAGTTGTAATTCTACCATTAATTTCGAATGGGACAAAATCATCATAATACTATTTTGGGAACGTCATTTCAGATTTCTCATCATTTGTTTAAAAGGCTTATGTAACTTTGTGATTTTATCCAATAGCATCATTATAAGATTCAGTCAATTGATATTTGGTTCCAAATTGCAATTAATCATCTAATACTGACCATTTCCCATCTGCCCCAGTTTTAACTTCAAAATCTTTGCTAGCAGGATCTGAAGTTAGTTTCACATTCACTCCTGATTGGCCATTGCCCTTTGGTCCAATAATTTCACCTCCAACAGTTAATTTAGTATTAGTGGGTGCTAATTCATATTTAATCTTCACTGGAGGTAGAGATATTGCTGGACCAGAACATTAAAATTGAATCTTATCTGATTTTACATCTTTGTACTTATCAGCTTTAACATCCAATACAAAGGACTCGTCTACATTCTTATAACAAGGAATTTATAAACTGAATTTTCCAGCAGAATCAGTTTTTCCTGTTATCTAAGTTTTTTCATTTCCTTTGACTGTTGGCTATAAGGATTCAACTGTTAAAGTAGATGCAGGAGGGGTCTTCCCTGATGGATCTGTAATTGTTGAAGTTAAAGTGGCTTAAAGAATGATTCTATCCATGGTTGCATCATGTGATATAGTATACACTTTATCCGCCTTAATCTAGATATTAGAAGATTTATATGGATTAAAGTCAGAATTAGTTATTTATATAACAGCTGTGTATATCTAATCTTAGACTGCTCCAAAACTTAAAGAATATTTGCCATTTAAATCTGATTTTGTTTATAGATTAGATGCCAAAGGATCAGCAGGATTGAGTACAATTTCTATTTGAGCGTTCTATACATTTTTTGTTACCCCACTGCTATCTGTCAAAACACCAGAAACAGTTATTTAAACAGATTTTGTAGACACTACTATTGGCTTTAACTTAAGTTCCTTATCTCCACAAGTAAATACCTACGGTGATAGAGCTGTTTTAGGATACACATCAGATTCCATATCCATCTTTAAAGTGGTTGAAACTGAATTATAGCATTAAAATGGTAATTAGAAATCTCCCTTTGGAGCAGCTGCTTATTTATTGTACAATTAAGCATTTGACATTTAGGGATCTGAACTTAAAATTTCAATCTTAGAATTAGGAATTGGCTTTTAATTCATATCTACTAATTGTCCACTAATGGTAATATCAACAACAGTTCTAATTAGAGTAATATCCTTTGAAATACTTTACTTATCTTCTTTGCCTAATAATTATAATTTTTCATTAACAACATTAAATGCTGGTTATGCATCAATATTGATTGTAGCTTCATAATTTACATTTCTTACAACCTCAAAAATAATTGAATATGTTCCATCATTAATACTTTTACTAATAATAGGTTAATAGGATATTGGATCTGATGGTTTTAAGGTTAATGTAATTTTTAGACCAGGTAATTTGTCTTCCACTTTTGAGTTATCCACTAATTTACCTGATACTGTAAATGTAGTAGTAATAAATTTAGCTTTTATTGAAACACCTTAAACTTAAAACTTTGGAGCTACTAATTCTACTTTTTATGTAGTTTCTTATAGAGAATCTTTAGTTTTAAGAATACATTCTATTTTATCATCATGTTTTGCCAATATTTGTAAAGGTATATCAAAATTTCCATTGTTATCAGTTGGGAAATCTTGATTGATATCAACACCCTTAGCATCTTTAAATTTTGGACAAGTCAAATTGATTTTGACTGGTGAACTCAAAGTCCCCTTTTCTAAGTCAATCTTTCCTTATATTTTGGCATTCACAATAGCTTAATAATTTATATCAGAAATTGAAACTTTTTAGTTATCACTTTAGATAGTGAATTTTTATTCTACTTTTTATTATTATTTGTTGATGTCTATATAAGCGATTATTGCTTTGTAGTCTGTATTGGGATAGATCTTTGGATCAGTCACAGTCCATGTTCCATCTGTTAAAGTTTTAGTTTCTAGAATTGTACTTTCAGGATCTGTTGTTATACTCAATGCTAAATTTGGAACTCCATTTCCGATTGGATCAATTACTTTACCTGTGAGAATGGCTTTAATTTATATCTTCTCCAGGATTAAAGAAATAGGGCTCAATTCAGTTAATGCCTATGAACATTTAAATTTGGAACTCTTTATATTTTACTGTACATATTGAGGTACATCTATTTACAAATCCACAACATAGTCAAAATCTTTGTAACACTCAAAATCCAAAAAGAATGATCCTTTATCATCATCCTTAAATGGTAAGTTATAATATTTGGAATCTTTCATAATTGGATCAGACGATGTCATTTTAACAGATGCATTTATAATTGGCTTCTTATCAGAGCCACTTAATGTAGAATGCAATTTTGTCAACATTTTTATCCTGTCTATTTCAATATTTTCAGTTAAAGTCTCTGACTTCTAACATTTCTCTTCAATTCCTTTCTTTTCATAAGGAGCAAATAGGGGATCCCGTTTTGCTTGAATCTCAAATTTTAATGGATATGCTTAAATGGCTTTGAATTTAAATTCATATGATCCATCTTTTCCAGATTTTGTTTACAATATGGATTGAGAAGAACTCTAAAAATGTCTTTTCTATAAAACGTATGACTCAAGTAAATGCTTACCAGGGCTTTAAATATAAACATCTTGAGGAGAAATAATTAAAGAAATGTCTACGCCTTCGACTGTAGTAATTGTTTTTGTTTTATCACTGACAACTCCTTTTACTACAATATCAACTGTATTATATGTCACAGGAATATTTGTGTTACTGCTCCATGTAGGTGCAGATACTTTAACATCTACTTTTATAGGTTACATAGGTGAAGCAGTATTAGTATTACCTGTTCCTGTACTTGATCCACCTGTTCCTGTATTTCCACTTCCAGTTCCTGTACTTGATCCACTACTATTACTACTACCTTCACTGCCAGTTCTACCATTTGTAACTACACAGGATAATGGTTTATCTGCTCCTACTAATACTTCTACATCTACTGAATATGATCCATCCTCCTTTGTTGTAGTTTCTATAATAATTGGTTTTCCATCCTTTCCCTTTCCATCACAAGTAATTACTAAAGGTAGTGGTATAGTTGCCTTGCCATCCACAGGTGCTATTTTACCAGCAATTTTAGCCTTAACATATCTTTAAAATCCAATAACTGGAAAGTTGAAGGTTTACTCTTTATCCATCGTAGGAGTAAAGGTCTATACTACTTCTACTGATTATTTGACATCATTAGTATATTCAATAGTAAATTTATATTATGTTGTAGGTATGACTGTTAATTTTTCAACCTACCAATTACCGTTTGCATCAGTAACCAAATTACTATTAGGAACATCTAATATTGGATCTGACTTAAATTAAAGTGTCACTCCTTTCAATGGTTTTTAATCCACATCTATCACTTATCCTTTGATTAAGAGAGTAGCTGTCTATTTTGATAAAGTCATTGAATATTTCACTAAATCTTAATCTTTACATTCTAAATCTCCTGTTTTATATGTTACAGGCACAAATTAAGGCACTTGAAATTAAAATGTTGCTTAAAACTTGATATCTTCATAACAACTAAATGGATATTCGAATGAACCACTATAAATAAATTTAATTATCTTACTCCGCATTATCTGTTATCTCCTTATTATATATAGTTTTATCAGGCATTGTTGGATTACTCTCTACAATTTTAACAATTGCATTTTAAATAGGTTTACCACTTGGATCAACAAGCTTATCCTTTATTTTTATATTTTTTATAGTTCTGTCCAACACTACATCAAAAGTTATTTGCAGAGGTTGCTTAGAAGAAACATTAATTGATCTTGGAGCAGCTAATTTATTCATAAATCCTTTAGCAGTTACAGTTGCTTTTAATTACAAATCCTTATTTGCAGGAACATAGATCTCAGCATTAAATTTGCCGTAAGCATCTGTGATAGCTGTCACTGGTTGGATGCTATCCAAAATTGTAAATACAATTGTAGCTCCTTGTACAAACTACACTAATTTTGAAGAATCAGTAATGATTCCAGAAATCTAATTATTAATAAACTAAAAATACTTATAAATCCCCTGAGGCCTCTTATAATTTTATTAACCCCAAATCATGAGTGAAAGATTCCTTTCTAACATTTAAATCAAACTCTTCATCAAACTCCTAACTCTATCCAATGTATTCATCTTTAGTAATTTGTTCCTTGACATGAATCTTAGCAGTAGCTTTTAATGGCAAAATGAGGTTGATTTTTCCATCTGTTCCACTGACTGCATTCAGCGATTCGAGTTCTTAATTTGATCCCAAGTTAATTCCTCCTATTTATAATTTAGCTCCGGATAATGGCTTAGATGCTTAATCTTGAACTAATGCTGTTAAGACAAATTTGAATTAACCAGGATCCAAATTTATAGTTATTTGTAGTTCATACTTTTTTTCACTAGATTGATTATATCTATAATATTTACGGCCATAATGAATATTCCTACGCATTTCGATTCAATTATTAAGCATTCCAATATTCATTTTTTGAGGCAGTATAAAGAATAACAAATGCGGGTTTTTGAGATGGCAATAAAAATCTTACATTTTATTGACCTTTGTCATCCGTTGTGGCTTTGAAAATTAGTTCTTTTGCTTTTTTATCTTCTGAGTAGATGGCCGTAAAGATTACAGTCACCCCAGGAAGAGGCTTTGAGTTTGATTATGTTTTTAACTAAAATTAGAATTCATATTTACTATTATTAATCCTCTTTAAAATACATCTTGAACTTAAACATCCGATTATGTGAATTATAATTTGCCATTAAAAACAATTGTACCTTATGAATCTCCAACCCCATCTATTTTACTTGATGTTGAAATGTCGTTAAAAGTAGTTGTTGCAATTGCTGTAATTTGGTAAGATTATTGCTTTTGGATTTTCCCAGTAAATGCCACCATACCTATTCCATCAGTCATTTGATCCTTGTCTCCTAAAATCATATTAGAATTCCTGAATTGATATATAATTGTACTTAACATTGACAATCACTCCAGATAAAGCATAGCCTGAAAAATCATTTACTTTTATTATCACTTAGTAATTTACTTCTTCTAATTCGATTATTTAATTTTCGATATGCTTTGAGAATGTGACCAGAGTGAATATGTATACTAATAATAAAGATTTTAGCATATTTTGAATTTAATAATATAAATTAATTATAAATGTCCACTTCGGCAAACAAATCCAAAGCATTTGCTAAATTCAAAATTGTATTTATTGGCAACCAAGCCGTTGGTAAGACATCAATCATTGCTCGATTCGTTTATGAACAAATCCCTTAATCACATCAAGTATCCTTCAAATTGTGATAATAGCCTACTATTGGAATCGACTTTCTTTCAAAATGCATTTAGGTAGAGAATAAAACAGTAAGATTATAATTATGGGATACTGCAGGATAGGAGCGTTTTAGATCGTTGATTCCATCTTATATAAGAGATTCCCATGCGGCCGTCCTTTGTTATGATGTTTCAAGTATTATTTAAATACATAGTTTAGATGCTCAGTCATTTGCGGATATCAAATCATGGCTTGAGTATGTAAGAGAGGAAAGGGGATCTGATGTAGTTGGTGTACTCATAGCTAATAAAATAGATATTGAAGAGAGGTTTTAGAAATAATTAATTTAAGAGTTGTCACAACATAAGAAGGTGAAAAGCTTGCAAAAGAACAAGAATTACTATACTATGAAGTCTCAGCTAAGGAGGGAACCAATGTCTAATAAACTTTTAAGAATCTTGCCTTGAAACTTTTAGGTCCTATCCAAGATGTTGATTAACCAACAACTTTAGGTTAATTAGATTCTAATCAAGTTTCCCAATCCACTAATTCATACAACATTTCATTATAACCATAAAACCAGCAAAACAATTAAACAGATTAGTAGAAATGTCAATGTTGATAACAAATGAAAAATAACAATAATTTTCATAAATTATCATTATCTAATTTAAATATTTTTGTCTATGAAATATTTTATATTCTATGTCGTTGTTTCTTTTGGAGAGTTAATATAGATATGTTATAACACTAATATATTTATATAATAATGGCATTACTATTCTTAAACATTATTTTTATATTAAATTATAGATATATATTATCAGAAAATTTCTCTTAATAATACTTATGACATTCTACTATTAATATTAATATATATTTAATATATATTCATGATTATTATTTGTAATGCTCACAATAGGATCGATATACAAAATTACCCTTTTGTTTAATTGAAAATAGATATTTCAGGAAATGGTTATAAATATCTTAATTATCATATTTCTAAATTTGCAAAAAATTCATATAATTCATTTGCTGTTAGAATATTTTTATACTTCTCATATTGCCCGAATAAATAAAATTTATACTATAAAGGATGAAATTCCTTAATTTATTTTTAACTATATAAACTATAAGCAGTTCTTCTTCAGGAGATAAATTATTACTCTTTAATTTTTTACATTTCTCTATGATGTTCACGTATTAATTTTTCTCCCATAGATCAAATAATTTATAATTTTTTTCTATAAAATTCTTGGCCTCGAGAAATCTCTTTTCTTAATCATCTTTAATAATTTTTTATGTTTCTCAATCTACTAAATTTATTCAATTTGAAGGTTCTTTTATAAACTGTCTCTTGTTAAATCTTAATATTTTCTATATCAAATTCAAACTTTGCTTTTTCTTTAATTTAATATACATTAGGAGCAATAAATTACTGTTAGTTTTAAATATTTTAAACTTTCTAATCCATTGAATTAATTGCAGTGATTTATGATAAAACATTTTAATTAAAACTTTCAGCCAGATTTTTATCTTCCAATTTTTCTTGTTTCAAATGGATGTTCTTAACTCAAGCAATTTTCTTTATACCATTAATGTAGTCTTTAAACTCATTCAAATCAGGTTCTAGCTAATTCAAAATATTCATAGCATTGTTTTTCTCTTTTGCCAACATTTCACCTGTATCCTTTTATGAGCCTAAATCATAATGAATGCTATTTGACAAATTGATCTACAAGATAACCTTATTCCTACATATTATAACCATAGGGGGTTTTTTTTACCCTTTAAAATGCTCATTGACAATCCTTAACGAATATAATAAATTGATAAAATTTTGCTAATTTTCATCTACATAAAATTAGGTTTGGACTTGATTTTTGATCTATGTTTACATTTACTTTAGTTACATTCTTTGATATTATTAATATTAGACTAGAACATTGTTTAAAATATTCATTAATAGAATAAAATATAATTCTATTGCAACAATTCCAATGGATAAAAACCTTATAACTGCTTCAGAAATACTACTTGTTCACCCCCATCTTAAAATAATAAATTATGGCATTTAAAAGAAAACATCCAAATAAAAGAAATCGTTTATATCAAAATAATATGTAAAACAATTTAACATTATCAAGAAAATAAAACTTTAATCTTATTATTTACAATAAATATAGCAGTTTTCAATAAATCATAATTTTATGGAATAAGATTGAATCATGGATAGGTATAAATATTTTAATTAATTTTTAGTCTATTTTCTTTAATATAATTAATTAAAAGATTATATTCAAGTTGAAGAATATTTGATGAGGAGTGGACAAAGCATGATTGTTAAATAAAATAACACTTATTCCTTCCTCTAAAATTTTTATTAACTTCTTTCTTTTGAGAGAGAATTAACATGATAATAAAATAGAAAATCAAAATTCTAAAGCTTACTGACAATACCTGTTATAATTAAGGCATTTTTAGACATCTCAAAGGAACTATTTTTAAATTTAATAGAAACATTATGCAAATTAATTAATTAAATAAATTAATTAAACAATTCTTATTGAAATTTGATATTGAAAAACAAGTTTTTCTCAGTTTTGCACTCGATTATTGTTAAAGCAAAAGATTGCCAATTAGAGAGAAATCGACTTAATTGCTTTTGCGATAGTAAATAAATCCATTGAAAATGATAAAGGATACATATAATACCCAAGAATTAAGGTCTATTTGGTTAGTTAAATTTTTATGCAATTTAAGATGGAGAGGTAATGTGAGGATTCTAATTTAGAATTAGAAAAATTTTAAGCAAAATTAGTTTCCTAAATATTTTAATAATCAAGATTAATAAATATGTAAGGGAGACGAATAAAATGATTGAGACAATTAAGTGATCTAAGTCGAAATCATAACCAAATTATATAGAAGCATTAGACTGATAAAAGTAATAGAAAATAATACTCTATGGTTAATCGAGTAAATCTTATTGAGATTGACTTGTAATATAAACATAACACTGTACTAATTTAATCAAATAAACTTCATTTGAGTAACCTATTTTGATATCTTAGTCTCCATATTTATATAATCACCCAAAATTCCATGAATTATTAATTTTTTAATATCTATTTTATATAATATATAATGTTGAGCCTCTTGTTGATAGAAGCAGCTGTATTTTTATCAAGTTCCTAATCTATTATAAAGAGTGAGGACCCAAATTCAATGAAATAAAGTATACCCTTTAATTGATGATAGGCTGGAATATATCTTAAGGAATTAACTCAATCAGTACTCATAATTACATTTCTTACTTTGGAGGCTAAGATCATTTTAATGGTACTACAATCCTTTAAAATTTATACAATCTATAACATCCCCATTACTCAGTTCAAGTAGATATCGAAATGATTATCAATGAAAAAATAAAATATGTAATTGTATAATTAGATGATAAAAATAATACTTACACGAGTAATTAATCAGCGATCGAGTTAATCAATTTTCAATTTACATTTGAGCATCATTCTCAAATGGCTTGTATTAGAATTTCTACATAATCTTCAGAAGTTTAATCTTGGTGGGGAATCAGTTAATTTACTATTTCAACATTTAATTGTTCTTAAAATGTTTAGTATTGTTAAACCAATTAAAATTAAAATATGCGTTGGAAACTTCTTTATGATGAGTTCAAAGTTGAATTAAGTGAAATAGATCATCGATATTATAAAATTTTTACATTAGGATGCTAGTGTACTTATTAAAATATTTATTTTCTAGATTTAAAATTTTTTTCTTCGGAATAGGACTCAAAAATGTTATTTGATTATTAATTACAAGTAAAAAGCTCGATTCTAGTGAAAATTAGATTTAAATTAATGACTCTAACAACAGCATCATTTAAAGTACTTGTAGATGGGAACATTAAATTAGAATTTAATTATTATTAAGTCAATAGTTATTTTCTCTATTATTGTTATGGTGATTATTTTATATATTAAATCGAAATAGATACTAATATTTATAATTAGGATTAGCTATAGCTACAAATAAATTTTGATTTTAATCGTTGGGTTAATATAATTGATTTTAGAGTTTATCACATTTAAGCAGAGACTTGGTAATAACCTAAGGCTATTTTTGGATGTTTGCATGCTCTTTATGATTAATGTTTAATGTGTTAAGAAGGCTGGATTTATTATCCTATTATTAAATCCTGTTAGATGAATTTAGGTGATGAAAATCGAGATTTAGTTGTATTTTAGGATGATCATCAATCAGAATATTCTGGTAATATCACTCAGATCTAAAGCATACCTATTTTGGATTAATAAACAAGTTTATATTTGATATCTGAATTAATAGGATATAAGGAAGGTGGAAATATTATAAATATTTTATCAATTTGTGGGGACGGAGTAGTTGGAATGACTGAAGAATGTGATGATTCTAATTAATTTTAGTTTGATGGATGTTTTAATTGTTAATTTTCTTGTCCTTTGAATTGCTAATAATGTAATTATGGTAAATGTGTAACATGTGATTTGGGTTATGAATTAAATAAATATTAATGTACACCTATTTGTGGGGATCAATTAATACAACAATATGAGATATGTGATGATGGAAATTAAATTAAATTTGATGGGTGTCATAAATGTCAAAATAATTGTTAATTAGAATGCTATAATTGTATATCTACCTATTGTGTGGAATGTTATGAAGGTTGGAATTTAATAGATGGTAAATGTGAATAGATGTGTGGTGATGAATAAGTTGCATTTATGTCATATGAATAATGTGATAATCATAATGATAATAATTGTGTTAACTGTTCATTAAAATGTGAATATAATTGTTAGGTATGTCTATCATCATAGCAATGTGTCATTTGTTCATATTCCTATTAATTAATAGATGGTACTTGTCAATCAGTTTGTGGTGATGGTATAGTAAACAAAGAATTTGAAGATTGTGATGATGAAAATAATATTATGTATGATGGTTGTTTTGAATGCTCATTACAATGCTCTCTTGGATGTATTTTATGTGAAGAAGATAATTATTGTAAGAAGTGTGATTCATAATTCTATAAACTTGACCTAACTACTCATTTATGTGAAATTGTTCTAAAATAAGATGCAGTAGATAATAATTAAAATAATGATAATTAAGATTAAGAAAATTAAAACAATAATTTGCATTGTAATTATAATTATATATATGTTGATGGTCAATGTATTAATTAATGTGGAAATGCTAGGTTTTAAAATTAATATGAATAATGTGACGATGGTAATACAATAGGAGGAGATGGATGTTCTCAATCTTGTACTATAGAAAACTAATTTGTTTGTGAAACAATTGAGTATTAACAAAGTGAATGTCTTTTTTTAAAACCTCCTGATTTCTATTTAAATATGATATCGGATAGAAAAAACCAAACATAAACCGTTGAATTAACTTTCACCCAATAAGTTAGACTTAAAATTGAAATGGATTTCGAGGAATGGGCTTAAATTGCCATTCTTCCTGAAACTGATTTCCTTGTAAACGTTATTCCAATTACTAATTTAACATCCTTGCTTGGTTTTCCACAGTATCAAATAAATATAATATTTAAAAAGCCAGTTAATGATCCAATATTCTAAATTACTATATACAAATCTAGCATTTCAAGTGAAGATAACCAAGAACCTTAAAATTCAGTAAAAATGATTAATCTTGGATAACCTTTTGTTTTACCAGAGTCAATAAAGTAATAAGTAATGTAGGTTTCTCAAATGAATGATGCCATGATGTATTCGATGATGTCAATTTCCACTTTAGCCCTTGCAACAGGAAATGCAATTCTTTTTTTCAATATGCTAGATTTATTGCAATCATTATCATACATTAGATTTATGCAATACTAATTTCCTCCTCATTTACAATAGTTTCTTGATACTTATACCAAAGTTTCTCTAAAACCCATCTTGGATTATTTTTAAGTAGATTCCCTAATAGCCAAATTGAATGGAGGATCTCTCCCATATTAAAGTAGTAGAAGTTCAACAAGTACTCCATCAATTAATACCTTAAATTGTTATTATATAATGAATGCAAAAAGTTGCTTTTTTTCATTAGCAGCATCATTAATGACTTATTTTCTTAGTATTTTAGTTAGTAATGCATAAGTTAATAACTGTGTACAAAAATATTTTAATAAATACTTTTATAATTTCAAATTCTTAAAATTATTAACAAAATTTTAGAGGGATGTTCAACTTAAATGTTTAAAATTGAAAAATTAATACTTCTCAACTGGAATTTATTAAGTTTATTTTGCTGCACTTCATTAACTCTGCTTTAGCACTTTTTTATAATTTCCAGAGTACTCAGCGAATTCAATATTTGAAATTTTTAATTCAACTAGTGCTATTATTAGTTGTATTGTAATTATATTTATTTCTTTCAAATCATTTGCGATAACATCAGCAATTATTAAAGATACTCAGAAATGGAAATATTTTTATGTAGAATCAAAGGATTCATTTTGGGCTATAAACATTAAATCATTTTAAATTTACAGGATTTAATTTTATATATTTGTAATAGTCTTTTTGATCAACTATCCAGAAGCATAATCAGTATCATTATCAACTTTTTCGCTTTTTTATTTGTTTTTCTTACTTAAATTCAGACCTCTCAAGTCTTAATATGATTTAACCAAACTCATAATAAAGGAAATACTATTCTCATTAATCATTGGATCCTTTCTTGTCTATAGTTACAATTTGGATAATAATCTGAATTTACTTTTTGGATGGATACATATAGGAATGTTTTCATTAATGTTGGCTTCCAATCTTGTAATTGATATAGTAGAATCAGTCTAAAAAGTTTATAAAAATTACCTCAAGAAAAAGATTAGAAAATAGCAGTAGGAGATCCATCTATTCACAAATAATCCACTATAAAAATTTATATATTTGGAATACAATAAGAAATTCTAAAAATGATCAATATTTTATATAATTTAATCACTCTCATAATTTTATTAATTAATATAGATAATAATGTGATCACTATGTTAGGTTGTTTTTTAATACAACGTAGTTAATACTTTTTCAAATTGCATGTTGTGCTAACTCGTGTTTTCTGATCTAAAAACAATTACAATTCGTTGCAATTCAAAATATAATTAATATTTATATTAATTTATGAAAAAAGCACACAAATTCAATTCGTGTCGATTATCATATTTAGGGTGAACTAATTATTACAACTTTTAATCATAATTTATGTAATAACTTATTTCTATATAAAGTATTTAATTATTAATTGAATTAATCTTTGAGAAATATTATAATAAAATTATTATGGAGGTCTCATTTAAAAATTTATGTCCTATTCATAAAAGAGAAATCGTATTATTTAATTCGAAAGAAAATGATCATACAAAGAGGTATCAATGCCTCTAATGTTTCTCTGAAATTAATAAATAATTCCAATTAATTCCTGAAATTACTGGGATTTCTGAAAATTCGTAAATGATACAACGCGATCAAGGGGAATATTGCTTAAATACTGCTTAGAATGATCAAAAATGGCTATTTTTAGCTAGTTCCTAAAATCATAAATGTATGGTCCATAGTTAAAATTCTATAATTGTGAGCAAAAATAATTCTAACATCAAGAAGGAACTATGTCTTAATTGCATAGTGGAGCAAGAAGAAGGGTATTGTTAGATTTAAGATCTGATAAATTATTTAAACAATAAGAAAAGGATAATACTTGATAATGCTTTAGAAATTTAAGAATACAATATAAATATTTTAAAAGAATTAAAAGACTTGTTATTAAATTATAAAATTCAGATATAATAAAATATTAATAAATTCTTTGAGAACCTTGAATAACATGTCACTTTGATTGGTAATTCCTATATATATCAATCTGAGTTTATAAAGGGCATTTCATGCGATAATATTGATTTGATGATTAAATAATTAAGTAAAACCCAGGAAATTCAAACTAATTTTATAGATATAAAAGAAAATATTACTAGTAGCATATAGAAGTTGTAAGCAATGAAAGAAATCTAAGATTTATATGAATGTTTAAACAAATTATGTCTATAAAATAGAGGTAACATATTTGAATTTCTAAATTAATTTAAAAATGATGGGAAGGTTTAACTGAAAATACCTTAAATAAATTGCAAGAATGTTAATTCTTATTTTCAAAAGGATTGGTGTGATACAATTGAATTTGATTAGAGTTCTACTAGAGTGATTCACGGTAGTTATACTCATATTAAATATTGTTAATTTAAAAAAGGGGAAATCAAATTCATTAAGAGTATTCATGGACATGAATGGATGGTAACATGTTTAAAGTTTATGTAAAAATCCGATACTTTTTTCTCAGGCGGAAGAGATAGTAAAATTAAACTATGGTCTAATATAGCAATGAACAACAAATATTTAGGAGTTTTGGCTGGCCATTCATAAATGATAAACTGTATTATTACAAATTAAGATGAAAGTTAACTTATTTCCAGTAGTGATGATTCACAAATAAAAGTTTGGTCTAAACTTCACAATTGGAAATGTATTTAAACTATCAGTAATCATAAAAGTTCTACTTACGGTTTAAGTCTAAGTGAATCAGGTAGAATAATGATTTCATGTGGAAAGGATGGAGTAATTTTGGTGTTGCATTAAGAAGATTAAGGATAAATATGGAAAGTTGTATAGACAATTAAGGAAGAATGGGGAAGAAGAATAAGTTTTATTGGTGATAATCGTTTCACCTTCTAATCTTATTGCAAAGACTCTATGTGCATTTTTGATTTAAATTAAGGTACTGGATAATTCATTAAGATAAAAGAAATTAATGTAGCAGGAGGAAAACAATGCAGTTAGTTCTTTAATTAATAATATGTTAAATCAAAATCATTATTATTGAATAAAAATTGTATGCAACTGAATATTATGATCATAAAGGAGCAAGGAGATTGTCATAAAGTGTAAGCTTTATCATTTATTACTCACTTCGTTTATGGGATCATTAGTAATGATGGTGAATATCTAATTACTTGGAATTAAGGTTTATGCGAGATAACAATATGGAAATTAGATTACTTAGATTGATACTATATACTTCATATATAACATTTTTATTTTTATGTTGAAAAAAATAATTCATTAATAAAATAGAAATATTATATATGAAATATTCAATCCCAATTTACATTAAAAAAAATTCTATTATAGAATAGTCATAATATTGTTTTTTTGTCATCATTAATTGTCCAGTGCCTATTCTATATTTGTAAGTCGTATTTTACTATTCGAATATAGAGTGTTGTATTATTATTTTTATATCTATCATCAAAAGTACAAAAATAGTTGATTAGTTCCTTCAGATTCTTCATTAGTCAAATGAGGTAACTTGAGGATAAACAAATTTGTTGTTATTTAATTCAGTTTGCCATAAATAATTAGATAGAATTTTAGTAAATTGGGATATAAATTTGTCTTTGTTTATTCAGATTTCATAATATTTTAAATACCTTTAATATGGGGAATAATAAATCAAAACCAATTTAATAATAAGATGCTTATCAAGCACACTGGAGTAAAAATTAGGCATAAGAATTAAGGAACTTGCAAAAATAGGAAGAATCAATCTAAAATGCTAAAAAATAACAACTTGATAAAATGAAAGTTGAAACAGATTAAAAACTAATCTAAATTAAGTAATAAGAGTAATAAATCCAAAAATTTGAAAAAGGATAACAAACAACATAATAACTAAGTTTTTCTCCTTAACAAATCAATTTAAAGATTCAAGTATCTTTTAAAAAGCCACAATTATTAGAGGAATCATCTTAAGTCGATCTTAGTTAAAAGGAGGAGAAAAATAAAGAGAGTAAAGCTGTATTAACTTCAAATGTATCTTCTAATAATAATAAATGTATAATATAAAATAATCAATAAGAAATTTAATTATAATAAGTTTAGAAAGACTCTCAATAGCAAGATGAATATATTGGGTTAAAATAGGGTTAAAACATTATTTAATTTGACATTGATTAGTAGGTTGAATAAAATACAAAATTGTCGGATGAATAACAAATATAGTAAGAAGTTTAATAGTAAAGTTCATAAAAGATGTAATAAGAAACCTAGCAATAAATAACTTAACATAATAATAGTTAAGGTCACGTAGACACAAATGCTAATGAAGAAGCTATTTTGAAAAGGTGTTTTATGATCAACATGAAAGAGTTGAAAATTAGCAACCTCTATGCAAAATTTTTAGAAAAATTTTCAACAATCACTAGTGATATCATTTTATGTGATATAATAAACTGTGTCCTATCTTCAGAATAATACATTTAGACTTAGAAAGTGACTTGGCTTGTCTTCGTTATCATAAATTTATCAGAATGTAAAGTTTTTGATGACAATGTTATCTTTAATGAAGGTTCAATATCAAAACAAGTTTGGACCAAATTAATAAATGCTGTTCTTGATAAACTTGTATCTGCTGTAGCGAAACCAGAAAAATTAGAATGGCTGGGAAGTAGAGAGGATGTAAACAGTTATACAAATTAAGAAAATACGAATGCATCTTAAGTTTATGACATGCTGTTTGGATAATAGAAATCCAAAAATTTTGAATTTTCATTTGAAAACTTAGATCATCCAGCTATATATTAATTACTAACATATCTTGATACCAAATCTCAACAGAAAGATACTTAAAGATTTTTGGAATTAATTACTAAAAGAGAACTCAGCAAATGTTAATAAGTTAATTTATCTGATTGTGTAAATCAATAAAGAGCTTTGAAATTATTAGACAAATTATCATTTTATCCAAGAATTACAGAACTCTTATTTGAAGATAGTTGGGCTTATGGAAAATTCCAATAATACAAAAATGGTAGGGATCTATAAAAATATTCAATTTTTGGTTCAATTTTATGTTTGAGTACATTTCCAAGAGATTTTCCAGAAGTAAATAAGATTTTCTGTTCAGATTAAGGTTTACCAATTCTTATAGAATGCTATAGAAGACCAATTTATGAAATAATTAATTAGATGGCTGATATATTCCTAAGAATTATTAGAAGAGGAAAAAAATCTTAATTAGAATTATTCACTTATTTGGTTAAATTAATTGAAATCAATTTGGACATTGAAAAAGTGACTGAAAAAGAAAAATTTGATAAATGTTGTTATTAGGGCATGATGTTTAATTTATAACAGGTATTATTGGAGATCTTTAATCCTTTTATCTACAATACTAATTAAGCAAATGCGAAATTATCTAAAATTAACAAAGATCTTCTTGCTTAAATTAAGAATTAGCCACTCCTAGCTAAAATTTATTCAAATGTCAAATAAATGGCCCCATTAAAAACTGAATTGATACAATTAGATAAAACTCCTGAAATTGATCCTATGACATTTCTCTACTTGCTAATTTAAAAGATTAATTCTCTCCAACAACATATGATAATCGATTATGTCATATCATATGTAATCTTGTAGTATGATAAAAGACATTTCGGATCATCTTCAAAATTAACTTAATAAAGCGAAATAGACAAGGCTAAATATGATGTATTATTGCTGAATCCTAGAAGTGTATAGAATACAATTCAATTTTTATCCTTTTAAAGCAAAGTAGCTTAAAGCTTGCTTGATGAAAATTATAAACCAAAATATCCTTATGGTTTATTATCTAATTAATTCATGAATGATATATTCCATTACTGTTTCATATACAATTCTAATAACTTAGCTTTGGATTACTTAGATGAAGTAATTTCGATTTGTGAATTCACAATTATTACAATGAAATATCAAGAATTGATAGAAGACACTCACTTGAGAGTTTTAGGAATGCACTTATTTTATATTTTCAATGATTATGTTATTTAATAGTAACATGGTAAAGCATCAGATAAGGCATTTAAAATATTTTCAGAAAATAAAGTCATTAAAGAATTTCTCATAGAGGGTCTTATTAAAGCATACGTTGATTAAGATAAAGTTAAAGTCACCAATATCATCCCAACCTTTAGATTTAAATAAGCAGTTTCTCAATTATTTTCTTACATCTTGACAACACACAGCAATATATATAACAAAAAATTCGTAGACTACGTCTAATCTAACACTGACACTTATTCAAATTTTGCTTTAGCTTATATTAATGATATAAAAGAATTGCTTGACCAATGTCTCTCTACTACCTAAAAACTAAAGTAAGAGGAAGATAGTGCATAAACTGTCCAAGTTCGTAACCCGACTTTGTAGGAACGCAAGGAAAAAATCCTGAAGTAACTATTTCTAGAAATTGCAGAAAAGAAATGTCTTGGAGATTGGAAGGGTTTTGAAGAATTATTTAAAAACATTGTTCTGTTTACTAAGATTGAACCAAAAGCATTCCTAATAGAAGAATCACGATAAACTTTTACAGAAAACCTGAATTATGTTGTAGTAAAGCTTAATGGTCCAGAAAACAATAACTGTTTGACCTCGAAATTTTTTACTAAGTACGATGTAAAGATTGAGCCAAGACATCTATCAAACTACATAGTAGATATATTTATAAATATCAAAAATCAATAGGAGTTTTGGGATGAACTAGCTATGAATAATTCGTAAGATAATGTATTGATTATTTTAGTACCTTATAACTTGAGATTTTACATTAGTTGGTGAATTAAATGGGCTATTTAAAATTGAAAACTCAATATTAACTCTAAGAATTCTTATAAATTATAAATAGCCTATAGTAATTGAAGATCGATTATGATCAATTTTTCAGAGAACTCTAATAGGATCCCAATAGATAAAGAAGATTTATTGACAGTCTGACTCAAAATTTAATGACTGATCCAGTAATGTTACCAAATTCTAAAGTATAATTATTATTTGATAAATTTAGTAAATAGTAGATAGAGTAACAATTAAAAGACTCCTATTATAAAAAAAATAAGATCCTTTTGATAGATCCTATCTTAGTGTAGAGATGCTTATAGAGCAGAAAGAATTAAAATAAGAAATCAAATCTTTCATAAATGTTAAAATATAAGAATTAAGGTCAATTAGACATGGTTCTAAATAGCATCTCAAATGATTTATTATAAAAATATCATCTAGATTTATTGATCCTATTTCTGAGTTACCAAATTGTTCATAACATCATTTTATTATTGATTACTTTCATAACATATTAAAAACGATAATTCTAAATGCAAAAAATACAATTAACTGTTTATACACATCAGGAGTTGAATTAATTTGCGATAATATTTTTTGAATAACCTCAGAATATATATATTTTAATATGAGAAAGTATAAGTAAATATGTCCGAAATTTAGGATTAGATTTTTCATCATATTTTTATATTAATGTTATCCCATTATTCTTCGGTATCAAGAACATTATATAAGTGTGAGTCTTAACTTTTAACTGAGCTATCATTAAGTAAAAGCTTTTAAGTTCAATTTAAAATTTCATCAAAAAATAAAAATGTTGTAATAAATTCAAAACTAATTTGAAAATATTACAAAAATATCTGAAATAAATATAGAATTAAACACTGTAAAGAAAATTATGGGATTTCTTCAAAAAATCAATTTTACATTTAATATTTACATAATCATCACATACAAATGAATCAAAATTCAACTTTATAAATATAGAATTTTTATTGATCACAATCTGCTAAAAATAAATAGATCGCATCTTAACACATGCATGTAATATAATTTTTTACAAATTTATATGAAAAATCCTACAAAATAACATTTCCAGCCTCATTAAATTTAAGAAAACATAAAGTTGTATCCAACTTTTAAATAAGTATCGACTTTGATTTGACAAATTATATCTTTGATTAACAATCAAGATGAGAAGATCCACCATCCAATTTAATTACAGAGGTTTAATAATATAAGGACTAGTCTGATAGCTAACTATATACTAACATAAAATCCTTCTCTTTTGGTTGTATGTAAAATTAAGTATTGCTGACATAAGATAGCCGTCCATTTGAAAATAATTGATTATCAATTTTTTGGGTTATTAACCAAAATTATCTTTTTTAGTCTTTAACTGCTACTATAACGTAATCATCAATCCCATATGAGATCAATTGATCTCCATTTTCATTCAAACTAAATCCTAAAAGAGGATTTGTATGTTAAATTAGATTTTAGTAACATCTCCATATGTTATTTTTACTCCAAAACTTTATTTTTGAATTAACACTACTAGTAATCAAATCATCTTCTAAATTATTCATAGCAATACAAGAGATACAACCATGATGTCCTTGCAACTAATACAAATAACGACTTTATCTCATATTAGACAGCTAAAATACTTTACACTTCCCAATTGAATTTCCAGTGATAAACATCCTTTATCCATTCATTGAAAATAAATTCGAGAAATGTCCTCCACTATCAAAGATACTTCCTATTATTCTAAGAGATGGTTATTTAAATTAAAAGACTTTGATTCTTCTTCCAATTTCCATCCATAGGATTGAATGCTTACTACTATAATGCAAATTGGTAACATGTTATGATCCTAATTTATAATCTCCTAATTCTATCAATTTGACTTTATCCTTTTTTGCCTTATCAATTTTTATTTGCTTCATTCTAATTATATTAAATATAAAAAATAATTATATTATACTATAATCTTTGGAGATTTTTTAAAGTACACAATATAGGATCACAAATAATTGATTTCTACAATATTTACAATTTATGTTACAATATCATTACTTGATTTGTAAGAACAAACATTTTAACAATTAAATTAAGATTATAAAATGTACATTAATTAAATTTGGTTATGCAGCATTTAATTTGAAACTAGAAATACATATCTTAATTTAATCATGCTCTATAATATAAGAAAGATGAATGATAGTTTTGGACTCAGTTGCTACTTTTAATCTTTAAGAATCATATTTATTCATATTCTGTGATTTAAATTAATTATTATTTAGTTCTTTTAGAATTTTGGGAATATGGTTTTAGAGACATAGTTTTTTATTTAGAAAAGCGTTCTAAATGTTCTCAGTTTTAATATTGATTAATTTAAAACTAAGACTTCATTTATATTTTAATATTAAATTACTTCCACTGTTGTAAGCGTATAAGAGTCGAGGATCTATTTATAAAGAATTTTCAAGGAACTCCAAAGATTTTTTCAAAAAAATCTAATTGCGCTTTAAAACAGTTTATTGAGCCTATGATCAGCTATTGTATTTGTGAGTAATAATGATTTTCTTAAAATTTCAACATTGTAGAAAGCTTTATTTAAGAGTGATAGTTCTTCAGCTTTGCTATCTCGATCAAGATTAAAGAAATAATCATTACAAAGAATAGGCTTTCTCATATTAATTAATTAACTGTCTTATATCAATTATTAATCGTGTATAAAATTTTTAAGCTTAAACCTATCCTACTATAAATTAATCAATCCTTTTTTATATAAATAATATTTCCTCTCAATGGATAGAGCTGATAGATCTTTCATAATTGGAATTGATTAATATTTTGTTGCTTTCTAAAATTGAAATTAATATGAATTCAATATTTAAGGAATTAGCTTTTGTTAATTTTTTAAACCTCCGTTAAAATAAACAAATTCATCATTTTGATTTAGATTTAAAGACTATTAAAGCGAATCTTAAGCCAGCCTTGTTAGTCCTAATTTCTTTATATCAGATGATGAATAAGACCTGTAATTTAGTTCAAATCCAAAAATTTAAAACTATCAATACCTCTTAATTTGTTGAATTTACTATAATTTGGGCCTTATATGCTAATTTGATGTACTTTTTGTATTCTTTTAACTTATATAAAATATAATTAAACAAAAATTTATATTTATTTCATTAACTTATTTATTTTAATAACTATATTTCCATTATCTTCTTCATTTCTCTGATATAATTTATTCGCCTAATTAAAAACAAAATCTATTCTTTTGGATGGCCATCATCCAATATAAATCAATTTCATATATCACAATATTAATGCAATTCCTCTTTTCAAATTTTCTATTTATCTTTATTTTTTTTTCTTACATTTTTATTTATTTTCCTTAACTATTCAATTTCTGTATTATATTATAAATTAAAGGCTCTTTTATTATTTACCTAGCAACTTATGATTGAAAATATTTTGTATCCCTAAAGATTATATGTTTAAAGGTTCAATTTTCTTATATATTTTAACGCCTTGCCTAACAGATTTAATTTGGATATGAAACCACCTAATTTTAGATTATGTAAATCACTTTTCAGATAATATACTTAATCTTGTCTGGAACTAATTCTATTCCTTTGTTGAAATATAACATGGCCCCTTTGCAATCATCATACTCTCATAGTAATATTCTTCTAACAAAACTAGCTACTTCCGCATTTTAATTATTAATTTTATCACATATACTATAGTCGTTATTCAAACTCTAGTCTCCTAAATCTTTAAGTCCTACTGATAAAGAGCCATTGTCAAATACGCTTATTTCAATAGCATCATCATTGTTCTGCTTAGATAAAACTCTATATTTTTTTCCAATTGATGTAATGATTTTATTATTGCTTTTTTATTTATCTATCATTTTGACTTTCGTTGAATTTTTCTAAATTTTACCCTTAATAATTATAGCTTATTTAATTTTAATGATTTTTGTAATGCCTATTTTTTAATAATTTATTTTGTGAAAATTCTGATAATAATAAAATAGATTATATATGAACCCTTCAATAATGGGAATAAAATTGTAATATCATTATATATATTATTTTCTCGGTAATTGAAATTTAAAAGAGAATTTAAAGCATGAACTAAAATTTAGCTAAAATGAATTTAGAATGATTTTTCCTTCAATATTTGGAAATTTGAATTCAATGTAAAATAATTTGATTGGTAAAGGTTATCATTTTGGAAGATGAATCATTATTAAAATTGTTATTTTCTCACAAGCAAATCACTGTTTCATTTTTTAATTAATATGTATTAGTACTTTATATAATAATTGCTCCTATTCTCTGTGTTTTCGACTTAAATTAAAATTCTCAGAAATTAGAGTTTTAAATTAAAACAATTTTGTTTCAAATATATGGTTCCTATTTAATTTTGGGTGATAAAGAAGATAAAATTTTTCAGGAGGCTGTTATTGTTAAATTTATAAAATTTACTAATTTTTTCAGAATCATATAATTATGAAATTTTCGATCAAACTATTCTTTATTAATTATAGGAATCAATCAAAAGATAATTAATCTCATTCATTTCTTAATCCAGATAATTATTTAAAGTAATCCAAAAGATAAACGAAACTCAAGAAAATATCTAAAGTAATGGATTTCACAATTTATTTTGATCCCATTCTCAAGAGTGGAGGAGAAAAAGAAAATAATATTAAAGAATGTTTTTTTTATTTTCAAATGAATAAATTGAATTAGCAAATAAATTATATATTTTTTAAGATTATTTACAAATATCTTTTTTTTTTTCATTATTATTATTATGTATTAAAATCATTAATTTTTTTATGTTTTTCCTTATTTCATAGTGTGTCCTATTTCCTTGTCTGTTCTACTTCTGAAATTTAATATCCAATTAATTGTGGTCCAAATAAGTCTCTCATTGCATTAGATTTGATCGAACAATCATGACCCATGAAGCCATCCCACTATCCCAAAATTATTATTTTATTA